TATCGCTTCATTTGTCTGTTTAAATACATTCCATTGTAAATTAAACATGTTTTAATATTAAACTTTTAAGCGGATTTAACATTAAAATATTTGAAGAGATCACACCGAGCTTCTGAAAGTTGAGATATTTTTCAGTACTTTCTGCCACTTGATCGATGAGATGATCAATAACGGAGATACCAAGTCGCTGTAACTACGCTGGTCACTAACTAAAAGGAGGAGGGGGGGGTAAATGGGGGGGGGGGGTTCCCCGTCCTGCAGAGGAAGAAATAGAAATGGAAGAAAAAATAGAACTGAGTAGGTTGTTTTCAGCGCTGTAGTGGAGGGTAAACGCACGTAAACGCCGTTTACGCACCTCTGGAATTTGGGAAATAGCGTTCACGCACCTCTAAGTGGCGTTTACGCACCTCAAAGTTCCCTGCGCCTTGTATTCTTCCGTTGGAATAATCCGAAATAAACTTTTTTTAAACTAATTTTAAAACAGCTAAGACTACGTTTCCTATTGTTGAACATATAAACGCCGTAGTCTGAATCATGTTCATCTGCGCTGTATTACGGTCTGTGACCATCCAATCAGCGCCTTGCGGCTGCAGCAGCAACCAATCAGGATCCAGGAGGTCCCCAACCTTTCTTACCTCACGGACCGGTTTCGTGTCAGACAATATTTCGCGGACCGGTCGAGAAGGTCCGACGGGGGGGGGGGGGGGGGGAGTCCTCCCCGGGGGAAAAACCCAACGGGGGGGAGTAATCCCGCGCTCTGTGTTCCCTGGGCGTGCACCGTTAAAAAAAAAAAACCCTGTTCTGGGGTTCATGGCTCCTCTGTGCAAGGCAGGACCTGACGTGGAGGACAAGGAGGCCCTCTGGGCACTACTGTGAAAAGGAGACTCCGTATGTAGATAGTTCTTAATCTGCAATTGTCTTGTAGTGTTGACATACTTTTCTTTACTGTTTTCATAGATTTAATGAACTACAAACTACTAACACATTTATTCATTGTCATTGATTGTATATGACTTTTACTGATAACATAATGCAATATAGCCAGGACAGAGTCGCGATGCTTTGTGTTGCGTTGCTTCGCATCGCGTCGAGGTCTGTATGATCACAAAATTCAGAGTTTACCCACCTCTAATTTTACCACTACAGCACTGGTTGTTTTGTGTCCTACAGATTGGACTGAGGAGAAGCCTGCATGTTGGAGGTCCACCATAAGGATGGAGGGAGGTGCACGTGTGACCATCTGCTACAAAGCGACGGGAGGCTCTCTCTCTCCCCCCCTCTCTCTCTCTCATAATACCGTGAGGTTTTCCAGACAGACAGACGCCCTGCCTGCAGTGGTGGAGCCCATTGGGATGCACACAGCAGGTGGAGGGTGGAGGTGTGCTGATGGAGGTCCTATGGGGGTCGCACGGGTCAATACATGCAGCCTCTCTCCAACGTGTGTTTGAGCGCACGAATAAAAGCTGCAGCTGGTGTTTCTCTCTCTGAGGGTGGAGGCCGCGTGCGCGTCTGCATGAATGGACTTCAGACGTGGAGACCCGAAACGTGCGCGCGGGCAGGGGGCTCTTTGTCCGACAGACCCTCCGCGGACCGATGGCTGCCTCGGTGGCACAAACACCACTAAAAATCACGCGCATCCATCTGCAGCAGGGCCGAGCCGCGGCTCATTGGCGGGGATCACGAATCACGAGCCGGCGCGGGGCTCCGGGCGGTGCTCATCATGGGCGAAACCCACCCGCCCCGTGACATGTGGTGGATGCCAATCAACGCGTGATTGATCAACGCCTTATCGATAACGATCTCAGACGCCGTCACCGACATGTTGGCGTTAACACGCGCGGCGTGGAAACGATGGTGTGTGTGTGTGTGTGTGTGTGTGTGTGTGTGTGTGTGTGTGTGTGTGTGTGTGTGTGTGTGTGTGTGTGTGAGCTCCGGAGCCGCTTACCGTCACCGGGCAGCAGCGGGTCCGGGGATCCGATCACAGAGCGAGGGAGGCCGGGTGCGCTGCGGCCGCTGCTCCCTCTGCTGCTGGGTGGAAGGTTGGGATAGTCGCTTCACCGACCGGGGTTTTCCTTCCTCCAGAACCGAGCCGACACGGGGAGGGAGAGGGGGGGGGGCTGTGACGCTGGGGAGAACAGCCAAGCAACGTAATCCTGAACGGAATAATGGCTGTCCGATTCCTCCTCCTTTCCCCCGCCGTCCCTTCTCTCGCTCCCTCGCTCCCTCCCTTCCTCCCTTCTCTCGCTCCCTCCGCTCCCAACGACCCCCACGAGCTCTCCCCACTATTCAGTGTGTGAAGTGTCCCGGAAATTATTTAAATTTTGGGTCGTACTCAGGCGTCATCCGGGGCTCAGCTGCACACACACACACACACACACACACACACACACACACACACACACACACACACACACACACACACACACACACACACACACACACACACACACACACACACTTTCTCTCATTTCAGGGAGGAAAGGGGGGGTCACTTGGCATTTGTGCAGCGGCAACTCATTCCCGTATATTTCACGATTACACTGAATAAACGTCGCTTTACATCACATGGGATACGACTAATCCCCCCCCTCTCACACACACACACACACACACACACCCTGCCCCTCCTCCCTTCCAAACTCGTGGAGGAGGAGAGGGATCAGCTCAACAAGGGGGAGGAAAGTTGATGACAGCTGTTGTAATCATTCCTGATTGGCACAGTACAGATGTGTGACTTTTGGAGTGACAGCTGTCCGCTGTGGTGGGAGGGTCCGGTCTCTGCAGGTGGAGAAACACAACAAAGTTCTATTTACATCACCTGACTCTGACACACCTTCACCCCCCCCCCCCCCCCCACCCACCCACACATACACACATGCTGTCAACAAAAACAGATGGATGGGATTTCACTATTCTGTCTTTAATAGATTCTTATTGTGTTTACTATTTGTAATTAAGCTATTACCACGATCCTATCATCCTTATTCTTATTGCGCCGTGTAGAACCGGTCCTGGTACTGATGGACAGATATCACAGGAGGTTCAACGGTATCTGCTTCTAACAGGAACCATCAGTCAGAGCTGAAAGCCCATCCATTATTAGAAGTCACATTAGAACTCGTGTGATCATCACTTCATTTAGTTTCTTTAGGAACAGTGACCACAACTCACAAGTTCCAGTTGTCGGATGTAAATATTAGCTTTCTGAATATTGTGTGGTCTCTGATGTCAACTTGCACTTTGGGAATTTGGATTTGACTCTACAGAAACTGCTCTGTCTTTGAATCACAAAATCAGTATCACAAAAATCCTCCTCCTAATTCACATTAGAACAGATGAATAACCTACACGTGAAATAAGATGTCCGTAGTTTAATTGAATTGCTTTTCTGTACAGATGTCATCTTTTAGTCCTCCCTCCCTACACGGCCACCTCGTAGTTACCCAGGCCGGTGACCAGCCGCCCGCCCACCAACGAGCCGGTCCAGACGCTGGTCCGGAGATCCAACAGTCATTTACAGTAATTACATTTGCACAATTGAAACCTTGTGATAACGCGCTGTGATGGTTATCTGTAACGTGAGGACGACAGCCTCCAGATGAAACGTCTCTGTGAGTCAGCGGACAAACAGGCACTCAAGGGACATAAATCAGCTTTTAGGATGTGACATCAAACTAATCGTACCGCTGTGGGGATACTTCAGACATGTTGACCTTATGGTTCCTCCTGTGGAATCTGAAAAGTAAAAAGCCCTTTCTTGACTAAAAAATAGAAGGAAAACATATCGAATAAATACTCAAACATATTTATAATTTTCTTCTGTAACCATGAACTGTTTTAGGCTCCGTCTAATTTTAATGATTTAAAGCAAATTGTTTTGACAATTTAGTGGCAACTATCATCACTGCCAAGGCTCTTTACCTCTCAGAGTATTCAACATCATAAAACTACACATTTAATCTATCAAACAGATCCTTTTGTATTTTCTTTAAATTATCCATCCACCATGGTCACGTGACAGTAATATCACTCTTGCGGACAATAATCATTTGGTTTTGTTTAATAATGAATAAATAAATACACATTCCATTGCCTTCTATTCTCAGTTTAAAAAAAAACAGGCGAAGAAAATGAAAAATCTGCTGCGTTTAAGTTGTAAAAGCAGAGCTCTCTGCGTTCCTCTCTGAGCTCTTGGCTCCATCTTGTGGAGCCGGTTAGAGCCTCGCCAACCCCATCAGCCAGAGGTCACAGGTCAACGCTGCTAATCCAATGGACGGTGTCCAACAGCATCCACTCACATCACGCTCCCGTCGGAGACGTGCAAACGCACTCGATCAATAAAAGGATTTACTCAAATCAGGTCAGAGGGTTGAGAAAATGAACCGTTGGCAGCTGAACACATTCAAGACGAGTACAGCGACGACGTCATTCATTCACTGGCTGGGAGGCGTCACGTGACTCACAGGCTGACAGCTTCACCTTGTTTGAAGTCTTTATCAAAAGGTCTGACAGTAAATACATAAAACACTTTGGATAAAGACAATAATGAAAGAACAGTGTACCGATTCAAAAACTAGAAATATATAAACCAAACACACGGCTGAAACAACTGTTTTCTGTCCACTACTTTATGTAAAAGTTGTACATGTTAATATTGTTTTTGTAGTGATGAAGTATTCAGATTATCTGATATTCTCTGCACTGTAATACTGTATTGAACCTGTTTGAATAAAAGCATGATAATATCAGGAAACTTGATTTCAATGATCAACTCTAAATGCGTTTTACTCTTTATATTGTAATATATTATTCACTATCTCTTTATTTTTAAAGTAACTAATGAGGAGGGCTTTCAAGTGTCTGGAGTAATCAGTACAATATTTCCCTATAAACTAGTAAGTATAGTTCTTAAATAAATGCCAAGTACTTGTTTTATTCTTGGCCTCCTCACGCATATCTGCGCGCAGTGAAATGACAAACAGGGAAGGAAAACACAGAGGGATCTTTAATGATAACATTTATTTGGAAACAAGGACGTGTGACTTTCTATAAACAAAGAGCAGGACGGTCCCGTGTCCCCTCATGGCGCCTCGTCGGGCTTTCCCGCGTGGCAGGCTGGCGGAGTGTAGGTCCCCGCCTTCACCATCTTGTCACGCTGCTGACTGATGGCATGCAGCCTCTGGTGCTGCAGGGAGGAAGACAGAAAGAGGTTATAGGCAGAGCAAGCTGGGTGACAAGTCCTCCCACTCCCCTACAGTTTGTCTTCTTTGAGAGCTGAGACACGAAGCCTGGAGTGACTGCTCTTTTCTCCCCCTGCCCATGTTGAGAGAAGCTGAAGAACTAGAACCGTTCAGCTCCTGACCTCCGCTCTGTAAACGTGAGGATTAACTTCCAAATCATATTTGGTTGCTCAAAAATAAAAGAGGTCAGCTTTCATCAGATGTGGTCCTTCGTTTGCCATCTCTGATGTCACTACGATGCAGACAGCGAGTTAGCGACTGACGTTTAGAAGTGAACACCCCCTCGGTGGATGAGTCAGTCCTGTCAGACTCAGACGTCGTCTTCAATCAGCACTTCAACTCCGTCGCCTTGTGAAGGAACGAGACGTGGGTGACGGGACAATCAAGGCTTCCGGGTGGAGGCGAGGAACTTCCTGCTGCTGCAGCACATTCACAGTGTCTGTCTGTCTCCCTTCTGCTGACGCAACTCAAGACTCACCCCAGGTTACCTCCAAAAATATCTACAGGGTCCGACAGGGGAACGATTTTTCCTTCTGGACATACTTCTGCTACCCAGGTAAAGTCATTTAACTCCCAATCATGCAGCTGTATTTCAGCTTTTGAGCATCGGGCGGGATTTACCTGGATCCATACTCCGAAGTCCCCAGGGCTTTCTGACTTGGGTGTCCAGCTAAGGGTTGGATCTCGATGCGTATTACAAAATCTGATTTCATTAAGGGTCTAAAGCACCCACCTGTCACTCAAAGTGTCCAGATTCTCCATCATAGGCCAACTTTAAGCCTTATAATAATAATAATAAAAAGTAATTTAATCCACTATCCAGTTAAACAAATCTCCAGTTTTACAACACAACCCACATTCCGTCCATCATAGTATTATGATACAGTCGTTGACTAAAAATGATTCAATTAACAGACATCAACTTCTAAAAAATATCTCTAAGCCATAAAGAGCAAACGACGTCTTCATACATTATAGAGTTTATTGAGAAGGTTATATTTATTTAATATGCTGGTGAGCAAATTGACAGGGAGTTTATCTGCAGAAAAACGGATGGAAAATGTTTCCTCTACCATAATATTTCGGGGGCGCCCCTCCGGCCCTGTTCATTTAAAAAAATGTTGAAAAATATGATGTTTCAACTCAAATAATAAAGAATCAGCTCAGTTCCACCATGAAACACCAACCACATCTACATGATCACAGCTTCTGCATATTCTCAGCCAATGACCCTTTCTCTTTAAAGACTTGTGTGCTCCGTGTCCCCCCTCAAAGACACGTACTGTTTTCTGCCTGTGCATGCACTCGTAGAAGTCCTCAAACTCCAGCTGGCACTCCTTCTTGGCGCGGGTCTGCCCGATGCCGTGGGCGCACTCGATCCACTCCTTCTCGAAGGCGTGGCAGCGAGCCGCTCTCCGGTTGGGCTGCTGTCCGCTCTGCAGCAGCAGCCAGCCGTCAAGGTTGACACCAAACCGGGACTGGAGGTCCAAAAACGGCATCACTGCTGATGAGGGAGGAGACGGAGAGGAAAGGAAAGAAGGATGAGTACCAGGACGTGATGGAGAAGCTGGCTTTTGCCTATCATTTTTATTGACATGGTTAAAAACATGACTACACTTGACCGGTCAGTACCTCAGACACACAGCAGAGGTTATAGAGCTTCAGCTTACTTTAGTAAAATGATCTCGCAAAGGAAGCTACTTGCTGCTTGTTTAAAGTAACAACAAGGACATTTTTATCATCCAGCATTACGACTCGTTTTTGTAACATTTCAAAACAGATAATTCAATGGCAACCGATCTGATCATTGTGGCATGAAATACACATTTTCAGCAATTTGTTTGAAAAGGGACAAAGAATTATTTTTAAAGAGGGACTGATGCAGGTCTGTCTGTGGTAGCTTGCATGACGCTATGTATGCACATTCTAACCACACTCGCATTTGAATATGATATAATATACAGCAGAGAATGATAGTATCAGCTATATTTGGGCAGTATGGTATAAGTAAGTCTTAGTAACTGTCAAGAGATCTCTACTCTCTCGGCTAAACATGCTAGCAAACTAGCATTGAGCTAAATACGGTACTTGTTGGATAGTCTTCGTACAGAAAAACTACACATAATTTAAAGCAGTATATCTGATATTTCGATCAATATATATATATACATATATATATATATATATATATATATATATATACATATTAGCTCATAACTATTCAAATACATTACTATACAACCAGTTGTTGTTGTAAAACGATGCTAACGTTGCTCCCAGTCTCCTTCAATGACAGCTAGCTCATGCTAACGTCACGCTTTCTACCGACTGGTGTTTCCTTCAAACGAGGAACAAACTCAACTTCGTCTCGTGACAATTTACCGGCTGATGAAAAACAAACATGAGACGTAAAATATGTGAATTTACCGTATTTTTGTGGGATTCACTTTAACCTTCCTCCGACTCCACGCGTTTTACTTTGCGGCTGAAAACAACCAGGCCGTAAATGTAGAATATGTGTCGTGAAGAGACGTGGGCGTATTTCTTAGCAGTGCATTACCGCCACCTATTGGGATAAATATTCAGTAAAATATTCAGGCATATATATATATATATATATATATATATATATATATATATATATATATGTATATATATATATATATACATATATATATATATACATATATAACCCTATATATATACATATACATATATATATATATATATATATATATATACATATATATATACATATATATATATATATATATATATATACATATAGAGAGAGAGAGAGAGAGAGGTTATAATTGTAGTACATACTACACAACAATGTATAATTGTTAACATTGGCTCTAGTTTTGCCAACGGTAATATATGTGATGAAGACATTAAAACCTATAGTTTAATAATTTTATATATATATATATATATATATAAATATGTTGTTGTGTAGTTGAGTCTGCACTATTGGTCAATGTACTGTACTGTACGATTATAATATATATATATATTCATATATATATTATTTTTTTAAGACATATTTTATATTTTGAAATAAAGATAGCTGAAAAATAGTTATTGAAAATTACACATTGCAAGATTTATCTGGAATAATCTTCACTATATCACTTCTCCGGTTGAGCAAAGACTAAACTCTCATAAATCATTTTGTTACTATGCAGTTAATAAAAATGTCACAACAACTGACAACCACTCGGTACTTTGGTGCAATATCAGATTGTGTTTATTTATTTCCCTAAAAGGTACACAAGTTGTCTTTCACAGTCCTGCATGTACGACCCTTACACAGGACAGGGCTTCAACAGTGACAGGAAATACACAAACAATACCATAACACTTACATATTGCTCTCCCTATACTCAAAAACCTCTTATAAGTACGGGACCGCCTGTGTACTGAATGGGAAGTTTCCATTAACACTCATCAGGAAGTTGTTTCCGTCCGCTTACATTTGTGTTTTTTTTCTTCCCACAGGCTGAAACGATAGTTCAGACCAAACAAAACACTACAGGAGCAGCTCGACGTGAAGAAGGTTCCCGAGTCGATTCCCCTGCAGATGAAAGAAACCTGGTGGAAACCGGTTTAAACTGAAGCATAGAGGTGATAAAGTGAAGAAAGATGGTGGGTAGGATTAGGAGAGTTTATCTGCATTAATATTTGAAGTTTTTGGCTCCAAAGGATGATGAACCTTAGAAAAAGATACAAACATTCCTTGGATCATAAATAAAAACACTGGGATGCTCATTATGTTTAAAGGGCCAGTATGTATCTTTTTGGGGGGGGGTTACTGGCAGAAATGGTTCCCAGTCATGTACAATCATTTGAGAATAAGAGTGGTTGTGTTGGTGGTAACTTTGAATAAGACTATCGATATAAAAGTTGCGGATCCTCTTCTCAAAGTCGGCCATGTTTCTACGGTAGCCCAGAACAGACAAACTAAACACTGGCTCTTGATGGGCCCAGTGAGCGGGGACACGTTTCAGTCGGCTGCAATCTACAGCCCCGATGCAAACACGCGGACGCTTTAAGGTAACGAAGGAAGGATTTGTGGCAATATCAAAACCTTTAGAGGCAAACTCTCCTCTAGTTACATCCAACATAAAGGCCCTCGGGTAGGTGACTTATTTTGGTTGTACCACAGACTTTTGTTTGCAACTGAAGTCACTTGTAGTAAAAGATAACAAACAGCAAAAAAAATTCCAGATAAAGTGCTCAAGTGCTCAAAAAAACAAATACATTCATCAGGAGTCCGTTAGTTCATTTACACACACAAACACACACACACACGCACAGCGTTCAAGTAAGCCGGACTGGTCCTGTTGTTGTGTGTTGTGTTGGTCAGTGAGTGTCTATAAGGCAGCCGACTGTCAGACAGCGGTCCGGTCAGGACACACGGGTGACAATTATGTACGCGCACACACGCACACACACACACACACAAACACACACACACAGAGCCAGGTAGAGTTGAGACAGCTGTTCACAAGGCAGATCCAGCTTTTTACAAATTACTTGGTTGTGACTGAAAGAATTAAATGACTATGAGTAATCGACTGATTACTTATTTCCATATTTATTATTTTTCAAGCCAATTGATTTAAAATGGATTTGGTGCTTCTTCCCATTATACGTTGGATTATGACTGGTTCCTTTTTTTCATGAATGATATTATTACAGTTTATCTTTGGAATATATGATATTATTACTCACTGCTTGATAAAACAGAGCATTTCAACGTGACGCATTCTGGCTTCGTCTCATCGTTGTCACAGCTCAGTCATATTTCTGTAAATCGAAACTCCTCCTTTGTGCAGGGAAAGTGAGATTCAAGTGTAGCTTTGTCATAAAGTAAACCTGTACCATTGTTACAGAAGCTCACCGCCCCTTTTTAACAAGGCATAGCTCACGCAGACACAAATACTGCAGCAAATAACACAACTTCCAGGTCGTCTCAATGTAAATAGTGGGGGAGAAGAAAGTGAAGCCACAATAGAAGAGTACAAAGGTCACATTCATTCACACACCGTTAGTAACGTCCCGTCACAGGCAAACGTTCGCTCCTCTTTGTCCGGGGACTTTTCACCTAATTTCCGAATCGCGTTATATATCTTGTGTAAAATTTGTACCTTTTTTTTCCTTTCTTTTCTTTTGCTCAAGTAGCCAAGGCGTTCTGCACCGAGGAGTAAACATAAATCATCATCTTACAAGTCTCAGAGGTAGAACCCTGACTCAGCGAGGAGCTTGACAGGCAGATAGATAAGACGGACGGACAGAAGTGAACAAACCCCGTCCGTGTTTAAGACGCCGTCTGTGAGTCGCTAAAGCAGCAAACGAGAAATGAAGAAGGGAAAATAACTGCAAGGAATCAAAGAGCTCAGATGAAATGTCTTATGGTGCGCGGCTCTGGCAGCTGCAGAGAGCTCAGACGTAGAGGATGACGTTACTGTCGGCGGGACAGAGGAGGCCGTCCGAGGCGCTCAGGGCTCGGCAGGACGGGGGCCGCTGGCCAGCCGCCAGGTGGCAGCTCTTCGGGCGAGGCGAGTCACAGTCGTCCGACGTCAGCTCGGCGATGTCGTCCGACTGGGTGTCCGACATCTCCAGGTCGCTGCGGATGCTCTCCGGCTGAGCCAGGGTGACGTCTCTGAGCCCGTCCCTGATGGACACGCCCGGCGACAGTTCCAGCGCCGACCCGGACAGAGCCCCGCCCCGCCGGGAGCTGCAGTCCTGGGGCTCCTCCACTCCCGCAGCCGTCGCCATGGCAGCGGCGCACGGAGGCGGGGTGAGGTCCTCTTCGCTGGTCAGGCAGAAGTGGCTGGGTTTAGTCTCAATGTCCACCTGGATCTCCAGGTTGGTGCACTCCCTGCAGAGACACATTGTAAACATGGTTAGGGAGAAGAAAGGACGAGGGAGAACTTCTGGAAACATATTCAAATGTAGTTTAACTTTGAAATTTGTTTCCCATAAATATTAGGAGGTGAAAGAGAATTCCTGTATTCTTGTAAGCATAGTTGAAAACACAGAGATTTTACTTTCTAATGGCATTGATGCGTTGAAATATAGGGTTCTGTTTGCAAAAGAATTTTGTAAAAACGGTTGGTTGAACCATAAGTACCCTTCGAAACATCCTCATCCCCACCACAACGACAAAGGCAAGGACAGAAATAAAGCAATAAACTTGCTTTCAAAAAAAGTGATTTAACAACAACAGGAGGAAATAGTTTCCTATAAGGAATCCGCTGCATCACATCAACATCAAAACGAATGGATGAATACGGAGAGAGATCCACAGAGGAAGAGGAGGAGTGTGTCACCTGTCGGGCAGCGTGTAGGACGAGAGGATGGATCCGGCCATTCCTCGGGTGCTGGCACAGTCGCTGCCTGCTCCCAGGCTGCCCGTCTCCCTCTGGGCAGAGTCTTTAGCCAGCTCCCCCGCCTGCCCCTCCAGCCTGGAGGACAGCAAACACTGTTAATAAATAGGAACCCAAACACTATACACTGGCACTGGAATATTTAAATCTGAAAATGAAGCTTGTGTTCTGTACAGTAGTTTGTTTCTATCTTAATCAGCAGGATGTCTTGAGATGATGATGATGTCTGGACACTTTAACTGGACTCGACGGGTCAAGACATGTAGTTCAAATTGAGCTTGTGTTGTAAACTGAAGTTGACAAATTAAAAAGAAGAAAAAAACAATTATTTGGTCGACTATTGTCTTGGATGCCAAGAAGTAACTTTCAGTATTATTATTAGTCATTGTGTGGAAAGGTCAATGACAGCTGCGCCTCTCCAACTGTGGAGGAAGATCAAGTGATCCGAGTAAAAGCTCCTCAACAGCTACAACAAAGGCCATTGAGTTGTGTCTGTTTTATCAAGAAACTACAATTTAATATAGTCAGAGGAACGTTGTGTGTTGGGAGAAAGAGCAGCGTGAATAATTATACAGTGCTTATCATGAAAACAATTACAAATCCACTAAATGAAATGGAATAACAGCATTTCATACAGGATGAATGCAGATATAATCAGATGGACAGAATTAGGGAAATATTGCTTGTTTTTAATGTTAAAGTGTGTAATTAAATATATTAAATTAAATCAATTATATTATAATATAATAATAATAATATATTATAATATATATATATATATATATAAAATTTAACATGAAAATTAGCATGATAGGCACCCTTTAAGTTTAAAGATGAATGACATTTTGGACGTATGTCCTTTGTTTTTCTCTCCAAAATGTACATATATACTACTACTTATTTCTATTGAACTACTCATGCTTGTCTTTCTCACCTGCTGTACTTGCTGCTGCGTGCTCCTAAGGTGCCACCTGCCAATGTGTTAAAATGGTGCGCGTCGCCCAGAGTCCCCGGGGCCCCGGAGAGCCCCTCGCTGGGGGAGGTGGTGCTCAGACCGCTGAGCGCCCCGTCCAGACTGCTCTCGCCGAGGCTCGGGGACTTGAGGGCTCGCCACGCATCCGCCACTGCAGAGCCCCGCGGAGAAGATTATTAACAATTAGATCTGGTGAACGGTATCCTGCCGCTTTGCTTCTCTTTAAACATAAGAAGTATTCAGCGTCCTCACCTGTGATGGGACCGTTGTCTTCATCGAAGTCAATGCGTACACCTCGTCCCTTCCCTCTGCTGACACCACAGCCTCCTCCCCGACACAGAGAGATGGGCACCACGCCGTACACGTAGGCCAGCATGATGGGCACACCGATACCTGGGAAGGGACACGAGCAGGATCACACCTGTTGGATTGGGTCTGCGAAACGTTTCCCGTGTGGACCGGGTTCAGCCGCTCGTGGTGTAGAAGCGGAACTCGTGTCTCACCAACGCTGACAGCGGCGATGACGGGGGCGGTGATGATGGACAGGGCCACGCCTCCGGTGATGGCCAGGTTCCTCCGGTGACGAGACGCCTTCTTCAGCTCGTAGTGGGCGTGGATCTGCGGCACGGCACAGAGAGGAAGATGAATGAAACATAAGATATCAGATTCAGTGAGACAGACAGAGCTCCTCAGCATGTGGGCCGTGTTGGAAGAGATGGGCTTGTTTTGTTCCTGATCATTCTGTACAAATCAATTCATATCATTTATGCTGGGCTGGGCTACATTTTGGTGAGGGAGAAACTGTCCATGGTAGCTGCATGCAGTTTGAGGCAAAAACGGACACGTTTTTAGCATGCTGCATAAATGTGTTTTTATTGCTTTCTCTAAATTTGAATATTTCTTCGTACTGGGTTCCTTAAATACTTTTAGAATTTCACAAATAAGGTTATACCAAAAATTTGAGACTTGATGATCAAATCAGCCCAATTATATTCACGTGAGAAGAAGTCGGTCCTCATAGCGGTAATTTCACAGAGTGAGAACTTTTGGGAACTTGACATTACTGTCATTTTGCTGTGGCAAAATGTGTGAACAGTAAGCTAGAGAGGTTTAGATCATTTAAGACTCTTACTTGAGCAAAAGTCTGTTTCCTACACGATCAGGTGTGGGTGCTGATTTCAAAGCACTGAAGTCTGTTTTTTTAGGTCAAGTGTGGTTTGTTGCTTAAATTGTAACCGTTTTTCAATTGTGTAAAAAAGGAACCGAGCTCACTGCAACTTAGAAAAAGGTTTTTCCTCCACAACGTCAGAATTTCCGAATAATCACCAGATGAGGGTTGTTAAAACTATTTGTGTGTTGCCCAAACGCTGTTTTACCACTTCTGGTTCCTGCAGCAGACGATACCACAACCGACCACAAACAAAAAAAACAAAGGTGTTTCTAAGCGTGAATTCTTTTATTGTTGGTTGATTTGTTTTGGACGTGTGGAAGTTAACAGTAAGGAGCAGCAGCAAGCGCAGATTTATATATATATAAATAAATGTCCTGTTAAATATTAAAAGCAGTGTTTCCTACTGCTCCAGCAGCTGAAGCTTCCCCCTCCGAGCGTGTTTCCTACCTTACGGCCGACGTAAACGGGGATGCCGATGACCATGGCGGGAACGGCGATGCCGGCGATGAGGGTGATGCCGACTGGAGCTCCGATCAAGGTGCCCAGCTGCCACAAAATCTTCTTCTTCCTGCTCCAAGGCTTCTTCCCCCAGAACGTGCAGCCAGATGGGCTGTCGGCCGGGAGCAGAGGGGGAGACAAAGAGAGAGAGAGACGTCAGGGAAATCTAAAAACCTCGAGCCGGTGCAAAGCGTGAAAAGAGAGGTCGCAGTACCTGAGGTAGTGCAGGTCGGAGATCTCCTTCATGCACAGCCAGCAGAACTCACAGCCGCAGACGGCGCAGGTCATGTGATTGCAGCTCCCGTCGTTCATCTTGATGATGTAGGCACCGCAGCGAGGGCACGGCTTGATGTCGTCGGCTGAAGATTTTGTAGCAAAGTTTAGCACTAAGTGGCATTGGTTTCATGGATTTCCTCTTTTGGCATGTAGTTAAAAAGGTTGTTACAGGCATATCTCTTTCTAGCAGATCAATATTTATGTTTGTATCTAGTTAAAAGTACTGAACCACTAACACTCAAATACAAATGTAGATGTATCATATATTATATAATATAAAAAGTAGAAAAGGTCAAACAAGTAAGCATAGCATAAGATTCTGATTTTAGCTGTAAGAAAGAGCAAACTCCACAACGGTCACATCTAATTAGATCTTATCTTCGTCTTTTGGCAACAAATCAAACCCCATCAGAATATTGGATCAGACAAATGCATCAGTTTGTCCTCTAATGCATTTTAAAAGAAAGCCAAGAAAACGTCCATGTAATCTGTGTTTGATGCTTGGAACGCTGTCTGCATTTTTGGTCCAAAATGGCCCCATTTTTCCTGAGAATGCCAGTGTGTGCGTGTGCATGTGGATGCTATTGTTTGTGTCTTTTGCATTCCACAGAAACACTCCCTTGCCTTCCCTTATTCTGCTCCCAGTTTCCTCCCGTTATCTCCATCCTTCCCATTTCTTTCCTTCTCCCTCCCCATCAGCAGGTGTGAAGAGTCGTTGTCTTACTTCACACCTGCTGCTCAGACAAAGAGGGAGCGGCCTGGATTGTGTTATGAGGCAGTTTTGATCCTCTGGATTGTTATCAATCGTTTTATAATTGGCAGGCTGGTTGGGGTGAATTAAGGAGGAGAAAGAGACAGAAGACGGACAGAGGACAGCTGGGAGGGGCTTACTTAATAGATATTTAATCAAAAGGGAATTAAAGACACGCACACGGCCTCACAAAGAAAGGACGTTTGCACACACATGCGCTGGTGATGGTAAATATATTTATATATATATTAGGGGTGTAACGATTCATCCACTGAATCGATTAATCGATTTATATTCCTGCGATCCAACTGAATCGATCTGTGCTCCGCAAATCGGCATTCCGGACGACACATATCGATTACAAATCGATTGAAATGGTACATAATCGATTGTATCGATACTTGGAAACTGCACATTGGATTTAAGTACAAAAACGGCATGGATGCGTGTTTGTTTGTTTGTTTGTTTTTAGCACTTTAGACACGTTAAACGTTACTCGATTCAGTCTGCCTGTCTGTGACGTCATCAGTACGCAGCGGCAGCCGCGCGAAACTCGGAACAACAACAAAACACAGCGTGGAGGAAACGACTGCGAGCGAGACATTTACAAACCAACTTATCGATCCAGCGAGTGGAAACATTTGGGCTTTTGCAAACACGGAGGTGTTCTAAATAAGTCACTCGCTGTTTGTAGAATTTGTAGAAGCCAAATAAAAACCACGGAAACACGACGGATCTTTCCGGCCATCTACTACGGCGCCGTGGGATTAAACAACGGCGACAGTCAGGACCTCTAGCAGCGTCACCGCTGCAGCAGCAGCAGGTAACTGCAGCTCTGCAGACACCTCAGGCCTCGCCAGCACCAAACTCAACATCACAGCAACAATTGCCAAGTTTATCTGTAAAGACGTGCGACCCGACAATGTGGTTCAATATCCGGGGTTCTGTGGATTGATCCAAACATTGTGTAATTATTGTGTTTACAATGAAAATGGCACTTGATTCAAATAAAAGGTTAATACATTTGCCAATAATTGTTGTTTGCTTGTTTATAATATCCATAATTACTTTAAACCTGATTTCCTTACAAGAAACAACAGGGATCTCAGAAACTTTACCTGCACTGTCCAGTAAAGTTACTGAATCGATTTCAAGTCACTATCGAATCGGCAACCATGAATCGCGATTCGAATCGAATTGAAGTTAAAATGAATCGTTACACCCCTACTAACTATCGATCTACCAAATGTCGAACATTGATTGTGTGTGTGTGGTCCAGGAGGCGCGTACTCACCGGGCCCCTGCTCCTGTATGTAGCTGGGGGAGTGGTTGCTGTGGGTGTGCAGCGACTGGGCCCTCTGCTGGCGGGCCGAGTCGCAGGTCTGGTTGGGATGCCAGGCCTGCTTGCAGTGGTAGCAGAACTCGGCGCCGCATCCCTCTCGGCGACACACCAGCCGGGGACAGCTGGCGCAGCCCGAAGCGATGACGGCAAACCTGAGAGGACGAGACGCACAAAGCGTGAGGGGCGTTTCAATGAAGTGAGAACTGAAGAAGGGAGAAAGGGATTTGAGGCCATGATCGAAAATCCTGTAATGTAATTAAAGCTTCAACGAGCAGCAGCGTAATGAATCCTAAAATACTTTTACATGAATCCTGATCCCACTGTGAATCAACAGATGCCATCGGCTCAATATGTTGCAGTCAGCCAGACATCTATATCTAAAAAAACAAAAATGTATGAACGCCATATCTAGATATCTATCTATCTATTTATATTTAGAACAGCTACGTTTCACACCAAAATAAAATGATTTCAGCGCCGGCTAGTTGAGGATAGATGACCAACCAGTGGAACAACACTTACAGCTAAAGCACACTTGCTCTGTCAGAGTATAGACTGATACAAGAAACCTTTTTAAAAATAAAAATACATTTTTACAGTGATTATTCCTGTTTTTAGTCGTGATGAAGCCCAAAATCTTCCCCCGGGGGGTCAGGCTTAGTGTTTTTCAATTAGTAACAACAGTGTGAGGGGGGGCGAGGCGGCATGAGGTCAATCTATATGGATTTCACAAGGTTCAATACTGAGAGAGAAGACAGAGCGGAGCAGTAAATCCATCAGAGGAGGACTTACAGAGTGTTGCTAAGAGACGAGACAGTGACCAGCAGGTCATTAGTGTCGGGCTTTAACTTGCATTGATGGAACACGTTGTGAAGGGGGAACAGAACATGAGCATCCAGAGGCATCTTATGGACGGCTTTCTCTTTTTATCCAAGAGAGCAATGAATCAGCCTGATATGGCTTATGTTCATTTTTATTTATTTCAAACAGTCAGACCCACAACTAATGAAGCTTTTTCTGTGGACGTTCATTTCATGAAGAATACATTCATTTCAGCTCGACCGGAGAAACCGCTCTGCTGTTGAGTGAAGTCGGCACAGTTCTGAGCAAATAATGCTGAATGCATCACACAAAGGGGGCGTTTTACTACCGTAATGACAATTACAGAGAGGGAGCGAGGCAGTTATAGGCTGTCAATCACTGAGGAAATCACAAAGGAGGCCAGTAATCCATTATTGTCACGCAGCTAAGTGGGAGAAAACACGCTGGAGGAGTGGCACCAAAAGCCATACATACATACATACATCGCCTCGCCCTTTTCCACCCGGAGAGAGAAGCGACCCGATGGCAGCTCGCCGCCCGTTAGTCAAGCCTTCCAGTTGTGTCTTAGTGACGACACGACAAACTTTTAAATCGCTCTGGCGTGCCGCCAACACGCCGGCCCCAACATGCCGCCAATTACCAGCTCTTGGGACGGCGTGACGGGCAAATAAACAAACGCACGTCGACGGAGACGGCGGGTCTCTTTGCCGGGAGAAAACGAGACGAGATGTGGCATTCCTCCGGAGAAACGCCTCAGCGCCCGTCTGAGCCTGGACGTGCCTCCTGCGGTGATGACACAAACCGCGCACCCGGCGTTCAGCACGCTTCAAAGGCCTCGACGCTTAAATGACTGGACAGACTTCCTCAAAGGGAAAGAAAGTCACACGTTTGATCTGGTGTCAAACTGAACACGCTGCCCTCACCAAAAGTACATTTCTTAATCAGAAATGTTTTCTCACTCGGTCAGTGGAAGAAAAGACATCTTCTTCACTGCATTAGGAACATTCAGCTTTTTAAAGGCTCAGTTGAAATTTAGTTTGCACAGCTGAAGAACAACTGGAGGAAGCAGAGAGAGCGATGGAGCCTTTAAGCGTGCTCCCCGCCTGGCTAACCCGGGACCAGAACAGAAACAGGTTGCCACGGCAGCTGTTTTCCCTGGAAGAACATTCCACGTCACAGCTGCCTCACGATTGGTGGGTTTTGACGCTGCGCCGAGAGGAACTCGGCCTGACATTTCCAGGACAAGAGAGGAGACAAACGGAGAGAGATAAAAACAAGAGGAGGGATAAGAGGGGCATGTGAGATCACGCGCCGAGATGCAAGGAGACAGAGTCAGGGGAAACGAGGAGGCGTTTTTAATGAGCGCTGATGTGCTGCCCGTTGACAGGAAACGTGCACAGACAGACCTGCTGGTGCTCAGCTCCACCAGGCTCCACCTGGGAACCCCGCTGAGCTTGCGAATGCAACGTTACAACACGCCGAGACGGCACACTAATAGCAGGGTGCATGTGACGGCAGGACGAGCGCAGCGTGCGTGAGCCGGACCCTCACCACAAGATCAAAACCACACATTACGCGGAGCAATGTCACGCGCGCACACGCACAGCGTGTCCTGTGTGAGTACGTATTGATCTGTCTAATTAAGTCCCGACTCCTGTTACCCCTGGCAACGCCGCCTCTATACGCTGCACCGATGGTTGCCACGGCAACTGACAGCCAGAGAGGAGACGGCGCTCTTTGTTCTCATTCACATGAGACCTTTAAGGCCGCATGAGGCGAGTGGGTCAGACGCGTTACTTTGGTTTGTGATTGAGACCTGATGTTTACAATGATGAGTCATAATAGTCACGTTAGGTCCGATCTGCACGCTAAAGACTAGTCAGTCACAGTTAGACTGAAAACATTCACACCGGGTTCCCGCTTGCTGTGGAAGCAACCTTTCCAGTGACTGACAGGCTGAAGACGGTAGATGTGTGTGTGTGTGTGTGTGTGTGTGTGTGTGTGTGTATCTCCTGCCAGGGCTGTTTGAGGTGAATAATAATTTGGATTGATTTAGCTACTGAGTCACTGCTGGCGTCACGCAGGATGGTAAATATGTGGATCAGCGCCACAGTCAACCTCTCTTCCAATGACACAGCTCATGCAAAAACACACCTTGGTTTTTGTGGACTAATATCTACCCCTCGCCCGCGTATCTTTACCATCAGCACCTTTAAAAAAAACAGCTCTAAAATGCTTTTCTTTCCATGAGGAATGGCCAGAATGTCTCCTTCTGCTCGACATGAGCTGCAAAATAAAAGCTCAGCCAAAGAGGCTCTTTAAAGGTGCGATCTATCCGATTTAGACAGAAACTTGTTTAAAACACTCACAAAGTGAGTCACTAATCCCAGTGAGTGAACATTTTCTGGTTACAATGTTGACTTCACATCTAAGACTGAGAGAATTTGTCTCTTTTTCTGCATCTCTACAGGTAGGAAGGAATAGGTTTCCTTATGGCTCAATCAATTCCACATATAGACTATCAACATGTTAGTGAGTAGTTGCCTTTTCATAAAAATGACTTGGAGTTGAAACGCTTCTTGCTTAATTGGATCTTGCGCTCAGTCATCCACGAAACACAGTGACTCTGAAGGAGCTGAAGCAGATACGTCCCAGCAGAGACCAAACCCAATTTAACTGACAGATAACAGACACCAGAGAGTGATCACTGTACCTCATACTCATTTCTGGTGCATGTTGTTGCGTTGGAATTCAAGTGTATCCATCCCAAAGACCTTGGCTACTTCTTATTTGAAAAGTCTGATGGTTTGTCTTTTGTGATCCCCAGAAGATGAAACCCCACCGTTTTAAACTGACTCAACTACCCGTTTTGATTTCAACGACTCGCAATGTTTCTTGTTGCACCTCACAAACAGCATCCAGATCGTTGCACGTGTTAGAAAACGTCTCCCCCCTTTATGCCGCCATGGAGACGCCACAACAGACAGAAACACACAGTCATGACGGCCCATATACATCCAACACACAGACACAACGGTCTTCCCCTGCCGAAATACCAGTATCACTGGACAAACCACAGCAGAAACCCCCAGTGCCGATCCACACACACACACACACACACACACACACACACACACACACACACACACACACACACGCACACACACACACACACACACACACACACACACACACACACGCACACACACACACACACACAGTGAATCACTCTTGCTTTCTATGCTGAAACAAACGCCTCCAATTTGTTCCAGTACCACAACGAGAGCTGCTCAGCCTCCGGACCCGTCTGGCTCTGCCCCCCTCCGGCCACAAGGCCCTCCAACCCAGTTACAGTTCACACTTCCTTCCTGCACTCTGAAGCAATACGGTTCATTTGAAATCGGGGCAAATAATGAGAACTAAAAGAAAGAGGAACCGAGCGAACCACGAGTGAGCGAAGATTCAATGGACCTGGACACAGATCTTCATCCAAAACAGGATACGTTTTAATCTGAATGTTTGTCCACAATTTGAGAAACGAAACGAAACGCTCTCAGATACAAAACTGCTTCCTGCGGCCAGATCTAAGCGATAGTGGAATGCTAGAAGCCGTTTTCCTCTCTGTCTCTCTTGCATCAGTTTGTGTTGTAACAACGATTGCTCTTTATTAGTTACACAAGGGGATTTACCTTCAGTGTTCTCCCTCCCTGATCAAATAACGTGATGGTTTACAAGAAACAGGAAGCTAAATAAGCTACATAACTGGAATGTCTCTTTCTTTCCCATAATGTGTTCACACTGTACTAGAGTCGGTTGGTTGGCTGACACGGGATTGTCTGGCAATGGTTTTGTTAATCTATGAGAATGTTATACTTTCCTGATTTTAACTTTAAACATTGTTTGGTGTTGTCTGATTGTTAGAATAAGACATTTTTTAAAACAATGTCGGACCACTTCAAAGGTCGTCGAGGCTTCATCTTCTAGCCGCGAAGCTCAAAACCCGCCAGGAGCACCACGTTCCATTCCCTACCCCCCCCCCGCTGGCGCCCGTGCTCGGACGGGATCTATCTTGCATTGTTGCAACGCTTTGTCAAAACCTGTCCACAGACAGAGGTGTAAACATCTGTCTAATTACTCAGAACCTCCCCTGCGGTGGTTCTTCTACAGAAAAGGAATCAGAGACATAAACACGCAGCCTGGCAAACACACACTCAGATTCCTGAAAATAAGCACAGATGAAGAGGACGGCGGGGGGGACGCTGTGGACAGTGTCTTACCCACAGTCCGGCGCAGGGCACCATCGGCAGTCTGGGTCGGAGGCGAGGCACCTCCGCAGCAGGAACTCCTCGTACTTGTCCAACAGGGCCGCGTCATCCAAGATGTCCGCTACCTGCCGCGGGGACAGTCTCTCGGCGCACTCGGGGCAGCTGAGCTGCACGCGGCTCTCGGTGATCTCGATGCGGAGATACTGCCGCAGGCAGCAGAGGCAGGAGCGGTGGCCGCAGCCCAGCAGCTCGGGGAGCTGCTCTGCGGGCTGCCGCACCAGGCACAGGGGGCACTCCAGCAAGTCGGCCTCCCCGGAGGATGCGGCTCCGCCCAGGGACAGCTGGCTGGAGGAGAGCGGCTTTGGCGGGGGGCTGGAGGAGGTGTCCTCGGGGGTCGCGGGGGTCTCAGCCGCGGCGGCGGCTGAGGCGATGGTGGTCGCCGCCGTCGTCGCGGTCGTATGCGCAGTGGACGCAGGGATCAAGGCAGTAGGCAGCAGCTGCTGTTGCGTGGGATTCGGCTGGTGCTGAAGGGACAAAGGGGTGGCGGCGCCTCCTTTGGGGCCCCTGGAGCCGCGGGAGCCCCGCTTGCTGTGGAAGAGGCTGTGGAAGGAGATGCGGCTCTGGCGTTTGCCCGCCGCGCGGCACTTAGGGTTGGGGACGCCGCTCACGGAGGAGTGAGGCGACTCCGAGTCCTTTTCTGATCCCATTTTCCCAGAAGATACGCAGGAATGTATCGCAGAGGGACGAAGACACACTTGTCCCCTGATGAGATGAGATGAGATGAGAGAGAAACTTACAGTCTGTAACCTCCTTCTCTCTCGGTTACAAGAAACCGAATGATATCAGGAAAAGAAAAGAGCGTGAGATGACGACGGCGTGCAAAACAGAAACAGAAAGAGAAAGTGTGTTCATGAGAGGTTTCACTCAAACTCTGCGGTGGAAGTCCTCATGAGGAAGACAAAGCTGCACGTCTGACATCTCCGGCAGAAAAAGATTAATGTCCGATCCAATGAATGAGTCACAAAAGAAAAGGAGGAAAACAGACACGTCCGCGGGGCAGAGTTCGGTCCGAGCGCTGAATCCTCTGCGTGGATTGAATTCTCCTCGGCGGTGTTCAGGGCTGCTGCTCCGCTCGTCTTCCTCTCTGCTTGACGAACCCCGGTCTCGTCTGTCAGGGAGAAGAGAGCAGGAAGTTAGCAGCCTGCTCAGTACGACACACCTCTCTCGATCCTTAACCCTTGTGACCCCGAACCGATAATCCAGCCGTGCTAATTGCAATTAAATACACACACAGATCCTGCTAGCCTGTGCTGTACGAACGTACCAAAAACAAATAAATAGAAAACGTGACATCATCGATGGGACCGAGCCGTCTCTCCCTGTCTGTGTGTCACGCTGAGCGCCGCAAAGCTCTTCTTCCACTTCACACTGCGCCGCTAGTCCCGTTGCCACGGAGACGCTCACTACGAGTGAGGCAAACAGCGACCTGCTCTGTGACTCTGCCACTAGTGAACACACACACACACACACACACACAAGCACGAGCACAGCTGCACTTACACTGGCAAAAACGAATACACATGCAAATATACACAAAAGTACAGGTTGTATTCTTTGCCTACAAAAACACTATTACGTGAAAAAAAACACATCCAAACCTGCATAAACACACATTCCAGATATACTGTTTTCACACCCACACCTCTCCTAGTGAAACGTGATAATAAGGCTGCGCCCACACACACACACGCACACACGTACACACACGCACACATATAATTACAACCAGTGTCCTCACTACAATTACAGGCTGAGCGAGCTTCTGCTAAGGAGTGTGTGACACACTTAAACAGCTGTGCGTTACCACGGTGCGTGAGGTTTTCATTGTGTTGCTCTGTAACGACCCCTCTCTGACTGCTGGGTTTTCTTGTTCTTTATTTTGGGTTGAAAGAAAGGAGGAGAAGTGAACCGCCGAGTTGAAACGAGACCTTCAGAGAAGCTTTTGGAGCAGCCAGACGATTCCTGACACAACAGATCAATAATAAAGTGAGTCTAGAGCACTCAGGAGGCTCAAGCAGAATCCCAGAGCTGTGCACAAATCGGGTTGTGGCTGAAGGCCGAACACACACAAACAGGCGCGTTTGTAGTGCGGACCCTGTATGTCAGACCATTGAGGAGATTGTGACCCGTGTGTGTTCAGGTGATTAACAGATTAGCTGAACAATCACTGTGGAGAAAGAGTCTGATCTCAGGTTGTAACTAAACCAGATCCTAGGACTCCATTAACAGCTGTTAACCCCTGTGCAATGTGGTTATTCAGATATTATCCATCAGGTATGTCAAAACATCTGCATGTAATATGAATATCACACTATACAACATTTAGATCAAATCATATTAGTGGTATTACCTAATATTTATTTCTTTAAATAACTAAAAACAACTCTGACTTGGTGTGAATGGGTCTCTGTGCTCTGCATCAAGAGTGGAACCGCCTGAATTTGAACCCCAAATGAGGTCAAAACCATTAACCAAGGAATACAAACTGCAATCCTGAACCACAGAGAGCCCGTCTGCACAGGACCAGCATCGTTACGTGAGATATGGAAAGTGGTTTCAGTGGAATCTGGTGTGTGTGTGTGTGTGCGCTGTGATCCTGAGTGAGCAGCCTGAGAACTTCACAATCTGCACTGGATTTGTTATTAACATGCTCAACGCACACACACACACACACACACACACACACACGCACACACGTTGTTCCACACTTGTCCTCCTACTCCACGGCTGCTCAGTTCAGCACACACACAAAATTTCTTCTTCAGATTTGCATTTAATCAGTCGGATCAAAAAACAAACTTTCAACCAGTTTATTAATGCGACTGTGTGTGTGCGGATGAATCGTTTGCCGATAACATGAATGCAAGATACAATTTTGAGATTAAACAGTTCCAATCTGGTTCTCGGGTTCTTTTCATTCCAGTTTGTGTAATTAACTGGAATCCAGGTTAGAATAACACGAACAGCGGCCAGAGTTCTGAGGAAAGAAACACCCCGTATTATGAGGTGTTTCATCACCGTGGTGGAATCTCATGTGACAAGTATTGTACTACCGTGACTTTTTTACTTTTACTTTACGATTCAGAGGCAAACTTTTGATTTTTATTCCACTGCCCGTATTGTACAGCTGTTATTTTAATCATGTCCCTCCTGTTGATTCATCTGACCTCTTGACTGATTTGAAGTGAGGCGATGTGAGTTTAGCAGAGTTTACTTCCTGTTGAGGCAGCAGGAAGAGATAAATATGGCCACAGCTGACACAAGAGCCCTGGCTCTTCATGTAGCTTTACAAGCAGCATTATCTAGTTTCTTTAAAGGCAAATGGATAGTGGTCATTGAGGGGTTCTTCAGTGGATCCTCACCACCGTGAAAACCTTCGAGTTCTCAGACCCATCAACGATGACTCCATCCCCGGCTCTCCGCTCTGTACTAATGCATCAGCACAGAAAATAATGAAGGAACTCCCGGTCTTTCCCGTAGTCCCACCCGCAGACCAAAATGTCCAATTTGCCCAGAACACGTCCATTCGCTGAGAGGCGTTAACAGCTGTTGATTGTGATGAATCACCGATGTGTCCTCCGGCGATTACAACTTAAGGACAAACACGGTGATTCTATCCTCCGGTCACATCGAGGAGAAGAGAAATCACAAGTCAGTTGTTGGTTCAATCCGATGTTAGAATTTGGGGGCTGTAATAAACACTGAAGCGCTCGTCAGGTGTTCCGTATTCAGCAGCTTTCAGTTTGACATGTTGAATTTACGCCTCAGCGCTACGCGAGTGCATCCCTGCGGCGGGGCAAGGCCGACATACATGCTGCAACTAGCACTATGCATGCACACACGCACGCACACGCACACAGTCACAGTTCAGTAAGTGCACCTTGCTAAAGCCAAAGCCCTGTGATCCTCCTTCATGAATGTCATAACAGTTGTGATCCTTCTGGAGGCTGCTGCAGCTTGAGGGTTCTATTATTGTGCCCCCCACTTATACCAATAACGGGCGGCCAAATAATAATAACGCCGGCCCCCCAGTACAGCATCACTATCTAAATCCACAAACAAATATTCATTTCAATCAATTCCGATTAGTCGGACAGAAAAACTGGATTATCTGACGTTTATTAGACAACAAGTTAGTGCATTCCCCGTTCACTCCAATGACAGAGGTCATGTCATAACACACACACACACACTTGTTCATTTGTTTCATTTGTTGACTATGATATAAATTATTCATGTTAGTGATATATTCAATTCAATTCGTTTTATTTTGTAAAGCCCAAAATCGCAAATTACAAATTTGCCTCAGAGGGCTTTACAGTCTGTACACATACAACATCCTCTATATATTATATACTATATGTTAACACATATGGAGCGGTCTTATATTGTAGGTGGAGCTACATCCAACCTTTTATTAAAAAAAACATTTAATATAAACCTTTGGTATAACAATGCTTCTTTTTGAAGGCAAAATGTGAATCCAACAGGAACGTGTCACTCTAGCAGAAGAATACAGTAAAAAGAAGTGAAGTAGAGGTGTAGTAGTGTAATGATTTAAGTAACGAACAAGTTGTACATTAGTGCAGTACTGATAAGGTACTTCCTCCACTTGCAGTGACGCACTGCAGCCTTTCTACAGTCACATAATCACACCGTTATGTCAACTCATTTATTAACGGTCTGTTCCGGAGAATTCCCCTGCTGGTGTTTATTGTCTCGGTTGATTCCTGGGATGGGCGACCTCTGACCTTTTACTGCTGTGCTGCGCGGCCTGTATGTGTCGCAGTATTTACATCAAGCAAAAGCACACAAAACTAAAAAAAATACTCATCTAGGAAAATATGCCAAAATAGATGTTGTTGCTGTTGCACTCAATGTTGAGTGACTGATGCTTTGTTTTAACACAAACAGAACCGGTCCACAGAGAGACGGCAGACCTCTGCAGTAAATGTCTATGCCACTAACCGAACAGTTTGGTACATTAGGCTGAGAATGTTACATGAAAGCTCTGAGGAGGACGCCAGCAAGAGACGCAAGCCTTTTATTTCCATTTAACAATAAAAGACATGTGGAGTTGATACTGTTCAGCCATGAGTCATGACTACAGAGGCAGTGAGAGCCGGTGAGCAGCGTTGTTATGGGGATTTAGTTGCTTCAGCTGCACTCAGCCAACACAACTGTGTTGTTCTGTTTACGGCTTTAATGGACCACAGTTCACCAGCACCGACTGCACGTCATCGCTACTCGAGGCCGAATGTTCCTGCTCAGCAAAGCATAGAGGTCAAGCAAAGTCCCTTCAGAGGAACATTTAGTCCTCGCAGGTTCAAAGCTACTTGCAGTAAGCAGAAGGACCAGCTGACCGGGTTACCATGACACCCTGGATGCCTCCTTCCACCGAACTGAGACTGAACTTTTGATTAACCGCTCAGAGAGGCTGTGTCCTCTTTCAAGATGCCACACACACACACACACACACACACACACACACACACACACACACACACACACACACACACACACACACAGTCCAACTGTAGTCATCAAAAAACTCCTGATGAGCCCCATCCCTCTCCTTTTCTCATTAGAAGAATAATTCCACCCCAGAATTTAGGCCAAAGACCCGACCTTTGCCCCACCCTTTGTGTGATAACAATCCGTTTGTTACAACACACACAACACAAGCCGTTTCTCTCTTTTCTGTGGGCTCCAAATCAAGCAACCAGTTACCCTTTCAACCGCAAACTGCTGATCACCAACATGCTGAGAGATTGTCAGATGAATTAAAGCAAATGCAGAAAAATAATCTGTTAGGATAAAAAACAAAATAGTGAAACTACAGCCAGCAGACAGCGTTGAGCTTAGCTTAGCACAAAGACTGTAAAGAATACTTAAATCCACCGAAAACTCGCTAAGCAAAGACTGCTGACCCAAACACGAGGGAAGTGAAGCAATGATTCCCCAGACTTCCTTAGAACTAGAGGAGCGTCTTTGGGAAATATCCGGTGTGTCATCATGTTTTTACTCAATGAGCTGACTGCCTGGTTGAATTGCATTGAATGGAAGTCTCAAGATCGAATCTGCCATCAGAAAATACTGAATGATGATATTAATCAAGAGCTTCACACTGTTTTGTGCGACAGGTGAAACACATTTCCATTTCCTTCAGAAAATCAACCGTCTGAACACAGCCGGAGGAGAGCTGGAGTTACTGATTGTTTAATACTCGATACATCGCACACAAACAGCAGGGCCTCCCACATTGCAAACGCCGTGGAAGCATTGTCGCTTCGGAAGCAGAGAGGTTGGATCCTAGCGTGTGCATGAGTGGGCGGGTTGTTGATGAGAGCGATGTTACCGATAATGGAGTCAGTTACAGGCAAGAAGAACCCGACACCCGATCCTGCACTTCCCAGGAATCCAGCTCAGCACTCACATCACAGCTGCACCCAGTGTGTGTGTGTGTGTGTCTGTGTCTGGGCATGTGTATAACCCTGCTAACATCTGGCAATGCGGCTCACCATAAAAGTTTTGTTTCTCTATGATGGATTACAGCAAATGTCAGATGAATTTGAATAATACAGTGTGTGTGTGTGTGTGTGTGTGTGTGTGTGTGTGTGTGTGTGGAAGAAGATAGATTTGTCTAATAATGTTTGCACACCGTTTTTCCGAGGAAACAAAATCCATAGTTGGACAATATGCACATTGTCACTTTGATGACCCTAATGTGTGTCTAATCTCGTATTGATTAGTGGGTTTACAGAAGAAAAATCAGCCAGTTTGCAAAAGGACCGAGCAGGTTATTGATATCAAAGCGACACCGGGGAGTTTATGTCTTCAAATTAGTTGTGTTATTGCGACAGTCACATGAACCCCAAATATATTCAATCTACAGTTAGGACAGAAAAAGTGGAAACAACTACAAATTTAAAGTTAAAACCGGTTTAGTGTTTCTATCTATAAATGAAGGTGGAGGGAATCAGCCTGGGAGCTTCTATAATTAGAGGAGCCACACTGCTGAGCTGTTCAATGTTTAATGCGAGGCCTGGAGGAGTTACAGTCGCTAAAGCAAACCTCTGAGCCTACACCTCCTAACACACACACACACACACACACACACACACACACACACACACAGGGAGCAGCAGCAGAGCTGAACTGCAACAGTGGATTCAGGTTTCAGGGAGGAAAAGGCAGAACAATACGCGGAAACACGCACACAGCGCGTCTGACAACTGAGCACGTAGTTCCCTGCGGTCGTCTTCTCTCTGGACGAGGCGACGGTCAAACAACAAGACGAGAGGAGGACCTGCTGCCGACGTCGGCCCAGATCATTCCCCCTCACGTCCTTTGAGGAATGCTCGGGACGCTTCTAACTCACTAACGTGTGGCGCTTTTGTTGGGCTACGATCGTATGAGCAGTTTGGGATTTTAAAACCAGCCCTTTTAAACTACCCTGTCTGGAAGATTAAGATCCAGGCTCAGGTTAGTTTACAGAGCTGCTCATCTTAACGATTCTTCAATGATGTTTTTAATTAACAATGTAATTGGATGACTGCAGACATTTTGACTTGTCATAGACGCACGTAAAACATGACTGATGCCTCTATTCCAATTCCTTTTTTCTATGTTGAAATGTCTTCATTATTGGCCCAGAAATAGGCTTCATGAAAGATGTTACACCTCGAAAGAACATTTATTTACAATCGGTCACAGCTCTCGGCCTCCATCTGACAACAAACATAAACGAAGACTACTTGCCATTGTTCCTCGGCTTGTTCTCTTAGAAACACACCCGATGGATGCGACCACAGAGACACTGCAGATAGAAGCCCATTACTTGTTATTTACCATCGAGTAAATGTTCTCCCCACCCGGGTATCCACGCAAAACCTACATTGTGTTACACGTCTCGTTACCAAGGCAACCATACATTTGAGGAGGACGGGACATTTCCCGTTTACACCGTCACCAGAGCATCCTTCTGCTCCGAGCTCCACCCGTCTCCTCACATGTACAATTCAATGCGTTGGTTTCCTTTATTCACAGGAAAACGCAGCATGTCCTCCGCCCAGGGACAAGGGACCAGTGACTAGTAACATGGGACTAGTAACCGGGGACTAGTGACCAGGGACTAGTGACCAGGGACTAGTGACCAGGGACCTGAGACTAGTAACCAGGGACTAGTGACCAGGGACTAGGGACCAGGGAGTGGCGGAGCAGAAGGGGAGCTTTGCTGGAAAGGGAGAAGAACTTCAGCCCGTCCTGGGTGACTTGGACAACGGCCGTGCGGGCTACTGACCTGAAGACATTTTGTTTTTAGAGTTTAGGACTATTTCCCGACACGCAGCCGCTGCGGGGACACTGGTCCCCCGTGAAACCTCGCACGCGTTGGTCCTCGCCGCGAGGACAGCCCGCCTGATTGACACATACCGATAACGTGCCGTCACACCCGTGAATAATGACCGGAAGGCTGTACGGCGGCAAACGGCCACGCTCCCCTCGGAGCGGACCGCGCATGACGCTCATCGAGAGCCACGACGCGTCGGACCGGCGGCTCGTCCTCTGCCACTTACCCGCTCGGGACCGCCTCGTCGACGGGGGGAGGCCGGGGGACGATGCGACGACAAACTCGGCTCGTCTCGCTTCCTCGGTGCGTTGCTCCCGTCTCCGCAGCTTCTCTCTCTCTCTCTCTCTCTCTCTCTCTCTCTCTCTCTGACGTAGTGCAGGAAAGCCCCGGTTCGTGACGTCACCCCGTCTACCACACGGAAACCCCGCCCCGTGTCGTCACCGCCCCTCAGGAACTCGGCGATGCGATAAGGAAAACCCAAGACGCGTTTGCGGGACAGACGAGACAAAGGGAAACTTACGGGGAAGTGTTTTTGTTTTGGTGGTGAAGTCAACAAAGAGCATTGTGTTCAATCCCAGAGGGCCATTGTGTTTTATCACTGCACTCAAAAGACGGACAATAGCTCCTGGAACCTTTTTATTGTAATCTTATTGTAATCTATTCTCTTGTTCGATATCCTGTTTCTCTCCTGACAGTTCAGGAAGGTCCTTAAACTACAGGATTTAACGTTTCGAGGGCAAATCTTGTCTTTTGTTCTTCATTTTTTGAATGCTTTAGCAACAATGAGGATTATGATTTCACAAAGTGTTAGATGATACAATTTCAGATACTAAACCGTGGATGGTTTCATCAAAATACTTATTGAAAGCCAAGAGATAAAATCCTCATATTAAACAACAAAGATTGACAGATATGTATTATACAGTCACAATATTAGTTTGTATATTTGCTTTACGCATTGTATTGTATGTAATAAGTACCAACTTTAGTCTACTAGGAAATTAAATGAATAGTTATGATGCATTTAAACCCATCAGATACATCATAGGTTTTGAGAAATAAATAAAAAATACTTGATTTAACAGTGTTACGTTTGACTTTGGCTTGTATCTTAATTTGGTTTCCAGTGAGGGACTTTTGATTGCAGGAGAATTTCAAAACAAAATGTAAAGAATGAACCCCAAATTACAACTTTATCGTTCATCCGATTTATTTTGGGGTTTCTTACCTTTTCATGTCACAAAGTGTTTCATGTAAATCTAAAAATGCATTCGCTTTCGGGCCAGTTGCATTAAACATTAGCTGAGGAATGCAAGTAAGAAAAAAGCAGCCGACACACAGGTTTTGGGGTCGCTTGCAAACAAACAAGTCTTGTATGGAGCCGAAAGTTTGGATCATTTTAAGGAGAAAATCGAACCTGAATGTTTTTAGTTTTGGTCTTGAAAATGCAACATTTTCAAAATAAGTTAATTTAAAGTATTTCTGGGTTGAATATAATTTAGATTCAGTTTCTGAATTGTCAATTATTTATTTTCATTCTTCACTTATATTCTTTAGAGATTAGATTGTGGCATCAACAGAGAGGGGCGAGTAATCATGAGACTTGGCACTGTGACAACCATCAATCAACACCTTCAATGCACTATACTCACTTATTTAGCTGCATCAACCTCCCACTGATTTCATTAATCCAACCTTGATGAAACACAACCTTTAACACAGAGTTGTGGGCAAAGCACTGCACTGAGAAGGTTTAATATCACACAACCAAAACAGATTATGGTACCTTAATGCGCACACGCACACATTCATTATCTCTGCTATATTTTTTTGAAAGTTTCTTAAACGACCATCTCCCGCTGTTTTGGTGAGGTTGATAATTCATTGCAGTGTGAGCTCTAAAAGTTCAATGACTTTGCGCCTGGAGAATAAGTACAAATAATCCCTTCATAGATTAGATGACTCTTCATCAATGCAGGAGGCCGGACCACACACACATTCACCACAGTACTAACGGGCAAACACACTCATCCGGTACAACTGGTATCGGCATAATGTTGGAAGATAACCCAAGCCACAGGATTAAAGTTGTTTTAGCTGTTCAAAATATTCACAAAAAACACTCCAAGGAGTCAAACACTTGTAGATATTCAGACAAATGTTCAAAGCATTCACACAACCCAACCGGGCCGATGACATCATCAGGCAAAGGTTGGGTCTATGTGCCCAGTTAGATGCAGGTCTGGCGAAGGTTCCTTCAGTTTGAGACGTCCTGCAACAAGCTGTCAGATGACGTCAGGTCCATTAAATATGTCCAAATTCAAAAAGAAAGCTGAGAACGGTCAGATGATTATGGTTAATCACGGCCTGTGTGCGTTTACGTGTTAGTTTTTGTGTTTTGGGTTTGTATTGCTAACCATGATTGGGTGGAGCAGACGGCATCACGTGGACGCTACGGTTCACGGTGGAATGTGGTAGAAACTTCAGAAAGTCAAGTGCGATTGTTGAGCGGTTGTACCTGCAGTTTATTGTGCTTATTCTGCTATTTTTTTATCAAGTAGGATCCAAAACCGCTCGCTAAGAACCATCACACCAGCAAAAACTATCTTGCCGGCAATCACGTGAACATGGCTGTGATCACACAGCCGGTTCAGTGGAAGCCACGCCCCCTGAGCCAGGCTGGGGCTCCAAAAAACAAAAAAGCAAAAGTTGAACAAATGGGGATGATGGGATTGTAGGAAAGCATGAGATTTATTCAAAGAAGAAAACGAGCTCCACAGCAGCGCAACGTCAACCTCAACGTCCAATAAGTCTAAAAAGACTCTCATGCCCCCCCACTCCCTCCATCTGTCCCCCACCCAACAAACATCTTTTGCCAAATCCAATCCTTGGCGCCGGGCGGGATGTGGCAGCTCAGCATTCAACCAGCTGGAAGAGAAGGAGGAAGGGGGGGGGGGGGGGGTTTAAATGTCAGAGCGGTCAAGACTAGAGCGATGAACGGAAAAACGAGTCCCATCCATTTCAGAGGGAATGAATATCAGATACTTAAAAAAGTTCATTTAAGGGTAAGCAAAGCAAACGGCAAGCTTCTCTTTCAGTTTCCAATGAGCATAAAAACACAGTAAACTACGGTACCAGTGAGCACAGGACTAAATATTAAAGGGAATTTAGCATAACATCTGCCTCCCTGAACATCTGCTATTGTTCTTTCATCACCCCGAGAGCACAAACATCAGTATGCAGGGGACAGAGCAGGAGACACGCCGAGCATGCAAGACGTTTCCTCTGAACACCGACCCCAGGTGACTGCAGAGCAGGAGAACCAACAGAGGAAGGAGGAGGAGGAGGAGGAGAGGATACCAGGGTGAGTACTCATGAGCCCGATGTCACAGCAGAGATCAGAGACAGAGGTTCCACAAGGTCAGTTATAAAAGGAGGGGGGGGGGATAATCAACACATCTGTTGATACTTTAGCTTCTTTTCTTCCCCTCACAACTCGGGATTGTGATATCCGGTATATAGATTGTGACTCGGAATATTTGTATGGAGCAAAAGGTTGTAAAATAGTACTCTAAAGTCCACGTCTCTGGGACAAAGAGACCGCAAAGACACACTCCTGGGAGCAGAAGGAACAACAGCCGAGGTCCAACACGTCTCTGAGGTCCAGGTTGAGACCCAATGACCGTCAGCTGCGTTCTTTGATGAAGGACACCGAGGTGACTCCCTTCTCTTTCAAAAGATACGATAAAAAGGATGAAAGCACGTTGATCAACTTGTGAACTTAACAAGCTCTCCACAGGTTTGGAATGGACCAGGGGCTGAAACGGTCGACGCTCCCACGGACGGATGGTGACGCGCGTCTCTGCGAAATGCAGCTTCCCACAAACATTGTGTTCTCATGAAAGTCCAGAGACTCGCACGGCCGGGAGGAAAACGAGAGCAGCGTGTTGCAACCTCGTAAAACCAGTGCGGGCGTCACACACTGGACGGGCGATTCAGCTACTTTAGTCGGGTCCGTTTCAGGGCGGACTGCGTACGCATTTGACAATTAACAAGGACAATAAAAGGCAGAACTCAAGCGGCCCAAAAAAGGTAATCCGTGTAGGCATTGGGGGGGGTTACTTCATTATGCGTGTCAGAAGAGCCAGTGTGGGCCAGCAGCACCTCATTTCTAAATGTTATCACGTTTTGGCAGCTTAGCACGATCAAAGGTTCCTGGCAACAAGGACCACTGGGTGGAAGGGCAAATATCTCTGGGTTAAAGGCAAAACGATTATCAGGTCGGGCCCAGGAGGAGGTTTCTTATTCTTTGCACTGACAGAATGAGATTTTTAAAGACACTAAACACTAAAATGCAATCTAAGAAATGTGGATCGCGGGTGTGTTTTAGGTTTTACTGTGTCAAGTTCTCAATGAGGACAACATGAGACAAATTGCATCAATGGAGGGTTTCTGAATTCCCTCCATGAGGCGTCCCAAAGCCAGCAGGCCTCCCTGTCAAAAACCTTTGATCCCTCATACAATTATTACTCCCGCTTGACAATTGAACAATAGGAAAGTCACAAATGTCGGATTTTATTGGTCTAGCTTTTCTTTCAGCTAACAAGAAATAACTGCATGCTCCGTTATTCAAAGAGTCCAAAGGCTCGTTGCCATTTGGAGGAACGCCGTAAAAACCTAACAGCTTTCTTGCTTGCTGCCAGAACTCTGAGCTGAAAGGTCGAACAAATCAATGTCCGCTGCTCCTGATGCACTTCTGCATGTAAAGGGAATTAAGAGGAGGAAATGCAGACAATAGGATGAGAGGCTCAGGAAGAGAAAAGGGTAAAGTCAGTGATTAAACAAGAGCAAACGTGTCCAGCGAGGGCAAACAAAATGCTAAACGGCGAGGCATCGAATGCAGGAGCGGCGCTTGCTGTGTCTACGAGGTTCTCCTCCAGACTTCTGTGATGAAGAGCAAAACAAACAACATTCCGTCCCCTCCGTTTCTACCCCGGGGATCACGCTGGGGGGACTTTGGGGACTTGTTGACTTGCTGACGCCACACTGAGCCTCCCGCTAAGTTACATTTTGTTTGCCACTGGGACAGCTGGTCGACTCTCGCGTAATCTCCTCCCTTCAAGGGGAAAAAGAAGAGGCAGCGGTTTCTAAGTGAAGAACACTTGGTCTTTACAGGCGACGGCTCGGGCGGGGACTTCCGTGGCGGCGGAGAAGGCGGCCAGGATGGAGGCGAAGACCACGTCGGGGCTCTGGGCGGCGTTGACGGCCGTGTGCAGGCCCCGGGCCCTGTAGTAGGTGACCAGAGGGGCCGTCTGCCGGTGGTACGAGTCCAGGCGGGAGTGCAGCGTCGCCTCGTTGTCGTCGCTGCGGCGGATGAGCGGCTCGCCGGTCAGCTGGGGGGGAAGACGGGAGGGCAGGAAACGGAGAGAGAGAGAAAACAGAGCGGGATGGTGAAACCTGTCCAGGTATCGGCCGGACACGCTACCCAACATCACAATAACGCGTAATAAGTGGAGAAAAAAGGGGCTCTGGGATCTGTATTCCAAACCTGTTAGTACATTAATTAACTCTCATCTTTACAGCTTCGGTCCACAGCTGGTTGTTCCACACTTTCCTCCATGAAAGTTGAGTTTTCTTCATAATACTGTGAAAATGCTGCTTAAACTCCCACAGAGTGAACACAGAATGTGCTCCATTAATTACCTCCGTCTGCTGGGTGAAGTCAGGTGGACAAACCGCCCGCCTTGTTTAATACAAACTCTTTAAAAAAATCGAAAGCGAAACACTGCAGCAGACGCAGATCTGCTGTCCCCTGATAAAGCCTTTAGTCTCGGGGGGGGGGGGGGGGGGGGGGGCCCCCCCCCCCCTGGGGGGAATAAACCGGGGAAGCCCAAAAAATTAATCCCCCCCGGATTTTTTTGCCCGCCCCCCCCCCAAAAAAAGAAAACCTCCACCTCCCAAAGTCTAATTGTCTTCTCCGCTTCACATGTAAATACTACGGATTAAATCAAATAAAGGAGAGAAACAGCTTGATGTGTTACATGAGACAAACAATTCATACATGCAGATTGTGTCTGAATTTGTCACACAGATTTCAGGTGGGTGGCACTTGAGCCAAAAGTGGTTTCTAAGTGGGTTGACGGTGAAACTACTTACGTCATCCTTCATGGGCTCTTTGGGGGGGTTGAACTCCTCGTGATAAGAGCGGCCGCTCGGCTGATGAATTAGTCTGAGGAAACGGAGCAGAGGAGCGGACAAGGGAGGAGATGAGAGAGAGAGGTGACTCACTCGCCACCAAACTGCCCTCTTGGCGTCCCACATATCACCCGCTTCCTGAAAAGGAAGCAGACCGCTGCCTCCTCGCCCTCACGAAAGGACCCGTGCCGACACAAAGACGGCTCAGAACACACGCTGACTGAGAAGCTCTCAGTAAGACACAGATTTCTCCATCAGAGCTGAACAAGTAGAGATCACCATCGCAGGAATGATACAAGAGCATTGCCGATTGCGCACTGAGGCGCTTTGAAAGTGGCCAATGTCAGAAATAACATCTTTGTCAGTTTCAATCAGGGTTTGATTGAGGTAGCAGCGCTTTATCGAGGATGGGGACGTCTTTAAGGACGAGCTCGGCCCACCTAAAGGAGCTGCAGCCTCCCGGGGGCTCGGACTGGTGTCGGGTCTGGCAAACGAAAGCCCGGTTGGCTGATCGGCTCTTACCTGCCACAGATCCTGCGGACCAACAGAGAGTCGTCGACAGCGAACTCGATCACAGAGTCCAGATTCTCGTGTCTCTTGTCCAACAAATTGTCCAGCTGAAAGGGGACAAAATATCAATGATTAAAAACATCAGCTGGATGTTTGAAAGGTTCAATTACAAAAACGTCTTTCTGTTACCCAGTGAAAAATATAACTTCTCTAATAGTACATGACTTATTTTGGGTTACTGGGTGGGCTATTATATTTTGCTTTAATGCTTATCGGGGTTTGTCCTTTACCCAAGGAGACACCGACATGAGGACCAGTGCAACCGGGGATCAAACGCAGATCCTTTTATTGACACTGAGACCAAACAGGATGTTGCTTTACAGCCAGTCACATGCTGCAACTATTTCTCCCTGGGTGCAGAGATTTCATACAAAAACAGCGGTTCTTTAAATTCCCATTTTGATGCACTATAATAATTCTACTCCGAACGGTTTTGTTTTACGCGACGGCAGAACGAAACCCTGACCATCTGCGCTTGTTTGACAGTGCGAGGGAATCCGTCCAACAGGAAGCCCTTCCTGCAGGCCGGCGTGTCCAGGTTCTTCTCTATGAGCTCCACGACCATCTCGTCACTGACCTGCAAGTGAACCACATCATGCTGTATTGAAGAGGCCGTAAACTCAGAGATCATGCAAAGAATCAATTGTATTCCGATTGAGTCCATTAGCAGAAGCTGCTTTATGAAGAGACGTGTCACTTTGCTCCACACATGACCGAGCGCCAACCCGAACCGATGCGTTTATTTAGAGGAATCTTACGCTCGTGCTGAAGCCATTGCAGCTGAAATCCATGGGACTGAACATGAAGGGCTGGGACACGCAGAGCCCCAGAGAGGGGCCAAAAGGCCAGAGAACAACACACACAGATCGGGAGAAGCGGGAAAAGTTACCAGCTTGCCAGCGTCCATGGTCTCCTTCAGCCGCTTGCCGAGCGCCGAGCCCGAGGCCACCATGGCCCTCAGCATGTCTCCGGTGGCCAGGTGGCAAACACAGTACTCCTCTGCTAGCCGAGGGGCCTGTGGTGGGGATGGAGGGGGGCATTTCATTATTAAAAGAGCATTAATTATCGCCACCACCCGAGACGGACAGAAAAAATGGTTTTGGCGGTAAAGTCACAAAAGCGGTTCCTGGATTTTGACTGCCAGACTAAAAGGTCTCCATGAGCAGAGAGCCTTAGTTCTGCAGGATAAACCCGCTCTCTGGTATGTTCAGTTATCGAGGAACACCTCCTTCCTCTGGGTCACTTCGGGGTGATGGAGATGAGGAGGCTGTAACATATGAAGTCTCTATGGACCTGATCTGAGTTTCACAATGATATTTGTGTTGTTAGATCATTCTTCATATATTAATGTCAGCGAATGCTTGGACGGCTGCACACTGCATTGCTCAGCTCCACAGTACACAGCGGGACACCCACATCTCTTAGAAGATGGGCTGATGTTGCTCCTGATGCGCTGGTTGACAACACATCCCGCTGAACCGCCACCGGAGCACTTATTATTACTCCTATTGCTGTTAATCTGCCACCGCGAATGTCATTCGGTGACTCTCAGTGGATCCATGACACCATTTGGTATTAATTATGAAAACGTGCGGAATCATTAAAAAGCGCATGTCTACAGATGAACAAGCACAGTGTCTGTGAATCACACTTCATCAGCTCAGGGTTGACACACATTCACAGCACATTCCTTAACTTTAAGTCAAAGCACTTTGTGCACTGAGATTTCTTGTATTAAGTCGACTAGTTAGTGAATAAACTAGGGTAACATTACAGAGATAATACAGATCTACAGAGTAAACTGTTCACACTGGTCGTGCTATAAATACCGTGACATGTTCATGTCACACTGTTCCTTCATAATGATCATATGATATTCTTCTTATTCTCTAACTACATGGAAACATCGCGTTAGGCTTTGTTCACCGGCGATGAGCGTTATAAACTGGCTGAATTAAGAGATTAATTCTAGAGAACTTTAAGAGGAACTTTTACTTTTCAAGTGTTAAAACGGAACATTAGGTGGTAACGTTACAATAAAAAAACTATAATACAGCATTTGACAAAAGCTAACGTTTCGCAGTGTTTTAAAGTAACTCATTCCAGACTAAACTGTGTGAACATCATTAGTGGATGTGATGCTAATGAGGCGGTTGTAATAGTTGACTTCACCCTGAATCTGACAAACGGAGCCGGGGGGCTAAAGCCGTCTGGAGGGTTAGCACCGGCTAGCACTGAAACACTGCGGCCATGCGCTAACGGCTAACAGGCTAACAGCTAACAGGCTAACAGGCTAACAGGCTAGCTGCTAGCTCCAACATCTCCCTCACCTGAGTCCCCTTTCCGGCTCCGGGTGGTCCGAGCAGGATGGCCCGGATCCCCTCCTGCACGTCGGCTATCGCCTCCTTGAGTTGCGCGCTGGGCGCCATGTCTACAGCAGCAGACCACCGGGGCAGAAACTTTAGTGAAGTCCGTCCGTTTCGTCCTGATGACACTTCGGCCAAGTTCAGACAGGAAAGGAATCGCCTCCGCCTCTTTTCTGCTAGAAGGGTGAAAACCCTCCTCTACGTCTATTTTACTGTAGAATACGGCGTCTCGATTGGCCAACCGGCTGCTCTGTCACAAATCCTGCACGTTGATTGGATGGAATTTGGCTGACGCGTCGTTGCGTCAGATCCGAAATTCTGCTTCATTTCGGAATGTTTTTTTTGTTTTGTTTTTTTAATACTTGTTCTTACATTTTGGTACTTCCATGGCACTGGATGGTGAAATAAAGAACTAGAAAGTAATTCTGTTCTTTTCAAGACATTAATGAAATTATGTATTCTCTATTATAGCTCTATAAAAGGATATAGTTGACAGTTCTGTAAAAGTCTTTCTTCTCAGTTGGAATTTTTATTCTTCATGTTGGAAATAGTAATATAACTTCGATTGCCTCTTAATAGCTTTTCTACAAACAAAACATTGATAATATATTCTATTGTGCATTCATGGTGTTCATTTCCCCCTGCAAAGACATTTTAGTAGCCTTACCAACTATATACATTGTTGTGTTTCATATTAGAATGTGTTTCTGATGGGGCGGCACGGTGGTATCATGGTTAGCACTGTCGCCTCACAGCAAGAAGGTCCTGGGTTTGACTTTGCCCAGTGGCCTTTCTGTGTGGAGTCTGCATGTTCTCCCCGTGTCTGCGTGGGTTCTCTCTGGGTTCTCCGGCTTCCTCCCACAGTCCAAAGACATCTGGGGATCAGGTTGATTAGTAACTCTAAATTGCCCGTATGTGTGTGAATGGTTGAATGTTTCTATGTAGCCTTGCGATTGGCAACCTGTCCAAGGTGAACCCCGTCTACTAGGGGATGTTTTGTGCTCTGATGAGGGACGGGCAAAGTGGTGGCTTGTCCCTCTTAATCCTGGAAAGAACGTTTTTAATTAGTAGGAAAAGAAGATGATCATGCCTAAGACTAATCTTATGTGCAACACAATGCAATACACTAAATAAATTATTTGATTAAATGATAACGTTTTCTTCCTTTGAAATACAGCATCCTCACGTAACTGTGCAACACCCGATGTTTGTACTTCCAAACAAATCTCGGAGGTAAACTGTATCGGCAAAATCATTTTCAAGATGTGGCACATTTTGGATTCAAACTTCTCATAATATTCAGTTGTGTTTCTGTTTTGACTCAACTGGGCATATAATGCTGTTTAATATCCCAGATTTTGATCTCATCCAAACCACATTTTATCAGACAGGTGTATTTTTGAAGGAGACCTCCGTGACTTGTTCCTGAACTCGTCCCTGCCATGATTCTTGCAGGTGTTCCAAGGCTGCACGCACGTTATTTTTTCTCCTGTCGAGGAATTCCTGAAGCAAAGAAAACTGAACCATCCTGACGACTTGTTCTGAATCAGACCGAGTGGTCGTTGCCAGACGGCTCACCACTTGACCCGAAGTCCCACTGCTGTAAAAACAACTGCTGTCAATGTCCAATATACAAGCTACGAGTTCTGTTGAACCAGGCTTCTCTGTTCCCAACGTTCCAGTCTACCGGTTACTGCCTACTTTTAAACTTTTTGGGGTTGTTAAACTTAAAATATCGAAAAATAAAAAAGAAAGTAGCTGAGATTAAGGGGACAGTAAGTATTCCTCTTTGGTTTGTATAAATATGTCCAAATGAAACACGGCTCTACAAAAAAAAAGGAAAAAAATGTCCAAATTCATCCTGAAGATGTGTCCCCTGACGCCTGTCAGTCCACTGCTCCTCCACCCCCCCTGCAGACGGCCATGATTCGTACGGGCATGGCCTCCATGGTGCTGGCGTCCAGAGGGGTGGAGGAGACTGACGTTGAAGACCAGGAGCTGCTGTAAACAGATGTGCAGTAAAAATGGATCCACAGCTGTTCAGGACGTTTGACTGTAAGACAAGTACAACAACGCACAGGCCCAGTAGTCCAAAACTAAGACAGAGAACTTTATTACTCCTTCGATCTTGACAAAGGAAGCACAGAATATATGTACTCCTTACATTCTTACCTTTCACAATAAAAGCATATACACTGTACCTGCTTACCAGACGGAACTCAAATTCCCTCAATAGAACTAAATGAACAAGCTCACAGTCCTCTGCCTCCGCAAATCAAATCAATTCAATCCTCTTTTATTGAAAGTGTGTGCAGTGTAACATTCTACAGTCTATATTCAGGTTATCTACTTTCTTAAGTTTGCACGCTGGATCCCACTGACACAGGGAATAGTTTGCTGCATGTTAATATTACTTATAAAAAAAGGAATACAGTTATTTTGCTATATTGTACATCACACATATCAATGTGTGTGTATATTACACATAATACTCCAATCCAAATACGTTAGTAAGGGCTTTACCTATTTAACGTCATTCTCTTCAGGTGATGCGCTCTTACTTTCTGGAAAGATATGGAAAGACAGGTGTCAAATAACCAGTTTCACCAGTGTGACAGCAAGTAAGCCACATTTTGGGTGCGTTAACTTATAACTATTTACCACCAGCAAAATACCTCCTCCAATTCCATCCATTTTTCTCATTCAATTCAATGAGAAAGTGTCCAAACTTTCGAATGGTATTACAGGAACTGTAAAAATGTACCTAAGCAACCATGAAAAGGCAATGGGAGATACAGAGGAGATTAGTAAGAACAGCGTGTTACCTGGAACAGTAGAAGACGGGGTGTTGTGTACCAGCATGCATCTGTTGCTACAGAAGAAGTCCAACATGCCCTCATTGTTTTTATTTTCAACCATGTCTGACAGCTGATGTGGCGTCTGGCACATGAGGCACAGATGAAGCGATTTTCTGTGAAGATATAAAAAACAGAGCAACAAAGTGAGGACGTGCAGGAGCAGAAGTTAAAGTTAATAGCGACTCTTAAATGCTTCGACATCACAGGCAGCCACACATTGTTGATTTTGTAAAAAACATGGCACGATTTTTAAAAATAATTTAATGAGTATCATTGTTCTGCCAAGCAATGTAATTCCTCGGCAACATTTAGCAGAATGGTTTCCAAGCAACACAGAAACAAAGAATGCGCAGATTGTTATTTTCTCTATTATATGAATTAGCATTCAGTCCTGTTAGCACTCGTTGTTTGGTGGTGCAGCTGCATTCTAACTGTGGCGGGAGCAATGACGTCTGATACGCATTCATGTTGCTACAAATATAGGACAGTATATATCCTACAATATAGGAGTTTTGAAGAATTGTCTTAATTTGTCTATTGAGAATATATACATTTTTGTACAATAGTAGTAACACATGTAGATAAGTCATGGTTTGCAATTATTGAGAAAAGCCTTTATTGAAGCTCAACTATTGAGAAATGAAGTTTTTCGAACATATATAAGCACATATACACATATTAATTTGGCTAATTCTCTTGGTTGGTATAGTAAAATGAGTTCATTCTTGGCAGGGGAGCAGTCGGTGTCCTGAACACATATACATCCGTCATTGTGTGGAAGAAAATTGCTTTTGTAGGACCTCAACTTTTGAGAAATGAAAAATATCATAATTGGTACTGTAAAAATGTCAGATTTTGAGTATGGGCATTTACAGGCAATGATGTTTGTTAAACACTGGTACAAATATAACGTTAATTAACAAAACAAGACCGGCTGTGTATCTTTGAGAGACTTCATGTGGAAATGAACCGAAATTGTTGTTTTGAAAGTATTACTAAACAAAAGGAAAACTCGCTACCTGGCTTTATTGACGGTTATATCTGTTTGTCTTTCACGTGAACCATTTAGGTAAGGATAACGTTGTGTGTACTTGTTATTTACTTCCTAATGTGCACATGCCTTCCTAGCATGCTAACACTAACTAGCCAGTGAAGGGGAGTGAACTCATAACTTAAGTGGTTTTACAACTTTTACAAATGCTTTGTACTCAACCACATGTAGTTAAAAAAAGTTATTTAAACGCGTTTACATTCGCTTCAACGACCCAAAACAGAAGCAAGAGTGTGAAACTCTTCATGGTTCTGCGTGTGTTGCAGAGCGATTCACCGCCAGAACAACAGGCGGAGTGACGTGTTTTGTTGAAGACGACCTGGAGAGTCACGTCTATTTGTTTGTTTGTTTATTAATCATAGACTTTATTGCCCCGTGCATCCACACTGCTGCTTTTCATCAAGGACACATTTGTCCCGTATTTTCCTCCACAACTTTGTTCCTCTCGACCGGCAAACCGCTTCTACAACCCGCCAATGACGGCTCGTATAAGCGCTCATATTTACGCATTTCTTCCGACAAAAGTTCTTAAATCTGCTCCGTTCTCTCGTAAACATTCTTCGTTTTAATAATGGCGCTATCGGGCTGTGAAAGCGGAGACGTGAGACTCCGTAAAGGACGCAGTTAGCGGACCAATCGCAGCCTGGTGCGCTGCGGGACGCTCGCCTAGAAACACGTCTGTACACGCGCGAGGACGCGAGGAGGCGTGAAAAGCGACGCGAGGGGGTCGCGAGGGCGCCTCGCGTCTGCGTCGCTCTGAAAACGCAGAAGCATAAACTAGGCTTTATGCGGAAAGATTTATCGAGGCTTCATTCAATAAGTCACACCCGCTTCCTGTTCTCATAAAACAACTCCCTCTTGAATTATTTTTATTCAAAAACAATTTACAGTAGAAAATGCTGAGGACATTGGCAGCCACAGTAGGGCCTGTAGACATTTTTTTATACACCAGGTTATGCAAAGTTGATGAAACAACACTCAACTTTTTGTGTTTATGTCAGTGTCTTTAACAACATTTGTGGAGAGTTCGCCCAGATATCAATGAAAGTATGTCACTAATTTATTCAAATCATGTGAAAACATTTTCACACGCCCCCTTTTCATTGGATCAAATGTGATTTTCTGTGAATTCCAAGTATTTCAATTTCCGAGTTTGTTCAGGGTATAAAATACTGAAAAATACAGGATCTAGATATAAGCATAAGTGACACACTGTGATGGTGTAGATGTATTGTTAAAACGTCCACCGATACTGCATGTTTGTCACTGACTTGAATAATTAGATTTACATCACACAAAGCAGTTTTCAGTGTGCTTGTATGCAACAACAACAAAAAAATATCAAACTGACAGAATAACATAAATGAAGGAAAACATTATCCATGAGACACTTGTTCCCCAGATACAACACAAAAAGGACAGACGTGATTGCCGTAGGACTTTTAAATTGTTATGTCTATCAGATATTTACTCCATTGTCCATTTCTCGGGCCACGTTTAAGTTTCCATCTACAAACATTGACACAACAGGCTCCTATGCCAATAAAAAGGGAACGTCTGCTCTACATCACTCTGAATCCCCTTCTTCCTCCTCGTCGGTTGGTATGAACGGTGAATCCTCAGACGTCCTCGGCTCCGTCCCTTCAGCTTTCCTCTTCCCAAGATGGAGCTCTCTGACGGTGAGGATGCGGACGAGCATGCCCTCCATGGTGGTGTCGTTCAGAGGGGTGGAGGAGAACCACAGGGGGCTGTTGGGGACGCAGCAGCGCTCCGGGTGGAGGTAAAACAGGTTGGTGCGCTGCTTGACCGACTCCGAGCTGCAGGGAAGGCAGAGTGAACAATTTGCAGCATTAAGTTGGACTTCAGTGTTTGATCGAAACATAGTAAATTACCTATTAGTATGAACTACTATTAAAAGATTACAATTATTTCTCAAAAATGAATAGAATAGCCTTTTGGTGTCAGCCTTGGATAAAGTTTAATTTCTCAACCTATTAAAGGGTCATTTTCTTGAGTCGGTCTTAAAACAGCAGTTTTTTTGGATCACATTTACTCGTTCAGTGTGCCTCTATACTCACCACTTGGAGAGGTAAAACTCGTAGAGTCTCACTGGACAGCGGAGAGGGTTCTCCGTGTTCTCCATCATCTCCAGAATGTCCTCTTTACCTTCCTCCTTACGCTTCTTCACAGGAACCTCTGGATCTGAGGACGTCACAAACCCATTTACACCATTTCTGATAGGGAACCATTAAAAAAAAAAAAAACACAATTTATCTCAGAACCGTCTGGCGACTGTGGGTGAGTGGGGAGCCCGGTCGTCCTCCAATCAGAGGGTTGTCGGTTCGATCCCAGGCCCGGCTAACCCGCATGTCGATGTGTCCTTGGGCAAGACACTTAACCCAACATGGCTCCTGTCTGATGCAGCGTAAGGAGGAGCTGCACGGCTCAACAATGGCCTGTTACACCACCGACCTAAACACGTGCCGTTACTCAGCCGCATGGGTACCTTTCTCTGGTTCGTTTGCGGGTATCGGCGGGTAGAAGCGCAGGAAGGTGGTCTTGGTGTTGTTCGGATTGGTCTTGGTGCAGCGCATGACGTGGGCGAAGGACAGCTGGCGGTGCTGCTCCGCCTTGGTGAAGCCAAAGTATTTGCAGCAGAAGAAGAGCAGAGTGTTGAGGAGGACGATGGGAGAGTACGCCCCCAGCTGTTTACAGTCCCACAGAAACTCCTCCTCCACCCGGGAGTGGATGTAACCTGCAGGGGACGGGGGAGCGGAACTCAGCAAACCGAAGACAAGCGGATTGATTGGCAGCATAAGATGGCAGATGCAGGACTCACCACTTGCTGTGACCGAGGGTTTGAAATCTCTTAGCATGTCATTAATCTCAGTGGAGAACTTGTTGTAGAAGCGATCCATGAATATGTTCTCCACACGACCGTTCTCAAACAGGTACTGCACAGACGAAAAGGTCACAAATGCAATGAGAACAACGAGGGTCATTTATGTCGCTTTAGTATACAAGTTACTGCTCATTCCTGCTTTACGTTGAAAGTTTCCGCCGGTAAACTTGCCCTCCCCCATACGGGAAAAACTCTACAATGTGTTAGCGGCGAAAGTGTACATATGTTCACAAAACATTGTTCCTTCCTGTTGCGCGCGTTGAGGGTCTGCGTGTTCTAAAGGTCTTGCCTGCTGAATGCCGAGGCAGAGGTAGAACAGGCTGTCTGGAGAATACGGCTCTCCGTTGGGCCGTTTCACCTCCGCGATGAAGCAGCAGAGGCCGTAGCTCAGCTCGGCGGTGGTGCAGCGAAGAACATCCTCCTTCAGCTCTATGGGCCGTGCTGAAATCAAGACACGGGTCCAATTTAGAGTCCAACATATAATATAAGCACATGATGTGAAGATCGGCTACAGTGGGTGGGTATACTCTGCATCCAGACTCACAACCGAAGCGCGGCTTCTCCAAGTCGGGTTGAGTTTGCCTCCACTGGATCCATCGCTTCCAGGCGTCGACTCCATATTGACTCTTCAGTTTCGGGATGTCTACAGCGACGGCCTTGTTGGAGGCGCCTTTTTGGGTGGACGATTCAGCTGCCTTCAGCGACCGCTGGGACTTACGACCCTTTGGCGGCGCACAGAGAGAGAGAGAGAGAGAGAGAGAGAGAGAGGATTACATCATGGATATGGTCATGGTGAGAGAACCAGACACATGGAAGGTATTCGCACGATCCTAACTGCAAACGAATTGTATAGCAAGTAGAATCCAACGTAGTCCTGAATGCACAGGCGGCATCTTAACTCATTCCACAGACACTTACCCTTTTTTCTCGGGCTTTACGGTGAGCTTGTCGTCGTCGCGGGGCGGCAGGCGGCGGGCTCGGGGATCGCTGGGACTGTTCTCTCAGCCGGGCCATCCGCTCCAGAGTTTCTGTCAATTTCATCACGTGAAATATTAAACCGGTGTCTGATGTGTCCAACAAGAGTCCACAGCATTTCTTTATCCCGACCACGCTTCAACCGGACCCCTTCTACCGCCGGTCGAGGACGAGAGACGGGGTCAAGTGATCGTCGTGTCACATCTGAACATCTCCTCACCGACAGCGAAGTCAGCTTCGACGTCCATGGGAGTCGGCGCTGGAGCCACGGGTTCGGAGGAAGGCGGATTGGTCGCTACGGTGGGAATGTCCAGAACGGCGTGGAGCTTTTCCAGACCGCACGGTCGCCCGGGAGACCGGAGACCCGCTTCGGAGGTGCCGTCCTCCCAGTTGTTGAGGAAACTGGCCAATTCCTCCGTGTCCAAGTCGTCACAGAAGTTACTGGCTTGGTCTGTCAAGGAAGAGACGGGAGGAGCTTGACATCCACATCCAGTGTCGTAGGAAAACTCGTGGGGAATAATTAGCAGCAACAAAGGGAGTCAGAGGCAGGAGAATATAGACATGAACCTGCAGGCAGTGGCGTTTTCTTGCAGAGGCCAAGGGAAGCCAGGCTTCCTCACTTTGTTCAGAATATAACTTATGTCATCATCATTAATCACATAAGTGATTTAATAAAAAAGCGTTTTAACGGTTTGCGTGATCCCTCTGTCGTCTCCTCCTCTCCTCCTTCTCTCTTCATTCATTATTGAGCGTTTCGTGACGCGTGAAACAGCTCCCCTGTAAATGTTACGTGGTGAATGAGCGTTGAGAACATGGCACTGCGCTGTGTGTCAGAAAAGTTGCAGTCGTGTCGGTGAGGAAGCCCAGCGGAGTTGGCTTCCCTTGATGAAAAAAAAATCAAATCACAGTACGTCATCAACGTCATTGAGTGAAATAACATAATAATAATAATAACGTTTTGTGTTGATAGCTTGGTAAAGCTAGAGAAAGTATTCACAGCAATGATGGAGGGTGGAGATTTGGAGTATTTAGTCTAAAATCATTTTACTAAACTGCCTTTACAGCAACAACTCCGAAACAAATTAGACGGCAGGCCGACACCAAAACTGGCGCTCTGTACTGAGAGGAAGAAAAGTTCCCAGACTTTCAATGAGGAGAATTAACGTTACGTCCTCACATAAGCGTAAGTGAGATGTGGGGGGGGCCGCGGGGGGAGAGAGCGCGTCGGTGCTCAAAGTGTCGGTTACCGTATATTCAAGGCTCTCTGCCAAACACGCCAAAGCTCGTCTACGACGCGAGATGCTGAGCGGCGCTCAAGCGCGTGAGATATGGAGCTGCTTTCAGGGCGCGTCGGAGAAACAAAGCCGTCGTTCTCGCCGAGCGATTAAAGAGCGAGAGACGGCGTCCTTTTCTCTACAGTAGCTGAACCATCTTAACCGGGAAAATAAGTGATTCTAAAAGGAGCCGAAGATTTAAGGCGTGGATGACGAGGGGGGCGGCGGGAGCGGACGCACCGCGCCGCATCGATCGGACCCTGAACGCACCGTCTCCACCTCCCCACCCCCCCCCATCCACCCGGCCCGACGCCAAACGTTTGACTGCAGTATCTGATGCGCCTTATAATCCGGTGCGCCGTATAGTGCGGAAAATACGGTAGATAACAAGAGTGTGTAAGTCCTGATAAAATGATGCTGGGCGCTGTAATAATTCACCCGACTACATGAAATAGCAACATACGATTTTCTGCCCCCACCCCCGTAAAACATACAGCTTAGAGGTTGTGTCTCACTTGGCTTAGTCGGAAATTTTCCCCACGCCGCTGCCTGCAGGACAAATGTATTTCAGGCCGTGCGCCACAATTAACCGCAGCATAATGACGTGTCTTTTTTAAATTTATAGTCCAGGGAGGGAAACAGTTAGTGGTCCATCGACTAGTTCAGTGGTTCCCAAACTGGGGGTCACGTCACTTCACTTCATCGCCAACCCTAAAAAAATCACGGCTCGCAGAGCGGCTGAGGTTGTACGTCGCGTGGGGGTTAGGGTTTAAAATATTCTCAGACAGAAAAGGTTTGGGAACCACTGGACTAATGTCACCAATTTAGTGTAAGTGAAAGAGTGTGAGGTTTAATAGATTTACGATCAAATATTATTTTCCATTGACTCTCATCTGCAACCACAGATGTGTGAAGTGTGATGAATTAGTCCATCTACATGACCTCCCCACAATGCTGTCACTCTCAGAGTAGACACGGTAAGGAGAACGTTTCAGACAGGCTGTTGTGGTGCACATTGCTACTGAAGTGTGACTCTTTCCTCCTTCATACATACAAACATACACACACCGCCCAAAGAACTGTTGGGCTCACCATCTGAAGCCGCTGCTTCTTGTCGCTCTCCCTCCTTCTCCATTCCTTTCTCCTTTGGTCCCTCCTTGTCATTCTTCTCATGCTCTTCTGCGACCATCTCGGCCATGAGGATGAGTTCAGCCTCAAAGGGGTCCGACGGGATCTTTTGCTTGATCTCCTGGATGGTTTCCATGATGCGCTCGGCGCTGTCCGTGCTCACAGGAAGGAACATGGGTACCGGCACCTGCGGTAGTCAGAGTAAAGATGAGATCCGGTACCCAAACACCTAAACAAGAGGTGGCCGTAGTTTGTGACATACCGGCAATGGCAGGCCCAGAGATTTGGGTGTATACTGGCTGTACATGTTCATGGGTACAGGGACATACACCGGCACTGGTACAGGAACCACCATGATTTGAGGGTAAACGTCCTCTACAGAGAACGGCAGAAATCGTTAAAAAAGCTCTAAGTAGTGAAAATTCTTACTATAACATCAGATATATAAACATAGAATTCTAGACAGCGCATTCACAAGTTGCTCACATCAGTGACTGAAAGATATAACTGTGGACTAAAATCAAATTGCGCGATATTTCCGAGCGAAAAATGGGAAACGTTGTTCCCATGGAAACGCCGTTGTTTGGGTACTTACCCGTCTGTGCTTCGACGTCGGCGGTCTGCGTTTTACAGGTGACTCCTTTGTTCTGCACCAGCGGTCTGCAGAGCACGGCCTTGTTCTTCAGGATCTTTGGAAGATGGACACTCACGGCATCTGTCTGAATACCGATCTGAAGAGGAGTCAAAAGGACACATGTAGTGATTTCAGAATAAACTATCTAGGCATGCAACAGCTGCATCAAATACTGATTGTGAATCTGAGGCTCATCATATACTTTGGCAGATTTAATAATCTGAAATATTCCTTTTGTTTCTCGTGGTCTGAGAGTCCTTCAGGTGCCTTTTGGCAAACTCCAGGCTTGCTTCCTTCTTCCATTTACAGATGATGGAGGCCACTGAGCTCATTGGGACCTTCAATGATGCAGAAATGTTTCTGAACCTTTCCCCAGATTGGAGCCCTGACACCATCCTGTCTCAGAGGTCTAAAGCAAGAATTCTTTGGACTTCATGGCTTTGTTTTTGTGCTCTTACTTGCACCTTACATACTGTTGTGAGGCTTTCCAAATCATGTCCAAATCAACTGAAATGAAGACAGGTTGACTCCAAACAAGTTGTAGAAACATCACTGGGATTTTCGGTTTACACATGTATCACACAACAACTTACATGTGCAGAGTTCTGTGATTGAAAGACTGTGCCTGTGAACACAATGACAGAGTATGAGGCCTTCACAGTCAACACTGCCAACTTTTTCTTCTCTCCTGTATGTTCGACATATATAACCGGAATTACCTGCGTTTGTGTCTTGCTGCTGGGCGTCTCTCTCGGAAGCGCTTGATTTCTGTGTCTGAGGACCAGCAAGTGAGATGACATTGGCAATGACAGGCGTGGTCTCCTCAGGACCTGCAGACCCAAGAAAACACCAGGAAGCACGAGCGGAGTCAGTGGGGGGCTGACAAAATGCATCAAATTCAAAATAAATGCAATAGGCCCCTAGTATTTTTATTTATAACAGACTATCAAACTGGCATTTAAACAGGGTTTAACATTCTGAAGAAAAAAAAACAAACGTATTTGGTTGTTGAGATCTTGACTGAAGTTGCTTAAACGATGTTAATCTAACAGTGACGTCAAAAGGAGAACCGATATCAATACATTATGGTTAAGAAATCAAATACTGAAAAATTAAACTTGAAATTTCAACCATAACCACACAAACCCATGACAACACGGCCCTGCGTAGCCACTGTGTCGCAGCAGAAGCGTAGCAGGCAACTCAGATTGCAGAAGTGTTTGACTCCCCCCATCAGGGGAAGACTCTGCTTCAGCTTCCCTTTGAGGCCGCACGTGTCACACTTTGCAACCTGAGAGGTAAGAAAACAACAAATAGATTTTTTTTTTGTGTGTGTGCGAGTGTGATTTGAATCAGCGCACCGAGGCTTGCTTACATGGCAGAAGAGCATGGTGTATTTGGACCGGCACTCATCGGAGCAGAACTCCTCCGTGGAGCCTCCGTACTGGGCCGTCACCAGCTTCTTGGACATGCCGTGGCAGTAGATGCAGGAGAGACAGTGTTTCCCCCACTTTTTAGACATCTCGTGTCTGAAGAGGAGCTTGCAGCCTGGCAGGAAGGCGCGAGTGTGCAGTTTAATAAGGTTGCGTTGACAACTAGACGCTGTGTGTGCACCATTGTCCTTTCCGTCTCCTCACCGTCGCTGCAGAAGAAGCAGTCTCGGTTGTTAACCCTCTTGGCGTCGCCGGTCATCTTTTCGATCTTACAGTATTCACACAAGCTCGTCACAAAGTTGTCTTTCTTGTACTCGTGAGCGCAGCTGCCGCCGCAGAAGAACACCAACTTGTCCTTCACAAACAGGAGAGACAGGTACAAACATGAAGACTGTGTCACGATGGAACACGATGATTAGAAACAATCACTGCATATCCAGTATTAAACCCCCCCCCCTAGTTTTGTACTAGTTTCAACATGGGGTCGTTGTGGCGCAGGGGGGTAGAGAGGGTGCGCTGGGAACCGCAAGGTTGGTGGTTCGAGTCCCGGCTGCCCCATGTCTCAAGTCGAAGTGTCCCTGAGCAAGACACCTTGCTCCCCGGGCAAAATGTAAAAAAAGCCCTGGGTTTAAAGTGTAATGTAAGTCGCTTTGGATAAAAGCGTCAGCTCAATGACCTGTAATGTAATGTAATAATGTAATGTAACATTTCTCTAGTCAGACGCTGAAAGCCTGTCTCAAACTCTAAAGAGGTTGGAGGACTGTGAAGACATCAGGGACTACGGGAAGACAAGCGTATGTGACCCTTTACTTCCCCGCTGTGTGGAACATTCTCTCTCTCACTCTCACACGTTACCTTGATCTGGAGGAGTTCGGGTTTAAAAGATATGTTGTGGTCACACTGGGAGCAGTTCAGTTTCAGCGGTCCTTTGGGGACGTCTTGCGGGGTTTGAATGGGAGGGCCGGTCTGGACTTGGGTGGAGCCGACTGGCAGCTTGGTAAAAACGTTCACCTGTTTCTGGGACTTTTTGAACTTTTCCTATGGAACAAAAAGGAAAAAAAAAAAAAAAAAAACTCAATGTCTCGAGTAAAAACCACTGCCAACCTGTTAGGGTTTCTAGTGCGACTCAGACATGCGTGTTCTAGACCGACTGTGTTCTCATGTGGATTGACAACATGGTTGTCAACTATTTGTTGTATAGAAATACCTTAAACCTTTCCAGTGAGTGATCCTCGTTACCTGAAAAGCCATGACGCAGGGTAAAGTGCAGAAGTTCCTGATGGAGGTGTCGGACATGGCCAGGTGGTAAGCTGGGACCGAGATTTTCTCACAGCTATCACAATTCAACAGAGCACCTGCAGAAATGAAGGAAAGGGTTTTCATACACTTAAGTAAAGAAATAGGAAAAACTAGGGCCGTCAACATGAATTAATCTATGCGATTAATGTGGCAGAGATTAATGCAGCAAAATATTTGCAGAGGACCACCGTGTCCCTAAAAGACGGTGGTTTGAAAACGTCCTGCTGAATGTGGGGAGATTGTTGCCACTTCAAACACAGCCGTTAAATGATGGAGGGTTGAGAGCAAAGTGCAGGAGGACAGCAGGAAGAGTCACTAGTTCAACATGTTCCACCCGGTGGAATTCTGCCTCCAAGATGATCAAATGTGTGTAGTTGTGTGTTTAAAATAACACACAATAACAAGTGTCTAAAATACACGCTTTCTAAAGCGATTACTCGTTATTTTTAAGATTTAGTCTTTAGAAGAAAAACAAACATTCATTAAAAACAACACTAACAAAACTCATAAATTGCCAATAATGAATTTGAAGATATGAGATTAATTACTGTATTTTCCGCACTATAAGGCGCACTTAAAAGCCTTTAATTTTCTCAAAAAACGACAGTGCGCCTTATAATCTCGGTCTGCGGCGGCGAGATGCTGAGCGGCGCTCAAGCGCGTGAGATATGGAGCTGCTTTCAGGGCGCGTCGGGAGAAACAAAGCGGTCGTTCTTGCCGAGCACTTCATGAGATTAAAGCGCGAGAGACGGCGTCCTTTTCTTTCTTTTCTAATCCGGTGCGCCCTATATATGAAAAATGTTCTAAAATAGGTAATTGACTGAAGGTGCGCCTTATAATCCGGTGCGCCGTATAGTGCGGAAAATACGGTAGGTTTTTAATCTATTGACAGCCATGGAAAAAACACATTGCGACAGTGTGAAGTAACGAAGGCCAACGTCAGTCATGGAAGCCACCTGTACCTGATGCACTGACAGTCTGGACCTTGAATGCCATCACACAGCTGCTGCTACAGAAAAGGTTCACGGAGTCATCGTCGTTCTTGTTGTCAACCATTTCTGCCAGCAACCGGGTGGAGCGACACATCGTACAGGGCTTGGTTATCTTCGTATTCTGTTAAGAGATAAACAAAAAATACAGAACCTGCAGTTTCTATTTTAATAATCGCCCACGTCGTGTTGATTCAACATTTCATCTCTTGTCTGCATGAACACAACTGCAGCATATAAAGCAACTCGTTGGTGTCATCCGACGGCAAATGACTGCTCGCTAAGTTCCGCCCCTTTAACGCAGACCGGCCAATCCTAGCGTGCATCAGCCAGCTCACAAGGGGGTCCGTCATCACGTTTGTGTGAACGAAATCTAAAATGAGTTCATACTTAAGTCATCTTCACAAGAACGGAAAAACAAGTAAGACCCCCGCCGGTTGTGTAATAAAAAAGATGACTATGGAGCTTCAGATGTCTGGAAGATGCAGACTATATGGAGTTCTGCAACAATCTCCAGTTTCCAGTTTCCCAGCATAGTCGACGCTATATGGAGTGCGTGTCATCAGCTCTCGTACCGCTTTGTATCTGGCCAGACACTCTGCATTGCACAGAGTTTTGTTGCAGTCCTCCATCTTGAGCATGAGCGGCCTGCTGTGGCAGTAGGAGCCACAGTTGGCACAGCCGGCCATGGACAGCTTGTTCACCACGCGGAAGCGGTTGAAGCAGGTGTCGCTGCAGATCTTGTGGATGGAACCGCTCAGGATCACCTCGTGTTTACTCTGCAGGGAGGGATGACATAACAACCGCGGTGTGTTATTTCAGAGCGTTGCACTTTTCACGAACAAAGTGTTGCTCAGAGGGGCAGCGAGGGGGAAAAGGTTGCGTGTACTTCTGTTCTGCTTAATACTTTATATACTGTCATTTGACAATGCAGGACTAAAAGCGTTTTAGATGTCACATAATTAGACGAGATTTGGGTGATCAACTAATTGAGTAATTCTCCAGACATCACACATCCCTGTCTCGTGTGAGACTGTTTCATATCATTGTAAGCAGTTATTGGTCGACAAAACCAAAAGGTTGAAGGTGTACGCTTACAAATTACAATTTCAAATCAATATATTGCAACATTTTAGAGAAAAAGAAGAATTAATCAGCGAATCCAGAAGATAATTGGCAGACAAATCTTTAATAAACAAATTAACGTAAGCATCCTCTCGCGGTTTACTTACAATGCAGTATTTTGTGCACATGCTGCAGAGCGACTGCGGGGAAATTGGTTGCGGAGGTTTTTTGGTGGCAGCAGATATCCTGAAGTTGGAGATGTTTTTCCTGTAGTTGGAGGAGTTCAGGCAGTTCTGGCTGCAGAACTCTCTCATGATGCCTTTAGCATCTGGAACCAGAATGACGTCCTGAGGCCGTGTTATAAACCTGGGATGACATCAACAACAGGTCTAAATTCATGCATCATATAGATTAAATAGAGCACATCGAAATCATTTCTGACATTGTTTTTGAAATACCACCCTCTACTGGCAAAGATCTGAAATGTTACATATATGTCACATTGGGCGTTAATGGTAAACTAATTCCTCATTGGAAAATAAATCAACCTGACAATCGCTTTGTTTGGTAAGAAAACTTGTCTTTTTATTTGCATTTCCACAAACTATAACTTCCCGTCTTAGGTTTTACAACAAAATATAGTTTTTTCTCATTTGTTTTACAACACAAAAAGTTGCAAACTGATTAAAAATAATTAAGACGGCCTCACATTTGAGGTATTATCATAAAGCTACTGTAACTGTAGAAAACTGAGCAACAGACGTATGTAGTAACCTTGAAAAACATGTTTCAAAAAGAGTTTAGAAACAAATACACTTTTGTGTTTGAACCGTTGATATCAGCAGGTGTGGCATTTGAGCCTAGGCCAAATGGAAATCTTTGAAACAATTTCTTTCTTCAGTGAAACAAAGACGCACATCGCATTTCTCACAGAGGGTGGTGGTTGCATTGATTTTGCAGAATTTGCAACGCCCACGCTTGTCACATTTCACAGGCCAGTGTGCAACCTGGTCCACGCGAACATCATTTGGAATTCCAACACGAACTCTCTTGGGAGGTGGTGGTGGAGATGTGGCGTTCCCTGATGGGCGGCCCCTTCGTGAATGGATGAGAGTAAGGCTGGTTGCGACCTCTGCCTGGAAACTCCTTTGTTTCAGTGGCTTTTGGACACCAAGCGCAGTCACGGCGGTAGATCAGCCATGCGTTAACAAGGCCTATCATTATGGTTTGCCAGAACAGGTAGAGGTACCACCTCCGTGACCTCATGTGGTACTTGTACCTTGCGATGCATGCATCTTGGAGGTCTACCCCTCCCATGAATGTGTTGTACTCCTTCACAATGTGTGGCCTGTTGACTTCCACAAATGCCTTGTCTGATTTGCTCCAGCGTCGAGCTTTGTCTTGAGGTTCAACTGCACAGTAGGAAGAGATTAGATTAACAGATCTGTTGTCATACCACCTGACAATGGCCACAGATCCCTCTTTCTCTACCCTGGCATCCACAGATCCTCTCCCCCTCTCGGCAAGACTTTTCTCATCTTCAAGCTGACAACCAGCCAAGCGATTGCTGCGGAGTGTTCCTATAAAGTAGATATGTCGCTGAAGAAGCTCAAGCGCCAGTGGTGCTGAAGAAAACAGGTTGTCTGCAAATACTTTGAAGTTTTGGTTTGACGGGAGGGTCTCACACAGCTTGACCACAACGTCACCTCCCATGCCAAGTGAGGTTTTTTCCCCAGTGCCACCTTCATAGACCTCAAAATCACAGAGGATTCCAGAGGAAGTGCAACGTGCCCAAATTTTCAATCCCCAAGGATGGGCTTGCTCTTGACATACTGCCTTATTGGGCTGTGTGTTCCTCTGAAAGACACCATTTGCTCATCAATAGAGTTGTGCTCTTCTGGGGTGATCTCAAGGCATTGCTTGCGAAACATATCAAGCCATGGGCGGATCTTCCAGCACTTATCCTCTTCGTGCCTGTTTGACAAATCGGTGTTATCAGTGAAGTGTAGAGATGCCAGCAGGGTCTGAAAATGGTTGCGTGACATGTTGTCAGCCACCATGGCACACCTTGTGTCATTTTCCCAGTAAGCACGATTTCCCGGCAGTTGGCAAAGACCCATGCGCAGGTAGATGCCGATCAATATTTCCAGCTCTTTAACAGTGGTGTTAACATTCCTGTGAAATGCAGATTGTTGTACACTGTAAAAAATTAGTTTGCTCCTTCAGTAACTCAATCATTTCTTCTGTTACAAACTTCCTGAAATACTCCAGGGGAGTGTGAAGATTGTCTGGAGGTGTGACACTCTGTCCTTTGAATGTGCACTCAGGGGCTTCAAAAGGTGTATTTCTCCAAGAAAACTGTTTTTTTCCTCGAGCAGTTGTATTTTGCTGCCTAGGGTTCACCTTTGGTTGAGGTACTTCTTCTAAATCACTTGGTTCACAACAGTCTGAATCAGCAGAATCACTTGACTCATCATTCTCCATGTCTTTGTTGCTGGGATTGTAATCAGGGTCTTCAGGGTCTTCTGAGCCACTTTCACATCCCTCAAAGTCACTGTCGTCTCCCTGGATGACTGCCAGTGCATCCTGAATGCTATATTGCTTCTTGTTGTACATACTACAGGAAAAAAAGGCATTCGAATATGACTTTATTTTATTTACTAATAGGTAAAAATAGATTCCTCATACATTGTATTAATCATTTGATTAATACATAATGTTCAATTATATTCAATTGAATAATATAAAATATATTAGCTAAATATCATTGAATCAGCTAAATTAACTGAGCAGATCATAATTATTTTTCTTATTGTGACATATATGTCACATCAGGTTTTTTTAGGTTAAATTCCTGATGTGACATATGTGTCACAACGATATTTATCTGATTTGTTTTATACCAGTTTGTTCAAGAAATGTGTTCACAAAAGGTTCAATATAATAAAGGACATGTTATGTAAGCATTAGAATTCTGAAATTGGGTAAATCTTTCCTTTAGCAATGAAAACAAGGTTTTTTCAATTTAGCTTCTTCTGTCAGATGTGTCACAACCTGGGGCTGCCATCTTGGAGATGTTTTTGTGGGAACTCAAAATCACATGACCGTGTCACATGACCCACAAATATGTTCCGTATGTGTCACTTAGGGACTTAATGAGTTACAATCAAGGATAAAGCTGTATAAGGAACTTTCCAGAACATTTAAAGGATGCGTGACACCTGTGTCATATTCATAGGGTTTTCTATGAAACCAGTTCCTTTAAAGTGATACTACAACAGAGTACTTCACCCTATCCACCATGTGAATGGAAGCTGTGTGTTTGATACCCACTGGCGAGATAAACCCCGCCGCACTGCACAGCGTTCAATACAGTGGACATCCCTGCGGTACTCCTCCGTTAGCTGCTAACGGCGGCCTCAGACATCTCCGTGTTCGAGCCCGTGTGCAGGCGGCCCAAACACATCAAATGAAAGAACGCCGATTGTCTGTCTGGAGGCGGTTCGATCCCAGTGCTTGGCAGTGGTTGAGTACCGCGCGCGTGGAAAGATGACGCGGTTTTCTAGTAGACTCACTTTTGGCAGCGGTAGCAGATCTTAGTGGCTCCTCTGGTCACAGGGAGGGACGTGGTGAGGCAGGTGGTGGAGCAGAAGAGCGCCGGCGAGCCCTTCCTCTGGAACGCCGTCTGGCCTTTCATCAGGCTCTTCTTGCAGCTGGAACAGGACATGTGCTGCGATGACGGGTAGAAGATGGGCAGTCGCTGCGTTTCGGCGGCTGGGGGCACAGAGAAGACCGATCCGATCCTCAAGCCCTCCTGTCCATCACACAACAGAGACACAGCGGTGAAGAGCCAGCTAACTGAATATGGATCCCTTCATAACCTTATTGATCCACTTTATTTGGGATATTATAATTGAGATGTTGGGGTCCAATTATATTCAAGTGGCATTCAAAGATGTTCTGAGTGAGTACCGTTCCCATCGTTAAATAACATTAAGGGTACATTAACATTTTGTATAATAGAAACTGTTCATTTTTAATCAAAAACTAAAGAATAATAATCTTGCAAATCAATATGATTTTATATTAGTTAGTTTTTTATTTTCATGTTTTTTGCTGGGACCTCAGGAAAACAAAACACCGCTTCAATCAGATGGGTTGTTTGCGGTCTGGGTGTTGCTGGGCTATTGACTTTATTTCAAGTCAGTTTACACTTCATCTTTTATAGTTGGCACCTGGAGTCATAGATAAATCCATACAGTAATATAGGGATGGATTATTGTTCTGCCTCTGCTGGGTTTGTATCCCGACGGAGAGGTTTTACAAAGTGAATGGGTACAGAAATGGATCCCGACAAAATGAAATTGGCTCCTTACGTTTCTTTTGTTATTTTACATTATATTTTCAGGAAAGATTGATACAAAACGTTTTATTAAATCTGATCAAGCAACACTATTTATAGTATATGTTAGTAGATCAGACAGAGAAAGACCATATCTTGTGCAGTCTGATTACTGTGTGTGTGTGTGTGTGTGTGTGTGTGTGTGTGTGTGTGTGTGTGTGTGTGTGTGTGTGTGTGTGACCTTTGCAGTGTTGGGCTCATCTTTCACGCTTGCTGCAAATGCAGAAGGTATCAGAGCTTGTTCATACTCTTCATCTATGGGCTCGTCCTTCACCTTGACCAAAGGCGTGGAAGGAGACGACTTGACCGCCTGAATACTTTTCTACAACAGAAAAGAAATGTTTCCGTTGTGTTGACTTCCTGGATTTAGGTCACAGCCCCACTTACAATTTTCTCTGCAGCCGTTTTATTTTACATGCTGATGCGGGTTGTCCTTCTTACATTTACAGTCTCTAATCTTGGGATCGACAGCTTGACTATTTTCATCCCGTTCAGCGCGGCCGCTGGTGATGAGCGGTCTCTTCCTACGGGAACACAAGCGACATGTGAGCTGGTTAACAGTGCAAAGTAAACACTGAAGAATATGCTTGAAGAAAATAATCATTTTCATCCCATGGAAATGAAAGGCGTAAACCAAAAAGGAAATCTAACGCAACCAGGGAGCTAAGAAATATTTACTTTTAATTTGTGGATGTGAGGAAGCATTAAGATGCTTCAGAAGAGGCAGGAAGTCATAGCGCCTGGATTGGAAAATACAGTGTACACTGCAGCAGTAACAATCGCAGCATTTAATGATGATATGTACACTAGCCAGGTGCTTTACCGCTCAGCCAAGAGACTTCCTTTAGGAAACTGATGATCTAGAAAAGTTCAAGTGGGATCTCCGAGGTCCCTCACCTGAGGTGGCCGTGGCCTTAGACGACTGAAACAAGCCGGACTGCGCCGTGTCTGGAGCCTCTTCCACGTCCCCTGAAAGCTCCTCCTCCTCCTCCGCAGGCGGCGGCCACACTGCTGGTTTCACATCAGCTCCCTCCTCCACAGAGTAACTGTCCTCCATCGTTGAGGCTGTGAGCGGGGATACAGAGATGAATAGAGGCGGTGCATCGTTTACATTCACAGAGAATGTTATCCTACATTTCACAAGGGCAAGTGTTTGGACCTGGATTAAAACCGGGTGATTTGTTGAATAAAAGGTTCTGTGAATAATGTAGCGACGCTCTCAAACTGTTCACAGCGATTAGGATTCTCTCTCTTTAATGGGATTGAAAAATCTGAGGCAAAATCAGCACAGATCTAGAGAAAACATTTACCTGATGCATATGAAGCAAGGGCTATTCATTAGTAAAGACTCATTAGATGTCTAGTTTGTCACTTTGTACTCATTCCATTTTAAAAAACAGAGCATTTTTAAAAAAAGGAAACAATATTTCTTTACCCCAGTACAGGTAAAGGCGTAATGCTAACGGCCGTACACATACTGTACAATAAACTTGCTAATACTCATAAAGCAAGTTTATTAATTAGTGTTTCCCTCATCATTAGAACAAGGGGCCAAAATTACCTCCCGCCACCCTGAAAAGGTGTGCAATAAAAATAAAGAAAACGGTTCTGTTGTCGCAGCAGCGGACTGACTTTACATCAACTCGCAGGTTGGAAATGTTTCTCTGCAGCGGAAAACCTTGAATAGATCTTGATTGATTAAACGTGTGCTTAACTCTACCTCTGTTTACAGGGGAGGGTGAGCGGCTGTTGTCCGTGTCCATCTCGTTAGGCTGCTGCTCCTCTTTCATCTGAGCTTCCTGCTCCACCTGATCCACCGTGCCGATGTCCATCATCTCATCGAGGTCGGCCGCCGCACAGACCCTCAACATACAGACATCTGCCTCCGCGTTGACGCTCTCCTTGGTTTCCGTGTCTTCCGTGATTGCTAGCGCCTCACAAGTTGTCTCGTGCATATCCGCGTCCTCGCTGGCGTCGGGTCCTGCAGGACCGTCCTCTGAGCAGCCATCCTTTATTGCGACGCGTTCCTCGTTTGTCTCAAACTCCTCCTCGGCTTTCACCTCAACTCCATCTTCCTTTTCAGAATCTGAGGAGCTGCCTGGCTCACAACCAAGGACCAAACCGGTGTCTTTTATTTCAGGTTCTTCGGGTTGACTTTCATTACGTTCCCCTTCTTTTTCACCAACTACCGGGTTCTCCTTCTCTGCGCGCTCACAGGGTCTAGAAGAAGCTTCACAAACACGCTCTGGGTCTCCAACATCCACCGATGCTGGTGGCTCTGAAACAGCTTCCATGGACTGTCCGTCTGTCCCTTCGGTTATCTGTGGAAGACAAACTATTTGAATCATGTACAATAGCAGGATTCTGATAATCAAAAACGTTTTAGCTAGTGCTCATTTAGGGAGTCACTGTCTTGAGGAGTGCAAGGTCAGAGGGCAAAGCTGAAAGTGCCAACCAGGTAAAAGTGCCCTTTTCTCTACAGTAGCTGAACCATCTTAACGGGGAAAATAAGTTATTCTAAAAGGAGCCCTTGGCAGGCGGCGCGGCTGGAGAGCAGCCGAAGATTTAAGGCGTGGATGGCGAGGGGGGCGGCGGGAGCGGACGCACCTCGCAGCATCGATCGGACCCTGAAATCACCGTCTCCACCGCCCCACATCCCCCCATCCACCCGACTATATCTTATAGGCGGGGGGACAACCCGCCAATGACGGGTGTATAAGCGGGTTGGATTCACGGAGGGAGATCGCCGCTAACGTTGGTTTGCCGGGCGAGGGGACCAAAGTTGTGGAGGAAAATACGGGACAAATGTGTGCGCGATGAAAAGCTGCAGTGTCGATCCACGGGGCAATAAAGTCTATGATAAATAAATAAACAAACCAACGACTTCCACACACAACGACGTGACTCTCTAGGTCGTCTTCGACAAAAAAAAAAAAGCCTGTTGTTCTGGCAGTGAATTGCTCTGCAACACACGCAAGACTTTTAGAACCATGAATCGAAATGAGTGCGTCGACACAACGACGGAAGCACGCGCCAGGCTTCAGAGACACAGCAAGCACCACACAACACTCACGCTTTGTTCGCTATGTTCACATTAATGTTAGGAGGCCGCACACGGTACGTGATTGGATCTTGTATTGTGGCAGAAGGACCTGCTCCTCCTCGATAGAAATCTTTTCTTCTATATCCAACAACAAGTACACAACGTAACGTTCTTCCTGATGTTAGTCAGTTGTTCTTCCGTCCTGCGGGAACAACAGAACAGACCAGCTTCTCCCTTTGCAAACGCAGCGCTGATACTTGTGATCTGACTGATGAATGTATCAGAACGAGAGAAAGTTCTTTGGCTGAATTCTTCCAGATTTCCCCAACTCAAAGGGTTGGTAAGTCTTCTCAGCTTGATGGGTGCCAATATTTCACTGAAGCTCAAAAGACGCTATGAAATAATGCACAATCTGTTATTATTGCAGTACTAGAATGTATTCATCCATATTAAAGAGGGCTTGTTGCATTGCTGACATGGTGCTCCGTCCCTGACACCGATGTTATCATTAATATGTATGCAACAAATAATCGCAACCACGGGCTCATTCTATAGTCTTCTATTGACAAATGATGAAACCCAGACTTTTTACGACACCTGAGCAGCTGCTACGTAGCCCAAGCCCTCCTCTGGTAACGTCGCTAACCACACCAAACGGTCAAAAGAATTATTTTTAAAGATACTTACAATTCCCCCGTCTGTACTGCGACGGATAGATGGTACCGATCCCGCTTGCAAGGTCAATCTTGTTGCGAGTCCAGAGTTATATTGGCCCAGATTGGTAAAACAGTCCAATTCAAAATGGTTTGCGCACACCAACAGACTTTTGCCAATTCTTTCTGGAGCACTACCTTCAAATATGAATTCAATCCATTTCGCTCGTGTGTCTTTTGAGGCCGGGACGTTATGCACAGATCTGTGCGGATCTGCGCAGCCGACCACGCCGCATCTCGAAGGCTTCATTGGCTTCATGCTGCTAGCTAGCTATTCCAAGTGCATCCCAGGTGTGCAAAAACAAAGTGAAGCGCTTTGGCAGATGTGCATCTATAGTGAGTGAAGGGAGGGGGGCGGCGGCCATGTGAGCGAGACCCCCATTTCATAGTGACGACACAATGATGAGGAAGCTCATTCGCAGTCACTCAAGCATGACGTTTCTGACTACAAGAACCATAACAAATCGCCGGGAGTTTGGGGGTCGGTGGATTTACCAAAATAGTGGAGTTTTTACAATATGTCCCCTTTAACACCCCTTTATGGAAAAGGCTGTATTGATAATTATGATATAAAAAGTTAAGCTATTAGATAACATGTAGAAGAAAAAAGTTTTAAAAGTAGGCTAATATATATCGAACACTTTTTCCAGTAGTGGAAGAGGCTTCAGCCTGATTTGAGATGCCTCTATACGAGTACTGCAAGATCCCAATTAATTCATTAACGTTATTTAGCTTTACAATAAAGCAAGCTAAGGTATTGTAGGCTACATTACTTTATATCGCTAACATACCTATCAAACACTTGTTGACATTAATCAAACTATTCCCCTCGTTCCCTCAAAACAATCACATGTTCATCGTTGTTTACACCGTGTAAACAAAAACTAGCGTCACTGCTGCACAGAGCTTTAACAGCTTGTACATTAAAGATAGTTTTGAAATGAGGGGTTTCATTACCTCTGCCTCAGTTACTTCTTTGGAGTCAGCCATGTTGCGGTGATATGTGGATTAATTACATGACCTGTAAAAAGAAAGAAAAAGCAGCTCACCATATGCTAAGCTAACACTAGCCTAGTCTGCCCAACTGTCCCGTTAGCTCGCGGCGGCTAGCTAGCACGCCTCGCGTCGATATAACCGCGCGACGAAATAAATCAACCGCTGTGCTGGATTAATTACTCTTGTTAGACGTGGCGAATATCTCCGCTAAGCAGCGTCAAAATGAATGTGTCGCACCGTTCCAACGTGGGAGACGTTACCGCGCCAGCTCCCGACCGGCGGCCAGCGGTCCGCGTCCGTCGCCAGTTTCCGTCGTCGACGCCGTGTTTGCTACAGAATCTGATGCTCGGGTCGCTTCTACAACCACGACATGCGCCTTTAGTATAGTCACACACACACGTATGCATATGGTACACACACAGAAACACGCACACACACACACACGCACACTCTTACACACGCGCGCACACGCACGTGCGTGCACATGTGTGTGTATATGTGTGTGTGTGTGTGTGTGTGTGTGTGTGTATATATATATATATATATATATATATATATATATATATATATATATATATATATATATATATATATATATATATATATATATATATATACACACACACACACACACAGTACCAGTTAAACGTTTAAACACATTTTCCCATTCAATTGAATGATAAAGCTTGTCCAAACTTTTGACTGGTACTGTATATATGCATTTGTTAATAATCAAAATAATTACCGTTAATAATCAAAATGATACACAAAGTTGAATAAAGGTTGATTTATTATTTATTATTGAGTCTAAGTAGCTCAGCCTCCATTGTCCTCAATCAAGTTTCATTGTCTAGCAGTGAAGTCCATTTTACACCGGCCCAACATACTGTATTTAAATTCAAATATATTTTAATGACCAGACTCCACTTATGATGAGCAAGCTGACCGACAAGTTCCACACATGACAGTAACGAAAATGTCTGTACATTCAGGAAGATAATACACTCATTTTCCATCATTTTGCAAAATCTGTTTCGTGGAAACTGAAAAATGCTTTTCCGTTTCTTAGTTATGAAACATGACGTTTTTAAAGAGAGATACCTTTTTAAGATAGGATAATATTTACATATATATATATTTAATCTGCTTCAATCTGTGTAACTTCCATGTTTTGAATTTGTCCCTTCGGTTCTATGCATCTGCTCGGTTTAGAGACGTACACTACATGGCAAAATAAGCACAGTAAGCGTCAATGTGTTGCAACAACAGCCCCTGCTCTCCAGGTTTCAGACTTCGCACTTCTGCAAAACCCGCTAGTCTAGTGCAGAAAAAGTGATGCACTGCCCTCTAGGGTTCACTTCCAGGAGAGAGAACTTGATAAACAGCCATCCAGGGTTCGAGTGAGCTCAAGCACTGATGTTTAAGGATGAGGGCAGAATCATAGTGACCGCTCCATCTCATCCCAGAGGTATTGGATGGGGTTGAGGTCAGTACTCTCAATCAAGTTCTTAAACAGGGTATCGCCACGTTGAAGCAGGAAAGGGCTTTCCGCAAACCACATAGACGCTCCACAGTGGAACATCTCAGGTTCAGATTTTCCTACACCTGATTGAAGGAATCTAGCACACAGACCCGTAATGCACTAAATGTAAATGCACAGCCCTGTCCATACACATGTTGTCCAAATGGTGCTACAACACGGGCGGCATCACGGGTGTCTTTGGCGCTCCGTGCTGCAGCTTCAGAGAAGTTATCTTACTGTCCGTCTCGTCCATGAAGCCTTCGTCCACCGACTCGCTCCCCTCCTCCTCTCCTGCGGCCTCCGTGGGCAGGAACACGTGAAGCTGAGTGCGAGCCGGACTGTCGGCGGCAGCGGCAGCGGCCGGCGGGGGGCAGTCACTGTAGCTCAGGAGACAAGGCCTCCCGACGACAGATAAGGGCTCTCCCTGAAACAGCGAGTTGGGATACTGCCTCACCGTGAGGTCACTGTGCACCACCTCTGGGCTCAGGGAGGGGGGGTGGAAACCGTTCCTCGCTGGTCTCGGCTTTGGGCCGAGCTGGATGGCTCGGGAGAAGTGAATGTAGGCCGGTGTGCTGCAGCTCTGGACCTGCTGACGGTTCTGGTGCTGACGGGGCAGGCTGGTCACAGGCGGGCGGCCCGTCGTACAAGAGAGCAGGACTGATGACTTGCAAAACGGAGGCGGAGGAGGCGGGGTTCTCTTTGGAGCAACGCTGGGGCGACGGTGGGAGGAGAATCTCTCGAACAGGACGTTGTCGTCTGGGACGAGGAGGGACGGCTCACTGTGGCTGGGGAGACAGTAATGGAGGTTTTACCCTCTGGGACCATGAACTGCTGTACAAAAGACAACCCATTCAACAGTTGTTTTGTCTTCCTCTTTCTCATCATCTATTTGATGGTTATTCAAAACCTGCTTGTGTGTGCATGTGTGTGTTTAAGCCTCAGACGCGTGTGTTAGTATCCACTCCTCAGGTCACATTCTGCCCCCCGGAGCCAGCGTGGGAGCTGCATCAGTATCGGCTTCCACAACTGAGATTTGTGACACACACGGGGTCGGGGGGGAGCAGAAGAGGCCCACATAATGCTATCACATTGAGAAACAATTATACTGTAATTCCAGTCAAGCGTGAAGCCCTCGACAGGCTCTTTTGCTGAAATGAATTGAGAGATGACAGGAGGGTTGTGCAGGCGCTTAATCACACTTGCAGTGATCAGGGTGCACGGTTAGAACTTAGGCCTTTGTTTTGTGCTGTTTTGTTTGAGGATTTTGAAGTGTATGTGTGATATGACATTTACTAGCCATTGGAAATAAATATAACGTAAATAAAGTCCAGTAAAGTCAAGTCAGTTTGTTTTCGTATGAGTGCTGCACAGCCTGTACACATTACAACATCCTCCATCATGATACTCTGTTCGGACAAGTAGATGCTTCAGACAAACAAATAATTAATGTAATAATATAATATATTAAAGCATACAACTGAAAAATAAATTGTTTAATTTACATTGAAGTTAAAGTAAAAAAATGTTTTTGTCAAGAGTCAGATGTGAGGACTGATACTCATGTCTGTGTGCGGTCAGCAGCCAGTTAGCTTAGCTTAGATTAGCTTAGTTTAGCGTAAAGACAGGAAACAGGGAAGGTTGGATCTGTACCAGTTTGCCTTTGGGGCAGCTTCTTTACTCGGGCTACATCATCCACCTCCCCACAGTGTTTCTTGTGTATTTTCTTATGTAGTAAAATGGGGACTATACCAACAACAATAAATTAACCATTTTACTTTCTAACCTAAGCAATGACCTGTAAATCTAGTGGATTCCCTCTCTCGAGTAATTGTGCTTGGCTGCTTCTTTGACCTACAGACATGAATAAAATATAGGAGTCTGGTTCTTTAATATGATAAAATGTGATATTTTTAGTCAGACTCAGGAAGATATATAGACAAAAGTTTAAGTGCCGGTCTCTTAAATTCCTTTTCTTTGTCATGAACAAATTTCATTGTCCCAACTTGTTATCACTCAAAGAAAACATTTAATGTTCCCCTTTTTGCTTTGATGTTATTGTCATAATTTATCAAATAAAACACCCAGCTATAGATGAAAAATCCATAACTTTGTTTATGAAAACCCATCATTGTTTTTTTGCTGATCCAAACAAAGGCTGGAGCTGTAAATGACCTATTGGGCAGGATTTGTACATGACCGGACCTCCTTACTTAGTAGAAACACACAGCTGGAAATGGAGACTTTTTTTTAATTGGGATTGTTGTAAGTCTTTGAGGCTTCGTAAACAAAAGCAGTATATATTCTAAAACAACAGATGCTCGCTGACGCCGATGTAAGCCAGAGCTTCATGTGCCCTGAATCCTCCTGGTCCTTCAGCTGGATTCTGATGTGCAGCTCACCTGAGAAGAGCCCTGCTGCTCCGCCTGCGTGGCCCCACGGCTGTAGCTACCAGGGAGGGCAGCCTCACGGGGGTCCTGCCTCCTCCTGCTGAGGGCGGAGGGTGCACAAAGCTGGGGAGCGCGTAGGTCTCAACCAGAGCTCGGCCCTTCTGGACGGCCCTCCGATGCCACCTTCCACTGGTGTCCAAACCCCGGCCCGGCGCGGCCGCTGGGTGCACAGCTCCAATGGTGCCACTCATTGGTCCCTGACTTTGTCCCACAGCTGTGGAGAAGTTCCCTGAAAATGTGCTCTGACAGTTAAACTAGAAACTAGAAACTAGAAAGTGGACTCCGGCTAAGATCTCGATGTGTGTCTGCAGGACATGTTGGGGGGTCGGACGGTTAGGGGATTATACGGCTGTGGGCAGCTGACGGCATCAATGATGCATGGCCATTAATCATGCAGGGCTGGAGATGGTCCGGTGGACACCACCTACTTTGCTGCTTCCCGTCCCTCCTGCCCCCCCCCAGGTCAGCTTACAGCCGGAGGCAGCAGGTGGTCAACACGCAGGTGGGAACAATGAACCAAAGCTATTCAAATATTATAGATTTTTAAAGCTGCAGAGGAAAACGGTGACTTTTCTGTGCCTCCCACAGTTTTAGTTGGATACTGCACATAATGAATTGTGCAGATTATAATATATATTATAACAGAAAAAGTTTTTTGTGCTTAGTCTCAGCGTCACCGCGCTTTACTTTCCAATTTCAGGACCCCGTTGTCACTTCCATACTCATAGTATCATTGGAAGTGTTTGTATTGTAAAATGTTTACATACTACTTTAGCTAGTCTGAGAAAGTTTTACACTTCATATTATGAAATAAGCCTTTATTTTGATCAGTGAGATTTGAAACTTAATTGGACTTTTATTCCAACTATATACCTTTAAAATTCTAATTGCTTGAAGATTTAACATGAGGGAAAATTCAATTTGCAATTTTGAATGAAGCAGAATTCTAGCGTATTATCTTGAGTAACCAATGAGGGCGTTGTCCTTTGACGACCCCTGAGATAGGTAGCCAGTATTCATAAATATACCACTTAGTGACACGTTTCTAGCTGCTAGAGGCACAGAGAGCAGCTGAGGTCAGACGACACCAAACTGGCCCCCATCGGGCCTCCTTCAGTTGGGTCCTCCGTATCGCCTTCCTGCCTCCGGGGACGGACCTCCAGGGTTGACAGCCAAAACCCACGAGTGTGACCCAGCAGCAGAAACATTGCACCGCCCCCCTTAATTGTAGCTGGACTGGTTTCAGAGCGGAAGCAGTGAAGTCTTCTCAGGTGTATAAAGAGCAGCAGTAGGTCTAGAGCAAACTAACTGTCTTGGATTAACTCGCCACAATTACAAACTCAATGTAATAAAGTACTCAGTTATTTAGATAATCGCCCACACAGAAAAATACAAACAAAAGAGGTCAGTTCAATATATAATTTATTATTCCTCAAAACAGAACAGCGCATCGCTCCTCTGGACCGCGAGCTGCTCGTCCTCCTGCTGGACGCCTCCTGGTACCGAGTCATTTCCACAACCTGCAGCTCTGCAAGGGAGGAAAACAACCATTGGAGATTAAACCGAAATATTTAGATATTTCACACAAGTGTGGATAATAAACTGACGGGAACTAACATGGAGGTCATTCGTGGCAACACGGCAGTGCAGTTGAAGAGTCTCCTGCAGCTCTGGCATTTTTAATCGCTTTCATTTCACCTGGAAACAAAAGAAAAACTGCTTATTGTAACAAACTTAACGGTGGAATGGTATTGTGGGCGGCGAAGACGACCGAATGAAATTCCAAAAACTAAATCTGTAGTTCTTGACCATCGTGGGACAGCGAGGCTACAGGCGCCAAGCTGAGCCTGCGCGTCAAAGTCTGACCCCTGGCTTCTTACCCGGTTCAGCGCAGACGGTTCTCAGCCTCCTTCGGCAGCCCGAGGCTCCTGTGGCGAGAGACAATCAATGAGAGTCGGGCAGAGAACTGGTCAGCAGGTTTCTACCGGTACTGTTCGGTTTGTTGTATTTACTATTTTAAGAGAGCAAGGCGTGTTTGGGTGTGTGAGAGAGATTGTGTGTGCGCGTGTAGTGACTGAGTATTAAAATAAAAAAGAAACATGTGTTAGCAGGAAATCTAGGTCATGGTGTTATGCCAACATGCATTACAATGTAAATGTGAGAAGTACAAACATGTTTTATGGTGTCGTGTTGAAGATGCTGGTTTTTGGAGGCGTCTCGGCATCCGGTGAGTAGGCTGTTTGAGACGGGACAAACTCGTGACAATGTTCGGATCATTTGCAAACCTCGGGGACGGTAATTCTGTTACAAAGCCATGTGAAGCTGGACTTTGTATCGACACATCAAGGGTGTTGCTGCAAAAAATGAAGTGCCCACACAGAGCTCGGAGCGGCACCACGAAGCTCGTGGAGAAGCGGACCTGGTCATTTCCCGTGGAAGTCGTGCAGACCTTTAGGCATTGCCCTTTTTTAGACGAGGCCATCTAGAGGCCGAAAGGGTTGTTCTGGCATCACACTCAAGAGGCGGGACATAAGAGAATATCCCTGTGGTTAATCGGGACCATGGAAATAGAGAATGGATCACAGTGCAGACGGATGCTTCTAGATACGCCTGGTTCCCTCTGCATAGAGGAGAACCGTCACGGTGGCTCGCGGCTGCAAGGTCATGTCCACGCACGAGGTGAAGCAGAGGAAAGAGCCACAGTGGTGATGTGCTTTCACCATGACTGGCCATTCAGGTTCAAACAGAAAGACTAAATATGGAGCAGCGAGAGGTACTGAGAGGAGAGAGGAAAGGAGAGCGGTCGAGTCCGGCACACGAGAACTACACGCGTCACCTCCACCTTCCTTTCCCAAGGATCTGGAGCAACCAGCACCTGAGAAGGTCAATACAATCCTGCCGTTTCCTACCAAGCACAGGATGTAGAGCGAGAGTTTACAAAGTCTGTAGTTTATATTTTCATTGTGGTGCTTTACGCAAAAAGGAAACATCACAGTACTCTAGAAGGAGCGTTAAAATTGTGATGGATAAGCTACACAGGTGGAAATTACTCCACTGCCAAACACAAACTTCATACAAGGAGCGCTGCCAACTTTTTAAATATAGATTGAAATAGAGTTGCACAGGAACTACCACCATCCCAATGACCCAGGCTAAGCATAGCTGCTGTATACCCTGAACCACAGTGAGACGTTTTATGCCGTTGCATCTGTTAAACAGTTACAGTGCGCAGTCCACGTGAAGGCCTTTTATTGTGAAAAGAAAGAAAAGAAGCAGTGGATCTGGTCTCTGCGGTCTTTGGAAAAGTCTTATTGTAAGTTTCTTTGAAAAAAAAAAAAAAAAAAAAGTCAGCAAAATGGCATGTAATGTCTATGTTGGGATCAGCATCTGGCCCTTTTCGCCCTGTAACATGCCCATCCTACAGTTTTCCTGACAGAAAAAGCTAAATATTTAGAAAGAAAAGACCGGTCACGCAGACTCCTTGTTCCTGACTGCGTAAAGAGTGCAAGTTTACACAAGTGAAGAAACTCTTTAATCATGACTTGAACATTTTCAAGTTAGTTTCAAGCAGAAAGATCGACTAAATGCATTTATGGAGGCAAACGTTTAATGGATATTGAAAAAGGTACCCTTTGAAAGCTCAAGATGTACTAAATCTAAATATATATTTTAAATGCAAGAAAAAAACTCACATTTTCAGATAATACTTGGAAATAATTTGCTAGTGTAGGAATTCAAAGTGTAGTAATATTAGTTGTTCAGAAAGTGTTCCTTTTAATACATGGGACTTTAGGGGATTCTCAGAAGAATTAATAAAATACAAACTAAGTTGCAAAGGCTGTGATCCAAGCAAACGGCAGAGGAATACAAAAACAGAATGTCAGACATGGGACTCACGTTTTCTTCAATCGCCCCCAGACCAACCAGAGCAAGGTGACCCTTAAGCTGCAAAGACGGCCCGACCCAGAACCACAACAAAGTCATGTTTAGTTTTCACAGAGTGAGACCACAGATGGAGCCGTCACCAGGGCTGATGCACAAGTGAAAACTTTTACCACTTTAAAGATTTGATTTGACTATAGTTGAAAGAGCCACATTAGGACTACTGCCCTTTAACATTAAATGAATGAGGAACAAAGATCAGCATGAAGTACTGTTTTTAAAAGATAAGCTACTTGATGTAGTTAAAATGATAACAAAGCGGTATTAAAAGGTTTTCCCCCCCAAACAGCACAAAGAGTATTAAAGCTATTTAGAGGCATAAACACAAAAGTATAAAAGAAAAAAATGTCACCGCGTTTGAGTGGAAAATGCCATCCATGAGTTTTTGTTTTTTACTTTCCGGTTATAGTTGCACACCACCTGCTTGTACCAAAGCTCAGCATCATGTCATTGAGGTAATTGTATTTTTTGCTCTAGTGTTCACAAAAGGACAGCAGCACTGCATCCAACCACACTACTCAAACTGCAGCGTTGGATCAGTGACTCAGCCGAAACCAAATTACTAAAACCACACACACACACACACACACACACACACACACTGCACAGGCTACGACGCGTCACCATGTTCCGCACACAGAGGTTTGAAGGACTGGATTCTGCACTGTGATGCCATTCATTGCAAGTGTGATGCCAGAAGCCCTGTGGAGCGTCACTACAGAGCAGTGGCGCGGTGCGAGAGGACAGAAGCGTTAAGTCATGGGAGAACAACTGTGCATCTTGTATAATAAAACATGGATGGACACTTACCTTGCTCGTTTCTGCGGCTCTGTGTAAGCATACCTCTCTGGCTGCAGTGCAAACAAGTCCGGGCTTTACTGTCCACTGACTTCTGCAGAACTACCCATCGCCAATGTAACCCAACTGCAGAGAAGAGCCTCTATAGTGGACTGGGGCAGCTCGTCTTTGACAAGCTGGCTGACAGCAGCTAACGCACCCTCTCATTTACCCAAAGGACATGAAACACAGACACACACACACACACGGGCACGGCACGCCATCCTCTCTGCCACTGGTCAGGGCACATGGGACTCCCCGCCTGAGGAATGGGAGGTCCGTCCGGTCTACTACTGAAGCTTTCATGGGTGAGGATGGAGAGTCTTTTCTTTAGGCATGATGCCATTAACATTTTGGTGTTAGTTATGACCTCTGACACCAGGTCAACAATAGGGAACAACGCAGACCCAAACTGACTTAACAATGAAGTTCTCGTGTGTCAAATGTCATGTCAAAGCTTTGATGTAACCCAGTGATGCCTTCAGTGTGTTGGTTAGAAAAGTGACATCACTGTTCTGGACATCTAACAGATTTAATGTGTATTCTTGCACGTGTTTGACTGCTGTTCAATTCGCCTCCAAGAAAGGTAAATAAAACGTCTTAAACAACGTTTACGCACAATGCCATGAAATGTGCTGTAACCTGGTTTCAAACTTCTTATCTAGTTACCGTGTTTGTTTCTGACAAGGATTGGGTTGCCAGTTTAACTCCAATAACATCAAAATGTATCGGCAATAAGGGAAATCACTGTCTTGAACCTCTTTAAAAAAAACTGCTGAATCATTTGAAGTGAGCTACCACATTACTCATAACAGGTTTTTACATAACCTTTGTCAAATCTTAAGTTACCTTCTTCACTTAAACAAGAAAGTTGAAAATGCCTTGGCAATATCCTGAAGGAAGACATTGTTTAAAATGTAACTGATGGCCATTGGGGAAATGTAATGTAGAAACTGTAGTTGTGTTAAAAAGTACTTGCAGACTTGCAAAAATGTCAATGTGTAAGGTTTGATTTCCATCTTAGAAGGAACCCCAGTCCTGCGCAAGACAAAATGGCAACTTCACGAGATACATAGATATAATCTACAGAGCCACCTCCTGTCATCCAAGGATTGTAAAAAGGAGAAATGCCTTTTGGTCCACAGTGAGTGAGTTTCATTAATATAGGCGAAGAAGCTACAGACTTTGAATTTCTTGGTTTGGAACGTTCCTTCTTAGTCCAACACCTTTAAAGAGGGCCAAACCTGTTAAAGAAAAACAAATTGTACACAACAGACATAACAGTACAAGTTTTAAACGTCGGTCACGTCGATGAGCAAAGGCACTATTTTGCACAATGTTCAGAGAAGAACATCCGTTGGACGAGCAAAGAACTCCATACTGCACACAAAAGCACAGGGCGGATTTAAGATGAGTATTAAAACATTCAATTTCTTACCCCTTAATATCAGAGTGCATTACCAATGGTAATTTGTCATATGCCAAGTGACAATTCCAAAGGTAACATTTCAATCAGGAAATAAAGTTAAAACGTCTACAAAAAAAAAAATCACTAAATGAGCTTTGTCGTCGAGTTTCTCTCCTTTGTAAATCTTCATATAGTGAGAAAAGTCTACAAGGAATAAAGCACTAAGAGCATAAGCCTCGCAAATCGGTCTTTAAATCTTTAATTTTATCTATTTAGGATTCCGGTTAATTTTATGATTTGATATAGAAAATTGGTCATCTAGAAAATAAATCTAGCGATCAAAAAAATCCAACCTGGAACAACTCACTCCTGAACTTGGTACGCTAAATAAAAAAATTAAAAAAGCTTGCTTAGGACCAAAAAAATCAGTATTTGTTCAGCCGTTGTAAACTGGTTGCAGAAAATGGATGCAAAGAGAAGCGACAAGTTGGTCGCTAGTTGACGGCTAAATTGTGTAAACGTGACGTACTCTTATTTCTACGGCACCGCAGGAACAAAGGTCAGGGCTCAAGACCAATGGGGTCCCGTGGACAGCAGAAGATGTCCCTGAAAAGGCTTCATTGGAACAACAAATGTTTGAAGAGCATTTAGCAGATGATTAATGAAGCTAATAGTTAACGGATAAATGTGCAGCCTCAATTCAGTAAAATCAGTATTGAGTAAGAATCCGTCAAATTTGGCTTGATAGGCCGAAAATCTAGAATTGGCAAACAAAAAAGATCTGCATAACTGATTTAGCCAACTCAGACCAAAGCAGTGCTGTAGCACCAACGGGTCCTTTCACTGCCACTACAGAATAATGCAACTACAGCATGGAGCCATAAATATCGGAAGCAGATGTAGGCATTCACTGTTGCCAACCGCTTAAGAAAAGTAAATACCTTGGTAAGCAAAAGTAAGTTGGCAGAAGGACATTTAGCTGAGGCTACATTGCTCATGGACAATTAGGTCCCTTTCACAATGGAGAGTATCCAACACATAACCAACTGGAAAAGCTGAGAATCCATTGAGTTGCAGTTTAGTTACGTTCTTGTCTCAAAAAATGGTTCATATTAAATTTTATCTACAGGGTTAGAACATTTTTCATGAGGATTGCCACTAAGCTTAAATCACCATCATTCCTGAGTCCACGCTAAACAGCCAAATTGCTCCACAGTCCACAATCCTTAAAGCTGGTCAAACCTGTTAAAGAAAACAATGTACATAACAAACACACGTATTATTACAGATGAACACGCCATGACATCCAATTCTATTACCAGTACGTGGAGTCCTTTTTCGTGGCCATTGCAGGTGTTTGTCAGGGTTCTCGGCTGCCACATGGAGGTGGATATGTTTTACAACAAAGCAAAAACGCCATGGACAAAATGTATTTCAAATAGTGTAGCGTATTATTGTTCTATGGGAGAAATGGAAGCCCGGCTGCCCTGAAAAGCATTTATGAGTTTCATTTGATGGAGAGAAAAAAAAGGGCATAAATTTGTAGCAATACTCAAAGACAAAGGATTGACACAATGTAACATTTTGCATTGTTACTATTGCACCCGGACAGGTTTGCTAAAAGGATACTGTGAATTGTTTGAAATGTATGTGGGATGATAAATATTCTCAGGAACGTTAAAGCCCCCTGAACACCAGCTTTTCAGCATTGAATAACAAATGGGAACTGTTGCTTCACTTTGAAGTTCAGGCCAAAATGGAGGTTGAAAGTCACAAGCAACGTTAGGACTGTTTAATGTTTGTAACCATCTTCACTGATCAATGTGTTTTGCATCTATGCACATTTCTATATATATTGTATTTCCACAATGTCCACTTAGTGATCATTGAATTGCGGCTTCTGGGGTTAACACGGTGGGGAGGAAGCAAAGATGATATGTATTTAAACGCTTTTAGTTCATAACTTTAAAAAAAGGAGCCAAAATAATTTAGCATTACATATTTTGTTATTGTGCAGGTACATTATCACTCTGCACATTAGGAACGTTAAGTTTCTTGATGTCTAGCCTAACGTGTTTGAGAAAATATAGCCAAAGAGCAATAAACAAGTGGCGCCGCTTTTTTTTTTAAACTCACCTAAGAAAGTTAAGCATGCTACAAACCGTATCATAAGTGGTGCTGCTGCAAGGACACCTTTTTTCCAACTACATATAAATACACACCAGCCCACAGACTGTCCATGGAGCTAATGCCAGGGAAAGAATTAAAATGTGTGCCAACCACAGAAATAAAATAGGAGTAGAACGGACATTCAACTGCTTTGCAGTGCAAAAAGTGCTGTTTGTCATGGCGACAACACACGTCATTAGTGCCCTTTTGTTACGGCCCGTGGCTCAGGCCCCACGCTGCTGCCAGCCACCGGCCACGAATAGCTTGAAATTGTGGAGGAATTTATTTCAAAGTTCGACCACTTAATTGGTATAAAAGTAGCCACTACACTGCTACGTGGATTTGACTGGGAATGTCCGTTCCACTACTATTTCTCTGGCTTCATCTTCAGTCTCCATGAAATAAAACAGCAAAAAGCAGTCAAGTGAAACGATTGTTTAAAAGTTAAATGAAATGGGCTAAATCTACTGAGTTGAAATTAATACAAGAATACTTACACTCACTTTTAGGGCCAATCCCATCTTCTACCACACAACTCTGAGAATAGTTTGCAGATGCAAACCAGTGTCCATTTGACTCCAAAGTGGGGTCAAAAAGTCTCAGAAGATCTCACATGATTCCAGTGAACCGACCGCATGGGGCAGCGTAGTAAAAATGTGCATTTCAAGTGCACAGGTCAATAACTCTGACTTTACTTTAACCTGCAGGCCTCAGAGTTCGGTTATCACCTGTGACCCAAATGTCAACCAAAGGGGTATCCTGCCACCAAAGGTCAAAACAGATTTAGTGATTCTAATGACTATTGACCAATTATGCCTTTGGTGTTTGCTGCTTTCAAGGCACAGATCTAAATAGGTAAGAAATTCTGTAAAGTTCAGTGTTTGGCCACACATGACTTCTATGCAACTAAAGCACACATGTCTCCTGAAAAGCAGAAAAGAGTGTGGGTCAACGGGGTCCTGTTGAATGCACCCTAATTAATGGTACGACCCAGTGGGGTCTGAGTCCGAAGCTTGATGTGAGGAAGATAAAAGCACGGAGTCGCCCGGCAGTATGCGAGCAACACCGGAAAGCTCGTCCATTAGCGAGAGGACTTCTACCACAGCCATGTGGGTTTATCCATCCGGCCACATCACTCGCTATTAGAAGTCAGTGTAAAACCGAATAAAGTTGTCAAACCAATAAAAAATCTCTAGAATGACGAAAAATGGAATTCACAAAAGGGAGGATGTGAAAGGTCATGATGTGTTGGTCAAAAAAGAAAAAAAAAGATGCAGCAGAGTGATCCCACTGTGGTACGAGCCTCATCGATGCAGTTTCTCTCTAGGACAAACTGGATTTCTGGTCTTCTCAGAGGTCCAGCACAACAAATGTTTTGTCACAGCGTTCCTTTCACATATTCATACTGTGTTACCTGGCTCATGATAACCTGATATCATGCGCTGTAAAAATCCTGGATGCATAAAAGGTCTTGATTTTCAAAAATAGTTGGTCACACTGATGTTTTGGGGCGAAATATGTATGCGTTATCATCCATTGAATGAACACATTTGTTACGTGTAATCTCTAGTTTATAGTGGTTATGACTATAAAATTGACCACATGAATGTTCAACTGAGCCCTTTGCCAGAGATTTAACACGTAGTTTTCCTCTTGCTGACAAATAATGCAACTGGACTATAGGGGTGCACCAATCCGACTTTTTCAGTCCCGATTCCGATCCCTGGGCTTTGTGGATCTGTCGATACCCGATACCGATCCGATACTATTGTTGAATTAATAATAAACTGTATACCTTCTGTCACAGACCGAGTACTGAGTATGACATGCACTTTATTCAAAGGAATGTACCACTGGTCAAGTATATCCTTAATTGCAGCCGAAATGGTATCGCTGGTGTGTGAACCATGAAAGTTTTTAGCTTGAAGCATTGCACCATGTGGTGTACAGCTCGAGTCCAACCAGTGTACCGTTAAACCCAAAAGCGACATTGGACACAGCAGAGCTCCATATATCTGTAGTAAAGCTCATAGCCTTTATATCTTTAATCCCTTTCGAGACGTGTTCGCAAACTTCTATGTACAGTTCTGGCAGTGCGGTCTCGGAAAAATACTTGCGTGATGGAAGAGAGCTCTAAGTACCTCGGCTCTAAGTGTTCCAGTAGGCGACGGAAGCCCTCATCTTCAACAACTGACATTGGTTGAGCATCTAAAACAATGAATTCGACAACTTTCTGTGTAATCGCCGGAGCTTTAAAGCTTTCCTTCGGAAACTTTTCGCGTCTTTGAAATGCATCCTTCAAAGTTTGCTGGGCTGTATTGTCCGCTCCTTTTTTTTGCTGAGCTGCAGGTGCAATTCAGTGTGCTCCTTAGCATGATGTTGTGCTTGATTAAATTGGTAGTATTGTACCTTGCAGTGATACCACCTCCCCTCGGAACCTTTAGTTTGCAGACATTGCAGCTGACTAACTAGTTGACGTGGCAAGCGTAAAATATCTCCACACAGCCGACTCTCTGGCTCGCTCCATGTAGCTTTTAGCATGCGCGACGCACGTGAAGCTGACGAATGACGTAGGTCAGGAGAAAAAACGAAAACGTGGATTGGTTCATTTTTCCGATCCCCGATCCAGCTATTTTGTCAGTATCGCGGCCGATATCCGATCGGTGCACCCCTACTTGAGTATGGTCATAATAAAAACTCCTTTGCATTAACTTAAGGTAAAAGGGGTTTAAACTGTATAGGACTACGTTTACATGCAGGTGTGGAAAGGCTCATCTGTCCGAGGAGGAAACTGACATTATGTCCCCCAATCGGTGCAAAAGAGCCACAAACAATACAGACGGCGGACTAGCTCCATTGTAAGTTGACTTCACCAGGCCGACCAGGCGCGAGAAGCATGTTAAAATAAGAGTATCAAATGTGTATTCGAAGAAATCAGCTAGTATGGCTTTATTAAGTGTAAAAAGTTAAAGTACTACAACTCATTAAATTCAGAGATGCTACGGGGATGGGCAATTTTGCCATTTTATCTTTGACTGCATGTAAACGTAGTCAACCTCCAAACACGCAGCCAGGACACATTGGGAGTCATTGAGCATGTCTTATTAGTAGAATGTGTCCACACACACGCTTCTTAAAGGATCTATGCATTGTATTTCTGCTTTTCCGGAAAAAGACTAAAAGCAGTTACAAAAAGCTAATTAATTAAAGTTGGTCAACAGCTCTGTACAACACGTGTGCCTAATTCATTTTCGGTGCGAGGTTGCATGGCGGACGGCGATACGGCCGACAGGGGTGTGTGAACGGTACGACAGACGGGATATTTCCAACGAAATAGCTAGTTGTGTTGAGAATTAATGGCATCACCTGGATGCGGACCTAGCAGAAGCTAAATATCGCAGTCCACTTAAGCACAGCCTTTCTCACAGATTAATAAACTTTGATTGGAGAGAAAAGAGCGGGGACGGGGCCTTTAAGAAAGGGTTCTACACGTCGCAGAACAAAGTAAGTAAGGATCGCGGCAGAGGTAACACATAGACCCTTTAAGAACTACTGTGTCCGCATTTCTTTCAAATAGCCAAACGTTGGTATTTTGTTGCCTTTACTGCACGTCTCAATCTTTGGAATGAAGGCTAACGTTTGCCCTGATACAACCAATGTCTCTTTATTATAATACATGCTTACTCCAGACGTATGGCACAAAACACAGCCATAGAAGGTAGAGAGAATTGTTACAGTTATCAGTTCACGGCGACTCACAGAGCATAATACATCTAGAAAAGAAAATTATACATGGATCAGAAACCACTAAAGATCACACGAGGGTGTCCCATCTTTCCAAACTACTGACAATACAAAATAAAAAAAGGGAAATATTCATAAAATGAGTAAATTGTCAGGCTAAAATGCAGCAAATAACAATTTAAACTTAAATACAAGAAATGAGTCTCAACAGGTTTGTTGTGGAGAATTTATACAAAATAGTGCTGCTGGGAGCATCAAAAAGGGCAGCAATTTTAAAAGCGCGGTTTCTTAGCAGGTCCATCAAACTCCTCGCGGACCCTGCCGAACCCGGGGTTACCAGGACCCATCCCCCTAGGACCGCCCTGGGCAAAGCGCTCGTTGCGCTGTTGGGGGGGAATCAATTTGCCAGGCAGGCAGATAGGACGGGAGGGGGTACGGTACAGGTTCAGTGCACAAGCACAGTTCATGTCCATGTGGAAATGTTTAAAGGGAAAAAAAAAGAAAAAAAAGGTAGGGCAATAGAGGTGTTTTGTTTTATATTGTGAGATTTACAACACAACCAGCAGGAGACACATCCGGAGAAACCGTTCGTTCCAATATGAAGATCCACAGGTGCCACAGGTTACATACGGAAAAGGAAGAGAGGGTAATGCTTTCGTTAGTCAGTGCCTACCTAGTTGGGTGTCTCTAGTGCATGCCAAGACTAGCCTCACTTCTACTTACATCATCTGGCAGCTTTCAAATGATGCACAAACGGATCTCTTAAAGATCATTCTGTATAGCAACAGACCCAACCTCTGAATGGAGGTATTTATAATAAGACTATAGAAATGCTTAAGAGACTGTAAACTTTGTGACGTCTTTTCTGTATGAATTAGGAACTTTTTTTTCTTTGTTTTTACACAAATGCTGTGACTAAATTGTGAGTAGAGTTCAAAACATTTTCTTGGGAGGCAATGATGGTGTTGCTCTACTGTCACAGTGCCCCTTTGGCACTGCATAGAAAATGTGGACTATACTCGACTATGGGTCCCAAATGGGACAATAATCAGTTCCAGCTATACATGTGTAGAATATATTGGCACAGTATGATGTCAACATTGCACAACATTCAGCATAACCATTTCTCCAAAATGTACATTTTATGCCAATCCGGACGTGCTGTGAAACTAGAAGAGCGTGATAGAAAGTGAATGTCTCAAAAAACAAAAAACTCAAACGAGGCGGCTTGCGTTCCAACACGAGACTATAGTGGTAGAATAATATGATAACATACAAATTAATCTTAGAATATAAAATTATTCTGAATATATCTTCCATAGTCAGAGTGCCAAATAATGTTGGTCAACACATTGAGACTAATATTGCACTACGCTATATTTTAGAAAAAGTTGTGCTTACTTTTAATGCCTCAATTAAATAAAAAATTTCTAGAAATTTGAGTTCAATTCAATGATTCTTACAGCATAGGGTAGCAATATTTTTACTAGCAAGACATTACAGATAATGTTCCAGCAGCCCTGATTCAAATTATCAATAATTATTATATTGATTCCATATCCTAAAAACTATCAAACATGATAGCAAACATGAATTGAACGTTTTTTGTACCAATTGCCTTTTCTGTGGTTTATTTTGGGGGGGATCATGAATACAATTGGCAGAAGGTTGCTCCTAACAAAGATCTGGTGTTGGTCAGTCATTCAGAATGACTGCTGCAATAAAAAAAGTAACTGAATCAAGATCAAACAAGTGAAGCTCGACAAACTGAATTATTTTCACCAAAAAAAAACTAGCATCATTTTATTGATTTAAGTATACTAATAGTATTAGAACGTTAGTAGTTTCTGGTATCTCTACTTCACCCAGCATATTTTTTTCTTAGGATAGGTTTTGTTTATCACTTATCAAGTAATATGGGCATCACAAATTGTAGCACTTGTAATGGCTCTCATCTATAGAAACTTGTAGAGACTCTTATTTGATGAAATTGCACTTTGTATCCTGTCCTTTTGAGTTTGTATCTTATGGTTGAAATGCACTTATTGTAAGTCGCTTTGGATAAAAGCGTCAGATGACATGTAATCACAGTATTCAGTGAACGCGTTGTCAGATCTTTCGGCCCTAATCGACACCAATACGCTCAGTCCTTCATAACCTGAGCATTACATTTAGATATGACTTGCACACACCACGGATTGTGAAAATGATGCATTGCCACCACCAACAACAGTCAACAAAACTGACCTAAAAATATTTTCAGCTCAGAAAACAATGCAAATTAAAAATTGTTATTTTCATAGCAAGACTATAGAATTAGCGCTATTTTTTTAAGCATGAATAAAGTTTGTCAAAAGATACAAAAGAGAACCTCACCACTTTAAGTACAAAACCTGGTCAAGCAAGTGGAAGCAAATGTTGCAACGCAAATTCAAATGTTGTATATAGAAGTTCAACGATTGGTTCAAAAATATTCTGGAAATTCTTTTCACCTACAATGTTAACACATGTTTACCGGTCAGCTGTAATCCGGAGACCAATGTGACATTGGAACTAAAACTCTGCAGAGGCAGATGATAGCCCAGTGTTCAACATCATCATCCTCCCAGCCCGCGCCCGTCCATTAATCCAGCTGCATTATATCATTCTGAATACTGTTTCCAAGATTGAATGCTTTATACCGTCAGCCTGCACTCGAGGCATTATAACTGCTCAGTAATAGAAGCAAAACTTGTTGCGGGGTTAATGGAAGATGGACTAAAACCACTACTTTCAGATCTTAAACTGGATTGTAGAAGAGTTGTCATGACGGAGGATACATCAAACTCAGATTTTTTTTAAAAGCTAGGTAAACTAGGAGAACATTAATGGGGAGGGAAAAAAATCTGTCCAAGAAACTGTCCACTACGCAAACAGTGTGATACGAGTAAGCAGAGCCACTTACGTCAGTCTACAGCAGTCAGATCATTTTCTTAAGTTTTAGTGCAGGTTGACTGTCTTGGGAAGATAAAGCGTAGCTCAGGAGGCGTGGCTTACCATTAAGAGAAACGCCACCAGCCAGACATGTCTGTATCATTCAACAACCAGCAAGCCGCCCGAAGACAGCAGGGCGCACCAATTATTCATCATTGCTTATCATGCGGGGCCAGCTGGCCTTTGCTTAAAAAGATCAACAGTGAGTCTCTCCAACAGGAAAGTTGGACACAAACCACGTTACTACTGGGCAATACCAAAAGTGGGATACGTTACCATTTCGTTGCCCATAAGGCCTCCTGCGGCTGGTCCCATTCCCTTCTGACCCTCAAAACCCAGTCCGCCCATGGGGAACTTCTGGTTGGCTCCACCAAAGGGCATATCTGACAGAAACATCAGTCAAATACATGTACTGCACTCAAAATCCACTTGTTAGAACAACCCCCTTGCACAGCCTGTTAAGATATAGAACCGTGATGGGCTGACTCAAGGTATCCATCTGGTTTCAGTGAGAACAGGGTGGATCGAATACATGCTATATCCTAAAAAAATTCACAACCGTTCTGAAATTGTTTGAGTTTAACAAGGTTGGACGTTGAGGCTTGTGGTGCTGTTGAACAGAATTGTCTTATAAACATTGGGCCATCTTAATGTCTGTGGGTTCTTAATAAGCAACATCAATGAAATAACTGAAAAACAACTTACCGATGCCCAAAGCGCCACCGGGATTCATTCTCATCTCTCGGTCCCTCTGCAATAACAAAATGACCATGACAATAAATTAATTATTGAACCGTACAAATATTCATGCAATATCATCTTGTATTCTGAGCTTAAGGTGAACTCACATCCATGTAGTTTCCCATCCTGTAGTTCTCTTCACGCTGGCGGCGCATCTGCTCCTCCATGTCCCTCTTGCGAATCATCTCCTCTTCTCGTCGCCGGCGCTCTTCCTCTTGTCTGTTTACAAACAAAAAAACATGAGTGATCGAAGTTTTGCATTGATAAACACCTGTTTCACTTTCAAGAGAGCAACTGTTAAGCGATGTTCAGATTACCAACATTCTCTTTGATTGACAACCAAAAAGAATTCCGCTGATCATAAATACCTAATCTGCATCTCCTTTCTCTTCTGCATCTCCTGACTGTGCACCTCCTCCATGCGTCGCAGTTCCTCTTGTCTCCTCAGCAGATCTGAAAAGCCGCCAATGCATTTAATTGTGGGCCGGTGGGGAACATAAATAACAAAAAAAGTGATAGATTTCTGTAAATACAGCAACAATACAACTAAACTTGCCTTGTCGGAGTAGGTTGGCCTGGTGCTCGTGGAACGCGTCCTCCATCTCGCTCTCCAGCTTCTCGCGGGCTTCGCGCATGTTCTTCTCCACTTGCTGTCTCTGCTGCTTTTCCATGTCATCCAGGGACTTCCAGCGCTTGGAGTACTCGTATTCGAAAGTGCCAGGACGAGCAAAGCGAGGCGGTTCCTCGCGCTCTCTGTTGAAACGATAGATTGTGTGTTCTTTCAGAATCGACTGGGATAGTTAATGGGAATTGATGTTAACGGCCAATATGTTTGTCCATTAAACTGTTCCCAGTGTAGCATCCTTTCTCTCAATCACTTTGATTTACTCAGGTTTTGCCACCCCACACCAACCAAACAGCTGCAATCATTGAATCTAACCCCGCACTCCCATCTGCTGCTCACAAAACAAAGACCTGTATAGAATTTGCATAATAGCTAAACATATTACCAAAGAAAGTGGCTGAGATTATCTTTAATTTGCTTACGCTTGATATCTGGGGTTCTTCTGTGCGAGCTTTTCTGGAAGTCCATCTTCGTCATCAAACTGCTCCAGGGGCTCGACAACAACTGGTCGGGGTGACCTGGAAAGGGAGGAACAATCAAATGCTGCTTCTAGCACATTTTATGGAGTTTTATTGTCTCATTGATGCACCCCCGTACAAAACGTCCTGTAACTATTTCTAAACTTACGTGGTGAGCAGGAAGACACCCTCGTTGCACCGATCCAGGGCTTTTCTGGCTGCAGGTTTGGATGCAAACTCCACGATGCCTCTGCCCGTGGAGCGGCCACGATCGTCTACGATGACGATGGATCTCTCGACCATTCCGAACTGAGCAAACGCTTCTTCCAGGAGCTCGTTGGACACAAAGGGTGACAGATTCTTCACAGACAGCGCAGCGGAGTGCGTGGCAAACCGGACCCGCAGGGGTCGGCTTTTCATTGGTGTGTCGTCCAACTCTGCTTTTGCAATCTCTGCAAGTGCACGGGACTCCTAAGACAAACCAAATGTAACGTTAGTCCTCAAGATCTCATTATTGACCAAAAAACAGTTTTGCTTACACAACCCACAAAATTGACTTCTCTTACATGGTTTATTAAGGAAATATCAAAATGTGGACCGGCTTCTTGTACCAGTACTTTATGAAACTGGGGTAAAATTAAGGAGGTGGTGTCTTACCAGTCGGATGAAACCAAAGCCTTTGCTCTTGTTGATGAAGACCTCGCTGGGTTCTCCATATTTGGCGAAAAGCTTCTTGAAATCCTCCTCGGTGATGTCGTTGGGCAGGTTTCCGATGAACAGACGACACCGCTGGGTGTAAGTCTTCTCGCCGGGTTTCAGAAGCATGGAGAGCGTCGCCTTGAACGCCTGCTGGCGGATTAAACGATGAAACGTTAAAACTCTACACGGCTACATTCAAGTTCAAATTGAATGCGGGAAAGACACTGCATAACGGGATTAACAAGACAGGAAGCTTAAATGTAATTATTTCTTTGTTCGCGTGGGTGCTCAGTCACGTAACAGCCTGTCGTCCTCCACCCATCCCCCATTCGATGAACTATGAATAAAATACGCTAGGCCTGTATTTTCGAACGTCAATTCCTTAAAGAGGAAGGCCCGTGAGAATGTATTTACAAAAATAATTTTCACTGAACATATTTGTTTTACCAGTTAGCATTTTGAATAACGCATTTTGATTTTTAGACAAGATGGCGGATCACTAAAGTGAAAAAAATAGTAGGTGCGTGATTTCTGTCCCGGCTTACACCGGCACAGGCGGCGTTCAAGGGGAGAGCTGAAAGCCATTAAGAACGTTAACTCCGCCCGCTCGGGACGCATAGTGTTTGCTAAGCGAACGTGTTGCTATTTATGAATAAGCTAACGCTAGCGAACAACAGCGCAACTTGACGTTAGCTATTTACGACAGAATATAAACCAACCTTATCCTGGCTCCCATCTGACGCCGGTGTTTCATTCTTTGTGGTGATCTTATCTGGCTCCTGTCTAGGCCTCATTGGTGATGGCCCCATTCGCTGTCCGTGATAAGGGTTTCCCCTCACTCCCTGGTGTGGCCCAGTCTTCTGGCCTTGGTGAGGGCCTGGCTTTGGGCCTTGTTGGGGAACCGACTTGGGGCTTGGTTGTGGAGGCGGCTTCTGCCCGTTAGTATTTCCTACCGGGGATTTCAGCGGAAGGTTCTGCTCCTTAATCGGCTGGTTAGGTGGGGGGGAGGCCACGGTGGCTTTTGGAGGGGGAGACTGGATCTTTGGTTGAGGCGTAGGGGTTGTCGGTTTCGGCTGCGGCTGTTCTGGGACAGTTGTCGGTTTCTCCTGCTGTTGCTGCATCGGGCCTTTCATGGTGAGAGCCGGACCAGGACTTGGTGGAGGGATAAGCGACTGGTTAGGTTGTGGCTTCTGGGGAGTCTGTGGTCCTTGATTAAGCGGTCTGTTGAAGTTGTTGTTCTGTCCCCTTCGAATTTGGTTCTGATTGTGGAAAGGATGGCTCCTGAAATTGGGGTTTCCCATTAGACCACCCCGCATCGGCCCGCCGGGCCCAATGCCCCCTCTGCGTTGCTGGAAATTATTCATTCCGAGGCCACCGCGATTATTGTTGAATCGAGACATTGATCCTTTTATAGGCAAAAAATACAATTAAAATGCTATGAAATGCTGCTGCGCAACAACGGTCTTGTCCCGGTGATGGCAGGTTGAGCTCTTCAAAATGGCGACTAACGCCTGTGTCTGAAAGAGTCTTTCTTCCTCCGGTAAAGTCAGCTCCGCCCCGACGCGCCGATTGGTCAGCTGCTCAGAGGGAGGAGTCACTAGGGCCGTTCAGTCTTTTGAAGGGTCCTGTGTGTTGTGTCCTAAAAACACTCAGCTCACAATCAGATAAACTTGTTGGCAAAAACATAATATGGGTGTACATTTTATTTCAGTGCATACACATTATTGATCCCAACCTGTTTTTAATAACAAAAAAACTACATAATGAAGTTTTCGTCTGTATTAAGACATGTTATTGTGCAAGTTTATTTACACTGCTCTCTTTCACCTGTATCTCAACAGTAATTCAGCTAAATACAGCATTTTTCATTAAGCATTCAAATTAATTTTGAACAGTTCATTGGAAATGTGATATTTCTTAGTAGTAGATAGTAGATCCAAGATGGCGCCGTTGATGGCCGCCTCGGTGCTTCGGTGCGCTTCGTTTTCCGCCAAGACAAATTCCTTGTATGTTTGACAGATTCCTGATTCCTGATTCTTCCACAATGCCTCTTATTTTTTTTCAAACCTCATTGTTCATTGAGGACAAAACGCCTCGCAGTAATCATTGTCCATCATTACACCGTGTCAAACTCGTACTCAATTGGAGATCCAATGGTGGCTGGCCAAAAAATATGTCAAAAAAAGATTACACCAGCCGCCACTGTGTAGATCTTTCACTAATCTGAGTTTAGATTTACCATTTTATCTCTTCAACCTTTGCTAACATTTCGTATACACGTTGATTTATGTAGCTGCATTAATATGCTAATTGCATGCAGACCGTAAGCCAGTCTTTGAAGGTAAGATTATACGTACATTTTTAAAAGGGTAAAGCACATTTGGGCTTTGGATGCTAGTCACAAATATCTCATATCTTTGGGCTTCACAACATTAGTTCCTTTTGTTATGACTTTTTATTTTGTCGTGTTGAAGTGGCACATAAGAACAAATAATATTTAACATTAACACATGGATTTGAGACTTTTGTGATTTCTCAAACAAGGACTTGTTCCAACATTTTTGAAAAGGCTTAAAATATATTTTATTTTATCCAGGAGAGAACATTTATGTTTAGGTTTGGATTTCTCATATTGCTGTTACCCTTTTTTTTTACCAAATTAAAGACGCTCAACTCACATGGACTTTTATTTATTTTTATTTATTCCGCATAGAGGTGTTTTGGAAACAAACAGAAAACAAAAAAGTGGAGAGACCACCACGTCTCTCCTAAACATTTTTTTTAATGCTTATAGACAAAAAAAAGGATGAGATGACAACAGTGACAAAACACAACAATACATCAGTCCAGTAAACAAAACCCACATTTGTAAAAAGCGTAACCATGACAACATACAACCCAGGAGAAAACACAAGACACTGTGACGTCGCCACGCAGACGGTAAATGTTGGAATAGTAAAAGAAAATGACAAAGGTGTCAAAAATAAAATAAAGAAGTAGGGCTGCATCAGACATGTGATCATAAAACACAAAAGGACTTGAGGAAGTACGAGAGACATTCATCAATTTGTCCAGAAACAATCAAAACTGATGTCTTTCCTCCTTTCTTATCTCTTGAGAACAGCAATACAGAACAAATAATCATGGAGCAAAATTAACATTCACAAAGGAAGATGAAGAACACCTGATATATGTTTTTTTTTAAGCACACATGATTCAGTAGAGTTATACTCCTTATCTAAAGGATCACACGCTGCAAAAGATTAACCTTTTTTTTAATTGTAGAAATCACCCCACTAGTTATGTTGGAGCAGCTTCTTTGCCAAAGCCCTCCAAGTGTATAGCCATTTTTATTTATAAGTAGTGAACTACTATAGCACTGGGGTCTCACTTTGGATCTGGGACATTTCTTCTTCTATCAGTGTGTTACAGTAATGCAATTAGTATTTTATTTTCTGTGGGGAAATACCCGTTCTGAAGTTTTAATTCTCAACCGCCTCCATGGTGTTGGAGAAAGGAGACAGAAGAAGCAGGGTTTTTAACCCACAGTTTTAAAACAAAACCATTGAAAACGCCCTGGAGCCTAATGGAAGGGGGGGGGGGGGGGGTCTTTTGGGGAGGCCAGGAACACTTGAACGGGGAAAATGTTGAGAAAGGAGTAGTCGATGGGAGGAAAAGTGAAGCGTCTCATGTTTGCTGTCGGTGTAGGCCCGCCCCCATCTGGAGTGTTATTACTTCATGCAATTCATACCTGTCAATCATCTTTAGGCCGATACCTTAAGAAAAAAAAGATTCCAACTGAAGTAATTTTACATAAAGACGGCCAGAGCAGAAAGACGTCCCTAACGTCCAGACATGGATGTTTTGAAATAAACAGCACAGTGTGGCAAAAGCTGGATTGGTTAGTTTTTTTTATTTCAATTGGATTTTCATGTACTTTAAGATATTCTATCACACTTGTTAAAAACAAGACATGGAAGGCCCTTGTGGATGTTGTTACTTGAATAAACAAAACTAATTCGTAGGTAGATAACCAATGCAGGCCACGGACAGAACTGCTGTCTATCACTAGCTCTAGAACCAGCACCTGGGCGTCTCCACGGACGGAGTGAAGCCGCGGTCAGACAGAATTTAAACCTAGCAAAAAAGAAATCTGGAGGTGACGGGAAACGGCGATGTCAGGGTTTTATTTCACTGCGTAGTTATGAAGCAAGAATATAAGAAAATCCGGTCTTAGTGTGACAGAATCAGGTAGGTGTCGACCCGCTCAGACTGACGCAGGGAGGAAACAGGAAAAGGCGTGGTCAGTGGAAGCGTTAGAGGCAAAATGAAACCACAGTCGAGTAAAGCGAAACAGGCTCTTTAAATAAAACCAAAGGGGAATGCATCATGTGAGTCAGTGTCTTTCTCTCTCTGAAAAGCTAAGACTTGTGAGTGCGAGCGACTAATTATTTTGGAATGAACCCAGTGCGTTTTATCTCCCGGTGTGAGCGTTATCTGTGGGTAGAATGTTTTGGGTTATCAAACGTGTGTTTGCTATCTTGCCGATGTGTGTGGGAAGAAAGGGATGGGCGCTCATGGCTGTTTCCTGTGGGAAATGGTCAAGTGGGAGAGGTCAGTGTCTCGGGAGGTCGTCACAGTGGGGACGAGGTGAGGTCAGATTCGGGGCAAATATTTCTCGATAAAATCCTTTACAGCCGCCATCTCCTGCAAAGAGAGCAAAAGGTACGGGTAAAGAGGTTGATAGCTTTGCCTCGTCCTTGATGAGAGCAAAATAAACAATAGTGAGCTTACGGTACACTTAGGGAAAACAAACAAACATGGAAAAGTATGAAAGACAAATACTTTAATATCAAAATGAACTTGCACGCTACGTACCTGAGGAGAGGAGCTGTGAGAGAGCCCTGGGTAGGTTTTAAAGGTGATCATCTGAGGGTTAACTATGCCTTTGAGTTTTTCTGCCGTCATGGCGCCGAAGTGCACCGGGATCATGACGTCCATCTCACCGTGGCACTGCAGGATCGGGATGTTTTTTTGGCCGCTGGAACCCTGTGGGACAAATACAACAAAGACATGAATAAACACCCCTCTGCACAAAGCGCTGATTCGGAAAAAAAAGTGTTTCCTTTTGGTTTCAGTGTTCAGTAGAACTCTTTCAATAGTAAAATGAAGCAGCCCATTTGACATTTGAATATGTGAGACTGACTGTACCGATGGGAAACTCTTGTGAAGCGGTAGCCAGCAACTGAGGGCCACAACGCCAGCCAACTGATGCTGGCAGGTCAAGGCAGTGTACAAGGACAAGGCCCCGCCCTGAGGAGGAAACAAGGAAGCAAGAGAGAGACGGACGGACGTTTAATGGTGGCAACCTTTCACATTTACGGTGTTCAAAATATGCCAAAATATGAAGTTGAACCTGAGAGAAGCCACCGAGCATTATGCGGTGTGGGGGGATCCCGTTTTTGACCTCATGTTCAATTATAGCCTTGACTGGAGGAAAGCAAGAATCAATGTGTTACTCAACATGAAATGCAGATAGACAAACAAACCCTTGTTCCTTTTAGGATTAGTCTTAATGCGTAAAGGAGTTAATTTGCTCGCCGACCACCAGGAGGCGCCTCAAATCAACACATTTCTGGCTGTCAGCAATGACTAACTTGGAAGTAGTTTGTTTTCTAGGGTCATCATTCTAATCATGCGAAAGTGTAAATATAATATGAGAAATAAACATGTGAATAGGAATTTAGCGGTGCACACATTCACTCACTGTTTTCGGCGGCCTTCTTGATTCCAGCCTCGTCCTCCTGGCAATCGGGGCTGAGACCCATGAGGTCAAACCTGCACACACGCAGGAGCAAGGCGTTTAAGGGAAATCAATAGATACAAGCATGGTATTGTTGATGCCAGGATGAAGCCCGTACAAGGTTTCCAGGGAAACTATAGCAAAAAAAGGCCTTCGGTTTCATCGCGCCAACTTACCAAGCGGGCATCATGGACTTCATGTTGAGAGTGACGGGGATCGGAGGCCTGCGGGGAAATGAAAACACGACGAGTCAGCCGAGGCGCTCATTACCGTCAGCCAAATATTGGTGTTTTGATTTATTGACTCAAAAAGACAAGATTATAAATGATTGGTCCAAAGCTAAGCACACAGAGAAAAAGATGCACGTTTTCCTCCCCTGCTGACAGGCAGCAGCTTTTGGAGGACTGAAATCTGACAGGAGGAATGGGAGAAACAGACTTACGCGTGGGGGCAGATGAATTTGACGTGGGGCAGCTGGATCCCCGTCAAAGTGTCGGCCCACCCGTGCCTAACAGAAAACAGAGAAAGGAGCGCTTTGTTTCCCACGCAGCTTCAGCAAGACAAACAAATGCGCAGCGTGCCAGGAGCCAAATGTATGTAAAAAAAACAACTAAAAAGTGCATTGTCTAAAATGAGAGTGTGTGGCATTGACTGGAGGTACAATTAGGTACATGAGAGAACGCGCGCGCCCCTCAACCAGGGGGGTGTACGTGATCTCCGCTCACAGGGTTTAACAGCCGATGAAGTGACTTATTAACTCAGTCATCGTGTTGCCAGCGGTGTATTATGAAACTAAACCATGATTGAGGACACCAATGAGCCGCATTCACACATCATGTATTTTCAAACAGCTATCCTATATCCCCAAAAAATAGCTAAATGTAAATAAAAACAAAGCTGTAGCCAGGATTTCAGAAATACTCAGGCCATGAAGCCCAAAACACAAACATCAAAGAAGGATTTCAATAGCGGAAAATAATGAAGCCGTCAAATGTATTGAAAGGACACATCTAGTTTGTTCATTTTACATTTACGAGTCCCCCTAAACTCATTCATCTGTTTTTTTCCACTATGTGGAACATTAACATTTGTCTGCCAAAAGGAGGAAAGTCTATGTGTGCAAGTACGCAACCACCTACAGATGAATTATTCGCGGATGATTTTAGAATCTTCAATTCTCAAGCGGACTACTATCGACATTTGTATATTTAAAGCATGGATATAAAAAAGGTACTGAAACAGACAGCTGAATCTCATTGTCTTTTCAAACCACAGGCGCCTTTGTTTTGTGTCTTTTTCACGAGCGGCCATGACAGTTTCTCCTTGTTGGAGTAGACAACACAAGGTTGCTGGGGATGTGTAGCGTCTTTACGATGCCAGAAGTACAAAGCGACGATTGACGAGATTAAAGAAAGGTGTTTTTTATTGCCAAGGCCGCTCTGTTCACTAATGGGAGCGTGTTCACCCGTGTGTGCGCGCAAGTGTCTGTGTGTGTCCATCAGGGTGGAACTGGACTATAATTCTCCTTCAGATAAAACAACTTCCTTATTCCCGTCCAGATCTCATGCACCACCACCTAAGAGCAATGCATCATGGGAGTATTGTAAAATTGAGTTTAAAAAAAACCTGCCGTGCCCAATACAATTTCTGAAAAAAATAAATACAAAAGGCATTAAATGAACATTGAGCTACTATTAAATTAGTTCCACTAAATGTTCCCAAGTATGAAAGAATGGTACAAGCTATACGATAACTTTTAACTTTGATATAAATGTCTCAATTTTGAGAAATAAAATATACAAATATCAATTTAAAAGGCTTATCAGAGTTCTGCATGTAAAAACAATATGAATAGTAAAAGGCCACTCACCCTGAGTCTCCTAACCCATGAAGGAAGATCACCTGCAGCACAGATAGCGAAGAAAAGCTGGTTAGAAGTGTCTCTTCAGAAACTACACCGTTTTAAACATTCCCATTAGACCACAAAAGGACCAAATGCGTTTATCATTTCTAAAATGTTCTGATAGCTATAAATAACCTACTGAAGGGAAGAACTCACAGTAACACCCTCTGTGAACCCAAGGGCCAACTCATCCCGTCTGTATTCCAGTACAGAAAGTTCCACAACAGAGAAAACAGGTGCCAATCTCCAATTCTTGCCAAGTGAGCTCTCACTGCCAGCTTCCCACATGCTGCTCCCCGCAGAGAAACCATGAAAGGGAATACAGAGGCTCTACGAAATTGGCGATTCGCTGTTTTATGCCAGAAAACAAGAGATTCAGCCGGCTGTGCCGAGATCAAAACACACGGAGATCCATGTAGCGTGTGGATGTAGCTGGAGCCTGTGGCCGTCCGCTTACACCCTGGTCTTTAACAAATCCCTGCCTGCACCCGACAACAGTGCCTTTCACTTTTACACACAGATCAATCTGAGCATCTACACTGTATGTTGCACGTCCTACTACGGCTGTGGCCTCCGGCCATAAAGGAATTGTCTTTATTCCGTTTGGTGCACGAAAGGCAGCTGAATATTTATACATCCTCGTTAACGAGTTAGTTGTTGCTCATTGCTTTAAAAAAAATGTCCAATATGTAACTTTTTAGCTTTTGACTCACAGGTATATCTAAGTGGGATTGTGATGGAGCTTAAGCACTGTGTACATTTGAGCTGATCATGATCGAAATACATGTGGCTTTGCTGGATGCTTTACAAACAATACTCGTGAAAGCAAACCTCTATTATGCACAGAACAATGTTGACTATTTTCAAAGTTTATCTGGGCTATTTTAGCTAGTGCATTCCTAAGAGAAGATCCGATATAATGGAGGAAGGGAAGATTGAGCCACAGAACGATGGCTTATCAGACGCTCAGACATGCGTGGTGATGTTTTTTTACCTTAAGAATTCAATTTTAACTGAAATAAATAGCACTCCGGAAGAATGTTGCCAGCTGTAAATTATTTAATCTATGAACATCGATCAATGCTCATAAAACACACTAAATATCATCCATCCATCCATCGTCAAACCGCTTATCCTGCACACAGTCGCAGAGGGCTGGAGTCCATCCCAGCCAACTTCGGGCGATAGACGGGGTACATCCTGGATTAGTCGGCAGCCAATCGCAGGGCTACACAGAGACACACAACCATTCACACTCACATCTACGGGCAATTTAAAGTCCCCAATTAACCTGATCCCCAGAGCATGTCTTTGGACTGTGGGAGGAAGCCAGAGAGAACCCACGCAGACACGGGGAGAACATGCAGACTCCACACAGAAAGGCCACTGGGTGGAATCGAACCCAGGACCTTCTTGCTGTGAGGCCACAGTGCTAACCACCACGCCACTGTATGTACCGCAGTATAAATACACTTAGATGAGTCAATCCATAACATTATGCTGGATGCAAATAGTGGGAGAATACAAGTCAAACAAACTCTGGACATCAGAGGTAAGGCTGATCCTGCCTCTGAAATTCTCTTACTGGAGAAAAAAGAAGCTAAAGAGGAGCGACACAGTGGATTGGAGGTATTTTGTATTTTCAAACACTTTGACCAAGAGCTCTCTTGCCTGATCTAATTTTAATGGAGCAACAATGGCGCTGGAGAGGAAGTCCCTGTTCCTACACAAAACATGGCCACAGGGAACCTTCCTTTGTTAAAAGGGGACTTTTCCCCAACTGCTCGGTGACGTGTGCGATCACTCACCGCCGCGGTCTCCTTCTCCATCCCGGATACCGTCACAGCCTCGGCGAGCAGCGGCACAGACATGTTATTGCCACACATACACTGTGAGAGGTGCTGGGGACAGAGGAGAGGACAGGGACAGAATGTCAGCCGAGTGCTGAACTACATTAAATATGCCGTCACGCGCGTCGGGGACATACAAGGGCGCTTTATTCAGCTCATACATTTCAAACAATAGAAGCAATTTGCTAAAACCTCCAGACGATGTCAAGATCCTGTGGAAGATGTTGGATGGAATATGATATTTGTTTGAAAGAGTTGCAACTAAAGTGCACTTTAATTATCCAATAATCTGGCATCTATTTTCTCAGTTAATCCTTTGATCTAAAAGGGGGAAATCTATTGGAATGGTGCAGTTAGTAGTGTCTACGAGACCATAGAGGGCCCCTTTATCTGGATCTGTTTGTCCAGTTAACAGTCACAAACCATAACATATTGAAATGATGATCATCAGCAACAGTGCGTTTTAATTCTGCCAAATACAAACTGCAGTGTACAAGTCTCAAGTTAGCTCTGAGGTTATTTACAGACAGCAGACGGATTTTGAACTGCAAACAGCATCCAATTTCTTCCAAAATCGTTTAAAATATGAAACAAAAACAAAAAACGTCTGAGTGACCCGTTTCACAGGTTGACCAAAAGTGGATCTTTGAGGCCGATGGAAGAAAACATTCTTTAGATATAGTAAAAGCACATAGACATAGATGCCCACCGAGATACTGCTGCTTTATGTATTTGATGGAAAACTCCAGGGGGAGAATTTTATTATTTTAATCAAAAATGATCAATCAATCAGCTGTTCCTGGGGCCGCATAATTTAGCTCAACATGTTGCCATAAATGCGCTGAAGATTTTGGTCATGAGAACTGACAAAAAAATCTCAGACCATCTGAACACCACATTTCTAACACTAGTTGAAGTGTATTAGAATTATGAAATGTATATGATGTAGGAAATAGCGAGTTTCCTTAGGCGCAATAAATAAGAATAAAGTTCTATTACGATTCTTTTCCTTCAAAACAAAACTGTAAACAAATATTGTTGTGGAGCTCATTTAAAAATAAGTTAGATGCAACACACGGGTTACTTATACGCAAAAAACACAATGAAGCGCCTGCTGCTGAACCTAAAAACAGCAGTCATGCGGTACGTGTGTTTGAGCGTGCGTCAGCAAGTCACCAGACTCATTAACCAAAAGAATCGCCCCCCTGTACTCTGCATACGTCCATCTGTGGGTCGGCCATCGATAGCCAGCATGAAACACAACATCCGATTTACAGTAACTGCTGAGCAGTAAAAGCCCGAATGCCCTTTAGCCCTCCGTTCCATGTGGGAAACAAGGAGGCGAGGCGCCACGGACGGGTCAAGACAACGCGCTGCCTGATTGGTAAACAGCCGATGGGGAGACGCGGAAATGTCCTGAAAGACAAAGGTTAATGTTTAAACCTTGAGCGGGATTATGCTCTACGGGTGTTAAGAATTCCTCGGCCGTCATGGCCGAGCAGCGGCCCAAAGCTGCGCGCTGCTGCTGCGCTCTGATCTGCGTGTTTGCTCTCCGGCAGGTGACAAGATTGTTGTCTGAAGGTCACAGTCACGGCTAAAATACTTTGAAATAGACGGTGCATGTTTGCAAAGACGTGACAATGTGGGCAAAAGGAGGATATTTTGGCCACTCATTCAGTGCGTGAATAAATGATCAAAGTTCAATAATAACTGTGCGCTTGAGCTGTGCTCTTTCAGTTCAGTACACAGTTCTGCTAGTGTGAGTAGCAACCAGATCTAACATTCACTCCAGTCCGTTTCAGTACAATACTTGTATTTTACTTTATTATTTTATGCAACTACAACACTAATTTACAGATGCAAATCTACTGCATTAAATTTGCATCATAATGTCATTTTCAGCATTATATGGCACATTTAAAACATATATACTGTCGACAATGTCGACGTATTGTTAAAGCTCAAACCAAGTGAGTTGTCTCGACGTCACATTTCAGATGCCCAAAATGGTTTAATTCATTTCATGAGCGGATAGATAACGAGTTAGGAAAAAATCTGATCAGTGATCTCATGACCCCTCACATTCATCTTGTGACTCGTTGGTGGGCCCAGAGCCCTAGGTTGGGTAACACTGGAATAGAGATCACAAAATATGAACTAGCTCCAACTCCAACATCTGCAACACCAAAATGTACTCGATCAAGTAATCAAGTAATATCAGAACAAATAATACATCGGTAAGAGGAGCGATTATGCTGCCGCTAAAATATTTTTACTTTTAATACTACTACAATTTGCCAACATTAGCTGTGTACTTTTATTTAATTGGGATTTTAAATGAAGGACCAATTGTCAACCCTCTGAGGCTTTGACACAAACAAAACGTGATGTGATTAAAATGCGCCTCACTAGATTCATCCTCAGCACATTCTAATTCAGTGTTAAAACCATTTTTATTTTCTGCTTATCATTTATCTGCAAGATGGCGCAGGGTGGGAACAGAGAGCTACATTGATAAGACTAAAAGCAGGCGAGTGATAGAAACTAAGTGATCGTTAAAGATGGAGAAGAGGAACAGCGGACAATCTGTTTTAACCAGTTCTAAAACACTAACGTATTAATCAAATTCATATCGATTACACAGATTCACAACGACCTGGAACCCGAAGTACCAGCAGAAAGAAAACGTGGGTTTTCAATGCTTCAAGAAACAATGGCTCGCTCTCTGCACTCCTGGGGGCGGCTGCTGGTTAAGAATAGTGTGACGCTGTGTACAATTATCATGTTCAACTCACATCGGGTTGGAATTGTTATTGGGACTTTCTCTACGCATTCAGTTTAATCGATAACGGTGGAACGTAAAGTGGAAGATCTCAAACGTTCTTGCTAGAACTGATTAATATTGATTTGGTTTTCTAATATCTCGAATCATATCCTGGTATCAACAGCTGTGTTTGCAACGAATTGACTGGTCTGTATGTAGGACAGAAAAGCTGAAGATGCCCAGTTAAGCTAAACTGGAGAATTCATTTATCTGCTAATTATGGAAATTGTCGGTGAAGCATCAGTGTTGTACAGCTGGTTGGAAATACATTTGCATGTTTAGACCTTGCCTTTATCTTCAGAAATATGTTTTACTGTCTTCACAGGTATTATACGATAACGCAATGACTGAAAAAAAACAATTTCTTTGTACAATTCAGTTCAAACCATCCCCGCGTCTCTCTCTCTCTCTCCATCAACTGTCTACTAAAAAAGGCATGAGATTCATCAAATTACTTTCCGATCAATAGAAAATAGATATTGTAGCAGCTTCGGTTTCTATTTTCTTAGCTACAGTGTAGCTGATAACTTCTGGTGCATAAACGCTTCCCCAATAGGAGCATTGCGCTGTGAGCAGAAGTGTAACGCCTCGACATTACGTTGAGGTGACACGAACCACACAAAGAAGCGTTGAGGCCAACTTGAAGCACATCACCAGTTCCCATCCTGCACGACACCAACTACATGCAGGTCTTTCGACCCTGAAACAACAGTCGTGCTGCAGTCACTTCGTGTGTGTGCGGACGTCACGCGACTGAGCGCGCGCACACACACACACACACACACACGCGCGCGCGCGCGCCTGCTGCATTCAGACGCCTCTGTGCTCATTGGCGATGGACGGCTAACAACAGGGATAATATGCGGCAGTGACTGACAGCCCCCCCTCCCATACTCTCACACCATCCAGCAGCTAACTCGGCTCTCCACCTGCAGCTGAAGGAGGTTGATAGCCCGGATACCAGCTAGCTGATGTATAGCAGGACACCGCAGCAGAGAGGACAGTCGATTCGGGGAGGTTTAAAACGTTTGTATGAAATTTTTTAAAAAAGACACCGACGGTTGAGGCGGAGCGTGGGGGAGGCAAAGAGGAAGGAGACAATGAATGGTTGGAGCTTAGCTAACGATGTTCGACCAAGCTTCGTCAGTGGTGATGGTATTCAGCAGTAAAAAGCTTCCGTTGACCGCAAAAAGACGGACAGAGAGACAACCTTCGCGCTTGCCTCAATCTCGGAATAGTTTGTTACGCGCGTTCGCTGCATCGGGCGTCAGTTGTAGTGGAGATGCTAGCTAACGTCACCGTTGGGCACGCTCACATACAGTACATTGTCTACCTGCCGGTCTCTCTCTACGCCTGCCTCAGATCAACGCGGAAATTAAAATTCGGGCCTCTAAACCACACCGTTTTTTAGAATGGACCTCACGCCATAAAACACGAATACAAATGAGTTTGGACCGAGATAAAGTGGTTAAAATGTAGACTCGCGGCCTGCTAGCTGATACAAGTGCAGTACACTTACCGCTTGCTTTCCCAGTTCGCGACGGAACGGAACTTCCGGTAGTGACCGCACACAATGAGGGGGCGGAGTCAGAGCGCGGGACGTCGTCAACTAGCCCCGCCCTTCCGTAGATGCCATTATTGATGTAACGTTACATAATCTTTAAATATGATCACTAATTTCCTCCTTCATATAATAGCAATATGCATATACCTGTAATGAAGAAAGATTTGGATTTTGTCCAAGCCTGACTCCTAATCATTCATAAAGGCATCCATAGCGCAAAGTTTCTTGTTGTTGGATACCTGAACATCATTGTGTGAAGCGAACTATAAATACAGGGCGTTAACATGGCAACCAAAGTCTTTCAAAGCGTAAAACCACTTGGTGTATTTCCAGCAGTCTGTGTTTTATTCAAAGTGGTGGATACCTTCAGGCATTAATCAGAGTATGTAGGTCAAACATACGTTATCCAATTACCAAGTGATCCATGCAATTAATACAAGTCTATTAAGCATTCACTATTTATTGCGACAGAAAAACAGAGCTACAACATGGCACTTCCAGACACATATGGAGCTCTCTGGTCTTCAGAGTGCAGCGTTCCAGTCACCGGTCCAGGCTCAACCAGCCTGCCGCTACGCAGCGTTGAACTCCTCTCAAGACTTTTTGCATCATCGACCTCCAGCAGAAACCTCTCTTCCTGCCTCTTTTCCTTCTAACGCTCTGAAGCTTTTTCAGGAAATGAAGTTGGTTTGTGGGATGACGCTCTCCACTTTGTGATCTGCAGGGTTGGCTGATGCTTCGTAGTTACAGATTGTCACTTCATGTCTGTGAGCCTAAAGAGTGACAGGTGAGAAAGACAGGTCAACTAACACACAAGCATGGAAATTACGGTCCATTTAGAGATAAATTGGGCTGGCTCAACCTACCGGATTGCTGCTATTTAAAACCTTAAATAAACCCTTGATAAAGTTTTTATTGATCCTGTTTTAGATAGGTTACAATTCAACTTAGTAGTCATTCAGGGGGAGGCCCTTTCCCTCAATAATTTCTACAGTATTCTAGATGACGAAACAAAAAAGAAGGGGAAAAAAAGCTGTAGCTCCAACTAACCTCCGAGTACTCTCCCCTTAGACCGATGTAGTAGACCCTGGTGCTCTCTGCTCCAAAGTTCTTCGAGATGTGGATGGAGAGGTGCTGCACGTTGGAAAAACGAGCGATCCTGGGAAATCATCACACAACGGCAGAGACACCTCAGTGTGAGACAGCGGCTTGGGAAATCATTCAACCTAAATCGGAGACGATGCTGAACTGTAAAGCGGCAAGTAGAAACTCATACAAATGGAGGGAAGCGTGACACGTAGCAGCAAACCGAAAGGGAAAAACAAAACAAAAAAAAGAGTTGCTTTCACTTTAACGCTTCATGCCGTGGTGCCACAAAGCATCGAACCGATCATCTACGTTGCATTATCACTATCTTAATCTCTCCTCTTATTAGCAAATCTGAAATCCTTGGAAAAGGATCTCACAAAATAGCTGGAATATGAAAAGCATTTAGTGATTGGGAACCTGACGGGACCAACGGTGCATGAAAGGACCAAACCTGAAGAAGAATTGTTCATGCGCTCACTTTGTGGGGTACTCCAGCTCAGCGACAGGATCCCTGTTGAGTCTGAAGGCCTGCTCGGGTTCTCTGCCGGTGTCGTCGAAGGACATTTGAGGAATGTTCTTGTACCTGGAATAAGAAGGAAATTAGTTTCATGTGCCCTCTAGTGAACGAAAGGATAGAAACACGTTAACTGCAGATTGCTGGAAAACTGGTTTTAACAATACTTTAAAATCCATCCAACATGAGAAGTGATGAGCAGACACTTACAGTCGGATCTCAGCTGGATGAGAGTCGTCATTCTCCCCAGAGATGATGATGCCTTTCAGCTTCACGCTGCCTGTAAAACTGAAAGAGGTAGCGATCTTTGACGAGACAAAATCACAAATCTTTCAAGTCAAAAAACATGAGGCTGCTAAGAACAGCATGAAGATGTCACAAGATATGACGGGGAATAAAGAAAAAATGAAAATGAAATTAAAACCACCAACGTTTTGGTATGAAATTACAGGGGGAAAAAAACTATCAAGAAGAAACGCGTGCAATGTTTTAATTCTGGGGTACTGGTTTAAAGTTCAAGCTTATCCTGGTTAAAATAATGAGGATTATAGAACTTACGGGATGTTGAACAGAAGCTCTTCATCTGCATCACTCTCAACATACTACAAGAAAGTATACAAACATAGGAATTCCCATGGTAATCAAAGTTGCTGCACCAATTATACAAACACTTTCAGATTGGGTTTTCAATTCAAATCAATTAATTTTATATTGTATTAGGCTGAAATCGCCAATTACAAATGTGCCTCAGAGGGCTTTACAGTCTGTACACATGCGACATCCTCTGTCCCGAAACACTCACATCAACTAGTTTTACTGGTTGCTGGGCCACAAATATGAGATTACAAACAATCAGAAATAGTTTCCAGTTTTCTGAAATTTTGTAGAGGAAAAAAAACTATCTGCAAATGAATGAACCCTAATGAGTAGAATAAACATCAGTTCAGTTAATTGCATGTAGTTTTGCCAGTATTTAAATTATGGTGACAAGACATTACGTTTATTAACACCATGTTTACAAATGTAAACCCTCGTGTAATTTGTTTAACAATATTGATAAAGTTTTGTTTGAATCAGCAACTGCGCAGCTCCGCGTGGGCAACTTCTATCGACCTGATGGGGAGACGTCGTGGGGCTGACCGGGGAACAGGAGGCTTATTGTCTGTGTTACCTTGTCCCGCTCGTTCCGCCGATCCCACGGTTTGAACACCAGCTTTCCGTCCCCGTCTCTACTCTCGTTCAGGCACTGCAGCTTCTCCAGGTCTATCCTCCGGTACAGTCCGTACTCCAGACCCCTCTCCGCGGGCTCGTGCTCCCCCTCGCAGCCGTGGCCGTGGCCGTGACCGTGACCCGACATCACGGAGCGAGAAACCCTTTAACTACAGTTAGCTTGAACCGACACAACAACCTGCCGCTTGCTAAGTCTGTTTACAGAAAGTGAACCAGTGCAAATTTCACTTCTGCCCGTCAAGCAAGTGGAAATTATAAAAGTACTTCCGGTTTGAGATTTTCAGATTAAGATACTTGTTTTATCTAAATTGTAATAAAGACAACGTTGTGACTGTTTTTGATCAATTATGTTACTGTTTTTCCGATGTTTATGATTGTATTAATTTGATCTGATCCCACTACGTGATGGAATATAGTATAGCCTCTTTGAACTAAATGCAGGCCATTATTATATTCTCCTACTCTATGACGTTATGGCCTCTCTTTGTTTCTACAGTAGCTCAGGATGGACAAACCAGCTCAGGTGAAGGCTTTTAACGTTTGATTTTTATGTGGCCTGAAGGCCAATGATCCTTCAAAAACTTCCACCAGGTAGTCTGCTTCATATTTAGTTCAATGACGTGACTGACGGGCCTATTTTTGTGTCCGAGTCCATTTCTCTCGTATTAAAATAAATGCATCAATGCAAGAGATATATAATGTCTTTTTATGGGACTTTTACGTTGAAGTGAGGTGCAGAGCAGCTAACAAGAAATTGCAGGATATGACCTTTATGGCTGAGTGAAAATGTGTCCGTCTCAAATGTTTGTATACATATCTCACACACACACACACACACCGACCACTTTATCAGGTACACGTGTTCAATTGCTTGTTAACACAAATTGCTAATCAGCCTCGTTTGATGAGTCTTTCAGATTTCAGCTGCGACATTCGGATGGTCGGGTCAGAACGTGATGTAAACAACATGACAGCATGGATTCATCCTGCCTTGTATCAACGCTTCATGCTGCTGGTGTGGGCGATATTTCTGTGGCACAGCTTTTGGGCCCTGAGTACGAATTGAGCATTGTTTGAATGCCGCAGACTACCTGAGTTTGGGGTCGACGGTGGCGCAGGGGTAGAGAGGGTGCTCCATGTCAAAGTGTCCCTGAGCAAGACACCTAACCCCTAATTGCTCCCTGGGCAATGTTAAAAGCCATGGGTTGAAAAAATGCAATGGAAGTCGCTTTGGATAAAAGTCAGCTAAATGACCTGTAATGTAATGAGTGTTGTTGCTGACCATGTGCATCCCTTTGTGACCTCAGTTTACCATCTGATGGCTACTTCCAGCAGAATAATGCAACGTGTCACAAAGCTCATATCATCTCAAAATGGCTTCTACAACATGACAATGAATTCACTGTACTCCAATGGCCTCCACAGTCACCACATCTCAATCAATGGAGAACTTCTGGGACGTGGTGGAACGGGAGATTTTCCTCATAGATGCACGCAACAACTGCGTGATGCGGTCATGTCAATATGGACCAAAACCTGTGAGGAATGTTTCCAACACCGTGTTGAAAGTATGACACCGAGAATATAGGCAGTTATGAAGGCAAAAGGAGGTCCAACCTTTTACTAGCAAGGTGCACCTAAAAAAGTGAATATGTATGTATGTATGTATATATATATATGTACACATACATACATACATACATACATACATACATACATACATACACACACACATTTCTCAACTTAGACCGTTGCCATAGAAAGTGTTCTAGCTCCCATAACCTTCAAATACTCAGCTAGGTTTTTAATTGATCAAATGGGAATTAGGATAAATTAAGCTCGATGGAAACTACTACAGTCACCATTAATTTAGATCCTGGACGTTAACAAACAAGATATTGGAATCAACAGAAAAACACATTTTAGGTTTAATAGGGGTTAAATGCCACATCACATGATTTAAGATAACATTATGGCCAACAGAATCGTCTGCTGGAAACAGTGGTTCAATATCACTTCACAACCTTCTCTGCAGACTTTTTAATCTGTTCCATTATTTAGAGAAGAAAAGTTCTCACAAAGTGATGCTCCTTGTTCAAGGATGTTTGATAAAACACACACAAAAAAAAAAGATTCGTTCACACGATCTTTAAGGGCAAAAAGTCAATTTTAATAAAAATGACCATATAACATTTATTAAAATCTAATAAAATTACAATTTTTAATCTACTTCAATTGGGGCCCGTATTGTGGGGTGCCAGGTCCCAATGTTGAAAATAAATACATCTCATCCTTGTTGTAGACTGAAACTGCAGACGTCCTATTGACTTCCTTCCTTATTGTTGTATTTCCTAGTTCCTTTTTTCTCTTCAGCATTCACTCACAGTAAAGCAGAGACACACACACACACACATTAAACAGCAGGAAAAAAATAATCTGAAGCAACAGGAGAGTTAAAATAAGTCTAAAAAGAGTTTGTATGTCTGTTTACGGATATCCTTTTCAGAGCATGTTAAAAAGATTCATGTCTAGATATGCATGTTTGATTGTTTTTTAAAAGCAAAGTCTAGCCAGCCAGTTGATTCTCGGCTGACGTGCACCACGCTGGACATTAAATCAAAAGGGAAAGGAGGTTTTCCTTGTGTAGTGTATCAGTTGCTCGTAAGTAAAAAGTAACAAACAACTAATTTTTCAATACAAGTTGAAAATCAGTAATGTCTCTGTCCCATGAACAAAATGTCTGATAGTGATGTTCGAGAGGTATGCTCATTAGAGTCAGAGGAGAAGATAGACACCACTCTCATGTCGGTACACTAAATATGAAGCAACAGCCAGGAGCTGGTTAACTTAGCATAACAACTTGAAAATGACCAGCATTGTACCCAAATCCAACAACCACCACATCTAAAGCTCACTGATTAACACTTTCAGTCTTAGTTACATAATAGGAACAAAACAATGTAGTTTTGCTTTTGTAAAACTGGGCCAAGCCAAAAGCTAGCTTGTTCCACCCCCCCCCCAATAAAAACATTGGATTGTAACACCGTTTTTGTACGGTTTAAGCAAACAAGATGGAACATCTTAATGGGATTTAAAAAGATCTTAACAAGCCGTTCCCCCCCGTTAACGTTCTTTATGCTATGCTAAGCTAACTAGGTCATGCTACATGTTTAGCTTACAGAGGTGACGGTGGCTTTCTTGTCCAACTCTCTGAAAGTATAACATGTCTGCTTTAAAAGAGGAGAAAGTAACAGACTGTGTATTTGCAGCTGTGTGTGTCCTTTGAGTCTCGTAAAATGTAAATTTTCTTAACACAGATGTCATACCAAATGACCGTCGTTTAAATACTCATTCCCCCCAAAACAGAAACAAAAATCTACATTTTTCCACCAATACTGAAAAGTTCATAGGATATGTCTGGTGGAAAAGTTGATGGTGTGTGTGTGTGTGTGTGTGTGTGTGTGCAGGGGTCTCCAGTCAAATTTTGCTAAAAACTTAAATTAAAAACACAGTTGGAATCCATAAAATACATTTCAGTCTCTTTCACACTATCGGCGGGAGAATCTGTTCTTGAAAGCTTTGATAGTTTTGGCCATCATTGGGGCGATTTCTGCAGGAGAGAATAGATGGTCTGTGTTAGATTTAAAAAGAAAAAAAACCCTAATATAATTCTTGGTCTCTTTCTGTTCTTTCTTTCCTTTTTTCCCGTCACATGAGCACACTCGCACTTACTTTTGACCTGTGGTTTGTCCCGGGCTGCAGGACCTCCAACGCCTGCTGCACCACCACCACCACTGCTGCTGCTGCTGCTGCTGCTGCCACCTGGTGCGGAGGAGCGAGACGAGCCGGGAGACGGGTTCAGTTGGGGGGAAAAGGAGCGACTCGATTCACCAGAGTAGTCTGTGGTAGCTGGTCTTATTCTGAAGGACACAGGAAGAGGAAAAAAACAAAAAAAATTTAACCGTGCGGAATACAAAGCAAGACAAAGTCCTAATCTGAATCAACAAGTGCAAGAAATAAATGATGGAATTTATTTAAAATATCTATCAAGCCTTACAATAAGACTATAAATACACTCATGGATAAAACCTGTGCACACATCAATAAAACCACGATATTCCATCTCAACATTCCCGCTTCAACAGCAAACTCAAGTCCTAATCCCCAGATTGTCCACGTTCTTGATGCCATACTGACTTGAAGGGAGCTGCTGCGGCAGTGGAGCTGGCTGACGAGCCGCTGATGGTGCCGAACTTCTCCTGTCGGCGGCGGACGTCTCGCGGCGGCTTGGCGACGGAATTTACAAACGCCATCTTGACCTGGCGCCCTGCCAGGACAAACGCAACGCATTCGAACTAGGAATGCTGATCTGTGCTGTCGCTGCAGAAATGAACACATTTAGCGCCTCGATGTTTCTCCTACCTTTGGGCTTGTTGGCTTGGGAGGAGTGGATGTTCTGGGTCAACATCTTCAGTCGCTCCTTGCGCTCGTCGTGCAGCCTCAGATACATCTCCCTCCACGACTCGTACTCTTGAGGAGACTCTCGCTTGAAGTCCCGCTTACAATGCCGCATCCACAGCTCGCCGGATTCCTCTGTAAACCACTGCAAGAAGGGAGGAGCGAAATCAATAAGGATCAACAGCAGTCTTTTTACATGTTGTCCTGGTCCTTTGGTTTCTTCTTCCACCTTTCTTGCCCATTTTAGCAAGTGAGGTAAGGGGTTGTAATTTGGTCTCTTTGATAGCGATGTATTGTCTGTATACATTGTTAGTTAAAAGTTGTTTTTTTGTTATTTTTCCCTTCCTGAAGTAAGATCTGAGCGCCTACAATTGCTGTGTCTCGACCACCCACAGAGGATACTGCGTGTTGTACTGATACGGGTCCTCACAAGCGCAGAAATAAATAAAATGCTGGCGTCACCTGGTTGTTCTGCTCGATGCGGAACAGCTGCTCCGGTGTGCAGCGCTCCAGCACCGGCTCCATGATATCGAACGGCACTCCTCCGACCTCGGTGATGGCTGGAAGAGCAGAGTTGGTTTTAGCCACCTAAATATAATGTGCGGGGGGCCTGGAAATGTTTGACTCTCACACATTTGTCCAGGAATTGGGACGGTTTTATGCTTTGTAGGGTCTCTATTACTCTGGTAGTATAAAACGCCAAATAAAAAAATCTTTAAGATTGTTTGTGATTAAGTTGGGTTATATTATATTTGTGCCACCCGTTAAAAGTCTCCATGCCACCGCTCCACTCACAGTCGATGTTGTTCTGCAGCACACGGATGCACTGCTCGTACAGAGTCATCATCTTGGGCAGGTAAGCGGTCTTCGATCCGGAGTAGACCATCATCTTGGAGTTAAACCGCTTCCCCGTGAAGCCGGAGTCCTCCTCGTCGTTGCACACAGGAACTGAAAGCAGAGAAAGGAAGTGTGTGAGAGACTGGGTGACACGGAGGAGGTCAGGACGGACTTTTACAGATGCGGGGACACTGACAGAAAAAGGAAAGAAAAACAGAATAAGGTATGCGTTAATGGAGGCCTTAGTGTTGAGAAGTGGAGCTTCCAACGAGGACCAAGACATGTGTTGTTTATACGCAACATTTTACCGTCTGAACTGCAGCATTACAACAGTGAACAGAACCAATGTCACATGTGCTCTTTCTACATGCCATCATCATGAACTATATTATTGATGTTATGCAATCAAACAATATACAACAGACAGATTCACAGCTGCTCTTTTAGGTGCTCACAGAAGAACAAACTTACTTCTAGAGGATGTGTTCTTTAAGTTTCAGTCAAACATGGCATCATTTTGAACGTGGGAATAATTTCTCTGTCTGCATGTATGCGATTACAAAAAGCCAATTAGAAACCCTGTTACTCGTAGACATGAAGATGAAGTCAGCCCTCTAGAGACGTAGCCGGGGAAACAGGGTTCCTCGGATTCCCAAATCCCACATGAGACAAACCAGATTTATTGTTTACATAACATTTAAGAAATCTACTGGAGAAAGCCGAGCGTTGCTCCATCGAAGCACTGCGCCTCAGTCATAGCTGAAGGTTGTAAAGACTTTGTCAGCAGGGAAGCATTGTCAGCAGGGAACCCGTGGAGGAGTGAAACTGTCTCTAATAAATACTAAGACTACATAATGTGAGGATTATATTGAACTACCAGGTGACTGTTCTTTGGATGGCCATCGTTGTTCAGGAGGACGGCTCGTGCCGTTTCATCAACAGGACATGCGTTTATTAGGGTGGGGGGGCATTACCTTTCCGTCTCTGAGGAGACAGCGGCGTTACGTCGATGGAGGGCAGAGGTCTGTAATTGGGTTGGATCGCTGGCAGATGGATTTCAGGAAGAGTTGCAATGACCTCAACCACCTACAGACAACATCACGTTAACATCGAGGATCTCATAACAGCTTTTTTTTTTTTTTCAAACAAAAGTTTCAAATCAGTCAAATAATACGTTTCAAAAATGCTTTTGGGAACATCAATCTATTTAACTGATATATAACAGATATGCTAAATAAGAAGCTACTTGAGAGGCTGATCACCCGTTTACAGTGAAACGTAATTTCATTTGTGTTCAGTGATGTAAACCTGTAAACCTGTTTGGGATCTAGAGGGTTAATGCTCGCTCCTTGCAATTATCTTATGGGTCAAAACTTACTCCTGCCAGAAAACAACTAATTGCATTGTGGAAGAAAAAACAACAATAAAGCTGCAGCAATTTTGATAATTGATCAATCTCCAAAAAAAATGTTGGTTGGGTTGCAGCTTATTCAATGAGAGCAACATGATCATATTTACGGTTTGCAATTTTTGTAATCTGGCCCTCACCTGCGGCTGCCATTTAATAGACAAAATCACAAATCCATTGAAAGAAAAAATAAATGGCACATTAATCAATAATGAAAATAATGCTGATTTGAAAAAAAAAAAACCAAAGCAAATGTAAAACATATCTGTTGCTGTTCTTACCCGCTTGCGTTTTTCCGCTGTGGCAGAAGCGGAGCCTGAATGCGGCCTCTTGGTGCTCTGCGTGCCGTTGGCTTTGCTCCCCTTGGCGGAGGAGGAAGATGAGGAGGGGGCAGGCGGAGGGGTGCGTGAACGACGTGAGGACGCCGTGGAGGCGGACGATGGCGGCTGCTTCTTCTTCTTCTTGACGGGTGTTGGGGCGTCATATGTGAGGAAGGACTCAAAGGACATGGTGGGAGTGTCAAAGTCTTCCTCCTCTTCCTCGGGCTGCGAGTCCTTCGGCGCCCGCGGTTGCCCTGGAAAAAGGAGGCAAATGGAAGTTAGAATGAGCAGGGAATCGTGTGAAATCATCTGAAAATGGGGAAACCCTTCCAAAGCTGGGGTGCGGTGACAGACTAGGGCCATTAATGGATTGTCTAGTCTACAAAAGACCATCACAAGTTCCCCACGGACCAAAGTGACGTCTACAAACTGGATAATGTTTTGTTCATGTTGAAGATTTCACGTGAAGATTTTAGCTTATTATCTAGGCAGAGATTTTTCCAGAAATATTTTACAGTTTTTGTATGTCAGGTTTGCACAACCTAAGACACAGACTCTCTCCCATAAACTGCCGTTTGAACGTCTATATCAAGATGAATTAGCAGTTTCCTCTGGCATCAGTTTTGGCGAGCTGACAGATCCACCTGGTGTTTCATTCTCAGCTAAAGGGAAAATGAATGAATTATCTTCCAAGACGTTTGACAATATTACTCTTCACATTTAAAAAAATCTAGCAAATTACAAACAACATTTTCGCCTGAAAAATTGCTTCCCTTTATGGAGAAACTATTACCGTCCTATGACGACACACACAAATGTTTGTTATCAACATATAGTAAAAGAAATCTAATGACATTGCTGCTAAGTCTAAGGACAGAGCGATCACCCGGCAAATTATTGCAATAATGAGTTCCTGGTTTCCTGTCAGCAGGGTTACTGATTGTATCTCCATTAGCTGGTAGCGGATGCCGCTGTGTCTCTGCTGTGGCCGGTTCTTTTTAGGGCTGACGAAACAGAAACTTGGTCCCTGGTGTTCAGAGCAGTCCAAACAATCATCCAACTAAAAACAGTTGCATCATTGCCACTTTCTCAATGATTGGTTCAATGTTTTCACAAAACGCAGGTGTTTTGTGAGTCCAGCTCTGGACCGTCGAGACCAAGCAAAGTAGTCATGAGCGAGTGCCTTCTCTTCTTAAAATATATTTTTTTATTGCTGTGGTATTTCATTAATTGTTTGTCATTTGTTGAGGGAAATATGAATTTTGAATATTGAATATTATTCCTCTTTAGATGAACAGTCCTGATTTCAGTATTGTAATCATCATGCGCCGTGTTGTACAGCCTTAATCCCTGTTGTCCTGCTCTTGTTTCCTTTTACGTAATCTTGTTCCAAACTGATTCATCCTCTCGTTCCAGCTCTATATTGAACAATGGTTTTCTCTAAATTGCCTCATCATCACAAACTTTATCTCTGGTGTCGGTGAACCGCTTCCGTCCAACACACTCACCGTCGTCTCCTCCTTTCTTCTTCTCCTCCCTCTTACTCTCATGCGTGGTGGACTTCCTGCTGTGCTTTGCAGACTTTGTCACTGGACTCTCTTTGTCTGTGCTGCGGTTCTTTCCTTCGCCGTCTTCTCTCGCTCCTCCTCCTCCTGCTGCTCCTCCTTCTCCTCTCCGAGCGCTACTTGTCTGTGTATGGCGTTGCCGGCGCTCCTCGTCTCTGTTTCTTTCGCCGTGGGAACCGTGGTGGTGGTTTTTGTTGGTTTCTTTGCTTGGTTTGGCGAGGCGGACCTCTTTGCGAAGAGGAGGAGGAGGAGGAGGAGGAGGACTGGGCTCGGGCTCGGGTTCGGGTTCGTGCTCGGGCTCGGGCTCGGGGCTCTCGTACTCATCCGACTGGTAGCCTCCTCGCCGCGGAGGGCTGTAGTGCTGGTTCCGAGGGGGTGAGGGCGAGTAGTTTGTGTGATAGCCTCTCTCTACTTCCAATTCCTCCTCTTCCTCATGGAAGGGCTCCTCCTCAGGGGACGGCTCCCGGGTGCGTCTGTGGCCTCCTCCTCCGACCCCCCCACCCGCCTCCGGGCCTCGAGAGTGCGTGTGTGACCTCGGTGGCTCTTTGACGTTGGTGGCTCTGAGGTACAGCGATGGGAAAAAGCACTTTTTTTGTTTGTTTTAAATGCAAAACATGCAATAACAAGACGTGAAGCATTTGGAGTTTACATTTATACATCTCCTACAGATTCACATAGCAGTAATTCATCAAGTCTGAACTGATGTTAGATGATGTGGAATATGATGAACGAGATAAAAGAATTTGCACAACTGTCCGTCAGCAGGAAGCAAGTTCCTACCTTTACCCCACAGCGCTTATTTATTTAATCTAGAATAATGGTTCCCAACACGGGCGCCTCAAAGGGCTCAAAAGATAAACACAATTTACACGGAATTTAACAGAAAAAAAACATTCCTTAAGATACGCACGAGATACACAAGATAATTTAATATCCTCAAGCATTAATTATGCAATTAAGCATAAATTAAATGAAAAAGGCTATGGGCCCAGTGGTCTATGTGTTTCATATCTATTTTCTGATTTGAGAGTTATTCTATAATTTTACAGCAGCAAAATGTGTTGCACAACAGCTGCAGCTTCGTATAGACTTTTCATGAGCCCAACAGCACAACTAGTCACCGCTCTGATTTACTGTGAGGCGTCTTTGATGGTTCGGTTTTGTTGCATTTTGATTTTTAACCTAAAATAAAAAGTTAATGAGGAACAAAGACAGTTTCAAGAGAGCTGAATTATTGATTATTTGTCTCTGGAGTTTTCATGTAATTGCTCCATTTTTAATCCTGCGTCTCATTACGTCTCAGCAGAGTTCTTTCCACAATATAACTGCATCGAAGTCAAAAATGGGCTCAGATTTATCCCACATACTGTGTCGAAGCCGTTGATTGAGTTTAAGACCGCTGCGACAGATATTGCATCGCCATTGCATTTGTTCCCTGCAGGATTAGACACACACGGTTTACAGGGACATGAGAGCTAAAGCAGGGACATCTCCAGCTACCCACGACGTACCTGTCTGACTGAGGAACCAGCTTCTTCCATTTGGCCACGAGGCCTTTCGCCATCTCTCCACCCAGCTGATGCTTCCTAAAAGAATTGACAGTCTTCCCGACTCCGGTTTCCTACAAGAGAGCGCAAAACAAAGTCGAAACATAGACGTCGATCACGCTTTCTTTGAGCTGGATTTACTTATTCACTTAACCAACGCAAAGTAAGGTCAATGAAATCCTGATGGTTCATATTTGTATCTAGTTTGACGTCTTCTTACAGCTCGTCTGTTGTTTGGCAGCTTCATCTTTTGCAAATAGATCTGATTGGTGAGAAACATGTTGAGGCTGCACTGATAATTTGCACAATTCACAACTTTTAGAAAAGAGAAGGCTGCCCGAGGAACAAAACGTTATTGTTCCAAGCCAAGCTGCAATTCTCACACTACAAACGTCCGTTTGACATTAGTCAGAAGTTAAACGCCTTGCTTAAGAGCTCTTCCCCCACTGGTGTGGAAATTAAGAGGACCCTTACCACCAGTATTTCCACAGTCATGGGAAGCTCCCCCAGTCTTTTCAAAGTCTTCAGAAGCTGGAAAACAAGAGAACATTTGAATTATTGATAGGAGGTATTCAACTCAACACATTTTCAGTATTGATTATGTACATATTATGCACAATACATATTTTTTTATGTCTGAAAACGCCGGTGTACACTCAGTCTTTCCCCAACATGTATATAGCCGCAGCGCGGCCCCCCCGCAAGACAGTCTCAAAGTTTATTTTTACGTTTACAATTCTCCACTGTAAAATTGTCAATTAAATCAACTACAATAATATAAAATATATGTATTCTTCTATTTGGAGACATTTGCACAAGTGGTGAAGCGATAGTGTTTGTGATCAATGTAAATAAATCATCATCATCATAAAAAAGGGATGCATGTGTTCCATACTTAGTATACCAGTATGTTGTAACACGTGAAACCCAAAAAAACATCTTCGTGATGACGTCATCCCGGAGCTCAGTCACATCACTCTGTGCATGCTGGAGTGATTAAAACCGCTGATCAGTGGATCAGGACGATTAACGCTACGTGATCTTATTCTCACTATGTTTGTTCACATTGATCTGAATGAAGTATTTGATCAAAAGAAATCACCCTCGTGGTTAATCGCTGGGAACTGTTTCATTTACAGTGAAATGAAACAGAAGCGTCGGAAACTGACTGGAAACAGCAGCATTCACCAGCCCTGCGTCATGGAGACGAAGTGATAACGTGGCCTAATGTTTTACTACAGCCCGGCCTGTAGTAAAACATTCTCTCATGTAATATCGCCATTTTTAAATAAAATACTGACTTCTCGAACCCGGAATAAAGCTTCTGTTTACCAAATATATCACACAGGGGACGACTGCTTTGTTTTGGAAGGCTCCATTTGAGCAGTGAAAGTAAACAAAGAGGGGTCGGACATTGTCATTTATCATTTATTTGCTTATAGTTTTCAATTTTTTGAGAGCAGATTGAAACGTAGCGCGGTGCAGCTGCTGCGTGACCGAAATTAACGTTAGATGGATCTTTTTAACATTGCAGGCCTGGAGTCATTGCAACGTTTACTGTCATCACTTTACGCACTAGCGTCAGTTAGCTTGATGGCTAACGGCTGCTCTGTCCGAGTGTCGCTTTCAGAGAAATGACGCGTTAATGTCATTATTTTAATGGCGGATAGAGTGTCTATGGGAGGTTATTAAACCAAGCTGACATTAGTTGATAATGTATCAAAGATAGCGTTAAGAAACAACGTTATAACTAGTTAAAACCCCTTAATTATTGTGACGTCTCTCGTGGTGCCTTTGGGTGCTGTCGGACATGCTGGGATTCTAAAGTTAACACTAATGAATCACATCCATGGAACACATTTTGTTTTCTTATTTTCCCACCAACATATAATGGAAGCAAATTTGAGATAGTGTGTATATAAAAATGTATATAAAAATAATATCAGTAAGGAATACGGATTATCGATAAAGTAGAAAACTATTATGTTGACCGAAATACAAATCTTCTCATAGTTAAAAATGGATATCAAGCTAAAGCAACATAATGCTCTAAATTAAGTTGAAAATTAGAAAATAACAGTTATTTATATACATTATTTATGACTTGTGTTTTGAGGGTAAATAGGCTATACCAATCATAGCTGCCTCTGTATTATTGTTTTTTGTTGTTTAAGTTTATTTAAAAACATTTTAAAATATTGTAGTGCCAAACAACCCAGTGTAAACACTTGGATTCAATGTGTAGCTGCCATGGCACTTATTCATTTCAGCCCGATTATGAATACTTGGTGATTGGTGGGCTGTTAAGGTTCTTCTTCCTGTGTTGTAGGACTGCTTTATAGTTGTCGCAAGTAGCCACAACTCGATTAGACTCACCAGCCACTAATCTGTTAAACAACCAACAACATAATTGCTAGTGGAAACGGCCGTAGTTTTAGAACAAGCACCATGTGTATATAAAAAGCAGCTGAATGGTCATCGGCGTTAAAGATTGTCAAGAAAACGGGTCCTGAGAGCGGCCCTCAAATGCAGCATCTAAAATAGCGTTGCGACTTTTACACAACTGCCGTGGCCGCGGCTTCATTTCGGGCCGCCGCAGACGAACCTTCGAATATCGGACGACATTCGGTGCAGCACACCGAATGTGTCCGTCTACAACTGCTCAGTCGTTACCTTTCGAGGCTCCGGATTCTCCAGGAGCCGCGACTGGAGTCTATCCACTGCTTCCAGCAGTTCCTCCGCCATGTTTACTGCTGGTAGTCCGTCGCCCGGAAACTACTTCATCCTGACAGAGCTGAGGACGCGTGAAAAAACCGAGCGGTTCCGCCAAATCCGGTGAACGCAACGCCGAAGAAGAGACGTCACACCCGTAACATATATTCAACAATTTAAAAGAATAAAGAAATATAAGAAGGATACAACTATTTATAGTGTGGAGGAAATCGGAGGATTGTAGTTAAATGACGAGGAGCGTAGATATATATATATAAAGGCTTTTATATATCTGTGATGAGGAGTCACTAAAGGCGGAAGTACGTCACAGTAACGACGTCACAGTACAGAGGGCGCAGCACGCCTGTTGGTTTGACGTCAGTCAAAACGCTGAATAAGCGTTTGATAACTGCTATGTAACCTGTCAGAACAGTGTCGTCTTTCATATAAAGAAGAACACTGTTTACCCAAATAAACCTATTTAGTTCTTTTTAGAGTCAAATTTATATTACAGTATATAATAAACATACACATTCTGATAAGTTGAGATAATTGTGTTGTGTAAAAGTCGCAACGCTATTTTAGATGCTGCATTTGAGACCCGTTTTATTATTTCCACATTTATTCCACTTTATACTGACATTCCAGTCCATTCCACTATATCTGACAGCTGCGTTGCTTTGCAAAGTAAGTGAGCATAACCTACATATTATTTATAAACCATGACGCATTTTCACAAATTGAACTATCTAAGATTAACTAGTTCGAATTAATGGAGGAAAAGACAATTAAATGGAATATGGTATGTATTATATAACAATAAAACACGTACAGCAATTTGGCAGAATGACTATTTTTTCTTTTGATACATTTGTAAGAGATATTTTCTAATACTCTTATATGGAAAATGTTCAAATAAGTACCAAGAATGCAAGACATGAATTATTTTAAGACTGCACTAGACATTAAAACAGCATTGGGGTTGAATTTGGATAAAATACTCCTAGTTTTAGTTGTGAGCTATTTACACACTATTATCATTGTTGTTATTTGAGTTGTCATGTCCATAAACCAAATTTGCAATGGATGTTGTTGTGTAATTTGGAGTGAAACTGAAGTTACTTCATCGTTCATGCAATCAGAAGAAATGTATCAACATAACTAATCAAACAATAGTGCAGAAATCTAACCCAACAAACAAGCCACAGTATCAGTGTCCTTTTTGGTATTTGTACTTTTACTCCAGTAAAGGATCTCAACACTTCTTCCATCTCTGTTTGTTAATATATAGTAAATCTATCTGATCATCAGCTGAAGCGGCCTTTCCAGAGACACACTTCAGATAAGAAGCTCTGAACCTTTTCAGGTAGATTCCTCTGGTGAGTTCCTCCTGTTTTGGATTGAGGGAACTCGACGATTAAAAACGTAAAGCAGACTCAGGGCCAAATCTCTGAGGGGGGGCGGTGAAGGGCTGGGTGCTAAATGAGCAGGCTTCCAATGGGATATTTTTGGAGGGGAGGGCGACAGCGAGTGCCTGTATTTGGAGATGGAGGTAGACGTTGGAGGAGGTGGGAAATGGAACAAGGGGCTCGGATGTGAGGCGCACGGACCCGTGGTGGGATTTTAGGGGTTTGTGGGTGGAGGAGTCATACGTCACAACGTTGGATGGGAATCTGATTTTCCTCTGATGCTGAGACACACACACACACACACACACACACACAGACACACACACAGACACACACAGCCCTCAGACAGAAGACAGACGGACGAAGTAAAGGAGAGAGAGAACGTGAGGGAGAGTTTAAAGCGAGAAACCGAGAGAGCAAAAGGAAGAAGAGCAGGAACCAGGAGGGAGAAAGAGGTAAAAACAAAACACTTTGTTTTACTGCCTAACAATTCACTGGGAGAAGAAGCGTTTGTCACTTAAAGCAACCGGGGGGTTACTCTGACACAGAGTATTATGCCTAATGAGTACTGTTTTTAGATGTTTGATTTTTTGCATTATTTCATTGCTACTTTTCCTGAAGTCAAATATGACTAAAACACTGGATACTGCATATCAAATGATACATCCAATAACAGCATCATACCAATTACAATGTATACTTTATTATAATAGATTTATATTCAACCGCTGACTGCAAAAATTGACTATGTTGCCCGTGGTCGTGTGGGAAGGATTAAGTTACTACTCTACAGTCGTTCCAGTCCTCAGCTATAAAACACACACAAACAAAGGACATGTTGTGTGTGTCAGCCCCTATAAATACATATACAAGATGGGCAAGGAATTCAGCTGCAGCCACAGAACGGTGGGATTTGGGGAGGCACGCAGTGTGCTGTTTTATGTGTGTCTGTGTAGGTCCAAGTGGCGGACAAAATAACACAAACACTTGGATTTGGATTATTGCAGAATTAGGCATTAAACGTATACGATACATTTTTTTGTTTAGGGCCGGAGTAAACGCTAATGTATAATGTCTATAAATGAACAGCACGGTCACATGACTTCAACGAATGTCACTCACAATCTGAAGAGACATTTGGTGACTAATTTTATATTTTAGAACAGGGTTATAAATATCTTAAGCTTGTCTTAAACACAAACTGTATTTCAGGCTTATAAGCAAAAAGCCAGTCAAAACTAACGTTGCCCTCAGACATCGGCAGCTCGACAGGTTCTTTTTGCACTTTATGCCAGAGCCCTGCAGACAATCACACGTTGCTTGTTAATTCCTCTTTGTCAACTCTATGGCGTCTTTGATTCTCTTTTAGCCAATTATTTTTAATTCATAGCAACGTAACTGTTTTGGTTCTCTCACCGATCTCATAACCTCGTTTTGTGGCTGCAGTCAAAGTTTTAGTCAAAAAAGCCCCACTGTTTACTACCGGCTCTGCATCAGCAGGCACACACAGTTAGCGACTACTTGGTAAACATAGTGCAGCTTTTAGTAGTTAATAATAGACACATATTTTTCCTCCGGAGTGGGCGGAGAAAGAAAAACTGAAGCAAAAGTGATGGAATATTAGCGTACATTCATCTCATAAATAGGAATACAACTCCTTCGATCTGCTGTGAGGACAAATTAGCAACCGCATGCTACATTTTTTTTCATATAAACCTGACACGTAGTCTCATATTCACAGATGGTTTTCACTGCTTTTAATTACAGGTTAAAAAGGCAATTATTTAAATCTGATGTTTGGGCATCATCAAAACAAAGTGGATTTATAAGAATGTGGTTCCTGCTCAACCACGTTGAGCATCTTCAAACACTGAGCAGATTCACGCACTGAGGTCGCATCTAAAAATAAAACCAACGACCCGTTCGGTGATAAGATTACCTCTCCTCTACTCTACTCATGCACCAGGACAGTTTCTTTTGCTGTTTGAATTAACACACACACACACACACACACACATACGTACGTCACCTGGTAACCACAAACTACTGTGCAATTATAAATGTTTTAATTCACATGGAGGAACAGTTTTCTTTCTTCAAGATACACAGAACAGCTCTAGATAACAGAGGAGACAGTTTCAATACTATGGCTTTAAACCTGACTTATAATGCTAAAGACATTAGGAGCGAATGGGCAGCAACCACAGGATGTTATGCATGCAAAGAATGTCAATTGGTAAATAGAAGCTGCAAATTGGAGGAGCCCACCTGTGGTCGAGCTCATTATCATATAAAAACATCTTTTCTGCGTTTCTTTCCCATTGCTATCACAATAACTTATAAGACATATAACAACAAGTAAAACTACATACTATATATGTACCAAATAGAAAGGAAAACACATAAGAAAAAAATGAGCTGAGCGACTAAAACACGGGTTGGTATACCTTTGCATTCATTTGAAATGATTCAATTGGGAGTGGACCAACTAGACCTGTTTTACATGTAATTAGTATTACAAGGAAATGATGAGTAAGTATAATCTTTTAAATCTTTTAAGTAAAGCATTGCCAGTCATTGGCAGCGCTGTTAAACAACAGGAGGGTTAAAAAACGATCTACAAGACTATACTCTGCTTCGGCTGTTAAGCAGTGCTGTTGGTTCCAGTATATCTGTGATGGTGATGATGGTGGTGGTGGTGGTGGTGATGGTGGTGGTGTGGTTGGGCGTGAGGTTTGGTTCTCAGTATGGTGGCTGACGGAGCAGCTGCTCCCTGCGCTAACCTTGGTCCCGGATATATCTGAAGGCTGATTATTTTCATGCCACAGAATGACTGAACCAAGTGGATGGTTTGTCTGAAATGTGGGCAAGAACTTTTACATCTCGTAGATTTTAGAGTTTGGGAATTTTTATTTATAGTTACAAGACTCTTTGTTTTGGTCCTGTGCCTTTCTATACGTCTACACAACAAAGAGATTTAGCGAGGATAACGGAAAAATCCAACATGTGAAAAATAAAAATGTATAACACAATTCATCCTCTCCCTCAGATTCGTCTGCTGACCCTTTGTAGGAGGTCGACCCCTATTTTGGAAACCACTGTACTTAAAGCAGTTAAAACAGCAAAATGCTCAGTATTGATAATGTTACAACGTAATCCATGAATATTTTACTCTGTAACTTTGCAGATTTTATTATTTAAGTAAAGACGATGCATCTGTCTTTATTTGTGAGCTTTTGGGAATGTTTTTAAGGTTTAATCTGTTTATTAGGACCACACTGCCCAAACGGTGTAATAGTTGTCTTCCACCTGGTTGATTGAGCATCAAACAAATACGTGTTTGACATCACCTCCAGTTTGCCCTGAGCCGATTCATCCAACCCCACGTGCTTTAATGGCCCAGGGTCACATTCACTGAAACTCTTCGCAGATGTCAAATAACAACTTGTATTCAATTTTTCCTGGCGGCCAATCGTTGCTTCTCCAACTGTTTAAAGCGGGTTGCGACACATCGACAAGTAGCCTGTGAGCCCTTCCTCTGCATATGACACCGAGAACAGCTGCTGCCCCGTCATGTGGCGTCCTGTCTCGCTCCATGTGTGGAGCCGGCCAGCCTGTGGATGCTATTTAAAACGAGGGAAGTTCAGATGCTGAGCGAATGAGACGGGGCGGAGAGAAGGGACGGGCGTGTGCGTGCCTGCGGTCAGAAGCACCGGCAGTAGCATTATCAGCCTTGTCGGTGTTATTCAAACTGGCCACTAGATGAGGTCATTAAAAGACGTGGGAAATGGTCAGAGAAGGTATTTAGAAATAGAGACATCAGGACTTTAGTTTAGGAAAGTAGACAATCTGACGTTGTTTCAAGAGCATTAAGCTCAAGAAACTTTCAATCACATCAATGAGAATAAAATGTCAAATAAAGGATCAGTGTGGGACCGAATTTTATTTACTATAAATAATTATACTGTCTTCCGTGTACAATGACCTAAAAGCGGTTGTGTTTTCGTGACCTTAGAAGAGCCATTTATATCTACAAATGAACAGTTGCTCTTCACAAAGAGCCACATGTCTACAGTACATACTGTCCTTTGAAGAGTCCGCAGTCACAGCAGCAGCTCTGTCAACTAAATGCTAGTGTCAGAATTCAAATTTGCTCCCAATGACAATCCTGGCACACTGATCTCACCATTTTAATTTAGCGAGTTCAACTGGAAAACATTTGCTGATTTTTGGACAAACTGAAAGTTGGACGTGATTTTGGCGCTAAATGAAGTGAGGGAAAGAGCATTCCTACTGCGGCCTCGGCCCGAGTCCCCAAATAGCCGCTGACACCACCGAGCTGATCTCTGCACCGCGGCTCAGGTGAACCACAACAAAGCGCCAGCCAGACGCAAAGCTCCTGTTGCTGTTTAGCGTCCCCTCACTGCGAAGCCCTTCAGTCACGTTGGCCAAATGTTAAGAACTAGCAGTTAGCGTTACGTTTGGTGGCAATGCACAGCCTCACTGCGATGGGTGGAGAGCTGATCAGCTGATCGATACGTTTGGTGTTGTTTCTCCAAAGCTGCTAAATGTGGACCTGAAAACCAAAACCACACCAAAAGATATTTCCTCCTCAAACATGACGCCGATTAGTGAAATGAGTGCACTCCTTGCCTTTAACATCAGTATAGAATCTGGTTGGTTCTGGACGCTATTGCTGACCACTTATAGATCTTTGTTGTTGTTGTTTTTGAGAACGGAAATTCAGATGCATGCTCTGTAAATCCCCTCCAAGTGCCTGCGGGGCCCCATTGCTCCCGTTTGTTTATCAGAGGCTCCCTGTAATCTCACTTACACGTATAGTCCCCCGCTCTGCCGCAGTTGGCATCATTAATGAGATTTCCTCCAGCTGCATTACGTTCCTCGCACACCAGAAATACCGACGCCGGAGCTTCTTTACGGGACACTCGCACCTGTCCCTCCCTCTGCCTCCGGCTCATGGAGACAGTGTGTAGGTGATCCCCCGTCGGGTTCTGTTGTGTTGTGTGTTGTTAGAGATTAACTGAGAAATGTGCATCTGTCAGTAATGTCGTGTCCATGAAGCATAAAGTTTAATAAAGGCGGGAAACACTTGCCAGGGCGAGCCTCGGCTCTTTACTGTTGGCTTTGCAACACAGTTTAATAACTATAACAGAAACCTTTAAGAGCAATGAAGAATAAAAATCACATCCATCTTATTGAGTTATTTAAATAAAGTTCCAGTTTCTGTGGACATCATCTTCTTTTTTTATCATTGTCAAATTATTATATTACGGAAATACGGTGTCTGTTGATTAAAATGTAAAAAACAATAGGATTTAGAAGGATAGATTAGCTTTACTTTATACATCTGAATGTTGATTTTCACCTTTAGTATCTTCAATGAACCCAAACAAAAGGCCACGTAAAGTTAGACAAACAATAAGTCAATAATAAGACAATAAAGACCAATGAAATGAAGAGCAAAGACTTTACATATGAAAATTAAATCTGTGTCTTTTTGTTTTCTAGGTGCTGTGTGCTGTAATCCCAAACAAGTCCAACCAAATTTTTAATAAAACTTCAGTTGATCAGCTGGATTTCCAGCAAGTGAAGCAACACCCTGAAGAGAAGTCTCAGTAAACCGTCCTTACTGTTGGAAACCATCGGGTGTAACGCAAACACATGCTAAAACCTAAAAAAAACAACATCACCGGTCCAACGATGGCGCCCAAGAAGAAGGCCTCCCGCCAGAAGAAGCCCGCCGCGGAGACCATCTCTCAGGCCGCAGTGGAGACCGCCGCAGTCCCGCTGAAGGTGGAGAGCCTCGGTGACGGTGTGGTGGTGGTGGAGAGCCGCGTGAAGAAGATCGAGCAGATGGCGGCGCTGGACATCGCTCAGCTGAACAGCCTCAATCTGCCGCTGCCGCCGCCGGTCATCGCGCCCGGAGAGCGAGGCCTCGGCCTGGGCAGCGAGCTGACCCGCCCGCTCCACGGCAACGCCCTGCTGGAGGAGCTCAGCAAGATGCGGCAGGAGAAGTGCGTTCAGATGCTTTCCGTGCTGCTTTGCAAGTGATGCTGATGCAAATTCATACAGTTTATATATGATATACATATACATACATATAACATGCAGTTAAGATACAGTATATGTACGATACAATATGCTAGAGTTACAGAAGATTACAATGCATACAATAACAGTACAATTAAAATATAATATTCTTACAATGAGCTAAAATCAAAACATGGTTAAATTAAAGTACATTTCAGTGATGACAATTTACAATTACTTTTCTGTAGTACAATTTATTTAAAAAATGATTCAATTATGATACAGCGCGATACATTTAACTTGTGTGGTACTGTACAATTATGATAAGTTAAAATATGCCGTGTCAGGTTCCTGACTGACCTTGAGTTGGCCTGCAAGACCAAAGCCTTCGACGTCCACAAGCTGGTCATCTCCTCCATCAGTCAGTACTTCAGGGAGATTCTGGCCAAAGACCCGGGCATGAAGCGCCTGGAGCTGCCCTCGCTCTCACCCCTAGGTACACCTTCCCATTCATAATTCATATTAATCCTCCAGATGAAGAACCCAAACGCACCGATATAAGTATTGTATGAGATGAGAACTACAGAATGTTGTAGTCTAAAATGATGCACAGGACGATGTTTGCCATAAACGGTGCGTTGAGGAGTCAGAATGTTGCTGAACTGACTTGGTTTCATGTCCTTTTTCAAGAATTCAACAGTTTTTAAACTCCTGACAAATACGTGGTCACATGTCCGGTCTCGCTCTGCCTGCAGGCCTGGCTAACGTCATCACCTTCGCCTACCTGGGTCGCGTCCACATGTCGCTGTACACCATCGGCTGCACCGCTTCCGCCGCCGCCACCCTGCAGATCCCTCAGCTCCTCAAGATGTGCATGGACTTCCTGCTGGCCGAGCTCAACGTGCAGACCTGCGTCTACATCTGGAACATCGCCGCCGCCTACGGCCTGACGTCGGTGAGCGACGCGGCACGCCGCTTCGTCCTGGAGAACTTCGTGCAGTTCGCGGACACGCCCCTGTTCACCCAGCTGACCCTGGAGCAGATCTCCGCCTTCCTGCAGGACGACGCGCTGCTGCTGCCTTCAGAGGTCACAGCCTTCCAGGTCAGGGGTCAAGCTATGTCTTAAGTCAAAGGTGCAAATTTGTAGCTGGACATTTGGGTTCAAATACGATGTGATGTCAACTGAATGTGTCCACTGCTGATATCCTAACTGAGGAGAAGTGCCAGGTCTTCCAGGATTAACTCCTTGACCCTCAGGGCCTCTTGCTATTTTCACTCAGGCCCTAAAAACAGACTCCAGACCAGCTGCTCAGACACCGCTGAGAGTACCTCACTGTACGCAAGAAGAGAGCTGATGTATTAATATGCAACTCTGTTACATAAAGAGACAGCTGAGACCAGCAGCGATCTGCCCGTGAAACTTTTATCCTGATTCAGATTACATTGAAATTGGTTCTATGAACAAAATTCCAAATTTGTTTGCTCTAGATGTTGTATTTAGTCATATGGTTTACTTTGAATTTGCTGCCTTGGGTGAGTCCCAAAAACCAACAAAGGTCGCATAATGTTAGCAGACAAGTAAGAAATATAACTGAATTTAATAAAAAGAATAATTTAAAAGACATCCAAAGCTTCATGATTTTACCTCCAGCCAGTTTGTTCAACTGCATGCATTTGTTTTTCTCATTACCATCACCTGGTTGATGCAAAAATCAAAACCTTTATTTTTCTTTTGTTTCTACCTCCCATTATTTCCTATTTTTTGGCACGTATTGAATAATGTTTCTATTCCCTGTTGTCCTCCGAACATCATTGATGTGTTTTACATTTTCACGTCCTTTAGATGTTTTCCCTTGTTGTACCGTTTTGGTTTTATGAAATGCTAAAACGCGACATGTTAAAACATCTTCCCTGTGAACCTTCAGCTGGCCATGAGGTGGCTCGACTTTGACTCGTCTCGTCAGGCTCACGCCGCCGAGCTGCTGTCCCACGTCCGCTTCGAGACGATCCCCGCCAGCGAGCTGGTGAGCCAGATCCAGCCGGTGCCCCGCATGATGATGGACCCGCACTGCCACCGGCTGCTGGTGGACGCCATGAACTACCACCTGCTGCCCTTCCAGCAGAACAGCCTGCAGTCCCGACGCACGCAGGTCCGAGCCGGTCAGCAGGCCCTGCTCAGCGTGGGCGGGCGGCCGTCGCTCACCGAGAGAGCTCTTAGCCGCGAGGTCGGTGCTTGTTGGTGCCGTCGTTTTCATCCTCAACCTTGGGGAAAAGAAGAAAAAAAACACCCCTGACCTTTGACCTCTGTGATCAAGGTACTGTGGAGGGACCCTCGAGAAGGAACAGCCACATGGCGTCACCTCACCCAGCTGCCGGCGAAGAGCTTCAACCAGTGTGTGGCCGTGATGGACGGCTTCTTGTACGTGGCGGGTGGGGAGGACCAGAACGACGCCCGCAACCAGGCCAAGCACGCCGTCAGCACCCTCAGCAGGTAGCAGGGTGCTGCTGTCATCAAACGTTGTTGCGGTTACTCCTAATCATGTAGTCCAGGTCGGTCACCTGATTAAACCTTTATTAGTTGGGGAACATGATGAAGCACCATGTGATGACCACGTCTAGATTTTTTGAGACATTGGGCTTTGGGATCAGGTAAAACAGGAAAACACCTGAAGGCCTTCATCAATGTTTATAAAATACGTGACCCTCTGCCCTTGACCTCCCACAGATACGACCCTCGCTTCAACACCTGGCTCCACCTGGCCAGCATGCGACAGCGCCGCACCCACTTCTCTCTGGCAGCCAGCGGCGGCCGCCTGTACGCCATCGGCGGCCGCAACGTGGAGGGTCTGCTGGCCACCACCGAGAGCTACCTGCCGTCCTCCAACGCCTGGCAGATGCGCGCTCCCATGGAGGTGCCCCGCTGCTGCCACTCCAGCGCCACCCTGCCCTCTGGAGACCTCCTGGTGACCGGCGGCTACATCAACTGCGCCTACTCCCGCTCCGTGGCGTGCTACAACGTTGACAGCGACTCCTGGAGCGAGAAGGCCCCCATGGAGACACCACGCGGCTGGCACTGCTCCGCCGCTCTGGGAGGGAAGGTGTACGTGGTGGGAGGGAGCCAGTTGGGGCCGGGCGGGGAGCGGGTAGACGTGCTCTCCGTGGAGGTGTTCTCCCCGGAGGGCAGCGGCTGGAGCCGGGCCGCCCCTCTCCTCCTCGGCGTGAGCACCGCCGGACTCTCCCCGCTCGCCGACAAGCTGTACCTGCTGGGCGGCTGGAACGAGGCGGAGAAGCGCTACAAGGCGGCCGTCCAGAAGTACGACCCGGCCACAGACAGCTGGTCCGCGGCGGAGGACCTGCCCGAGCCCACCGTGGGAGTGTCCTGCTGCACCTTGACCCTGCCGCCCCGCCACGCGCCGCGCCGGCAGCAGCACCGCAACACGCCGGCCCACGAAGAGCAGCAGCAGGCCGGTAAAAACCGGAGCAGAGAGAGCAGCACGGCTCCTTCCCAAAGCATCCACGCGTAGAACCACAGGGCGCGCGGGGAGCCTGGAGGAGGGCTGGTTCAACCTCTGGAGAGCATCTGGATCATGTCTGCGCTTTCTTTGGTTTCTGTATATGCCACATTTAGTTATATCCTCTGTAGGTGGAAAATATCCTCTGTAGGTGAAATAATCTACTTAAAAGTCAAATCAAAATGTGTTTTCATCTGCAAATAACGAATTTTGGAAACAAAATGAACTAAATTATATCAAATTTATTCACATATTTTTAATAAGCTTAAATGGAGTCACAATTACTAAGAATTAGAAATCTAGCTATTTCTTCATATTTACTTGACATCCGACCTGTATTGATATAAATAAGAAAGCTGCACAACGTATAAAGCCAGAAACCAATCTATATGTCCATGAGCTGGTTATGTAGGAAGAAAAAAAGGTTGCTTGATCCAAAGTGATCTCTGGAGGTTTGATATCGATGGAAAGAAAAAAAAAAAAATGTGAATACGAGAAGAATTTCTATAGTGGAGGTGATGGGTGGAGGAGGATGAAAGAAGACGGGAACATTGGCTTTCAGCGTTTGAGTGTTGAACTATTAAGAGTTTGTGTAGATGTATTTCAGCGGTGCGTATGTAGCGTTCAACTGAACATTGTGTGTGTGAGAAATGAATATGAGCCAATTGTAACATTAGGATTAACAATCTAGCAGGTTGTCAATAAACAAGCGTCTATATTCAGATTTATTTTATGGTCATCTCGCAATAGTGTAGCTCAACTGACAAAATATAACATTTACCGAGATATATTTCATACAGGCGATGTGGAAGGGATTACGAGGTGAACACAAGAGGAAGGCGATGTGAGCTCAACCCGGCAGATATTAATGAAAGTAAAATTACATGCAAAATGTATACTGAAGGAGGAAAATAACGGATATTTAAAAGATCTAAAAATAAAAATAAAAAATGTAAATATAACTGAACCGAATCCTGGTTAGTTTTAAAGTGTTTGACCAATTTTTACTGAAACTAAGAATCCATCAACTGAAGAACCAGTGAGACGCCAGCAGGAGGAAAGTCACGTGAGGTGCATCTGCTCATCTGATTGGATAAATCAATGCTGGATGAGATCTGTGTTGGTTGTTTCACTGAATAAAGCCTAAGTGATCAATTCATGCCCATTTGTCTTATTTTCCATTTCTATGAGACTTCTGGGAAATGTAGTCCAACGGAACAAAAGCCAAGCTTTGACATTCACGAAACATTCAAATTTTAGATTTAGAGTAAATTGATCCTTGGATCAAGCTATAAAGATCACTTTACAAGAGGTGTTGATTGACACCTCAAACCGTGGAAGAATTCTGATATTACTCAGGTAAATACTGCGTGTGAACTACGTTACATTGGAAATATGAGCTGATGTGAAGCAATGTTAAAAACATGCTCACATCAAAGTGTGGAAAATGTATTTACTGTTAAAAAAAAGAAAATGGATCTCTGTATGCTCAATGCATTGTTTCTTAAACAATGTAACGTTTAGAATGAGCGGTCAAATTGTAGTGGAGATATAATATGAAGCATAAAACATTTAGTGGCATTTTCTTGCCCTTTTCCATGAGCCAAGGATCACTTGAGCGGTCTTCCCACAATGACAATAAGTAGCCATGTCCAAACCATGTACACTTATCAAGTAACGCAGAAAATTCAAACAAGATTCCTTTTTTTCGTTTTTATTTGTCAAACATCAAAAAGGTGGTCCTTTACTTGCCGGGGAGGATGATGCCGTCATACTGAAGAAAGTACAAAGACGATCATTAGATTTAAAAACAAAAAAAACATTAAGTTATTAGATTCTGAATATAACATTTATGCTCCAGGGAGCAACAGACAAGAGTATTCCAGTAAATCATTAAATTGAGCAGTTTAAAATCATGCTGCGGTTTCTCCAGCATTTTGTTGAAGGGTGTAAGGTTTTGATTTTTGCAATGTCAGTAACTCACTTTCTGCTGGAACCAGCGCATGGCTTCCTCTTTACGGATGCGGTGCCTGAAACCGATGCGGCCTCTTTTCCGCTTCTTGTCGGCGATGCTGAAGCCGGGTCTGCCCAGAACCTGGACACAGGACGATAGAACCGGTGAGCGTTGCTCCAGCACAGGCTCAGTGACACATGAGCACTGTCTGGCCTTTTGGACCTCTGTGCTGGTTTAATCCAATGAAGAGGATTTCAGTAGACTACTATAAATCTGGATTTTCTTAAACGTGAAAATGGTTTAAAAAAAAAGGAAATCTCTAGTAGGTACAATTTTGAAGCCGAATCACCGGCCGATGCAAAAGCAAACTTATTGTTTCAGCACATTTTGACAATTATATGAAATTTGGCAAACGTATGACGTAATGAAATACACTTGATATCGGCAGCCATTAAGAAATACAGCCAGACTGAAGTGAACTATCCATTTGATTGACTTGTAACGGTCTACTTTGATCATGTTTTTAATGTATGTCAAGATGATCCCTTGCTATCTATTGCAAACCAAGTCTACCTACGAGTACAAATACAAGTAAAGGGAAAGTATCAAATAAAACTACACCCTTTATGAGAAAAACCCATATAAGAGAAAGCTTAAATGACTCAATTAAAAGAAAAACCTATAACAAAAAAAAGTACACGCCTCATCTACTCCACCACTTTAAATCAATATACTAAAAACTCTTTGCTGGGTGATAATTCATTGAGGTGAGTAGTGGTGACAAAGTGACTTTCTGTCAGTTTATGTCACCAAATCTGCAAAATGAAATAACAGGGATTTGGGGAATCTTTGCCTAGACTACGGAAATGTGTTAAATTCCGTTCACATTAATGGCATCGCTAGAGCTCACCACAATCACCAAACAGAACATTTTTTGGGCCACTTACCACGTAGAAGTCCAGTCCGTAGATGCCGATGCTGGGGTCGTACTTAATACCCAGGTCAATGTGTTCCTGGATACCGAAGCCGAAGTTTCCGGTATCAGAGAAGTTGTTCTTTCTCAACTCGTACTCACGCACCTGGAAGAACAAACATGTTCAGAAAATTGTTACACACCACTCAGCCGTAAAACAACTAGCTTGAGCAGCCAAAGGAGTGAGCCCCAAAAAAAAGTATTTAACAAAACTTCAGCACCGCTGACAACTGCAAAGAAGCCAAGAACTGGACCAGTGGGAGATGAATAGCAATATGCACTTTCATACCTTGAGTCCTTTCTCAAGGATCTCCTCTGCTTTGGCTCCACGGACGGTGCAGTGGACAGCAATCTTTTCATTTCTGCGGATGCCGAAGGATCGCACGGTGTAGCGGGCTGCAACAGAACAAAAACGGTTCAATACAGGTACCGATGAACCAAACATATATTTTACGCTCACGGTCTTTTCTTCTCCGGAGCCAAATTCCACTATGAAACACAGCACGTGGAAATATGCAATTGGGATTGTCATAGCATTTGATAAGTGACTTCATCGTCACAGGACCCAGGTACTCACCCTTGGAGAAGACGGGAGTCTGCCCTGTGAGCTGCTCCAGCACCTTAGCAGCACGGGTCAGCCTGTCTCCGCTCTCACCGACGCAGATGTTCAGGCAGAGCTTGCGGATGCGAAGCTCTCTCATGGGGTTCTCCTTCTTCTCACCTTGTTCCTGGAGGACACAACAGGGACAGTTGGATTCACGCTGAAGTCCAAAAGAAGTAGCTACACGTAGTCAACCGCTGCTGCCATGTTGAGTTTACCTATTAGCGTTAGCCTGCTAATCGGGTTAGCACAGCCGTGACAGATAAATGAGTCAGTCAACAAGTTAACTAAGCTTTAAGTTATGCTATCAATTATGGCAACGTTATACCTAAAAAACAAGTTAACAGCGCTTTTTGGGCTCCATACGTTAAACTACCGAAACGTGAGCAACGCATGCCGGGCGGAGAACATGTCCGTACATATCGCCTCTGCTGTTAGCGTTGTCACATTAGGTTACGTGTCCGGAAAAGACACAGAACTTCGACACAACGATGTAGACAACGTTAAGTATCTAGATATGCCTGCCATGTAACCGTAGGGTCATTTTACAACTGCAACACGGTCTTTAAGCTGAATATCACCAGAGTTGTACGAGAGAAGGGTATATTTCAGCAGCTAGCCTGTTAGCATCTAGCTTTTCTTGTTAAACGGTCTCCACTTTCATTTGTTAAATAAATATGGCTCTAGATAAATCATTCATGTTGAAGTTTAAGTGTCTGCACATCAAAAAATAGTTAGGATGACCCAACAGCTCCGATGATGGTAGATTTCAACCACTACTTCACGTATGATCACCCTCGTACGGTGTGATGAAGTACTCACCGCCATGTTGGATCACTAGAAGAGGCCGATACGTTTCCGGCGAGAGATATTTATAAAGGAGTGTTCACCACAAATGTCCTCGGAGATACACTGCAAGAAAACGCGAGAGTTCCTGTTTACGGCACTATGAACAACCAAAAAGGTAAGCTATTTTATTGAGATCCAAATCACGCGGCTTCAAAATACTTATTTGTCTTGAGTCATTGCACATGTATCGTTACAGTATTTATTTTGTCCATTAATCAATCAAAAGGCAAAAGTAATTTGTAAACTAATCGTTTTTAATTTAATATCTCTTTCGTTTACAAGCAAAGCAATACAAGCAAAGGGTCAGCTTGGGCTCTGGAAAATGATATTTTTATCTTTAGTAAAAGGAATGATCTTTTACTAAAACAATCCATGGCCTTGTTTATTGGTATATGTTTCTCTTCAACACCATTGATTCTGTATTAAATACAGAAGAGTTGCAAGAATTACATAAAGGTGTGACACTGAGTTTAACTCAAGATCTTTAATTTATTGGGAATGAATATATAATTAATTTAATCCATAAGGTATGACAGTAAACTGAGAGTTAGAAAAACCCAAACCAAACACTTCACATTCAAGCAAAAGGTACCAAATACACACACAAAATTATGAACAAAGGACTGCATTAAGGAACGAAAGGAACCCATTTATGCCTAAGTTACTTTTCACAATGGTAAAGAACTACAAGAGATAAGTTAAAACATTTTCTAAACATGCTTTTTCTCTTTCCCATTACACATTGTTAAAACATACTTTATCGCCAAGGAAAAAGGATATTTTAGCTATATATCAATTAAGATTCATTAGGCTACCTGTTTGCACCTGATTTACACACGCAATCCAAACTTGAGAAATAGCACAAAAACTAGAGCCAAAGCAAACAGGGGGAGGAATGTGGTCAGCGTGGCCGATACGTCGGTAGACACCTCAGGCGAGGTGTCTTCAGAAGGACTCATCGCTCTGATTGGTGGGACAGGAGCTGGAAGCTTCAGCAGGGGCAGTCCTTCCCTCCACTGCTCCTCCAGAACACTGACGAGGAAAGCAAACCAAATACACACACAAAATTATGAACAAAGGACTGCATTAAGGAACGAAAGGAACCCATTTATGCCTAAGTTACTTTTCACAATGGTAAAGAACTACAAGAGATAAGTTAAAACATTTTCTAAACATGCTTTTTCTCTTTCCCATTACACATTGTTAAAACATACTTTATCGCCAAGGAAAAAGGATATTTTAGCTATATATCAATTAAGATTCATTAGGCTACCTGTTTGCACCTGATTTACACACGCAATCCAAACTTGAGAAATAGCACAAAAACTAGAGCCAAAGCAAACAGGGGGAGGAATGTGGTCAGCGTGGCCGATACGTCGGTAGACACCTCAGGCGAGGTGTCTTCAGAAGGACTCATCGCTCTGATTGGTGGGACAGGAGCTGGAAGCTTCAGCAGGGGCAGTCCTTCCCTCCACTGCTCCTCCAGAACACTGACGAGGAAAGCGAGCGCTTTAGGGGGGAAGACGGCCGGGGAGAACAGGTTGCATTCGGGCACAAAGAAGTGAGGGAGGAGGCCCCTGCGAGCGTGGCTCTCCATGGCCCTGAAGAGGTCCCGGAAGCAGGCGGTGAGCTGCTGGGGAGTCCACATGGCATCGTCAAACCTGACAGGGGAAAAAGACAAGTTATGATACTGAAGGATACTGTCTAACGAGTATGCCAATAATAGCTAAGAAAAACTGCAACTATGTATTATTTGTATTATTAACAAATAAGTTAATCAATAATTTCTTTCAAATGTCAGAAAAGGGTAAAAAACAAACATAAACATAAAAGCAAATTATGTGATCTGCAATCAGAAAATGTTTGTCTTTCATTTTTCTTCATCAATTATAGCTGATTCATTATCGAAATTGTTGTCAATACATTTTCTGTACATAGACTAAGCAATCAATGAATTGATTACTTGGTCTAGTTACTTTATCGTATTGTGATATCCGTCTGAATTTCATCAAATATTTTTAAGACGGCAACCAATTACATTTTTTATATCACTCTGTCGCTTGTTTTTTGACCAGCTGGTCTCTAACGCGTCTGTCTGCTGCTCAGCAGCTTCATCAGAGGGAATGAAAATGATGCTGGGAGAGCGAACCAAAAAAAGCAAAGCTGTGCGCCGAACAATGAGCTAATACTTATTGTAAAGCTCCTTATCAAACAAAGGGAAGCTGCATAGTCATGCTGTTATTCTCTGTTGGTTCATCCCTAAACGTGACTCCCTTTAGTTTGTAACATGTGTAAAAAGATGCTTTAAATGCATAAAATCCTTAAAAATCCATAAAAAATAACGATAAAAATGTCCTACCTGGTGGACATGGTGTGCAGGAAGACTGTCTTCCCGTGGTACGAGCAGAGCGGATCCAGTTCTTTTGGGAAACGTAGTTTCAGGCCTTCAATCAGAGACTTGAGGAGCATGTAGCACAGTTTCCTACGAGACACAAGGTGAAATAGTGAGTTATTATTTACAGGGATTTAACTATCTGCGGTAAACAGATTGTTGAAGAAAGAAAACGATCCCTTAAAAGGATGTGAAAAGAGACGGTTCAGAGTCTCACCGGCAGCATTTGGTAATGTTGCTCTCACAGCAGGTCTTCTTGTTGCCATGTTTCCTGATGAGCGTCTTTTCAATGTGAGAGAAGGAAATCCTCCAACTTTCTATACATGAAGACAAGAAAATGAAAAAGCGCAGTTGGAAAGTAACATTTGACTTCTATCAACTATTTCTGTACATATTTGGAGCAGTAAAAGATTCTCTGCCGAGGTGGAAGAAGAACTCCAAAAATACTTAATGGGAAGTTATATTCCTTGAAATATATTGTATTCCAATGAAATTCAAGTAACAGTAATTTCAGTTACCCAGTGACTAATATGATGTATTACAGTTTTTATCAGTTGCTTTGGTACATTTCTCGATTCATCCTCGACATTTGTTAAACAGTCCCTTGCTCATAATCCTTAGTTCATCTCTCAAAATTATGAACATGATGAACATGTCGGTCCATCAGAATGACAAGTCCTCGTGTCATTGTGTACGGACCACACAGTGAAAGTGCTGAGTCATGTTGTCAGTGTAACAGTGTCCTCTGGATCTAAACTGGATAAAGTTTTGATGACATTTACTCTAAAAAGTTACACTTGTGTGTATTTGGATAATTTGATTGCTGTTGGGCCACAGATTCTCATCCACATCACATTGAATATCTTCACTTGCGATGCAGCGTGGAAAGAATCTTTTAGTGTCTTATCCAGCCTCTGCTGTGATGTCATCACACGCTGCATCCAGAAGGCTCATCTGTGTACGTGGCTGGAGATCACATCCATCTCCACGCTGAGGAAGATGCTCAATGGGGTTAAGGAATGGGGGGTAGAGTGAGAGGAACGCCATCAGCTGCCGCTTATGGGTCGCAAACCATTGCTTCAAACGATTACATACGTTGGCAATTCATCTCCAATCTGACCCTCTCTTGTTCGGGGATGAGATTGCAACATTGTGTTATTTGCTCTGGCTATTTGTATGCTTGCCAGTTGATGGTACATTAGATTCACCTTTGTTCTAGAAAAATCAAGATTCACCTGGGACCAATTTGCTAATGAGACGGATTCAGAAAAAAGAAAAAAAATGGAAAATGTCTAGAAATATGCTTCACATATTATGACAACTTGTGCAGCCATTTTGCATGTAAAGCCTAAAGCCTAAATGTTGTGGGCAGTGACACTATTCAACAGACACCCAATATAATGAATTTTGATCAACATGACATAAGCAATTGATAATGTAGGAAAACGCAGAGAATTGTACATAATCATTTGCGTGGATGTACCAAAGCATTTGCAACTTGATCAAAGAAATAAGAAACCGCTCTTTTGATGTGCACAAGTGACACAGTTATGTGACGATTGAACAGGTAGTTTTGAGAATTTCAATTCTGATCTGAGAAATGTTCCAAAGCGGCTGAGAAAAATTTCATTAAAAGTACATTACTTGAGTAAATGTGCTCAGTTAATATTTCATCACTAAGAAGGTGAATCACTGTCTTTGGAGCTGCAAAAACGTTATGTCATAAAGTTTTCATTGTATGCCATGCGTTGGTCAAATAGAAAAATAGCTCATAATCTCACCGGTTTGTCCTTTGAGCCTCTTCGGGACATAGAAGATGGCCAGACGTCTGATTTCTTGGCGAAACTTTTTCCCCAGCCAGTTGTCCACATCCGGACCGCTGCGAACACCGACGGGCCAACTCTGGACCTCCATACAGGAAGAAAGGTAGAGTTAAGATAAGATATTCCTTTATTAGACCCACAACTTCACAACTACAACCTTACATTAAGTATAATACTGTACTACAATACTGCTGTCACTATCACTCCTCTTATGTCTACTACCTACCTACCTCTATCAATATATATATTTTAATGCTCCAATAGATGGATGTGCTTCTTTTACTTTGATAAAAAAACATTTCCTGTGCAACAGCTGTATTTATGTGTAATTACAGTAATTACTTTCTGTCAGAAAGTACATTTAGTCAAGTTCTATGGTTAGGTATACATATTAGATCCATTTAATTACTTAAAATTGCATTTCAAAGGTATATATTGTACATTTTACTGTTTGATTTATGAATTAGGAGATTATGGTGTGAGTGTGTAGTATTATATATCAATGCATTTGGTCTGTCTCTCATGGCCTAATTCATACAAAGCCAATGATATGATTTGATTCACACTAGTCGCCCTGACTAAAAAATAGAAATGATTACCTCCAGAGCAGGAACCAGGTCCACAGAGATCAACTCGTCCCCGCAGGTGTCCTTCCTGTACAGGGACAAAGTCACAGCTGGCGACCGGGGTCGCTTCCTGTTCACCACCCAGAGAAAGTCACTGTCTGGCACTGGAAACATGGGAACATGAACACGGAGAGTTATCCGGGTTCTTAAGGTGGAAGTGTAGAAAACGAGTCCTGATAACTCCAACAGAAGTCAAGAAGGAGAAACCACATGGTAGTCACAACAACAACAACAGATGAGAGGTAAAAATCAGACCTTTGTAGGTCTTGAGGAACTTGCGGACCAGGCAATACATCTCACTCAGGATCTTGCTCGATGAGAGCATGTGCTCGTCAAGAACAAAGGCCCGTATGGGGTTCACTGGGAGCGGCATGCGGGCCAGGCGGATATGGTAGAAGAGGCCGTTGTCGAGCGCTTCCGTCATGAGACGTGGCGAGACTCGAAGCTTCAGCATCATGTCAAACTCGTCGGCGCTGCGGATCTGAGATTCAACACAACAAAGAGCTGGGTGGTGCTTGTTTGTCTCCTATACACTTGAAATGTCTCATGCCATCTGACTGGCTATTGCTGCTTCTCTAAAGCAGAGCATGCATGTTTGTGAAGAACCCTCTTAGTCTTCTCAAACAAAGGAGTCTCTGGTTGTATTGTTTATACAACCTCACCTTGACCTTCTCAAAGTAGCTGCCGCTGTTGAGGAACTCAGCCGACTGAAAGGGCTCATCACTGTTCAGCCTCAGGAATTTCAACAGGTTGTCCCGGAAATCGTTGACCATCTCTGCGGCCCACCTGCGGTCCAGCTGCCGGATCTTGAGACCCTTGGCGTTGAGTTTGATCCAGCTGTCCAACTCCGCGGACATCGACTCCTCGACCACTTTGGATTCCTCCTCTGCAGGACACAGGGATTACGTAATAAGTACGCTTACGGACTAATGAGGTAGTAGTAGGTTTTTTGACACAGAGGAACTGAGATGCGCTCTATATATTTTCCCAATGTTAATGTCACAGGTGTGTCTAACATTATTTAAAGGTTTTTAGGAACTATCTAAATGTTCAATTTGGTTTGAAGAGCAACGCGCTCAATGAGTAGCTCATGGCTGACTTCCCTATGGCTCCTGCCACTTTACTTCTATATTGGATTTTAGCAAAATCATTGTTTTGTGGGTGTATCCAAAAAGTTTGACGGGGAACACGCAAATATATCTAGTAGAAAAAACACAATACAAACACTACATATTTTTTTGTGTTTTATCACAGATTTAGTTGTTACATTGCTGTAACATCTTCTCGTGTTGTTTTTTTGGAGCAGTAGATCTAAAACACACTGTAGAATGTCAACATGTGCACCACACTGACATTCAATGATAAATAACCATGCAAGTACAGATACTTTAGGATTAGGATACAAAAAACAATTAACATCACCTGAAGCTTGTTTCTGCAGAGTTGTGTGCCTCTGTCTTGCTGGTGTGGTTCGAGGAGAACTGGACTTTCCTCTGATTTTGTCTTTACGCTGCTTCGCTTCCTTCCCGTCTCCGTCCTCTCTGTCCATCGCGCAGCCTAAAGAGAATATTATCACACTTGTCATCACAGGAGAACTTCTTTTGGGTCCTGTTAAACTTTTTCACAAAACTTCCACCTGGAAGCCTTTCAAAGCTTTCTACGCAGGACCCAATTTAAAGGGTTACATTCAGTGAAAGGTTCCACACAGAACCGCCCAAGCGAGGTTCTCAGTCAAAATGTCAATAGCACAGAATGATACGACGCAGAACCTCTTGAAGCTGTATTCACAACCGTTCCACCTTCTAAGAACAATAACCCCACAGGTGGTGACACCAGGGGTCGACGTGGCGCAGGGGTAGAGAGGCTGCCCCATGTCCCATGTCAAAGTGTCCCTGAGCAAGACACCTAACCCCTAATGGCTCCCCGGGCAAAAATGTTAAAAGCCATGGGTTAAAAATACAATGTAAGTCGCTTTGGATAAAAGCGTCAGCTAAATGTGTCAGACCTGTATGTCGAGTTGGGTTTTTGTCCTGTCGCCATGTTTGTTTCGTGACTTCCTGTTTTATTTTGGAAATCAACTCTCCTCTCGTCTCAGGTTCCTTGCTCGTCCTCATGTGTCACCAGTCTGATGGTCTTCCCTGATCGTGTCCACCTGTTCCCACACTTCCCTCATGTGCACTCATAGTCTGCGTCTCTCCTTGTCCTGTGCCAGTGTGTCATGTCCTTTCGCCTCGCACACCCGCCTCAGGGAAGAATCAGAAAGCCCAGGTTACACTTTTGTTACCACCGTGTGGTCTCCTTAGTGACAAAATGACCTGTGATGTCACAGAGAATCCTTTTACAATACAAGGGTCTCATCTAGAACCTGTCTATTTTTTTGAGTTACTTTCCTCTAAAATGTGTTCCTGGTTCGGAAAGGGTTCTTTACTGCAGACAGACAGTAAGACAGACAAATGGAAAGACAGACGGTCAGACAGACGGTAAGACAGACAGACACATGTTTAGATATTTATCCAGATAGATGGATAGCTTCTCCTCTCTACATTGCAGTGGTTTAACTCACCTGTGTTTGAGAAGCTTCTGATGGAGATGGTGGCTGTTGTCCTTCAGAGATGTGTATTATGTTTCCTTTCTCTTTCATTTCCCATGAAATGTCATCAGAGGATAACGCCTTCCTCCCTGCCGCGGAGGCGGATCTGAAAGGTTACCTGTGGACGGTTCCGCCCATTACGTGATGTTACCTGTGTCTCTGTCACATCGTACTAAGGCACACCTTTCAAATTCTCCAGGTTATATAGTTCATCTATTGCAGTGTTTTTCAACCAGTGTGCCGCGAGAGGCTGTCAGGTGTGCCGTGTTTTTACATACTGTCACTTCATTGGTGAAAAAAAAAGCCAACTTGTGTGTGTGTGTGTGTGTGTGTGTGTGTGTGTGTGTGTGTGTGTGTGTGTGTGTGTGTGTGTGTGTGTGTGTGTGTGTCGTCGCGCTGTTGGTGCTGTGAAGGCTCAATACCCCCCTCTGCCCGTGGGTGGCGCTACGCGGCGTAATTAATAGGCAGATTTGCTGAGGCGACAATTTATAAAAGTGAGATTTAAGGCCGGCGCGTGTTTCTGCGTCTGCGTCGACGCACTCGTTTCACTTCATGGTTCTGCGTGTGTTGTAATTCACCGCCAGAACAACAGGCGGAGTGACGTGTTTTGTTGAAGACGACCTAGAGTCACGTTCTATTTATTTATTTATTTGTTTATTAATCATAGACTTTATTGCCCCGTGCATCGCCATTGCTGCTTTTCATCGCGGACACATTTGCCCCGTATTTTCCTCCACAACTTTGTTCCTCTCGACCGGCAAACCGGCGTTTGCGGCGATCTCCCTCCGTGAATCCAACCCGCCAATGACGGCTCGTATAAGCGCTCATATTTACGCATTTCTTCCGACAAAAGTTCTTAAATCTGATCCATTCTCTCGTAAACATTCTTCGTTTTAATAATGGCGGTATCGGGCTGTGAAAGCGGAAATGTGAGACTCCGTAAAGGACTATTATTATTATTATTATTTATTATTGTAAAACAGGATAAAAGGTTCTCTGCTGTGTTTTAAGAAAGTATTGATTGATACTGATCATATTGACATTATAAGGAACCCATATCTTCCCACAGCACATCAAACACAGGCTGGTGTCCAACTGATGCTAATGAAGAGACGTTGGCTTCTTTGCATAAAATACGTCTTTAAAAAGGCAAAGGCTCGCGTGGCTAAATGAGACACCGCGTCATGATGAGCGCCTTTAAAGCCTTTGTGTAGTGTGTTCACACCCTCACGTTAGCTTTCTACTACGACGTTTATGATTCAAAATTCAGAAAGTGGTTTTCATCTGTGAAGTTTTTTTTTGCTGAGTGATTCGTTTAAGTCATCTTTTCGTCAATGTAGCCGGTGTGATGCTTGCTACTGGGTTAAAACGTACTATTTTTTATAGCATTTTTAGGTAAAGGACCTTATGTTAATATTTCTTTAAAAAGTAAATAAGAAGGCACATTTTAAAAAGGATGTTAGACATATTTCAAAGTTGCGAAACAAGAAAAGAAACATCTTCAACGGGCATGTTTACGATTTTTTATTATTTTGCTTTCAACCTAATTCTTCAAATAGATTCTCAGCCTTCCTTTCCTGCGGAAGCTTTTGCGATGGGTTTTAATCAGCATAAGCCAGTCCTTGAGTAGAGGGCTGTGCCACAGAGAAGAGGATCCAGGGTAAGGGCAGGACAGGGAGGAATGAGTGGCCCGCTGATGCCGGCACACATCTCGTTGCTGGATGTCCTGCACGACCATTCATTTCTTCTTCTGGACCTTATCTGCAGCCTTGGTTGTCTTCCCGGAGACCTCCTTGGCAATTACGCTCTTGATGACACCGACGGCCACCGTCTGCCTCATGTCGCGCACGGCGAAACGCCCTGGAATAGAAGAGGAGGGGAGCAGTGAGTTAATGCGTCACTGCACTTCATCATGCACTTACTTGGAAATTAGTTCACATGGTAAGTTTTTCCAAGTACGTACCGAGGGGAGGATAGTTGGAGAAGGGCTCCACAACCATGGGCTTCTGTGGGACCATCACCACGATGGCCGCGTCTCCAGACTTGACAAACTTGGGTGCGTCCTCAATCTTCTTGCCGGAACGACGGTCGACCTTCTCGATGAGCTCGCTGAACTTGCAGGCGATGTGAGCGGTGTGACAGTCCAGCACGGGGGCGTAGCCTTGGCTGATCTGGCCAGGGTGGTTCAGGATGATGACCTAAGGGAAAAACACAATTTAGGAGAGTTCTGTCTGTATACAGCACTCAATTCATGATTAGATGAACACATGCTGCAGTTCCCACTGGCGGCCAGCAGAGGTCCACAGACGTCCACGTTTACCTGAGCTGGAATCACTCTACAAATCACTATAGATTCATTGATCCATATCCATTCATATCGAGCAGCACATTTACACTGACAGGAATTGTTCAGTTCTTTTCTGTAGAAATAGCACAATACGGAGTATGGTAGGAGAATAGGGGCAGGAGGGTTAATCCCTAGTTATGTCACTGCATAGATCAATGATACAGTGTCAACAGGGCCTTGGTCTAAAAGTAAAGCACGAGGTAACTTATGTTTAGCACTTCCTGACTATGCCAGTGGCTGAACGTTCAACAATCCATCCATCCATCTTCAAACCGCTGTTCAGTACATGTTTATTTTTCAAATACAAATGGCAACCCCGAATGCTGATCCATCACCCACTTATTCCTGTATTGATCTTAATGGCTTCATTTTCTCAGACTCACCTGGGCGTTGAAGTTGTCAGCTCCCTTGGGGGGGTCGTTCTTGCTGTCTCCAGCCACGTATCCACGGCGGATTTCCTTGACGGACACGTTCTTGACGTTGAAGCCGACATTGTCGCCGGGGGTAGCTTCAGTCAGAGACTCGTGGTGCATCTCCACAGACTTCACTTCAGTGGTCAGGTTGGCAGGAGCGAAGGTGACGAGCATGCCGGGCTTGATGATGCCGGTCTCAACACGGCCGACTGGGACTGTTCCAATACCTGAGAGGGCAATAAAGATCTTCTATAAAACACTTCAAGAGTGGAAGCTGAGATTGTCTACTCTTGGGGGCTGTGACGTACGGGCCGTGCTAACGGTTAACCTCCAGCCTGTAAGGATAGGACGAATCTGTGAGACTTCTCACCTCCGATTTTGTAGACGTCCTGCAGGGGCAGACGCAGGGGCTTGTCTGTGGGCCGGGAGGGGGGCAGGATGGCATCCAGAGCCTCCAGCAGGGTGACCCCGCTGGCGTTGCCGTCCTTGCGCTCAACCTTCCATCCCTTGAACCAGCCCATCTACAAAACAGGGTCAAGAATGAAAGTCCACGTCTACTCCAACAAGTTAAACACCACAGAAGGTGAAAGCCTCTTACGTTGCTGCTGGCCTCCAGCATGTTGTCTCCGTGCCACCCGGAGATGGGGACAAAGGCGACGGTGGCGGGGTTGTAGCCGATCTTCTTGATGTAGGTGCTGACTTCCTTCTGGATTTCTTCGAAGCGGGCCTGGCTGTAGGGGGGCTCGGTGGAGTCCATCTTGTTGACTCCGACGATGAGCTGCTTCACGCCGAGGGTGAAGGCCAGCAGGGCGTGCTCGCGGGTCTGACCGTTCTTGGAGATACCGGCCTCGAACTCACCGACACCGGCGGCAACGATGAGCACGGCGCAGTCAGCCTGACACAGGAGGGACATTGTTGTAGACTTCTACATACGTGTGTCTTGTTAAAGCCTGAATGACAGAGCACACTAATACAATACAACAACTTTTCATACACCTGCAATTCACCCTCTCATGCAGGCTTGATTATAACTTCCTTGCCCTCAGTGTTTAGAGCTGTCAATCATGAGATCAGCTGGTCTCTTCTATCCAATAGCACAACAAAAATAATTGCTCTGTCTTTTTTAAATAACATTGTCTCTCTAACTTCAGTACGTTGATGCTACTGTTACGGCCTCCTCCACCCGCCCATCTACGCCCTACGCATCAGCTTCGTCAACTCATCACTATCTGCCCTTATACACCAGCACCAGATCCTGGATTGTCTGGACTTTATCATCACATATCTGCTCAAATTAAACAATGATCTTTTCTTCACCTGGCTTGTCTCTCCTGATTTTCCCTTCAACTTTAACTTGATCAGAGTGATTCCTTCTACAACACAGGCGGCCCTTTAGAACTCAAGCTAAAAAGCTGCCTGCAGCTTCTTGCGTAACACACAAATGTGAACACGAGAAGCCGAGCCAAGAACCGGTTAGAAGGCGCGCCTGTACCTGAGAGGTGCCGGTGATCATGTTCTTGATGAAGTCCCTGTGTCCGGGGGCATCAATGATGGTCACGTAGTACCTGCCGGTCTCGAACTTCCACAGAGCGATGTCGATGGTGATACCACGCTCGCGCTCTGCCTTCAGTTTGTCCAGCACCCAGGCGTACTTGAAGGAGCCCTTTCCCATCTGTAGTGGTTCAAACAAAGAGCAGGAAAACCGTGAGCGTGAAACAATAAGTACACGCACGTCTTGCAGATCCCCTTTTCTTTCTTCATGCAAGCGGTTTTAAAGCTGCTTTTTTTTTACAGTGCGCTCAAGCATTTTGTTTTCATGTTAGAGGCGACCTGTCTGTTTGAGTGTTTACTATAATTGTAACTATCCAGATTTCCAGCAGTTCATGGGCCTGTGCATATTGATTACAGAGACGCAAATACTGGAAAGGGAAATCCTGGAAAATCATGTAAATACAAGCAAAATGCAAAAACGTACCAAAGCTAACACACAATATGGTGCAATAGTATAAACAGCAGTAAAATATATTTCATAAATAGTTTTGCAAATGTATCGATATAATGTAAGCAAGAATGTGCTAAACCTACCCGAGGTTTGTCATACAGTAAGTAAACAATAGTATAAGTGTGAAGTAGCTGAAATGCTTCTTTTGTCTTAATATACAACTAGAACAACAATCATTACTAGTTATTTAGGTGTCTATGAGGTGAAATTGGTTAAACCGGCCTTTTTTAAAGCAATTACTTCATTCATTTATTGTGGCATTTGTCTTTCGATGGGAAGAAGCTTGTTTGTCCCAACAGGACGATTTCTGAACAACTGCCGCCTCAAAGTTAGAACCCGTATTTCAACAAGCAAAGACAGATGAGGGAGCAGTCACATCCGCCACGCCTGTGATGAGTCATTGGCCTCATTGCATTTTATAAGATGTGAATATTTCTTTAAGAGTTGGTGTCTCCGCACAACCAACCTCGGCGGCTTCCTTCTCGAACTTCTCGATGGTTCTCTTGTCGATTCCTCCGCACTTGTAGATCAGGTGACCGGTGGAGGTGGACTTGCCGGAGTCGACGTGGCCGATGACCACGATGTTGATGTGGATCTTTTCCTTTCCCATTTTGTCCTGTGTTAAGCATTTAACGAGTAAATAGTAGTATAAAGGCACATGACGTAAAAGAAGCATCAACACAGTATGCGTTGAGTGTCAGTGTGTGATGAAAAGCCTCGTGTTTGACGTGGCCTCATTTCGGACTGTTTCCATACATTTGAGCAGTTGAATCTATAACTTAAGGCGCAGTTTTAAAGCTGATTATATTTTTCTTTATAAAATCCTCATTTAAAAGTGTTTTGCAGCTATGAATGATGAAAGAAAAAGGCCAATGAAGACTAGTTCATTCTACTTCCTGCAATTGGAGTAGAATCAGAAAGCTAAAGCGCCGTTGAAATTCACCATATGGAAACAAAAGCGGTGGATCTGAATTCAGAACAGCACTTCCACTCTTATTTCATTTATCGCGTGAGTTCCGATTCATCAGTTTTAGCGTTTTCACTCACCTGGTTGTGGCCTGGCTCCTGCTTTTATCTATCCACACTGTCCCTCGCTGCTGTCGCCGTAAAAAAAGGACGTCTGTGAAAAGTGAGCATCAAATTATACTTTCCTTCAACTTGCTCCTCCTCTTCGGCAGCAATTCCCTCTCCTCATGCCATGTGCATGCACGCACACATTCACGGCCAACGACTTCTGCCAGTCCGTTCTTGTTCGTTAAACCTTGTACACACTTTATATCACCTGCATGCCTCACCTTCACTAGCGAGAGTCCCTCTAGTATTCAAAGGAAATGAAAAGACCTCAAAACTGTTTTGCGATCACATAAATTCTGTAAAAAACAACGAAAGAAACATCTTCATTTGGCAATTTTATTGTTTTGATTGTGAACTCAATTGTGATCATAGCTTTCCCTAAGAGGCACAGGCCTTCCTTTCCTGCGGAAGCTTTTCCGATGAGTTTTGATCAGCATAAGCCAGTCCTTGAGTAGAGAGCTCTGCCTCAGGGGAGACGGTGCAAGGTGGCGGGGGAGGAGGGACGCGGCGGGCCGCTGCTGGGACGTGGCTCTTTGCCGGACGTCCTGCATGAGAATTCATTTCTTCTTGTCGGCCTTCTGTGCGGACTTGGTCACCTTGCCGCCGGAGGCGAGCTTCTTGTCGACGGACTTGATGACGCCGACGGCGACGGTCTGCCTCATGTCGCGCACGGCGAAGCGGCCTGGGGGAGGGTCACAGTCAATGGCGATATCCTCCATTCATCCCTGGTCGTATTAACGATGCGTGAATGAGTCATTATTAAAGCCTATACATGATTTCTCTCTGATAATAAGGTTTGGACACAACTTTCTTAATTGAATTTAATGAGAAAATGTGTCCAAACTTTACTTGTGTACTGCAGACCAGGAAGCAACTTTAGAATTCATTTCATGATGATGTCATGATTCCAGTCGTTACATTCTGACTCTCTTTGCAGATCTGCTTTTGGTCACCACCTTTTGTCATTTACAGTTTCTTAAGGGACGTAAAAATATCTGCAGTGTTAAAGGTCTATAACTAATTATCAAACCATCAAGGCAGCAGGGATCCACTCACCCAGTGGGGGATACTGGGAGAAGCTCTCCACACACATGGGTTTTCCAGGCACCATGTTGATGATGGCGGCGTCTCCGGACTTGAGAGCTTTGGGGTTGTCCTCCAGCTTCTTGCCGGAACGTCGGTCAATTTTCTCCTTGAGCTCGCTGAACTTGCAGGCGATGTGAGCCGTGTGGCAGTCCAGCACGGGGGCGTAACCCTGGGAGATCTGACCCGGGTGGTTCAGGATGATGACCTGCAGAGACGGGGTGGAAGGTCAGTACCTGGCGGCTTCCTTTGCATTTAAACCGGGATTCCATAGAAATGGAAAACATCACCAGCTCTTGTCTCTTAAGGAAACGTGCACGGCCACGTTCCTCATTCCAAGAGTTTTGCCAAGGAGCAATGAAAAGCGCCCTGACAGGAAGCGTTACAAACTGGCAGGGGATGAGCACTGGCACCCGTCTACTGAGCACCAGTGATATTGGTAACAGGACCCGGTCCAAAGGGTGTAGAAATGTATTACGTAACACCAACAGCCGCGCTGCTGCCATATGGCGAGAAATACAAAAGTAACAGCGTCTTTCCTCCGGGTGTGAGACCCGTTCATTTATCCCCCACTGTCGTCATATGTTGCTATGACGACAGTGGGGCCCGTCCTTTTCTTTCTGTATATACTTGATGTTAAATCACATGAGAGGGGGTGGGGATTGTTTTTATACATCTATATATATATAGAAGCATTCCTTCTTCTTTCCCTCTTCCCGAGGCTCACCTGGGCGGTGAAGTTGTCGGCCGCCATGGGGGGGTCGTTCTTGCTGTCTCCAGCCACGTTGCCGCGGCGGATCTCCTTGACGGACACGTTCTTGATGTTGAAGCCGACGTTGTCGCCGGGCATGGCCTCGGTCAGGGTCTCGTGGTGCATCTCAACGGACTTCACCTCCGTGGTCAGGTTGGGGGGGGCAAAAGTGACGACCATGCCGGGCTTCAGGATGCCGGTCTCTACGCGGCCGACCGGGACGGTTCCAATACCTGAGAGAGCAGGATCATAGCGCGCTATTTAAGTTCCCTTCAAAATAAGATCATAGAAACAAAATGATCAAGTTTGGATGAAAAACATTTTATTGATGTTTGTACTCAGGCAACTTTTGATCATTCCTGACTTCTCACACACAGTTTGACACGTGGCCGAGCTATGAAGGGGGTGTAACATGATAGCTTGAATAAATGCCGGATGCCAACTGGGCGTAGCTCAACTGTTCACTGGTACGATCAGGAATATCAAGTTCCCCCCATCCACGATCGGCCTGTCTCAACTAGTTGCCGGTCCGTCTGTATCCACTCCCAAAACGTGTTGCTCAACACGTCGGAGGTTGGGTCTGTTCGCTGTGGCAAATCCCTCGAGTGTCTCCGGTTTCACTGCGAGATGCTGCCTTCGCTGCGGCAGCTTTTCCAAGACTTCAGGTAAGCGACTCGGCCCTGTGCCTCCTCGTTGGGCGTTGATATTTAGTTGGGCTGTGTTTCATCCGGGTGGTGCTTTATTTTTTAGTATATGTAGACGCGGAGTAACAATTGTGGTTGGTTGCCAGACTCGTATATTTGTTAATATGTAGGAAATCCTTTTTGGAGACACGGAATATGTGGCGCTGCCGGCTCTGCGCATCTGTTAAAGTAGTAGCATTTTGTCCTGATGGCATTTTTCTGTATTGAAACTTTCGCCAGTGGCCTCGGCTATTTGACAACTGCGCTGCGCTGGTGGAAGCGCCGTAAGCGCAACGAGGAGGAAAGGAGGAGTGCTCTTAGGCGTGTGACGCGATGCATCCGCAAACTCTCAAAGAGCTCTTTCCACCATTGACGGGTTTATGAATCATCACCGTGGGCAACAGAGAGGCGCCTTCTGTATCCTAAAGAAAGACTACTGGTACAATTTATCAGCAATTTCATTGCTTACACAGAAAGTTGTGCTGCATATTTTATGAAGTAGAATCTGGATTTAATTCCTGATTGCTCGTGCGCTCTCTACTAGGTTTTTTTTTTTACTGGATTTCAGGGCGCTGGTTGGTTCATTTTACAGACTGGACGATTGTTCGTTCTTGCACCTTGAGGAGAAAACACTATTTGCATAGACGGGAACATTCTCTGCTTGTTGTCTCCTTACCGCCGATCTTGTAGACGTCCTGCAGGGGGAGGCGCAGGGCCTTGTCTGTGGGGCGGGACGGGGGCAGGATGGAGTCCAGAGCTTCCAGCAGGGTGACGCCAGTGGCGCCGCCTTCCTTACGCTCGACCTTCCATCCCTTGAACCAGCTCATCTGACAAACGGAGACAGCAGGTAGAGAGACGGGGAGGAGAATAGCTTAAGGAGATCACGTGATGAGGAAACGCGCAGCACGTTACGTTTTGATGGATGTGATGCGGATCATCGTTTGGACTCAATGTCACATGACTTGATGAGAGGTGGACGTGAGCTTGAGTGGAGCAGGTCTCCTACCTTCTCACTGGCCTCCAGCATGTTGTCTCCGTGCCACCCGGAGATGGGGACAAAGCCGACGGTGGCGGGGTTGTAGCCGATCTTCTTGATGTAGGTGCTGACTTCCTTGGTGATTTCCTCAAAGCGCTTCTGGCTGTAGGGGGGCTCGGTGGAGTCCATCTTGTTGACCCCGACGATGAGCTGCTTCACCCCCAGGGTGTACGCCAGCAGGGCGTGCTCGCGGGTCTGACCGTTCTTGGAGATACCGGCCTCGAACTCGCCGACGCCGGCGGCAACGATGAGCACGGCGCAGTCAGCCTGACATGCAAAAAAAAGCTCTGATTTTAGTCACGCACAACAAGATACAAACGCACTTTGCATGTGTGTGAACATCAGAACTAGCCTGAGAGGTGCCAGTGATCATGTTCTTGATGAAGTCCCTGTGTCCGGGGGCATCAATGATGGTCACGTAATACCTGCTGGTCTCAAACTTCCACAGAGCGATGTCGATGGTGATACCACGCTCGCGCTCTGCCTTCAGTTTGTCCAGCACCCAGGCGTACTTGAAGGAGCCCTTTCCCATCTGTTGAGGAATAAAAATAGTGTATAAATAAGCGTTACATTCGGCATTTTAATATTCTTAGACAAGTTTTTCCATCGAACCAAATTAGCCAAATAACTGATTCCTACTTTACATAAAATTGACAGTTTTCCTCTCCTAGTTTTAATGCAGATGCCGTAAGAAGCAAATACCTTCACGCTATTATCCTTAGATTGAAACTTAAAATCAATTCAATCAACTAAATAGATTGATACATTAAATGTGTATATGTATATGTATTCACTTCAAAATTATGCTATTCCCCTTTTTTGAATATAGCATTTTTTAAAAGACAATCAGCGTTTAACTACATTAGTGTGGATATGTTTGAGTTCTGTGTCTAACGGGTTGGTCTAGTTCTAAATAGATTTCTACTACTACTGAAGTAGGTTCATTATTATAAAATAATGGTTATGCTAGTAAATAAATACTAATGTCACTAATTGAGTCAGATTCTATAAGTTAAATAATAGTCACAGCAGGGGGTCGTGCTAGTGAGCAGCTTCCTCCACCAAGGGACGACATACAGGGTGACGTCACAGTCTCACATGTTCCTATTAGTGATCAGCCGGCTGGTGTCTCCACACAACCAACCTCGGCGGCTTCCTTCTCGAACTTCTCGATGGTTCTCTTGTCGATTCCTCCGCACTTGTAGATCAGGTGACCGGTGGTGGTGGACTTGCCGGAGTCGACGTGGCCGATGACCACGATGTTGATGTGGATCTTTTCCTTTCCCATTTTGAATTACTGAATATGATTTACAAGGGATCAGTCACGTGCACGTTCTAAGGACATTTTATGTCCGCAAGCATGGGCGAGCCAAATGTGTCCACGTGTTTATTCATTCATCTGGTATTTAGTAATAATTGCGCGATTAGTCGGCCTTTTAATCCTTCATCTTGATAATAATTTACCATAAAAGCCGCTCGGTAACGAACCTTGGTACATGACTAAAGTGCATTTGGGCGGAGGCCGGATAGGACGCGGTGAGTCACGCGCCATGTGCTCGGTGCCGGCCGCGTCGCCTCCATGTTGCGCATGCAGAGCCGCCATGTTAGACTGATGCAAGCGCGCGGCCGCGAGTCATGCAGACAGCTTCGGATGCGCGGTCACAGCATCGGATGCGCGGTCACGGTGGTAGAGAAAAGACTGCCATGACTGGCAGAAACTAAGCTTAAGGGTTCTAATACACGTTTTCCCCCCGTTTAACCATCCCTGCATTAAAGCCCCATTAAGACCAGTCCGTATACATGACATATTCCACGTCTGGATAAGAAATGTAAGGTGAGCCGGCATGTTTACCTTCATGTTTGACAAGTCAAAAGCAGCGATGCTGATAGGAGTTGGTCTCTATTCTAGCCTCGATTCTTTTGGTGCCGAGGAATTTGATTTTTCTGCTCAGCACCTCTTTAGTCTAATCCCCCCCCCAGCCCCTCCATCGAGACATGCATGTTAATTTAGCGCGAGATTTACCAACCTGTGCCCAGCAGACAGTCGTCCCCAGATTTTGAGCGCAGAGAAATAAAAAAAGGACAGAGTGTGATCAGTGCAGAGTTTTTATACTGAACCAGAGGAGAGGGGGGGCTGTGCATGCTCTTGCTGCTGTCAGTAGAATAAGGGGGTGCCATTGGCTGAGGCAAAATAATTCCTTTCGAGGCGATTGGACGACAAGTGCATCATCGGACACAGATAGCATGGTCAAAAACAGCTGCAGCACCAACAAGCGCGCCTGTGACTACCTGCGCTTACACAGTAAAGACCAACAAGCCAATGTCAATTTTTTCAAAGACATTTATTTTTATTAGTTACCAGCAGCTTTCTTTCCAATTAAATGTGGCATTTAACAACATTTCCAACTTAAACTTAACTGAGAAGAGGCAACGTCATGTGATTCAGGTAAGTGACAATGCCATGTAGTTCTTTTTTCCTGCGGAAACTTTTGCGATGGGTTTTAATCAGCATAAGCCAGTCCTTTAGTAGAGGGCTGTGCCACAGAGAAGATGATCCAGGGTAAGGGCAGGACAGGGAGGAATGAGTGGCCCGCTGATGCCGGCACACATCTTGTTGCTGGATGTCCTGCACGACCATTCATTTCTTCTTCTGGGCCTTCTCTGCAGCCTTGGTTGTCTTTCCGGAAATTTCCTTGCATTCAACGGCCTTGATCACACCGACGGCCACCGTCTGCCTCATGTCACGCACGGCGAAACGTCCTGGAATAGAAGAGAGGAGGAGTTAGTAAATGCTCTATTGCACCTCATCTTACACCCACTTGGAAAATAGTTCACACAGCACGTAAAAAAACGTTTTACATACCGAGGGGAGGATAGTTGGAGAAGGGCTCCACAACCATGGGCTTCTGTGGGATCAGTTTGACGATGGCTGCGTCTCCAGACTTGACAAACTTGGGTGCGTCCTCAAGCTTCTTGCCAGAACGACGGTCAATCTTCTCGATGAGCTCGCTGAACTTGCAGGCGATGTGAGCGGTGTGACAGTCCAGCACGGGGGCGTAACCTGCGTTGATCTGGCCAGGGTGGTTCAGGATGATGACCTGTGGACACATTTTGAATTAGCACAGCCCCAAGTTGGATTTTAAATGATTCAAACGAGCAGTCATACAATATCCTACCTGGGCGTTGAAGTTGTCAGCTCCCTTGGGGGGGTCGTTCTTGCTGTCTCCAGCCACGTATCCACGACGGATTTCCTTGACGGACACGTTCTTGACGTTGAAGCCGACATTGTCGCCGGGCATAGCTTCAGTCAGAGACTCGTGGTGCATCTCCACAGACTTCACTTCAGTGGTCAGGTTGGCAGGAGCGAAGGTGACAACCATGCCGGGCTTGATGATGCCGGTCTCAACACGGCCGACTGGGACTGTTCCAATACCTGAGAAAAGTTAATTGTTTAGTACTTTGCTTAGTAGCAGTAGTAGAGTGGTGCTTTTAAGAATTAGTCTTACCTCCGATTTTGTAGACGTCCTGCAGGGGCAGACGCAGGGGCTTGTCTGTGGGACGAGCTGGGGGCAGGATGGCATCCAGAGCCTCCAGCAGGGTGGTTCCATTGGCGTTGCCGTCCTTGCGCTCAACCTTCCATCCCTTGAACCAGCCCATCTACAAAACAAGTCAACGATTAGGGTCCACGCCTAAGCCAGTTTGTAGACAGTCTGTCAACACAGACTCGCCATGTTACCTTCTCACTGGCTTCCAGCATGTTGTCTCCGTGCCACCCAGAGATGGGGACAAAGGCGACGGTGGCGGGGTTGTAGCCGATCTTCTTGATGTAGGTGCTGACTTCCTTCTGGATTTCTTCGAAACGGGCCTGGCTGTAGGGGGGCTCGGTGGAGTCCATCTTGTTGACTCCGACGATGAGCTGCTTCACACCGAGGGTGAAGGCCAGCAGCGCGTGCTCGCGGGTCTGACCGTTCTTTGAGATACCGGCCTCGAACTCGCCAACACCGGCAGCAACGATCAGCACGGCGCAGTCAGCCTGACATGCAAAAAAGAAACAAAACAACATTAGTCAGGCACACCATAATACACTTACTAACTTTGCATGTGTGTGAACATCAGAACTAACCTGAGAGGTGCCAGTGATCATGTTCTTGATGAAGTCCCTGTGTCCGGGGGCATCAATGATGGTCACGTAATACCTGCTGGTCTCAAACTTCCACAGAGCGATGTCGATGGTGATACCACGCTCGCGCTCTGCCTTCAGTTTGTCCAGCACCCAGGCGTACTTGAAGGAGCCCTTTCCCATCTGTTGAGGAATAAAAATAGTGTTAAACCCGCTGGAAAAGTTATTCGGTTTATCCAGCACCCAGGCATACCTGAAGGAGCCTGGCTGTAAAGTGAAGGAATAGGGAAATATTGAACCATGCCTATATATAGGCATCTTCACACTTCACATTTTAACACACCAACCTAATTTAATTATAAAAAGTAGTTGTAAGTACTGGTATAATAATGAAATAATTCTGTATTGTCTGTACCACTTACAGACCGAGGCCTGTGCTAAAGGAACTGCACAGTCACCATCGCTGCTGCTCCCAGTAAGCCCCGCCCCTGCGTGCGCGCACACGGCCTTATCGCCACATTCTGGTGCCGGCCAGAAGCACGCTGACGCCGCCATCTTGCCTCCGGACTGGAGCCTAACGGTTTCAATGTGGGGGAAAATGTGCTCACCTCAGCGGCTTCCTTCTCGAACTTCTCGATGGTTCTCTTGTCGATTCCTCCGCATTTGTAGATCAGATGACCGGTGGAGGTGGACTTGCCGGAGTCGACATGGCCGATGACCACGATGTTGATGTGGATCTTTTCCTTTCCCATTGTTGTAGTTTCTGTCAAAAGAAAAAAAAGAAAATAAGCGTTTAATAAGCTAATATGCGCGCCATCTTTTACAGGGTTAATCAGGTAAAACCGCAATGTCACCTTAATGCAATCGTGACTTCACACAGCACAATACAAGGAGCGCGTCGTTGAAATGTTATAATTAATCATTAAACATTTACATGACTAATAAACCGCGCGTTCCGCGTTAAACCGTTCGCCGGTAACCGTATGCGAGCGGAGCCGCTAGCAGGCGGCGGCTGCTAGGCCTCAGTCGGCCATGAGCCAGCGCAGACACGTGTTACTCCACAGGCCACGTCGCGTTAAGTTACTAGACTCCCAGATATCCAGGACCCATTATCCGGCCGCCCCATGCCGCGTTTCATCAACGTACAGTTTCTTCATCGGCGAGAAGAGAATAAAAAGCGACAGCACAGCGGCCTCGGTTCTCTTTCCTGTCCCTTTGTTCCCCTCCACATTCGCCTCCCTCCCAACCCGCTCGTTTAAAAACTTAAAAGGAAGGCAGCTCCCGGTAACGTAGAGGCCGTAGATTAGCGGAACGTAATTTATTGCCATAAAGTACACCGTTAATTCCATTGGGGGGGGATAATCCACAGGTTCGCGTTACATAACTGAGAAGTAAAAGTTTATAATCAAAAACTCAAACGGTCGACGAAAAAAAAAAATAGGCCGAATATTTTTAACGTTAAACCTCAAAAAACAAGTTACAGCTAAAGGCCCGCGCTGTCCGCCTAGTAGGACTCAAAAGTTAAGCTTACCGGTGTTTCTGGGTTATCACGGCCGACGATGCTGCCCCTAGCCAGGTAACTGAAAGAGGAAGACAAGGGTTGGACTGTAGTTTTTATACGGAATGGGAGGCGGCCTGACTTCCCGTCCCCCTTCCCCTCCCCCGCGCGGAGACCCCGCAAATCACACACATTCCTGCAAAAAACGTCAGCACGCAACCGGATGACCCGCCTGAAACATGCACGACGTCTCACCCGGATACTGTGCGTTTAGCTTAGCAACCAAACCAGCGACAACACACACTGGAGTTGATATAGTGATGATAATAATACACAGAAACAATATTCAGAAACAGATTGTAAAAGCACACAATTGATCGCTTTAATAAGCATTAGAGGCAGTGACCTTCAACTTCGTCGATAAGAATCAAGATGAAAACATCTACTGAATATTATTACCATAAAGAATTGGACATAGTTTCAAAACATAATTATAGTAATATATATTGGAATTGTTGAGACTGATTCACACAATTATTGTACACATATGTTGCTTAGAAATAATGGATTTGCTATCAATGACATTTAGTAGAAAATGTAAATGAATAACTATTTGAAACCATAGCTGCACAAAGCTCCCCCGCCCTTGAATCCCCCCCCACACCGGTTATACTGGGACAACTCTTCAGCCTGAAATGATTATTCAAGTCCAACATTTGCATTCAAACAGCTCTACCCAGTCAAGATGAACTCAAGCTGTTTTCAAGGCACCTTATCCTGCTGGTCGTTTGCATCTACAACAGACTCACATGCATGACTGATTAATGTAAACACTGATGCCTGCAGGCTGAAGTGTATCTTCGGGGGAAGCCGGTTTGCTTATCTTCCACTACAGAAACTGATGGATATGCCTGGATGTCCTTATAGTTGCAGTGATTTTCATTAAGTTGTTCGCCTTTAAACCAGTTGTCAGCTTGAAAGTAGCTACGGTGTCTTAGCTACAATAATGACAATTATTTTATTATCAAGAAAAAAGGCCTGTTTTGTCACTTGGATGCTACTGGGGTGGGGTCAGAAGGTCCACTTCTGCCACTTCCTCCATCCCTGGGGCTGGCTTGTTTCCCGGTAAAGAGGCAGCTGGTATCCTCCGACACACACACACTCGCTGGGCATTCACTCCAGTTCAGGTAACAGCGACTCAGACTTGCCGGCTGCTGCTTTCACTCAGCGTCGAGCAGAGCGACTGGCTGAGTGAAAGCAGCAGTGTGAGTTAAAGGGAGAGTCAAAATGAACAGAAGATGTTGGGTATCCTCTGAGATGGAACCTTCAAGTTATTACAAAGCACAGAATGACAGACATCTTGGAAAAAGTAATGATCTATTATAAGATGTGTAAAGAAATCCCTTTTAAATGTCATTCTGCAGAACACATGTTCTGCTATGTTTCAGTTTACATTATATAAATGATCTGACCACACATACTGATGTCAAAATAAAGCACAACGAAATGAGCCACTGCCATCCTTAACCAGAGGATAAGAAATGTGGACAGGCCTATTTCTTATTAAGTATGTCTCCAGTGTTAAAAACATTTAATCCTCTTTTGTCAAGTCAGAGGATCTCCACAGTTCTCCCCCTGGGAGCCCTTTGTGTGGTCTCCAACAATGGGTATATTAGGATATTGAGGCCCCGAACTGGACCGACATATCATTGGCCCCCCCTGGAGTAACAGTGGTAGCAGGGCTAAAAAACCAAGGCGCTCGGGCGATAATGCCTGTAATAATCCTAATACCAGGCGCCAACAGCGTGGGAATATGCGGGGTATTTAATGTGTGTGGGTGTGCGTGTGTGTGTGTGTGTGTGTGTGAGAGGGAAAAATGTGTTTCACCAGGCTGACCGGCAGGCCGTCAGTGATGAGTCATCCGGGGTGAAGGGGTGGTTATAGCACCTAGAGATGTGAACATTTAGCCCGCCTGAGAAAAGAACCCGGTTATTTGTTAGTACAAAAGGCGGGGGGGGGGGGGGGGGGGTGGCATAGACAGATTCCAGGTCGACATTACTTTTATTAGAAAATCCTGGCATCCATGGCAATGCAGGCAATACATGATCAGACTGTTTTCCAACCACTAAATATGTTCAAATTGTCTCCCCTTCAGCCACAACAGCACGGAGGACCACAGAGGACAGCCACTGAAGTTGGAGCGATAGGACCTGGCTCACGTTCCTGGGGTTTTTGTCGGGGGAAGTGGGGGAAAAGCCTTTCTTCATGGTCCTAGTTTCTGCACAGAGGCCTCATCGTGTTGCAAGATGTTTTACAGGAGAACACAAAACAATAAACCCTTGTTTTAAGTGCTCAGAAACCCAACATTAATTAATAACATTAATACTGCTATAAGTAACAAGTAATATAAATAATATTTGCTTGTTATGCGTGAAAGGCGCGACACTTTACCTTTTGAGAATCTAAAAAGATTATACTACTTTCTTTTATGGGGTCATACGTTAAAGTTTGAAAGCACTAATCTAAGGCACAGTGCATATAAAGCAACATACTTGTGCCCATACAGTGTTGATAGATAGACAGAGAGACAGCTTTTACAAGTCATCTACTATCCATGTAAACACATTATGAATTCCGGTTTAAACCACATTTCGTCGTGGGCAGCAACATCAACTGGCACAGAATCTTCTCTATCTGCCAGTTTTGAGAAACGTGACTTGGTGTCCGTGTGGGTACAGAAAATAAAAAGTCTCAAAGACTGATCCTGATGAATGCCAAGATGAAATGTGCAGGAATGAGTTTAAAGTAACTCAATTTTAAATATCAATGTCAGCCCACCCTAATGCAAATACAATCTGAGGCCAAGGCGAGACAGTTCATGCAAATAGAGCTTATCTGCAACACACAAATCTCCTGCCGCCCCCATCTTCACACTGGCTATCAAAGTATTCCCTTCTGGTGTGCAGAGTATCGTCTGCATTCATTTCACACCCTGAGTGTTGAGGAGACTCGTTCATCACATGCATAACACAGCCTGGGGTCGGTATCACCAGACTTCTGGCTTTTACTTAACGGGGCTGCAGCTGATTTCATTCAAACCCCCCGATGCTCACCACAAGCCAAAAGAGGGCCGTCTGAGTAAAGCCATTAGCCATTTGATGGTTCTATAACGAGGCTTCTGTTGATCTCTAAATCCTGTTTAAATGGTGTAGGCTTTGCAAATAAACCTGATTTTACTTTTGTCAATGATGAAGTGTATATTTTTCCTTCCTGCTTGAGGACTTCATGAAACACTATGTTACAAGCTGTGTTACTTATGATTATTTGATACAGGAATGTGGTAAACAGAAAATTGGGTGTAAAAGAAAAAAAGTAAACTAATATACATTAGAAAAAACTAACAGATAAGGGATCAAAATATACCTAAAGGCGCACTGGAGGTATTGTTCATTGTCAGTTTTGCACTGGATGTTTAGTTCAGTTTTGCAGTAGGTCCTTATCCCAAAGGAACCTAATCACTAGTCCTGGTTACCAACAAAACAGGGAAGTATCCTGCCAGGTTTTTATCTCCAGCAAAAGTCTTGCTTCATATACTGCTTAATTTGGGGTTTTAGAGCTATATAGTGAAACTGATGAATGAATAAATACAATAGTACTAATAGGTGTTCGAGAATAAGTCAGAGCCATCCTATATATTATGAGAATTTAAAACCTAAAGAAGAAAGGCGCCTAAAATGGGAGAACCACATAAGTTAGCCAGACGTAGTTAAATACAGGGTTTTGACAGTAAACACCCTAATAATAAAGTGGGGAAAAACTGAGAACAAGCCAGCTATGTGATATAACCACGCAGCGTTTATTGGAGTAACAAGAATAACTGGGTGGAAAAATAATTCCACTGCTGGTGAATCATGGTGAATACAGTGTGGGGGGAGGACAACTGTGGCTGCACAAAACCCGGTTTCGTCATAAAAGCATCCGGGTCATTCATCAGAAAGTCTGATGCAAACGCAACACGAGCCACGCCCACGGTTTCTTAAAGAGACAGTACAGCCACCAGCCAACCGGAGCACATGGGCGGTTTCAGCAGTCGTGTACGTGGTTCAGCTTTTAGATTAAGTAAAAGTACTTACAATACCGTTGTGACATTTTTCTATAATCAGGAAAATGTCCTTACAGTCCTAAATGTAAAAACTCAGTGAGTTAACGTGATTCTTTTTTCAATTAAATGGCTGATGGGTTTGGCCTTTTAGGAATTGCATCGGAATTAGTCACAGTTTGTTCGACAGTTCAAACCTCAAAGTGATTTTAGAACATATATTCAAATGATGAAAATAAATAAGAAGTAAAAATAGCTACTACTCACATTTAACAAGTGAGTTAAAAATTACTTTTAATGATTAAGAGTGAAATGTATCTTATGTTGTAAATGCAAAAATATGGTGTAAAGTAGATATTTACTGAAATACTCTACTTAAGTACAATTCTGAGTTGCTTTAAATGAGTCTTTGGTGTTATACCTCAACTGCATAACTTTTCATTAACTTACATTTATATGAAAATTGGAGTTACTTTGAAAAAACAAATTGAGCAAATCAAATACAGTGCTTTGTTATAAGAGAGAGCCCATTTTGTCTGCATAGTGAGTACTTACAGGGGGGAGAGGGGGCATTGTTTCAGGACTTTGGCCCTGCTGATCTCTTTCTCTCTTTTGTTCATTTTTAGTGATGATGGGACACAAGAAGAATTATATCACCTCAACATGATTAGTTTAGTGAGAACGGGAACATCTATAATTTCAATATCATTTCAAAACACAGACTCCACTCAGATCTTTTAGTTTTGCTCCGTGATTCTTCACACAATAGACACAGTTTACATATTTGGTTCAGTCTCAGATTTGCAAAACACAGCGTAGGAAAACACATTGTGTTTAAAAACATTGTATCTTTACAACCGCAGTGCAACAGAAAGAAGGCAAAAAACAGTTTACTATTTAAAAAGTAAGTACTACTAACTACTACTACTACTAAATACTATTTAAAAAGAAATACCAATAATTGAGGTTGAATAAACCTTTAAGGAATTAAAAACACTGCAATACCACAGTATCTTGAAAGGAAATCACTTTTAGTAAAACACATTACATTCTTGGCAAAAGGTGCTTTGATTTTCTGAAGACTAAAGAAACATTATAAAGTCTATTCAGTATAACTATGTATTTTTCTGTGATGAAAGTGCCTCTCTGTGTCCTCATGGACAGTCTAGTAGGGTTGAGGAAACAGTCACAGCTGTAAACAAAGCAGCTAAAGGTAAAGGCGTTAATACCGCTCCTGTGCGTTGGTCCTTAAAATACACACATCTTGCTCACAGTGCAAGAAAAGGTTTTAAAAATGGATTTGTTTTGATCCAACCGAAAGTGCTCCATGTGCTTATGTTCCATGTATTGTTTTGCAAAATACAACTTTAGAATATTTGTCTGACACAAAAGGTTCAACCTTAATTTATGCTCCTGTAAGCTTCTATAAAAAGCTTCTGATTAGTAAATACAGTCCAGTATAGTTTTTTTTCCAATATAAGAATGTGAATACATTTCAATGTATAAAACTCATCTCTTTGCTAGAATTATTGTAAAAATCTTTTCAAATGTGTACCTGAGTATAAACCTTCCAAAGTATTATTGATAAATAAACTAAGATTCAAATTATTCCTGATCATGCTATTCTTGGCTGATACCGTTTGTACACCTCTCACACTCATAATATTTGATAAGTGTGTTTCAGGATTTATAGATTTTAAAGAGGTAGTATTCATGTTCAAATATTTCGGACCTTGTCGGATGTCTTTGTCTGAATATCCACGTTTTCACGTGGAGTTGGAATGGCTTCTGTCTTTCTCGGCTTCCGCTCCGTCGTCCTCGACGACGGCCCACTTCTGGATCTTCCCACTGCTGAATATGGTGAAGATGATAGCACCGACGACGTTGATCCCGGCAGCCACCCAGAACACCTTTCTCCAGCCTGCCATGGTGCGCTGAGGACCGGAGGGGAAGAGGTAGCAGCGTGTTACTGTGCTGTCATCTACCGCGCGTCTCGCTGAAACTCTTTGATCGGGACATTAAGGAGCCAGGAGGAAGTGAACAACAGATCAAGGTTTCTGGAGAGAAAGTTTGCTTTGAGCTGCTTTTTATAAATGGTTGTTGCTATATGGTAAATAGTTACTTATGCATTTATGTAAAAGAAAGATTTTACTACTATAGTTGGTTGAGGTGAAGCGAATATTTGGACTATTTATATTACGGATTGCAACTAATGATTAGTTTCATAACGGATTATAATATGAAGTATTTCCTCAATTTCCTCCTCCATATTTATTTTCTTTGTTCTGATGGAATATGTCTTGGACTTTATTTTGGTATCCTCTGATTCATGTATTTAAATGTCCTTCTCCTCATAATAAAGTAAATTTTAAATTAGACAATCTGTTGATTGTATAAATGTAGTTTCACAGGTTTCAATTTAATATAGAAGACAACTAACCTTTTCAGGAAAAACCTGCCATGTAATGGGTCAAAAAACCTCAAAGCCTCAAACATCCACCACGGTTACAGAGCTACACCTTATTATCGCGAGGTCCTTTATGAGACTTACGTCCTCCGTAAAGTATCCTGTAGCGATGGGTGCAACAACTCCAGGAATGGTCCCGAATGTGTTGGTGATTCCTAGAAGGAGTCCTGCATACCTGCAGGGAAGAGAGAGAATAAAACGTGTTATTCTGTAGTTATTGCTGTTGTTCATACACTTGAGTCTTGAGATTAGATCAGTTGATGTACATAATCTAAATGATGCAACAATAAATACAAGAGTAACACTTACCGTGGAGCGATATCTATTTGGTTCATGTAGACTCCGGCGGCAGTGATTGCTCCTATGGTTGCGGAGAGTGTGAGGAAGGTGACGGTGAGGATGTGGCTGCAGCCGGCGTAACTCACAGCCACGAGGAACGCTGCCCCGGACAACAGACCTGCAGACACAGAGAGTCCACTTATATACCTCAGTGCACGCCGACAAAACATCTCTGCTCTTACTGGTGCTCTTTGGGTCTTTAATATCATATATGATATTTAGCGTGAGTGTCTTTCTTGATATTCATGTCATTGTTTCAATACTGGATCTAAACCAGATGAGGGCAGCGTCCCTCCACTCAAAGACAAGCAAAGCTCCACACTGCTGAGTGGGACGAGGACACTTGCGTGTTTGTTTGTTTTTAAGGATGTTTTGTAAAGTCGAGAGAATTTGTGGAGGACAGGGGACAATGTAATTCCCTTTGGTGAATGTACTAGAGCGTCATGTTACCACACACCTCACATATTTACATTGGACTTCTACCACCGTCATATTTATATTGTACATATCAGTAAATGTTTATGCTCAGTTTTATTTTAGTTCTATTTTGTTGTATTTAATGTCTTTCTTCATATTTTTTATATTTCTGTTGTTTCTTTGTATATCTATGTGCAAACATACATGGCCAATAAAGCAGATTAATGCAGATTGTTTAATGGTGGAAGACGTTGCAGGAAAGTAAAGCCGTTGCTGGAGAGTCAATGTCCATCAGGGTGCAACTCCTCTGGTCCTACAGAAGACTATGAGAAAATTAGAAAATGTTGGGAAAACCTGTATCTTGCGAAACCTGTGACCTCAACTAGTCCAGGATGGTGTTTTTACAGCTGGAATCCATTGTGTGCTTTTATTGATCATTTATTGTTTTTCCTTCTGTCTGTCAAAACATGATTGCCTGGGGTTAAGGGTGTTTTCCCACAGCATCTGTGTTTCCTACTGAAACTCCTTTTGTGCAGAATGGCCTTCTGATTGGACCACACAAACCTCTCTGATGTATTAAAGCTTCTATCCTCCCCAAGAAGCTTGGTCAGACTCCTCTGAGGGAGAAGGAACCATCGGCCCCTTTTCAGCTGAATTGAGTCATTTAACTTCTTTCTGTACTTTGTATGCGGTTTGTATCGATGATTTCTGTGTTCTTTATGATTTTTCTATATACTAGTTAGTAATAAATATTTAATCACAAAACAAGTTCAATATGCTTTTGATTTCTCACAGGGGCTTAATCCACAAATTTTCACCACAATTTAATTATTCTTTCAAATATTTCAGTGTTTTTTAATGACTATATTATTATATTATATCATTAAAAATATTATAAGCGTCTATAGTTCACTATGAGCCATATCTAGTAGACTCCAAACCGTCAATATTTCTTGAATGAAAACATGTGGCTCAAGAAGAACGTATTATAAGTGGCAGTACACAAGCACACTACAGAACATGTAACGCATTGTTTCACATGACAAATACCAAGTGTGCATTCATACAGAGTTTCCCGTACCTATGAGTGTGAAGAGCTTCCGTACGACGGAGATGCTGAACACCTTCCTCTCGATGAGGCTGTCTGCCGCGACACCAGACAGCGTCGAGAACAACAAGGCCCCAAGATACGGCACAGCGGAGAGGAACCCGTTCTGGGCGGAGACAGAGAGACGTGATCAGGCTCCCAGATTGCTTCCCTTTATCCGGTACACACATCTCATATCTACAGCTTGTCGGTGATGACAGGTTGACCCCAATATCATTCAAGGAACTCAGAAAACACTTAAAGAGAGCTTGTTGCGAAGATAGATTCCACTTTCATGACTGTACGAGGCTGCAGCCAGCGGTTGGCTAGCTTAGCTTAGCATAAAGACTAAAAGCAGGGGGAAAGAGCTCACCTGGCTCTCACCAAAGGTGTACCTCTAAAGCGCAGTACTTATTGTGTTAAAGAGAAACCAGACCAGGTGATAGAAAACAGCTGGCATTATTTCAAAAGCGCCAAGAGTGTGCTCATATTTCCAGGTACGCAAGCTGGTGCGTATGGACAAAGATGACTAAACTATTGTGCAATATTTGTATTATCATTATCTCCGCCAGGAGGATCGTGCGATGGCTTGCGCATGTGTCCGTGAGTGAATGTGCACCTCTGTATCCGTCCTGCAGACTGCTAATCTTCCCTTATCGCCGAATGCTCAATGTCCCCTTGTGACACTTTCATAATACACCGTTTATCACCTGTTTTACTGTTTGTGTGCTGCGCGCGCCGACAGTGAGTTTCATTTTGTTTTTGGCGAGATGGTGTGACGTGTCTTTTATTCCTGTCGTTCTGGTTCTTTTCCCTCTTGATTGAATGCACTTTTTGTAAGTTTGGATCAAAGCGTCGGCTAAATGATAAATGTAAAATGACGACCTTGAGGCGATTGCTTGTGTTCGGCCTGCTTGTTTTTGCGTTTAAATGAGCCCATCGTTATATGGACAGGGGACGGTCAGCCAGTCGTTGGTCGTATTCGTTTAGTCACACAGTACAGCAGTAATTGTTGCAGACACAAGTGGAGAGCTCCTCTCTAGTTTGTTATTATTTTTTCAAGAAAAAACCCCCACAACTCACTGATTTGATGTCAAAGTGCATGATGTCGTTCATGTACGTGGGCAGGGAGGTGAGCAGGGTGTAGTAGGACCAGTTAGAGCACATCTGGGTGATGATGATGGACCACAGAGGGACCGACAGCAGCATGGGCAGCACAGGCACCGACCAGCCATGGCCTGTTCCCTAGAGAGCAATCACAAGGAGAAAACATTGATACTACTAAAGTAGGTCCAGATACTTGAGTCGCATATCACAGGAAAATAAAAACATGTTCACCTGTGATCCGATGGAGTTTATGATGTAATCTCTCTCCTCTTTGCTGATTCGCCGGTTGGTGCGAGGGTCATCTGACGCGAACGCAAACCAAAACACCGACCACAGACAACCGGAACCACCTGAGGGAGAGGGAGAGAGATTTATTGGAGATATGGTGAAAAGTTAAAGAAAAGAAGGTAGTGAGGTGGACTGGCCGACTGTGGAATGTGATTGTGTTTGGGTTTCCCTTCCTCACCACAGATGTAAAAGACAGCGGGCCAGCCCAGTGTCTGGCAGATGTAGCCGGTGAGCGGCAGAGCCACAAAGGCGCCAAAGCTGGCTCCAGATCCCGACAGCGTCATGAGGCGAGAGCGCTCCAGGGGGGGAGACCATCGAGCCCACAGCGACATCATGGCGGGGAACGTGACGCCCTGGAGAAACGCACAGTGAGACAGGGAGGCCGGCAGCAGATCTGTTGCAATCCGTGGTTTCAAATGTTCCCTCTGCAGTAACACTTCTGGGATGTAAAACACATGGACCACTATTTTGATAATTGATTAAGACTAAAGGTGTATTCTAATAATCATAACAATAACCAGCAGATTTATCCATCTACTATAAACATTTAATGAATACAGTATAAAAGTACTAATACGGATAGTCAATAGTTCTGGAGTCGCCTCAGTCACAGATTTAGCAGCAAATAAATGTCCATTATTCTATTATTGCTGTTAAATCCGTCGACCACCGCGACAGAAAAGCACAATATTGCCAATCCTATTTCCCCACAGCTCCAAACACTCTTACCTCCCCAAAGCCCTCCAACGCTCGCAGAGCAAACAGCCAGTATGCACCCATGCTGGAGGCCAGGGGGGTGAGCAAGGTGAGTGCAGCGGTGCCCAGCACGCCCAAACCCATGAAGACACTCCCCCCGTAGTGACCGGACAGGTAGCCAGCCGGGATCTGTGTGAACAGGTAGCCAAAGAAGAAGGCCCCCTGCAGCCAGCCCTGAGTCTCAGAGTCCCACGGATACTGGGGGATCTGGTAAGAAAGCATTCAGATAACGTTAACAGGCTGCCTGGTAGAGTCGAGGTCTACTATCTAATATTGGTATGAATTTAGTTATACATCTGAAATCAGGCAAAGACACTTAAATCCGTAAAAATGAACGGAATTGTATCAGGAATATTTCCCCTCTTTGTGTGTCTCATCTATCTTCCTTTAATGCCGTACAGTAATTCTCACACAACCTACTTCATTTAAAGAAACCATCTGAATGGCTTGTTATCCTGAAGTAATTTGTAACAAGTTTAAGAATCAGTTAACTGGTAAAAATGTATAAACTCTGTGTTACCCCCGCGGGCTGCAGGAAGGGGTCACTGGTGTTTTCCGACCCAGCTGGCGCTGGACAGGCACCGATTACCGAGGTGTTCTGGGCTGGTTCGGTTTCAGTGGTATTCACCATGGCTACCATGGCAACGCTGAGGTTTACACGGAGGCCGTAGACCACGGAGAACCCAAGGAACATCAGGAAAGCCAGGTTGAGGCGAGCCGAGCAGCACTGGGGATGGACTGTCCACAAAGAGTACAAGGGTTGTGCGCGTGGTCTGGACAGTGGGTCGCTGTGAGAACCACCTCAAACACTACAGGTAAAGTTAAGAATGGAGGATCTACTTTACAAACACATTGAGTCATCTCAAAAACACATTTTTTAACAAATAAATTCAAATTATTTTTAGAAAAGGCACTCAATAGAGTTTTACAGTCAACTCTGGCTCACTTAACCACGGCGTATCTTCATTACGTCAGGGGCATCGTCTGCTTTACTGCCGTCATTTGATGGTCGGCTCCCTCGTTAAGACCTTACATCAGGTAACCACTAACCAGAGGTGCTGATGTGAACACGACTACAGAATATATGAATAGCATATTGTTGTGCAGCAGCCATTACTGCAAACACTACATTTTCTGTGTTTTATTTCTGAGCTCGCTTCAGTGAACTACACAGCTTTGTTAATGTTTATAAAGAACACAGACCCACATAAAAGTGGATAAAATGTGTGCACTTGTATGCACCACTGCATGTTAAATACAAACATAACACTTAGTTGATTGAGAGAAAATGAATCTGCAGCTTTTGGGTTTTATAGTTTTTTTTTACATCTCCAAACATTTCTTATTTCTTAAATATTTATATTATCAATTGTTTATAAGGTTTTGCACACTAGTTGGATTTCACCTCAGGGAACTGGAAAAAAACATAATCAACATGGACTTCTGAAAACAGTTACAGCCATAAAGACAAATACTATTGAAAGAACTTGGAACTTGTCTTGAGAGTTTCGGCGTGTTTGCAAACCCAAAATCTTGATCAAAACGAGTTCTCACTGCAAACACAACACGTACTTGCATCGTTCCCGATGAGGGGTTCACTGTCCTCGCTCTCGTCCACAGAGGCCGAGTTGATGGAGTAGCCATTTGGTGACGGCATGGCACTCGGATATTAAGTGAAATGATGTCACCAAGCCATAGTTCTCCCCAGGTCCTGCTGGACGAGCACAGGAACTGACAAGAAGACACGGAAAAACACAAACAATGAGGAAGAAGGAGGATAATAGATCAAAACATGACAGAGGCACGTATGTACAGGAGGATGCACACGACACATCAGCAGGATTTGATAGGAAGCTTCATTACACACAGTGATTCTTTCTGAACACTGAACACGCAAACTTACTGAGGCTGAGAATGGATCCACTGCACAGCCGGGTGGAGAGGTGATGTTTGTCTCTTTACTGTGCTGGAAACTGTGAAACAGAAATAAAAAGGACACAATTACAACAGCAGACTGGCTGTGGTGTTCTATTTCAACCCTCAAAATACATACTGTATTTGTTTGTCTACAACTATCCATTAAAACATGAATATGTGCTAATGTATGTAATCTTTGTGTCCAACAATTGTTGGACATTTTATTGAAAACAGGAATCAATGGAAATAATCATGAGTTTCCCATGAACTGGTATTATATTATATGCGGGGGTCAAAAGAGGTAATTGTTTTTAGGATCCAACTGCTGAGTCAACGTTTAGAGTTCCACTTCTCACACCAGCTGCATAGACAGCTTAGCTGAGACAACTCATGATGTTGCTGGCAGCAGAAACCGCAGAAAAAAAGAAAAAGCATTGTTCTCGGTTTAGGAACTGAGTTCTCAGTTTAGGAACTGGGAACAACATACTTGTCTGTGAGCTTCCAATATGTATTCAGGGGTTGGGTTGCGTTTAGAGAGGTTGAGGACGAGAGTATCTAATTACTAAAGCCATGAAACCTCCATAAAATGCATTCGGCAAAATATTAAAAGAAAAATAGGAGCAATTGAAAGAAAGCAATTCATCATTTGGTTTATAAAAGTATAGTTACAGGTTACTTTTCCTCCTATCAAGTTAATCAATTTTCTTCAACAAAGTATTTCCTTCTTACGCTATTTTCTCATAAAAAATGTTATCAAATTTTACAGGATCAAATTTCAATTCTTGAGAACCCCGTCATTTCATTGATTTTTTTTTGCATTTTCCCCTTTATGTGTGTTTAATTTCAATTGATTTGAGTATTGTTCAGGAATCAAAAAACATTTATTACTAAAATATGTCAGACATACAAGGAATTTGACTTGGCGGTTGGTGCATAACAGCAGACAGTTAGAGAATGGACAACAAGACAGATAAGACAACATAGCAAAAGAGAAATAAAATAAAATATAATAAAATATAAGGCTATGTGTTAGAATATAAGGCTATGGGTTAGTTTAAAAAATAAAGGTAATGTAATATTTAAAGACTGAAACAAATTAAGATTCTTATTATTATGACACGCACCACATATTTTCATAAATGCCTTTATTGATTCCTTGCGGGTCTTAGCGGATAAGATAACCAACACATTTTTTACGCTACGTTGCAAGTTTGTCTGTCTGACAAAGCATGCTCTTTGCCATCACCATGTGACTCTTTTTGGGTGTGTGGGTATACCATGGAACCCTCTGAAAAACAGCTCAATTCATTCATTTTTCTGAAACAATTCAGGCATTATATAACAAAAATGTATTTTCTCTACCGCCTTGTCTGGGATAAAAAGGTTTATTACTGTGGACACCTATAAAGTTTTCAAAAGCCTTTCTCAAGTTTTATTTTCAACACCGACATACCTAAAGCAATGAGGGTGTAAACCTTCCTTTATTTTTAAGCTAATAAGACAATGAATTGCAATGACGTGAAACAGAGAAACAGGTTTGGTAATTTCGTCAACCAACGCGTTTGTGCACTAACACAACAACATGAGGAAACCACTGAGGAAATGCAGTTGCACAATGTTTGATGTCTAACGTTAGCTATGAAGGAAAGAGAAATACCTCAGTAAGGCATAACATTATTATAACATGTTTAAGCTAGTCCAACTTGAGAATGATTAGTCTGTTATGTGCCATGTAACTACATATAAACGTAACCCTGTAACGTTAAAGCTCAGTAACGTTAGACCACCCATTTAACCTGCAGCTGCTTGTTCCATTAACACTCACTCTGCACGTTATATAACGTTAACTTAGCCTGTTCGTAAACTAACGTTAGTTATTAGGTTAACTGGTGTAAACAGTATGTTTAATGGCATTTTTTAACGGATAATCTGGCAAACATATCTTACCTTGTAAATAAGTTTTGAACCAAAGACGGTAAAGAAGGCGTGAAGGTAAAAGTGATTGAAACATGTAACCTAGCATTTAAATACCTTTATATCGACCGGCGAGGCGAGCATTGTTGTTTCTAGCTGTCATGTGAGCAACGCGTTGGGAGACGTAGATCTCTAGAGAGAGCGGACGGGCTACTCCGGATTTGGACCATCCGGTTGAGAAAGCGCAGATGTGCTACAGATCCGCGCTACGGATGTGACGTCTGAGCAGATGAGAAACGCGCGGCCCGCCTTCCTCTCTACCAACCGGTTTGGTTGTGCTGAAATTAATGAATAAAACTATTTCACATCTTTCAAGGCTGCCCAGTGATAACAGTTCCTTTAACTACGTCGTGTGAGAAATTAAAGCGATCCCACAATAAATTAATTTCTGGAAACTCTTTTAACATGTTGTTATGGCAACGATTCCACCGCCTTGAAGCAAACATACGATCCAGCTGAAGTTATTCACGTTAGCTCCCCAACACAAGTCAGCAATTTTCATGTACCGGTAAAATATATTTTACAGCTGTCGTCGCTACCATGTCCCATTATAGAGTGAGTATTTGGTTAACCCTTATATACTTGCTGTAGCTGATATTTCTACTCGCTAAATATAATACTTGCTGGTGTAAAGTATGTATGCTAACTAGCTAGCATAATAGATATGTAAAGGCAGTGACACACTTCGACAGGCGTGTTATTGTTCAACCAGGAAATTACTTCTGTTTTTGCTAACGTCCGAATATTTGTTTTATATTTCAGGCTGCGGAATCGAAACGAGAACAATTTAGAAGATATCTCGAAAAATCGGGAGTCCTTGACACTATAACCAGCGGTATGTGCACGAGGAGCCCTCCAACCTTATTTCATTAACACGTACCGCTTATTGTGCACTTAATACAAGATGTTTAAGCCACACGTGCGCCTACTTCTGTGACCATTCCGTTTCTCTTTGCAGTTTTAGTGCAACTTTATGAAGAGAATGACAAACCCGACAATGCACTGGAGTATCCTTTTCTCTCACGTGTACCACATTGTAGAACTTTTCGGCGTGTGTTTACGAGTGTTGTCATGCCTGCTAAGGATGACCCCCCGACCCAAGTCAAAGAGGTCATGCTGCGTTTTATTGAGAAAGAAATATGGAAAAAAACTATTAGTTCGATAAAATTTGATGGTACATTGAATGGACCTGAACGCCATGTTTATGCTTCGAGTTGAGCTTGCAGAGAAGAGTTGTGGTCCCACTATAAGCCCCCCTTTACATCTGCACTAAAACTGTAAATACAATGGCAGTTTTATTTGATAGCATGTGTTTAAGAAAGGGGGATCATCATTTGACCTTAGCCCCTGGCACAGTTTCATAAAGCTTCAGCTCAATGGTCCTGGTCCAGATCCAGTTGACTCTGAGGCTCTTCGCATGGAGCTGGCTGACCTTCAACAGAAATGCAACCTTCTCATGGGGGAGAACAAAGAGCTGAGAAACCGGGTGAGATGCTGGTGAAACTCCAAATTTACAGATCATTTTGTTTGATTGTGCTGCTGCCAGCGTAACATCTAACCTCTGCCTTTATATCATTTGGCAGCTGATGCAGTACGAACCACAGCGTGATGCAGGGCCGCCACAGTAGAGAGGATGGGTTTTGTCATTTCTCTTTTGGATAAAAACATAAGAGATATTATTCAATTATAAGCGATGTACAGTAAATACAACAAGGGATGTATAGTAAATACAACATTGGCTAGAAAGGAACTTTTACTTTGTCATAAATAAAAAAGTTTTTTCAGTATTTGGCATCAATCCTTCTCTTGAAATTACCATTATTTCTGTTTTCAACTAAATCATTCTGTCATCTGAAATGAACAGATAAACAATATACATTTTTTTAGAATGGCCTTTAATTTTCTCAAAAACATTTCAATTGATATCATACTGAGTAAGAAAGCTCATACAAAATCAATCACAGAGGTTGCCGCTCATGTGCCCCAAAGAAATTTAAGTCTGATAAATGACAGCACATTGAACAGCATTTTTTTATTCATGTGACCATAACAACGCAAAGATATTTAGCACATTTTCCGAATGTGACAATCTCATATTTGTGATTAATGTTCTTACTGAAGAACTCTCCAACTGGGGTTGGAATAATCCAGGCAGCGTTACTGATTTAAAATGGTTAAATCAGGTTGTGTAACAGCACGTTGTGACCTGAAACAATATTATAGATTTGCTGTTCATTTTTCCATTCCTCTCTAATCATTCAGACAGAGCTGTCGGGCGTACAGTCGAATCATTACATGTCCATCTGAATCTCTGTAACAGACCAGCTGTAAAGTCTGAAAAGTGAATGTTAGATTTATTTTTTTGTTTTAAAAAGTTGCTCTTTGGAGTTATTTGGAGAAATCAATCTCCACCCCAACGCGTAACAAAGGCCTTTTGTGCTGCTTTTAAAGTCTCTCAAAGAACTCCCAATGTGTGAAAAGTGACCCCCACACCTGTCTTATTGGCCGTTTCTGTTGCCATGTCAACCGGCGTGCAGTCTGCTCATATCTGCAGATCAGTTGGGGCCCTTCTGCTGCCGTTGCTGCTCACCGCTGACACGCGGCGGCTGGGAGAGGCTGGGACGGGGCTGTTGCTCTCGCGGCTGTGTCGAGACACTGAGCTCAGCTCCCCTGCGGAGTCCGGGCTCTGAGGCCTGCTCGGCCTCTTCGTGTCTGATTTGGAGAGCACCCTCGCTCGGGGTCCGACGCAGCCGCCACGCGGCTTCCCGCCGTTGTTCCCTTGATAGGAGTCTCCGCTGTCCGACCCGTTGCCTTCCACCAGCGTGGAGCAGTTCCACGGTGGACTGACCCTCCGCGACTTCCTCGCAGCTCCTGACATCGTTGCGCACGATGAGGCCACGGGGAGGGTCGGATACTCGGAGCTGGTGCACCCCATGCGTTCCAGAGGGGGCGAAGACTGCTCCTCCGGCTCCTCCTGTTTGTCTGAAGGAGGGGAGCGCGTCTCGCTGCTCGTGTTGTTGGAGTTGCTGTTCTGCTCCGTGGGGCTCGGGACGCCCTCCTTGCCGTCCTTGTGGAGGTCCGGCTTTGCGACAGGGTCCCCTTTGATCGGGACGAAGGCAGAGGAGGCGTTGAGGAGAGGGTAGGCGGGCCCGTTGCCCTGCTTCTCCAACAGCAACGTGTACCCACACGGCGCCGTGGGGATGGTGGTCTTGCGACCCACGGACGTGCCCACGCACACCTGATGCACCACCGAGTCCTTCTTCGACTTGTCCACGTAGTACTCGTCGAGGTCGGCCTTCAGGTGCGGGTAGTAGTCCAGGATGCCCCTCTTGAGCTTCTTGAATCCCAGGTGCATGATCTCCAGGAGGCTGAGGAAGAGCGAGATGCAGGCGATCCCCTGCATGAACACCATGAACACCGTCTTCTCGGTGGGCCTGGAGACGAAGCAGTCGACCACGTTGGGGCACGGCTCCCGCTCACACTTGTAGAGCGGGTTCAGCCGGTGTCCGTAGAGGAAGTACTGACACACCATGAAGCTGACCTCCACCACTGAGCGCGTGACGATGTGGACCAGGTAGGTGCACAGCAGAGAGCCCCTCAGAGGAGCCTTGTTGAGCTTCCCCTGCTCCAGCAGCTTCATCTCCCTCTCAATCCTCCGCCGCACCTCCACCAGCTCCGCGTCCACCGCCTCCAGCTCGCGACGGAGGGCCACCTTCTTGCAGTGCCGCTCCTTCTCCAGAGCCCGCAGCTGGTAGATGGCGTGGCCCATGTACACCAGGGAGGGCGAGGACACGAAAATGACCTGGAGCACCCAGTAGCGGATGAGGGAGATGGGGAAGGCCTGGTCGTAGCAGACGTTGCGGCAGCCCGGCTGGTCGGTGTTGCAGACGAAGTCGGACTGCTCGTCGTTCCACACGTCTTCCGCCGCGACGCCCAGCACCAGCATCCGGAATATGAACAGGATGGTGAGCCAGATCTTGCCGACCATGGTGGAGTGGATGTGCACCTCCTCCAAGATCCCTCCAAGGAAGTTCCAGTCTCCCATGATTTACATTGGCGGTGCTGTAGTGGGTGAGGGACAATAAATCAAGGGTTCTGATTGCGGATGAAGGTGGCATTGAGATGGCTTTAATAAACCATTTACTCCACAGTGAGAATGTTCGTGTCAGAGAATCAAATATAAGTCAATGATTGTTATCCGTAACGATATTCATGAGAAAGTTACTCACAATAAGACAGCATAAGATTCCACACATTGATCTGATAGAATCAGCTGCTTTTGGTAACAGGATGACAAAAAGGGTCAAATCTATATCTTAAAATACTTACCTCTCATCTTGGATATGAAATGTAAGCAAATGCCTTTTGAGAAATGGCGTTGCTGCTGCTGTTGGACACAATCCTACGAGCACATCATTTATCTTCTTATTCTTCTAAAACGGTCAAACTTTGATTCCGGGAGAGACTCTCCGCCGCTGGTGAAAGCCGGACAATAACAAGTGATCTGTGCTGCCTCTGGTTGTTCACAACTTATAGCCTGTGAAAGACGGAAACGATCAATACGGCTGCACTGCTCTGTTGCCATTTACCTTGCAGCGCTATGAGTGGACTGAATCATTAGCGGAGAGATGTGCTGCAATTTATACGGGTTTGTGGTTTGAACTGGAAAGGACCCTGAACTGGTTCCATCCTCTGCATCCCACCGGACAGAACTGGTGCACTGGGTGTGATGGGAATTTTGGGAGGTGGATTATAATCGATAGAGAAGATGCTTTTGAAGGTGATCAATATCCTAATTTAAATCTCAACCATTACATCACAACTTCAGTTAAAATGCTTGTTAGTACTAAAAAGGCCAGGCGCCACAGCCCGAATGCTTCCTTCTAGAAGCCACTGTTGGGATTTTCTGTTGTGCCATTTTAAATTTCAAGTTATATAAACACAATACTAATTTTAAGGTGATTATATACCAAAGACTAAAATGGAAATAATGGAATAACATTATATTCCACTGACATTACTGTCATTAAAAATCCCAACTTCGCCATTTGTTGCAAAACTTCTAGGTCAAAATATTTAATTATATCTTCATATAGCAGATTTAAGTTTCTAATTTAAGGTTCACCAAACCAGCATCTTCTATCCTTAATTGAACCAAAGTATTACCTCCAAGCGTTCACCTTCAGCAGCTCTGCCGTAACCTTCTTAGTTTAAAGGGACCATGAGCACATTAGCAGATGCTCTCCTTAACTAGTCTGTCGCTACAACAAGGAGGCTTTATTGAAATTAAATCCCGCACTAGACTCATTTTCATCAACTAATCATTTTGGAAAACAGGCAGAGCTTCATCAGTTGTCCCTGCGTGCAGAGCCATCGGGTCAAAAACAACCTAGTGAAGTAACTCCCATTAAGCCTCCACCCTGCCATTGTAGTTGTGTAATCAATGTTTTTTTCCAATACAGCGATCGATGGGGCACGTCCCATTTCATCCATGGTCGCTTCTCTCCCGTGAATCTAATTTAAGTTGTTCCTCCCAGCTGCTGATCCATTAAAAGGAAATCAATGTCCCTGGGATTTTTCCATGCAGGGTGATCTAATTTATGTTTACTTCATTCTCTCTCCTTAATTCCCTAAACAAAGTTACGCCTCTTCATCTTCAGTGGACCGAGTTTCATCTATGAGCAGCGTGAAGTCACACACGGATCCCTTTTACTCAATGTTATCCATTTATTTCTCAAAAAAAGCATTCTCTTTCTACCAAAGATAGAAGATCAGGAGAATAAAACATGCAGTGACGAGATTCATTCAGTAAAAACAGAAACGCAGTTGTGCAAACACCAACCAGAGCGCTTCGTAGCTCCTCACAACTGAAATCAAGAAAAAGGTTCCAGAAATAAAACAAAACAAAACAGGTTGTAATCAGACAGAAACCACCACAAAGGAAAGAAAAATAAGATTGAACATTTTCTAGCGGTTGGTGGTTAAAGTCACATGTTGTTACACAGACGGGTTCCGGTGCGTTCCTCCTTCCAACACCGACCACATCGTTACGGCCGTCGTGCTTTTCTTCCACTCAGCCATCGCCCCACGATCTCGCAGTGACGTGAAGCTGGAATTTCAGGTCTGCATTTCTTCAGCTGTGTTTAGTTAACCGGTAAAGCAGTGCACTCTAAATACTTTAACGGTGTTCAATGTGACGTGAAGAGTTTTGGAATATTTGTTTTCCTATAAACAAACTAAAAAAGGAACAGCAGTGGCTGATAGACCTGAAATATGTCGACATGGTTCAGCGGTAGTTTAAACAGAATGGGATTTGACATAAAACACAGAAAACGCTGGTTTGGTTCGCTAACAGACTGGATTCATTTTACAATACTGAATGTTCTTTTTTTGCAAAAAAGGGTGCATAGGGTTTAGAAAAGAAAGTCCTCAGTAACCGTATATATATATATATAAAAAAAAAAAAAAAAACATTCCTGGCCGACTACCAGTGAACACAGAAGCTGACTGATTCATATTTCTAAAATTGGGAAATCTCAACAATACGTTTTTATAAAACTAAGCAAAGGACCAGCATTGTTCTTAAAATGGAGCCGCAAAAACAAGCTTTCTAGAAATGCTTCAGTGGACGTTACATTCATGTCAAAACAAACACTTCCTGACAGACGCACCAGCTGTGGTCTATCTGACATGACGACGGACAGGAGGGGCGGCTACTTTTCTAGCGACCTCCGGACTTGTGCCCGGCCCAGGAACGGGAGCGAGAGCGGGACCTGGACGCCGAGCGGGACCTGGAGCGGGACGGGGAGTGCGTCCGCCGCACCTCCTCCTCGGCGTAATGAGAAGTCGACGGCGGGTTGACGGCTTCCCGCGGGGACGCCGATTTGGATCGAGATCTCCCTCTGGACTCCCTGCGAGGCCTCGGCCTGTATCTGGAAGCACACAATGAGACCACTTAGAATTGGGTTTACGCCGCAACCGAGACAAAAGGGCGGGAGGCTTTTCCCAGCTGGCGTATTAAAAAGAGGATTTCTAATGAGAGCGCCACATATTTAGGCTGTGCTACAAAAGCTAGTCTCTCCAGGTCTACGGGGTCAAAGGGGACTTGTACCTGTCCTCCTCGCGGCTCCTGCTTCTTCCCCCATACACTCGTCCACGAGACCTGAGGGCAGATTAAAGTTCAAGCGCCATTTGGGAATAACATTTACACGCATCAGCGAGCAAAGCGTCTGCAGGGAGTGGAACTCACTCGCGAGGACTCTCGGAGCGCCTGCGGTGGCGATCGTGAGAAGGGCTGCGTGATCGGTATCGGTCGTAACTGCGGCTGCGCGAGCGCCTGCGTCTGCCGTCTCGGTCGTCGTGCCGGGAGGATCTGCCCGGAGAATGCTCCTTCGTCTTCATCTGATTTGGGGCTAGAAAAAGGGGGACGAGGGTTAGAGGCCCGAGCGCACAGCAGAACGCACAAAACATTCCCACAAGTAACTGTAACTGTCATGATCACCGGTATTTATTTTGGCGTTTCATAAATCATGGACTAAAAAGTGCTTTCTAACGTGAAGCAGTTTACGCTCCCCGCTGCAATAACGAGGTGATGGAACAGGAAATACTAAATAATATTGGATATTTTCCTCTTGCCACCAGAGCTGGTTGGTGTTGAATTTCGTATAATTGTTCAATCAACTCACGTCGACTACCAACATTCCAACAATTATCTGACCAAAACACTTGATCGCAGACTCAACAGTGAGTGGGAGGGAAATGAACATTATAAAGTGTCAACACTTACTCTTTCGGTCACCCTGGGCAAACTGGATTTCAATCTGCCGGCCACAAACCCACTTCCTGTCCAGGCTGTGAAGAGCATCTTCTGCATCACGCACATCTTCAAATATGCTGAGCTGTTAAGGGTTTTTGTTTGCTCACATTTACGGTAAGGCCACACAAATTCAAAGAATTATTGAGGTTTGTTTTTTTATACCTCAGAGGGGCAAAGTAGGACATGGAATAAAACACTTTTCTCGCCCCACTCATCACAGCCTCAAGAGATTCTTCTGGTTCAGTTGTTCACACACGGTCATTGTACATTCATGATAAGAAGGTGCATTCCTTAAAGACATAATCTGTCATTTGTGTGGCCTGACTTTTAGGAATAAACAGTTTATGATGAACATCAATTATATTGTATTACTTGATATGGATTAGCAAATTAAAAAGCCACAAACAAAATACACTTCTGTTGACTTTTCTGTAGAGATAAAAGATGAAGCAAGTTCTTCAAACCCATAAAAACAAAAGTCTGAGGTACCAGGATGACAAATGTATTACCAAATCACAAAACATTTAATAGTTTTAATCAAATAGCTTTGATTCAAATTAAATACGTCATTGATGTATGTCACAGGGAAAGCTGATTTTGGAATGTCAAATTTGCGGATTTGTCTTGTGAGGATACAAAATAATTCAGACTTGTTACCTTTGCCCATGCTTGACTTTGAACTTCATCTTGATCTTTACACTCTTTAATCGACTCCCACAGGGACTCGGGTTTCCCGCTTGCCTTTTCCTCTTAAACCTCTTTTCTTTTCCCAATTCTTTGCCGCCATATCGAAGCTTTGTCTCCGTTCCCTTTTCCTCTTCATGCTGTACTTTCTCTTTTCAACCTTTTCCCTCCCTCTGATCCTGAAGGTCTGTGTGACTTGTCTTTACTTCTACTCTACATGGGTCTTTGTTACTCTTTGTGGCCGGTTCCACAACGGGATGCTTTTACATTTTCTGAAGCAACAACAGAGAAATATGCGGGTTAGATATTCAATCAAATTAAGTGCATGAAAAACACATTATTGAATCTCTGCTGGAAAGAAATTGAAAAATGTTTTGTTAGCAGGAGCACACATTCACAGTAAAAGTATCATTGGGAAAGGATATTGAATGTATGCAAATCCTCTTGATCGACGTGTATAGAAGTCAAGTGGGATGTAGACATCCACTATCGGCCCATAGCGGCCAAACTCACGCCGCAAATCCTCAGGCCTGAACACCGTAAATACAAGTATGACTGGACTGACCATCACGGGCCACTCTACCTACATCATCAACCAGTAGCAGCAGCTGGGAGAGCAGCCAATGAGGGCTAAAGGGACAGTTCACCACAAAACAGGCAGACTCATTGCAAAACACCGTCAGATTTACTGTCACCATTACTCGGCTATGACTCATCGGTCCACACAACACCTGTGCTGTTGGATTTATTTTGGCGGTTATCTTTTTTATGTATTTTGCGTGGCGATTATTCGGTCACGTTTTGGAGTGAACTGGCTCCTTTAGATATGCAAACTATTTTGTTAAACATGCAATTCAATGTAAAACCTGATAACTCGGGCAGATGGTCATTTTGTAACCACAATGAAAAGAAAGACAATCTTTATACACTGGCATGTGTGTCATTTGTGTCTAATTTACTTCAGGTCATTTATTTTTCAAGTAAAAGACATTTGGAAAAAACTTGTTACTGCAAACGCTGTTTTTAACCGTGGCTTTAACAAGCATGTTGTAGTAAAAACGTAATATAACACTATTATTGTTCATAAACGTTTATGAGATCAAGTAACGCTGAGGAGATAGATTGCAGTAGTTTTTAATGCTTTGTAATAACTATTTTAATTCCAGGTTAATTAAATATTTAAATTATAGCTAGTCATTACAACGCAATTAACGTTAGATGCAACTACGTCATAACACGAAGCTTACCGTTATAACGACTTAATAGCACGCAATAATTAGCCAATTTAAATGATTACTGGTTGAAATGTAACTTATGGTAGTATTTATTGTTAGTAAGTTCAACCATCTCAAATAAGAATTTTAAAGAATTTTACCGGCACATTACAAAAACAATCCAATAAAATATTGAATGGACGTGAACTAACGTTAGCTACCGTTGCTAGCGTTAGCTTGGGTTCTAAACTGGCTAACGTTGCTAATGTTAGCTTAGGTTGTGAACATGAAAACGTGAAACAGAGACTCAATCCACACAAAGAAACGTTACCGTCAAATTGCATTTGAACGAAGGTGCATCGGCATTACAGACAGAGTATCTATTTGTTGCAATGAGCTCTGCAGCTTATAAAGATTTCAAACATAACGGTCTGCAACAAACGTAACTTGACGCATGTAGTAGAGTGCTAAAGCTAGCCGATAAGCTAATTTAGCTAGCGTTCGCCGAGCTTCATGTTCGGTAGCTTGCGTTAGTAAGGATCAATGGTTCTCGAGTGTGGACTCACCTGGACTCATCGGAGATGTTTCTGACGAACAAAGATGTGTTTGGGGGCCTCATGTATTTGGCCATAAAGTTACACTCACTCAGCAGAAGAAAAGCTTTTCGCGATTGGAGAATCTGCAGTGAAAAATATGTTGCGCATGCGCACTTGGAAAGTCCGGTGGTTCTTCCTCCCGGACAAAAATAGTTGAATAAATGCTCACAGCGCTGTCTGTCGTTTGAGCTCATCAACTGCAGCCTTGGCAACGACAGGGATGCATGAATGCTAGTCGGTAGGTAATGCTACTAGGTAAGAGTACCCAATCAAAAGTAAAATTATTCTATCAAAAATACTACCTGCGAGTCTTTCCATGGCAGCCAATATTTTATTATATATGGTATATTTTGAGGTTGTTTTATCTACTTAATCAACACACTGAAAGCAACGTACTGTATCATATAGGCATATTATAAAATCACCATGTTTGTAGCATCTAGGTCCTGCCCGAGCCATTTCTTTTGCTTGGTTTGTGAGAACGTACTTTTTTCTAATTTTTGGCTGATTTAAGAATGATTTAAAATTATTTATTTTGCTTAAGAGGTAGGAAAATCTCACTCAATGCATCCCTCAATCTGGAGCAACATGGTTTTCATTGGACAGGAAGGGGATGAAAAAATGTTGAGTTAATGTAGCCTGCTAAGTTACATTATATCACTGATGAAAACAAACTTTTGGGTTTAATCAAATTTATTCATGAAAGCATTTGAATAAAAGTGTTTTTCAAGGTTTATGTTTATTTTCCATCCCAGCTCTAATCTTCAACATCAGCTGCAAGGTGAGCATTAGACGCGTTTGCTCCTGCTGATGAAGGTTTCAGGCCCAGCAGTGATAGTCTAGAAAAGTGGGGTAAAAAAACATCAGTAACAAAAAATAACTCAAAGAATTCCTCCACATTACAGCAGTTTAAAAAAATAATTAAGTCCACTGACCTCAACCATGTCGTCCCCTTGGATCTCACGGACGGAGGTGAACTTTTCAGTCTCAGCAATCAGCTTCCCGTTCTCCTCTCTGACAGTGCACTGACCGAACATATTGCATGGGACAGAAGTTTAAAGTTTCTCTTCGCCAAGAAAAGAAAAAGAAAGAAAAATCATTCCTACGGTGCCTAAAATGTCCAAATAAAAGACACAACTTTGATAGGACGCACACATCCCATTCAATTTGTTTTTGCTTGCAGTGTAAATAACATGGAGCCAAGCTATTGCCTGCAATACAGACACAGACGGGGGAATACCACTCGGGAAAATAAAGGTTTGTTTTAGACTGCCCGTCAGCATGTTCTAGTGGAGAAACCAAATTGCACTTCAAAACCCTTACAAATGCAGAATAAGTCTGAAGCCTCACTGAAATGTGTTGCTTGACGCTCACATAGATCCCAGGATGGAGACTATTTTCAGGGTCAAATTCTGGCACCAACAGGTCGTGTACAACTATCAAACCTTTAATTCTCTGACAATCTAGAAAAGGGGCTTTAAAGGCTTTTCACCTTAAACCTGCGGCCATCCGCGGCAGTCATCTCAGACTCCTTCCCCAGGCTGAACGAGTGGACTTTGGTGTAGATGGGCGTCTTCGTCGTGTAGGTAAAGTCTGTGCCGTTCTGCTCGATCACCACCACCGGCTTGATGTTCTTTCGCATTTTGATGACCATTTCAGGTGCACCTTGAATGCATAACACAAAAATAGGGAAGGGAGGGGCGCGCATATTTGAGCGGACTAACCCTTTAAATATGAAAACGTTCTTACCTACTACTTTTAAGAACCCCTCCAGGTTGTCCTCAGAATAAACTTTCCAAGTGCCGCTGAAGTCCATGGCTGCTGTTTGTGTCGAGGTGTTTTGCGGTTGTCGTTGTGATAATCGTTTGGTACCCAACTGCTGGTTGGCAAGCCGGGGACCTCAAAGTCCCTGTTATCTGGACTGGGACTTCCAGTGAGAGCCAAGATGGGCTGAACAACAGGTGATGATGATGATGATGATGATGAAGTAACACGTGGATGAAATATGACGTCAGATAAGCAGGAGGATGTGAAGATGCTTTCATGGATGTTCCCCCCCCCCCACACAAAAAAAATCACTTAACTTAAGCAATGACATTCTTTATTTCATACAGGCTTTAAAGCTCTCCTTCGTTTGTAAATGTTCGTAACTTCACAATAGAAAAATACTTGCGCTGGATAACACACGGTAAGCAATACGTTTTAAGGCAAACATGTGCAGGCAGCAGACGTTAAGGATTAAATATTCACCTCTTTAACCTTGAAGCATTCTCCGTAACCAGCAACACAGATACGCAGAGTCGCGTCACACAAAAACAAAATCACCAACTCAAATACTGCTGGAATGTTACAGAAGCTCACAAATCAGTCACATTATGAGGACAGAGACACTTGTTTTCTTTCTGCAGAGGTCTTAATACTGTTACGGGTCCCAGAGAAACACCCATCAGTCATTCAGCAACGTCAACAATATTTGTTACTTTCGCTTTGACTTATAAATTAAACAGTGTAGGTATCTGCAAGTAATGTGGGACAAATAGGTTTAATATGAAGGCGTCGTCGGCCTCGAACACCAGACACATCTTTGGAAGTAATCTTCTTTATAAAAGATACATCTGATAGTAACATCACATTGTGTGGATTCTTTACGCTGTGCTTTTAGGGCTCACGCCCGAACATCGGATGCCTCAAGCTTGTTAAAACAAGTGACCTTTTCATTTTCTTTCCTGTATGATGGATGTCTGCTTGTTGAGACAAACAAATGACTCTCTCCCGTCTGTAATGCAAATAGCCGGTGTGGCATGCTTTGGTAATATGTTGCATGGTTAAAAATCCTTACGAACTTCTGGAAAAATGTTATCAAGCTTTGCTACGGCAGGAATCTCCACTCATTGAATCCATCACCAGGAGATCCGTCCTCCGATTTCAGAACGAGGTAAATTCTGCGCTTCATCGTGATAGATCGTCCTCCTTGTTTGGCCCGGGGTCACTCAGGCAGCGCGATAGTTTCAGGGGGTCCTGCTCCTCCTGCGCCTCCTGCTCCTCCCGCGCTTTGGTTCTGCACTCGCCGCTCTGATTGGGCCTCGGGAGGGTTTCTTTCAACAGGCCGACGGTCTCGGGGGGGCCGGGACGCGGCCGAGCCGCGGGCCCTCGGGGACTCTCGCTGTCATCGTAAGTGTAGACCCGGTGCTCTGGTGGACGCAGACACGGTGCGTCAACATGATAAAAATCATCTACCACGTAGCCACTTAATGGAGGGTCTTTTCTCTGGACATTTGGGTGCATTTGTGAAGAACTGCTTTAACTACATTTACTCAGGTGTCGTACTTAAAAACAGCTTTTGAGTTACTCGTTGTTCTCGTTCTCAATAATTGATTGATTTATATATTAATAAATAACATTCATTACGGCTCCAAAACGATGGGGCCTTGTCACAGCATTACTGATACAATGAGGGTTATTACCGTATGTTGCTCGGCCCTCCAGCTGAATTGTGACCTGCTAACTTTCTCTGTGCACATATCATACACTAACCTCTTGTGCGCATATGCGGCACCTACAATACTACATTCAGGAGTGGACAACTATTTATTCATCCCCTGATTTTATTTCTTTTTTTTTTATTTCCCCTCTTCTGTTGGAGTGACCGCTATTTGATGTTTCTTGTTCTAAGACTACATACAACTGTAAAAGGGACAAAGGAAGTAACTGAAAATGCACATTGTCATGTTGTTGAAAACCAAATAAAAAGTGAGTTAAAAAAAAAAAAAAAATATATATATATAGATATCTTAATTAATTAATTAAGAAAAATGTTATATTTAGCACCTCTAAAAGATTATAATAAGAGTAATATAACAAAGGCTTTTGTATCTGCTTGTGGCTATTTTCACTTTTGGTATTTCAAGTATATTTTGATGTTAATACTTTTGTTCTTCGGGCCGGAGTTTGAGGCCCCTGGTTTACACCTTTCATTGTGAGGAGATTCGTTCTGACCTGGTTCAAAGCAAACTTTTCTCACTGCCGGTGGTTCCTGGCGGTTTGCAGGAACTGTGAGGTAGTGACTCATCTGGGAATGAGACACAAACATTAGGCAGAACTGACTTCATTTCATCACTTAAGACCAACCAATACTCAGAGTTGCGAATGAAGAGACTCAAACCGAGGTGTAGAATTACTACTACGATTACCAGCAACCCATGAATAAGGTTCAAAGAATAAAAAGTACAAAATCTAAGCATAAGGTCACAGAGCAGCGCGCTAGAAACAGGCTCTTCTGTCTGGTTCTTCCAGCACACCCAGAAGCACAGCTGCTGGTGAACTCACCCTCCGCTCCATCTCCACGCGCTGCTTCCTGAAGCGCACTTCACTCACGTTGTCCTCAAACGGGTCCATGAACAGGTCGTGTCTGCTGTAGGAGCGAAGCTGTGGAGAAAGAAGAAGAAAAACGGACTTTGTGGAATCCTATTAACATAAAACAAAACCTGCATGAACGCTGGACTTTGAGTCACATCCACCAACATGATTTCTTACCCGCTGTCTGGTGTTCTGCAGGTTTCCCCGGAGAATCTTCCTGATCTCTTGCTCACGACTCTTGGAGATACTCGGGATCGCTCGTCCTCTGGCCGACTGCTTCAGCTGGATGTTTCTGTGGAGACAAACGTCACCACTTACAACCACAACCACAACGCGTGATTTGCGAGGCGTCAGTCAGCCGACTTTCTAACATCAGCACACCAACGTTATCATCTACACAACTATCCTAAAAGACCCTTCCCACTCATGTCGGCTCAAAATTGATACATTGAGCTTTTCTCCAATGATGAGCTGTCAGTTTGTTAATGACTAGCAGCATGTTTGTCTCATCAATAATATATTTACCACAGTAATATCATCTAAAATGTGTGCGCTAATCTAGTAGTGTGGCCTAAACAGCCCTGCTGTAGTGCGATACGCTTTTCGATGGACCCCGAAAGCCGCGAACAATCAAGGCGATGGTGTACTTTTGTGTGGACATACAGAGATCCTACTCTCCCTGCTGTAAAGTTAGTCTACTGTATACAAATAAACGTGGTATTGAAATGAACAGGGCTTCAGTTTAATCAATATGCTCGGTAATGACAAAGACGTTTTAGGTTTACTTTATGTTTCTGGCAGACAATGTTCCCAACGGGCTGCATCCAGGGTCCAGCTGAGCACGACGTGCAAAGTCCTGTTCTCAACTACATTCAAGTTCCCCGTTAAATGCTTTTGCAAACATTTGTTCAGAATTCCCAAAATTCCTGTGTAAACGTTCCACTTTGTAACGACTGTCTCTCTAGAGTAAATGTCCTGGATGTTACGGTCACTGGGACGTCCAGGATTTGGTGACGGGTACTCACTGCATGGACACGGTTGACATGAGCGCGGGCAGCCTGCCGGCGCTGCCGCTCTCCGCCAGCATCATGGCCTGTTTCATCTCCATCTTGTTGTAGAAGGAGATGAGCTGAGGCTCGGAGGAGCGATCGCCCGCGATCAACCACTTCTTCACGTAGGTCTTGTTGAAGCGGTTCAGCCTGAGAGCAGCAGACAAAGCACCAACATCATCACCTACCCTCCAGCACCAGACGTCAGCTGGATTCTAATCTATCCATTTTAATTTTTTTAATTTTTATTAAATTAAAGAATTTAAGAAAACCCTACTTGTCCTTCCAGTGATGATGTCCGTAATGACCGCAGACGTCTTCGATTCCCGTGAGGAGGTGATCCAGGAACTGGAGACAAAGTGAAAGGCTACATGCTCAAACTGGGATGTGAAAACCCAAACGTTACGTTGCTCATGTTGAAGGTGGAAAACACTGATGTGATTAATGACCTGCGTGTGAATCTCCTCATTAATTGACTCTTTGCCCTCCTTCTTCCTCTTCACGGCCAGAAGCTCCACCAAAGGCCGGATCGTCATTCCCTGGAGACACAAAACAGGAAGTCCTGTTGTTTCTATATTACTCAATGTACGACTGTCCCGGTTATAGCAAAGCGATTTCCACAATCCATTAGCAAATAGCAAAGAACGCATCTGCTCCTCTCTTAGAAAAATACAAACCTAACATGTGGCATCTTTAATTACTGTTATACTGCTTTCTCATAAAATTTTAACAAATTATTATAATCTTTAATTGCTATGGGTCAAGGGATCTTCACAAGCCACAATTAGTTATTGTGTTAATACATATGTGAATATGTGAAAATAAACAATAAAACTAAATAGAATAAACTTAGAAAAATAGAAGAAGAAAAAAAATGATTTCATGATGAACACTTACTTAAACAGTTACTGTTAGCTGCCAAGAGGGATCAATAAAAGGTTAGAGGTCACTTACAATGGAGGAGAAAAAAGAAAGAATAACATTTACCTACTAACGTCACGCCAAATACGACACCGAAAGGTGAAAGTTTGTCACCTGCACAAAGACGGTAAAGAAGATGACGGTGATGATGGCCGTGAGGAACATGCTCTTCGTCTCGTTTTCGGTCAGCAGGAAGCCCAGTGAGAAGGCGATGGCGCCTCGCAGGCCCCCGTAGGCCATGATGAACTGGTCCTTTTTGGTCAACTTCACGATGCGGAATTTATTAATGATAAACGTGAGGCCGATGACTCCTGGAAAGCACACATAATAATGCAGTTAATGAAAGCCACACTCACATTTCAATCAACAATCTTGGTGTTTCAGGTGTTCAGCAGGGAAGAAACACTAACAGACGATGATTGGCGGACTGTGATTGGCTGTACTCACCCAGCACTCTGGACACCAGACACAAGACCACGGTGAAAACGACGAAGGTCCAGTTCCAGGCGTGAGGACCGGCCACCGTGGAAACGCCGAGGAAGATGAATATGAGCGTCTCGCTCACGCTGCTCCACATCTTCATGAAGTATTTGATGGTGGTGTACGACTTGTGGGAGACGTTGGCCTCCACGTAGGGCCGCATTATCACGCCGCACGCTATCAACCTGTTTGGGACGACGCAGAGAGGTTAGCCAGCCGGTTCGTACAAGCTGGATGAAACAATGTTTCTATGTAAAGAAGCACATTGTAAAGCGTGAGCACTTCTCCACCTGTAGGAGCCGATGAAGCTACAAAACCACACTTTTTGGACTCTTTATGCTAAGCTACCGAGCAGCGGCTTTAATCACACGCTGTGCTAATGCCGAACCTTCAGAGGGAAACAAGGATCGATTGAACCTTCTTAAACAGAAGAAGCAGCGACAAACGTCTGAAGGTTGAATACTCACGACATGATGCCTGACAGGTGGAAGACCTCAGCGGAGAGGTACGCCATGTAGCTGTAGAGGAAGACAAACAGCGGCTCGATGACCCGGGTGTGCGAGGTGAAGCGGGAGGTGAAGGCACCCAGGAGGCCGTAGATGGCTCCCACCAGGATTCCTCCCAGTGAAACCACGAAGAAGCAGACGACGCCGAGTAAGATGTCGACCACCGTCACAGTTCCTGCGTGACAGAACTCCTCAAACAGGTGATACAGAACCTGACCAGAGAGAAAAGCACGGGTCTCATTCAACGGCAAATGTCTTTAAAGCTCATCTCAGGGAAGCAGGTTCTTTCATGCATTCATTGATTCTTTCTTCACTTCCTAATGTCATTTATTTATTCAGTCATGCATTTCTTTCCTTCCTCCTTGCATCCATCCATCCATTCAGCTTTCCTTTCATTCTTTCAGCCTCCCTTCTCCTTTACTTTCTTTTCAAACCAGCCAGTCATTTAAAATAATATTGATTAAAGGCCAGGTACATTTCTTCAGTTAGTAGACACCATGTACCAGACTATTAGAAATATGTTGTTTAAATTGTTTTTGGCTGTAATGCAGAAGGGTTCATATAGAAGACTATATAACAGTTTGTGTTTGAGGGCTAATCTGATCATCTGTGGTCACCGATACGTTTCGACACCAAGACAGATACAACCAGGCACGATGTCTTGAACCACGGTGGAGTATCCCGGAGGTGTGTAGTGGCGGTAGATGGCGGACCCTTCCCTCACCACAGTGACGGCGTCGTTGAGCAGCGACTCGCCGAACACGAGGATGTACAGCAGCTCGTTGATGTGGATCTCCTCGAACACGGCCAGGACGGCCACGGGGTCCACGGCCGAGACGATGGTGCCGAACAGCATGCAGGACAGCAGGTCCACGCTGGCCAGCTGGGCCCCTTCGATCTGACAGACGCCGTAGATCATCCCGCCGATGAAGAAGGCGTTCCACAGGGTCCCCACCACCGCGAACACCAGGATGGTGCCCATGTTCTCCGTGAAGGCCCGGATGGGCAGGAAGTAGCCGGCGTCGAGGATGATGGGAGGCAGCAGGTAGAGGAAGAAGAGCTTGGTGTCGAGGACGGGCGCTTCCTCTCTGATGGCTCTGATGATGCCGCCCACCAGCAGACCCACGCCGATCAGCAGGCAGCTCTCTGGGACAACGTTCGACACTCTGGGGATGATGTGAAAACCTGCAGAGACAAGAGAGTTTCCTGGTAGGATGAGAGTATTCTGCAAAGTCATTGATCGGATAGGGGGAGCTTTCCTCTCCTAGTTGCAATTGCTGCTTTATCATAAGCTATAATCACCAGTCGTAGAGAAAAATATGGACCGACCCCTCATCCGCCTTCAGCATCTTGGGTTTATTGAATTCTGTATTATACAATTTCTCTGAGTGTCGTTCTGGTTTTTGGTCTGTTTCTGTGCCCCAATATATATGATTCCTGTATTGAAGACTAAAAGATCAAAATTGCTGCTTTTTCTGTGAGTCATCGTGTCAAGGATAAAAAAAAAAAAAGGCGGATATTTCTGAACCGTCTGTCGGATAAAACAAGCAGTGGTTGAATAATGCAAAAGAACATGTTTGATAATGGAAGTAGTGGTGTAGGTACAATACATACAATACAACCTGATGCAACATTCACTGCAAACTGACGCTGCAGGACATTAACAGACATTACATCTAGTGACGCATTGTTGTGTGCACGAGAGAAGCCTTGAGGGAGGACTGTGGAAAAACAAGATCCACTCCATCCAATGCACTTCACCACAACATCTCATGAAATATAAAACACAGTGCATCAGCAGGGGAACAAACAGGTCGCTAATATACGAACAAAACGGCTGAACGCAAATATCTGTGTGATGAATGTCATCACCGGTAATAAATCATCGTCTTCATTGTTGAGCTATCTAGTTTAGATTCACCCTGCAGACTGGAAAATACCATAAGATTGTGAAAAACATCCCTAGAGCTCAAGTTAATGTCTTCGTTTTGTTTGTGAGTTTAAAATTCTGTCCAAAATAAGAAATAGGTTTCATGTACAATGACTGTCAAACAGGCCACCCTAAACAGCACAGAGCCGAAAATCCTCACATAAGGGAAAATGGACCCAGTGTTGTGGAAAGGTTTCAGTGCAGCGGATTGATGCTGAACAGAACTTTGTCACTGCTCCTTTAGTTTCGGATTTGGCCCGTCGGCCTCTCAGCAGAATGAGGCCTTGACATTCAGCCTCCCGGTCACGTGACCGCTCTGACTCGGCACAGTGGGCTCCTTGTTATCGAGCAGTCCAGGAAGAGACCGTCCCTGGTGGACAACAGCTGGCGGGAGCAGATAAGAAGCAACGGGGCTTCTCTCTGCCAGGCAAGAAGCCCAGGAGAGACCCCCCAGCCAACGAGAATCCCCCCCCTACACGCCATGTACACACGCAACACGCCAGCATGGTCATATGATGCCGTAATAAAAGCCCAAAACAACCCCCATTTGTCCCAAGAGAGTCCAGTGGAAGAAGAAGACCTGACTGTACTGAGGACTGCGTCCACGCCGAGGACACACATGTCCTCGGATTTCACATCTTGTCTTCAGCTTTGTGTCGGATACTTTTCATTCGTACGGCAACAGTTTCAGCTCAAAGTGTTGAGAAGGAGGACGACGTGGATACAAGTCAAATTCGGGGTGCTCTGAAAATGTCACAGTCTGGTGAGCAGCTGGTCAAAAAATGTCATGGGTGGGTGTGATCACTAAAAATAGAACAATATATAACATTACAAAACACTACGCACATGAAGCACTAGAAAACAATTACAACAACAACAATAGAGTGCAAAGTTGAGAGGTGAGAGGGTGACCTATTTTTAATCTCCACAGAGATGCATTTAATCCCTCCAATGAGCCACAAACACCTGCTGTGAAAGCTCTCGCTGGGGCGGAATTTATTAGTTATAGTTCATTTTATTTATTTTAAAATGTTTTGGTATCACCTTCACCAACACCACGAGGAGCTGCAGAAATCTGTGGGAATAATAAGTGTCCGAGTTTTGTTCCGTTACAAAGTAATAGAATTCAGTCAGACTGACAGCTGCGAAGACACGGGGACGTGCTCACACCAAACTCAATACAATATTCTACTAATTTAACAAAAGTATCTGTGAAATGTCCCTTCAGACGTTTAACAAATCCTCGTTAATGTGACATCCTGGTCAGATGGTTGTTTCCATAGTTTTGTTACACAAACAACTCATTTTACCAGGTGGGAGTATTTGATTAGTGGTCCACTCGTCTCCGCGGTGAGTGTCCCAGGTGCCACTCACCGAGTTTCATGAGCAGAGCCAGAAGGATCCACAGCGCGATCTCGAAGGGCTTCCTGACGTGGTCGTAGTTGAGGGCGAGGACGGGGAAAACCTTCTCGCGGCTTGTGGAGTTCGTTAGATGAGGCGATTCCTCTCCGGCAGCGTCTCTCCGCGTCTCGTTGTTTCCGACATCACGACTCGCGGAGGCCACGGAGACGCACACGAGGACCAAGACGCACAACATCCCCGTTAGAGGCGCACCTGTGGAGCCCCTGCGGGAGCGACCGAGCTCAGCCATTTTCGGGGTGGGTGGACGGCCGAACTGCTGCTTAGCTCAGATGAAGATGAAGATGAAGATGGCACGGGAAGCGAGCGCGGTGCGCAACGGAGAAGCGCGCACTTTTACGCACAAACTCCGCAAGCATTTTGAAACAACGCATCAGTTAGGTATAAAAGATCCAACGACGCTCAATGTTGTAAACAAACGCGGCATGTCATCGGTGGCAGAACTCGTCGCTTTAGAAAAATGACGCTCCTGAGAGGAAGTTGTCACCAAATTAGTTTGAGATCCGCTATTCTGTCTTAAAACTCAGAACCAACAGGAACCGAGGCTGAAATCTCTCGCGCTTCTTTCCCTCTAACTTGACAGCGCGGCTCATCCGAGGCCGAGCCGCGGAGAAAGCGCCCTCTGCCGGTGCGGCGGACCGCCGCGACCCCCGGGGGGCCAAAGCAGAGATGTTTAAATATAAAGACCTTTATATATAAACTATCTATGGGCCAAAGCACCTTCACCACCGTGTGCTTGGATACAATGTGCGCTACACGCAAGCTAGTATGTTTACAAGGTACAACTTACAAACATAGCACAAAAAGTAAGGAACCGTGTGCTTGGTTGGTGCCACATTGGAGCAGGCAATGCGTGATGAACAGCATGATGCGGCCATGAAAAATTGATTAAATCTTCCCAAACAGCTCAATCTGTCGTTGACGCAAGCGCGCCAACCAGGCACCTGATTGTGTGCTCCTGAGGATACCACACGCTAAAATCAAGTGGCAATAACAACAGCAAAATAAGCAAGCACCCAAACAATCTATTCATTTAGATTGTTGTTGTGTGAGTTACATGTTTGAGGCATCGGCCACAGAGATATCCGCTTTCTCTCCATTTTAACGGGAAAAGTTGGTACTTGGTTTGTGCTGCTCAAAAAAGTGAGAGAATTGCACTTGAAAAAACTCAAAATCAGTGTGTCCTCCAGAAATCCTGAGCCCATTAATCAAGATAATCCCCAGACATTCTATGGGAGATGGACGTCTCTATGGCTGATACCTCAAACACCGAAACAATCCAGACTGTTAAACCTTTGATTCCAGTTTGTCCTCTCAACTTCAGTCAGATAGAGCGAAAGTCTAATGAACCGTTATTTGAAAACAGTTTCCAGTTTAGAATGAACAGCCGCGTTGTGTCTGTTCACCACCATTGAGAGGACTTAGTTAAGGCAACAGCAGTGACCGGTTCCCACGGTGCCGGACGACGTCATTGTCAGACGGCTGTTGATGTGACGGAGGAGATTGGACCACTGGATCCTATTTCAATCAATGTTGTACATTTTTAAACTATTGGAAAAATACAGTTTGTTTCTGTCACAGCACGTTGCATTTTGTCTTAACAAAACAACCCAACTGGTCTTATTTATTCAACTTGCCTTCATTAATATGTTATTTAGGCCAAATCAATGGTTCCGAGAGGAAAGGGTTACTCTGTGCAGACTAATTGATGTGGATTAAGCGCACGACGCTCTCATTCGTCTGAAAATCTATCTGATAATGTCAAAGAACTTCACCTCCGGGGAAAAGCACACATGAGTCCACATGAGTCGCTCCATTCAGACTGTGCAGCCGGTTTCCCACCATACTTTTCCACATGGATGAAGGCTGAGAGCCCCTGAGCCTTCAGAACATTGGTAAACAGAAGTCGCCATGTAGATGACAAATGTGAACAGATTTATTTGAATGTGACATCAATAAGTTGTTACCATACAGAGCCAATCTTTCTCAATGTCTGCAAGTGGAATTTTTTAATTGATTACATTCTAGTACAAACATGACACTTTTATTCAGCATGCATTTAGGATTATAGTCTAAATTTGCAAATACAAATACTCAAGGGGATGTTTATTTAGGGTGTACAATGTTCATTCTAAATGCAAAGTAGTACTGAGGTGAGTGTTTAACTAATAATACTACATACAACAAGCTTCTGTGCTAAGTGAACCCCCACATATTTATTTTATAAGATTCTCTGTGGTCATTTTTCTTATTGTTTTATTGGTCAATAAAATGCGGGAAACAATGTCCGTAGGTCAAACTTCAATGCAGAGATCATCGTTTGCTAATTTGGATTCAAATCCAATCCCGGGCGAAGTTTACCGATACGCTGCACAGGATACAGAGAGTGGAAAACCTACGAGCTCACTTGTTTGCTGATACATGTTGAGATTGCAAACAGCTACTTAACAACCGCTAGAACTGAACACATTCTTCCTCCTGGAACACCTGGATGTTTCCTTCAAGCAACACCATAAAACACACGATCTCTCTCAACCCACAAAAGCTCAAACCCTCTGCGACATACACAAACACGCAAACTGTCACACAAAACACCCACGGAGCTGCTCACTGATCCCAGGCAGCGGGAAGCTTCACATTGACTCTCTCGGCCATCTGCCTGGCGCTGTAGAGAGACACTCCCATCCCCACTGCGGCCATCGTCATGGCGATGGGATTGATGAGACTGCTCTGTGGCTGCATCCGCACCTCACCGGAGACCTGCCTCTGTAGGGTGGACAGAGACATGAGAACAGACTGTAGTTCAACAGACACTATTCGATCCGAGAGCAGTTTAAAAAAAGAGGAAAATATAAATATGTCAGCATCCTCTGCAGGAATACAGTACAGATAGTCATGGTCTTCTCAGGATTAATTGTAATAACTTTCCAAGCAGGGACATCATCATCAGGTTACTCGTAAAATGTGTCCAAAACATATTAGCTCGTTGACGTTAGCATTTAGCTCAAAGCACCACAGCCTCGCAGAGCTGCAATCAAGGTTGTAAAGTTCTTGTTCAAACCATATTTAAGCAAAACGGTACGCGAGGCTGTACTTTGTCGTCAGTTCGGGGGTGTTGCGTTTGTTTTATGGATTTTAGCATGTTTTTATATCTGACCATGTTAACCGGCATTTGCAGTGAATAATCACGTGCACCAGGAGGGACTTGATTGATTACAGGGAGCGCTGGCGGTGAAGCAACAGGCCAACAGCCAGAATGACAGGACCTCCATCATCACAGACACTACTAAAGGGCCTGAAACACGGCAGCACAGAGAAGAACAACGGCAGAGGACCAGCAGGCCGAAGGGAGGAGCAGGACGGAGCAGGACACCAGGAGAAAGGACGTGGGACTGACAGGTGGTGTCCATGAGAGTTTGAAGGTCCCAGGACGGCTGAGTGGCTAAACCAGCCGGACCTTGCAAAAGCTTCCGGCGGCTGGCTTTTTTTTTCCTGGAGTTAAACTTTTAAATTCTTTTCAGTACTTTTTTCCAGCTGGACCTTTAACATAATTGCAGTTATTTTATAGGTGTTTGGTCTAAAATAAAAAAAGAATCTTTTAATCTCTTATGTCTTGTGATTCATGCTGTTTTCCTCCTGGTATAAAAGAACCTGTTTTTATGGAGACCTAGACTCCTCAACTGGGTGGTGTTTCTGGTAACCTTTAATTCCTATTTTATATAACTTTGTATTTGATTTTAATTACTAGATTTTATTATTAGTGTTGGATTAAATTTACTATTTACGGCATTATGGTGTCCTGGAACTCTGCAACCTTTGGCAGCCTGGGATGGTGGTGCTAATAAAAGAACAGCATTTCACGCGCGCTGTGAAGTTGAGTCGGACCGGTTATATAAAGTAACTCCACCCTGGACACGCTGCATCAGCTTTCTATGAAATATTGATTGGCTCTTCATTGAAAGCATTTCTATGAAAAAAAGATCTGGAGATCATTTGTAAAATATGTTTCCTTTCACTGAGGGGATTGATTTATTTGTGCTACAACTTATTTCTCTGTGTGATGCGTTTCAGTGAACTGGAATAATGAGACCATTCAAATGAAACATGGCAACATAAATAAAGCTGAAGGAGTCTGGGTGGTCTTAACCCACCTGGAGCAGACGGAAGTACCCTGGAGTCAGTCTCCCCAGTCTGATGATCATTTCTGCTGCTGGAGCTTCTCAGGCAAACCAATAACCTTCCTTCACGAGAAAAGAAATCAAAATGTTCATATTGTTGAAGCATCATACGCTTGAGATCCCCTGGGAGGATCTTGACTTCCTTGAAACCAAGGAGCTTAAAATAGATGCCATGACTGCATATAGTTCATCATTTTGGGCTTTTGTTTATTGACAGATCATCTGGAAGTAAAAGACCTGCAGAGAAAAGTTTTTGTAATATATATTTGGAAAAATGAAGAAAATGAAATTGGTTCTCGCAGCCGAATGCAAAGGGAAGCAACTCTCAAAATATGTTGTACCTCACTCATGTACTTTTCAAGTCATCCAGCTTCTTCTTTTGCAATATTCATGCACGTCGCCTCCAATTATGTACAATTTACCACAGTTTTTATCCATCTGAGTTAAAGTTAATAACCTGTCAGTGCACAGAAGCCTAATTGGTTATTTGTGACACAGTAAAGTGGTTAAAATGAAGAGTTCTTTCGATAAAGCAAAAACCTGCCTCACAGTTTGAAGTTCTCGGATCTTCTGGGATTTGACGAGCACCCGTTGACGCTCGTCCTCACCTTCATGGACGGCTCCAGCAGCTCAGCGCCCTCAGACAGACGGACGGACAGCATGAACCGTGTGTCCCTGCTCCTTTGTACAGTGTGGACGTCCCAGTCGGACGGGGCTCAACGCACGCACTCATAAAGCTGCACAAGGAGCCTGTCAGAGACCGTTGGTCATCCAGCCGGTGACACGGGGAGAGAGGGAGGAGAAGAGTCTTTGTGCAGCATGTTGCACGCTTGAAGGGGCATGTGTGTTAATGCGCTGCAGCGACTTATGTAACCCCAAAACACTTTAGATAGGACACTTCATAACAACTGTTATATAGATAGTCTGTGACAAACGGGGATCAACATTTGGGGGGGAGATAATCAGATTTTTTTAATCCTTAAATTAACCCAGGGTTTGATATTTTGGTGTTAAATAATGCTGCAGTTTCCGTTATGTCCCATTAACTGTTCAGGGTCTCACTGTTAGTTATATAAACAAAGCACATTGGATGATTAACACATAGAAACATTATAATTATATGTTTATTGATATGAATGTCGTGGTGGAAACCGGTTACAGAATGAAATTACATGTTTTATTATTATGCGTGTATTTCAACAGTAAGCTCTGCCACAAAGGCCAGCCAGTTGACTGCACTTTGTGTGTCGGCTGGATTAGACTACAAGTTGCTGATTGTGCACTTTAAGTGACCTCATGTCTGCATTCGCAGCCACAGTCAAATTACAAACACTTCAGTGTGCACAGACGCTGCAGGATGAATTAGAAAGTGTTAGAAACAACATAAAGGCCGCGTGTGAAACATCAGTCTTTTACAGATACGGTGCTGAAGTATTCCGGGTCCTGACTTGTGGCTCCAGCTGGATCCCGACCGGCCACTTTGAGGGGAGCTCTGGCCAGCATCACTTTGACCCCTGCGGGCCCCTGAGCTCCCGTTCTCTCTACAGACACCACCTGGCCGACGAAATGCTGAAACACACAGCAAGACATCACGGGACGTGTGAATCATCTGAGATGACCGTCTCTCTTGTAGGCCTGCATCCAAAATGAAGCCACAGCATGTGAGAGATCGGTGCAAACGATGTTGTTACAGTTTCCTCCGTCTGCCAGTGGAGGTCAGTGAAGGTCTGAAAACCTGGTTTAACCTCTTTGTTGCACTGCAGGTTTTATCTCCTAAAGCTGAATGACTGACTGTGTGCAGCACAATACTAGACTACAAAATGTAGTGTGATGGTGAGAAACCTCTTGTGGATGAACCGCAGCCTCCTGGTGCCTTTCTTTGGGTCGCGATGATTCAATGTACTTCTCCCTCTTGGCTTTTATTTCCTGTACAAAAAACAACAACGTAATTCTTCAAATTGAATCTTTGCCACAGGAGTGATGACTTATATCTGCAAATGTAAAAAAAAATAAAAACCTTCAGGATCTCATAGTTTGAAGTCTTGGAAACATAAGAGTCCCATGACTCGGCCATGAGCTCCCGCTGCTTCCAATGAGACTTGATCTGCAACACAACGATGGCGGGAAAAAAGCGAGTGAAAAGGATGTCGGCTTTTCCTTACAGGGATCGGGTCAATGTCCAAAGACTCACTTTCAGTTTAAATATCCAGGAGCATTAGGAAGCACTCTAAAAATATACAAAAGATGCTGATAAAAAAAACAACCCATTCACGCGGAAGGGTTGTTCAATTTTTTTCCTATTCGAGTTTAGAAATCAATCATTAAATGAATCATTAAATATTGATTCCAGAATAATGTTTTGGGTGTTTTTACTCAAAGAAGGTGCCCTTTACTCAACTGACATTCACAGACTTCAAACTCTCCGCACCTCCGTGTACACGAGCTCCTCCTCGCGCGTGTCCTCCTCCTCCCACCGCTGAAGGATGCTCTCCTGTTCGGCCGCGACCCTCATCGCCGTGTCCTCGGCCTCCTTACAGATGGCGCTCAGGGCCTCCTCGTCGGGGGTGGTCGGCCTCACACAGTCCTGTTCTAGCTCCCTGCGGATCTCGTTCCACACCTCCCCGACCTACAGCGACTCAAGGTTCAGAGCGCCTGAACTAACTAAACTACGGTGTAAGTGTACGTCTATCTCTTGCAGGATAAAAGCTTCTTATCTATCAGATTATTCTGATGATGTAAAAATGACGCAGCCCTGATGAGAACAACCATTTCATATCGGCACATTTTCTTTGCTTGACAAATAGCTCTACCTTGAAGTCCAGGTATCTCCTGACGACGCTCAAAGTCACGTCATCTTTTCTAGACAATCCTGGAAGCCCTTGATAACCTGCAAAAGCAATAATAACCTTTTTGAAAACATATTTTTAAAAGTTCAGCGCATATCACTGTTTGCGTTACGCCTTAATATGAGGCTGAATGACGTGATACAGATAAAAAATGATTTCATATCTTCCTAACATTCTAATCTTTACCAAGTTTGGAGACGATGGAGTAAATCTTAATCCGCAGGTTCTCTGACAGCTCCAGGATTGCTGCACTCTGCATGTTAGCAGCAAAGGGCCGCTGGGGGTCCGCCTGCTGGTGTGGACGGAGGATGGGTTTGTGGGGGTCTTGAAGTCCGAAAAACAAAAGAGATGCAAGGAAAAGACGTACAATATGAGATTAATGGTGCATTGGATGCTTCCATTAATATATTGATCATGTGAGTGTTTGTCGAGCTACTAATGAGCGGTTTTTAAAACACTCTGTCCTTCGCTTTCAATGTTCAACTGGCTCCGCTGCTCCTGTTCCAACCACATCAGAGAATAATTTGAGACGTATTCTTCAAGGGGCTTCCAATTACTCTAACCAAAGGTCAGTCTACACTAGAGGCACGTCACCTGGATGTACATGTCCACGCACCTACTTCCTCAAAGTGTTGTCATTGGCTGGTTGTTGGTAAAGGTCACGTTGCAGACTGACCTGCGATCCCCCCGTGCAGGTTTCGGCTGACCTTCAGCTCCTCCTCCTCGTCCCTCCACAGCTGCAGCAGGACTCTGGGAGCGGTCTGACCGCCGGCGTCCCTCCAGCTCAGGATGTGAGACGCAGTGTTCGGGTTGTCGCACAACTCCAGCAGGTTGGCGAGGACGTTGCAGTGAACGCATCTGGGGCTCGACTGTTGGGGGGGAGAGAAGGAATCGCACGAGCGGTGTCCGATCACTTCTTTATACTTAGCTACTAATGGACGCACAAATACAACAATAACGTCAGTACAGCCATCAATCATCCACTTACACTGAGTAAGTCCAACAGAAGACACGCCCCCTTTTTAGCCAGAAAGTAATCTTCTGTGGTGTAACAGCCAACAATACAGGACCTGATGGGACACACACACACTTGTGGGGGAATGGTTTGTCTACTGAATTTTCCTAAATTTGACTATATTTACACTTCATGTGTCTTGGTTTGTTAAGAAAAATAGGACATTCGACAAGTGTGAACGTGGTATTTCTCGGTATGTTTCCTCATAATAAATTGAGTAATCAGTTGAGGTTTAGCCGCACTGACCGCACGCAGTCCACCGTGGACAGGAGGAGCCTGTTGTGTCCCAGGCCGCTGTAGAACTTGTCGCAGCCTTTCTCCAGGAAGTGAATTGCCATCTCAACTCCGTCTGATCCAAACAGCTCCTGTGGAGCACAAACAGGGCATCAATGTGGAGATACTGTATGTCATGAAGCTGAAGGTGTTCTGATCTGAGCAGAAGATCACATCTAGCTGACAAATATAAGGAAAGTCAAATCCTGTTAGGGTTGTCGCTTCAAGTACTAATGCAAATTTATTACCTTTATTCATCTGTGTTTTTCTAAGCACAGAGTTCAGTTTCTAAGAAACTAAACTTTTTATCAAGTTGATTTGAAAGTCACATAGTGGCTTTAAGTTAAAATAGTTTCAAAGCGACTTCAACATGTAGATTCCAAAATGCTTTTCTCAGGCTTCCAGCTTTACCTTTCTGTGCATGTCGTTCTCACACAGCGCTGAAAGTATCAGTTGAATATCTGACTTGATCTCCAGGGTGACTGCGTCCTCCTCATCGGGACTAGCTTCCATCTGCATCACAATCCCTGAGAAAATACCACACGTAAGTCTTTGTTTTTAATTAAGTTTATCCAAAAACAGTGTGCAGAATTAGAAAAGATCAATCTTTAACTACAATTCTAGATGTCATCAAATCCTACACACTGCTATTTTAAGTCAAATCTCTCTGCCAGTGTTGTACAAGTTAAGATTGAAATTACCCAAGAACTGACTTATGGTTCCCTGATCACAAAAGTCCTGGTTGACAGAGTCAACTCCTAAAGACAACACTGATCTCAGCACTCTGACACAATGCCGCATGTGAGCCTTCGTGCTGCCGCTTCCTCCTGCGTTGTGGCATCCGTCACTCTGACCAAAGAAAGCATCTGGAGAAAAAGATACCGTTATTTCCTGAAAAAGGGGCTAATTTAGCCAGATTATTAAATCAGCAGGAGCAAACATTGTCTACGGGCTGTAGTGCCTTTTTTATTTTTAGATTTACTTACATGTAAACACATAACACTTGTTGCATGAGTGAGTGAGCAGTGGACTCCAGGCAAACAGTGCACCTGAAGATGGGTATTTAACCTTTGACCTTTCGCATACAGAACAGGACCCCTCCCTAGCCTCTCCCGTGTCCCGTCACCTTGGGCGACGCAGTGGTCCAGCAGGAGCAGCAGACTGGCGTTCCCCTGGTGACTCGTGTAGTCGTCCAACATGAGCGGAGCGAGGGTGCAGACGGTGGCCAGCGCCTGCAGCTGGAGCTCCTCCCGCTGGGCCGAGGTCCACCCAGGTGACCCCGACGAGGCGGCGGGCGGCTTCGCGAGCGTCAGCAGAGCCAGCATAACTCTTTCCTCTTTGTAAAGCTGAGAGAAGAAAACACGGGCGGGTGTTCAGGGGGTCACGCTTGGACCGAGACAGGAGGGAGGGTGGGCGGGACTGACCTGCAGAGCAGCAAAGTCTTTTGACATCAAAACCAACAGATTGAAAAGCAGCTTCTTCATTTTCAAGTCTTCGTTATCGTAGGAGAGCTTCAGGTTGCAGACCAAAGGGCTGTGACTTTTCACTGAAACGTAAAAGAAGCCATTCACTTGTCAAATAAGGTGCCACTGTACTCATAAATATTCATAATGCAGAATGTTCGAAGGGAAGACGGGCCTCACGCTCTGGAAATGTGGCCAAAACCACAAGCTGTTTGGCAAATAAGCTCTCCTGAAAAACACAATTTTCAGTAAGCTGTAGTGGCACATTACACACAGCGAGTCTACGGATACAAGCTGCAGGATGCTTCCAGCACGCGATTCGTGTTTCGGTACTCACAATAAGCAGAGACTTAGGATTTTCTGCAACGAGAGTTGTGATCACAAGCAGATCGTTTCTGAGTTGGAGATCAGAGTGTCGGGAACCAGTCGTCAGCATGTGAAGAAACGCTTCTTTCAGAGAACTAAATAACAAATGAAAAGAAAGTAAGAAGTCTAATATCTATATGTACGGAATGACAGGTCAAACTTATACCCTAATATAACGTTATAACCACTAGATTCACATTGATCAATTCAACACGTCTTCATCAATAGAATTGAAATGAAAACGTATTATTTTAACACTCAATGACATTGAAGTTTCAACTGCAGCTCTATAATAAAACAATTATAAACTGTGTACTCAAAATACAAGCACTCAAACAAAAATCTCCCCATTCAACCCAAAATGCATTGTGTTACATCCAGCTTTCAATCCGGAGCCTCTGTTTCCAAATGTTACTCACAGCAGATATTTTGTTAACTTTATGGGACAAATACATGCTACTCTCTTAGTTTCCCCATAGCGTTTTTGTATACATATTTGTACAGGGGTTTTATGGCAGCCTGTAAACAAACTGACATTTCAGTTTTACTAAATGAATCGTATGTGGGAGTTATGATCAGGACTAAAGTTGTTTCAAATATGTAACTCAGTAAAAGTGGGAAACCCCCTTTTTTGATACATCAATGTCCTTAAATGAGACGGTAGCAACTTCTTTTATAAAGGGAAGCCAAAGGGATGGGAGAAAAATACAATTTCCTAATTTGACTCTCACACTGTGTCCCCATCAGGACCACGTAGAGACGGGAGACACATACGTGACACACTCCATGCTGCTGAGCTGAGCAGTGACCTCCTCGCTGCCGGTCTCCAGCAGGTTCCAGAGGATCTCGGAGGAGCGGAACAGGACCTGGCCGGACGGGTCGGGTTCGTTCATGTGCAGACAGATCGTCTCTGCTCCTCGTGCATTCACTATTAACGCGCAGTTCATGTCTGTGTTTGCAAAGTGAAATACGATTATTGTGAGAGGTGATAAAACAACTCATTGACCTGCTGACATTGACACAAGGACACTTAAAATCCTTGTTTTGATTGTTGGTCTGATTGTTATTTGGTTATAAGGTGATTAATGCACTCGAGAGCAGGCTACTTTATCTAATGATGCAGGCTGGGTTGACATGTCTGACAGATGCCCTCCCCCACAGAGTAAAATCAATCAGTCACTGACGAGAGGAGCTGGAGAGGATCTGGAGGGTCTGCAGCAGCTGCAGTTTGATGGTGGGCTGGTTCTCAAGAGCCGCCAGGGAGAGAAGCAACGTCTGAGCCAGGTCACTGCGCTCCAGCAGCTGCAGCCTGTAGCCGGGAGAGGTTGGATGAAGCCCTGCAGACACAGATTTAAAAAAAAGATAATAGCAATGAAATAAACAAACTTAAGAGAAGATAAGAGACAATTGCAAATACAGAAAAGGAAAAGATGGGCAACTCAACAGGAAATTGGGACACAAGTAGAAAACCATATTAGAATAGTAGCCTATGGTATTAGAATGGTTCATAACAACCTATAGATGTTGACAGTAGGATCGAAGAAGAAGAAGAAGAAGAAGAAGAAGAAGAAGAAGAAGAAGAAGAAGAAAATGGTACAACAACAAAGAGAGAAGGAAGAGGAATGTAAGAGAGGAGACAAGGGCACAAACATGCCGCCACAAAAGCCACGAGAAAAACCTCACTCGGTGAAAGTCTAGAAAGTTGGTTGCCGGAGGGGAAAGTACGAGGCTTCGGCTTGGAGAGACGGTCAGTACCGTCAATCAGCGGTTTGGGAGCCACGCAGCTGTAGAAGCATTTCACAGACTCAAGTGTCTGCTGTCTCACTTCAGCATCGGACATCCTCATCAGACAGCCTGCCGACAGAAAGACTGTCAGAGCCACGTCATCACTCCTGCACGGACAAACTGGACCAAATCAGCCTCAATGTGAAGGTGAAGGAAACCCTTGTGGGAGGATAGTATGGACTTCAAAGATTAAGGGGCACTTTAAGCCTGTGAAGCATGTGAATGCACCAAAACACTGCATAGCGCACCATGATAATGCTTGACAATAGTAAAGAGTATGGATGGTGATATTTCCATGTATTTTTTGGTCAATCTTTGCTCCTGTTAAGGACATGCTTGTCAGAAGCTACACAGACCTTTTCCTTTTTACTTTCTCTTTAGCTTTGTGACTTGCTTTTGAAGATATGTATCTTCAGAAGGACCCGGCTGTGGAACATAGTATTGAGTGTCTTTATGGGACTATTTAAGAGTAAGAAAAAACATGATACTGCCGGTCGTATTCTTAATAAATAGGGTACTTCAAATGAACTTTCACGCCAAATTGAAAGAACAAAAATGAGTGGCAGCAAGGAGGTAAACAAATGACTTGGAAATTGGAATGTTGCAATCTACTTTCCAGCTATGAAATAACCCTGATGATCTGTTTACCCATGTGAGAGAGGAACTCTACGACGTCCTGAGCGTAGCTCAGCTCATCGGAGGTTTTCTCCTTCAGGAAGGGAAGCCTGAGATGAACCCAAACAACACGTTGAGGATCAGAGTCACACGACGTCAAAGAAAGAAAGCCTCAGTCTTTTACCTTGTAGGCGTGATACATCCAAGGCTCTTACCTACAAATGTGAAGTGCCTGACATAGAAATGGCACATATTCAGGGTGATCCGCCCCTTTCTCAGCACAGATGTTGAGTATCTTGGAGACGTCTGTCAGTTCCTTTAAAAGCTTGAAATAAGTTAAGAAGCTTTAACACCTGTGCAAAACATAATACCTAGATAAATTGTATTTATCCAGGTCCATGAGGGAGGGGGAAGTGACAAAGAGACGTCAGGATAAGTGCTGTTATTTCTGAAAACGGAAAATGCTGACTGACACGGCGATACGGCGGTAAATTAGAGCCCTGGGAACAGCGTTTGGCACCGTGTTCAGGTTGCATGAGAGGGAAATCTATTTCCAACTCTGTGCCAGGGGACAGAAATGAGGACGGTTTTGACAATCGGCAGCAGTGTGTGACACAAGGGAGAGCTTTATTTTGGAAAAGATGAGACCCGTTTGAGAGAAGTCTGTGTGTATTTCAGAAGATTGAAGGATACAAATCCCATTTGGCTTCTCTTCAGGAGTTTATTCAGGACAAACAGGTGCCTCTCCTTCATGTTAGCCTTTAGTAAATAAAAACACAAGACGAATGTACAGTATTACATATGACATAACTAAAAAAAAAAGGAAAAAAGGAACAACACACTCAAGTTCAACTTACGGTCAAAGGATCTTCAAGAAGACGGATCACCTTACTGAGTTCAAGACTTTTAACGCCGACCTGTTTAAATTAAAGTTTAAGTCCAAGTTAACACTCACAACAAATGGCAGCTCCCTTATATTCTGCCTATAATCCCCAAACCAACCCATCCCTCATATTCTTAACTTGTTTGATAACATCTTGAACAATTCAAACAACCATCACATTTGGGCTCTTTGCCGTTTTTCTTGTTCTATACTTGCTGTAATGTCGCTGTGCATCCACCATGTTTCATGAGCCCCTTTGATAAAAATGACTTTTACTTGTGGCAGATCATCTTACTTACTTATTACATATTTTACAGTTGAGTAAAACACACCTTGATATCCCTTCAAACAGGAGAAGGAATTACAGTAACATATTTTACCTCATGGATTTGTTGCTTCTTATCCGATGGTCTTGGTCTGATTACAGGAATATCCGGTTTTCTTCCGTGCGCAATTCTTCCTGAATCCATATTCCCAAATGTCTTCTTGTGTCAAATTCCCACTTTAAACATTGTCGGTTCATTGGAGTTACTTTCCCTCGGTGTCAAAACAAACTAACGGAGAACGGACCTGCTTTCCAGTAACACAACTCGGAGAAACAACACCTGAATAACGCACCCCAGCGCCTCTGCTGCCTTTCACATCGCTGGGGTCTGACGGCGTCGCGTTACTACAGTTGCCGTGGTTACCGCGCTGGACGGCGAGCGGCGCGGCCCAGAACTACTCCCGCGAAGAAACGCCCATTTCCGCTGTGAAACCGGAAGGTGTATCCCCGCAACAACAGCGCAGTGATTCCCCCCCACAACAATAAAAGGGGTGACGAACACTGCTAATTTAAGAAAGATTTCCAAAAAGTCAATATTAGCGGCGAATACTCGCCGTGTTTGCGAGGAAAGAGCCCCGCCGTCAGCCATGTTGTCGGATGCAGGTCAGTGGCGATGGCGCTCCGCATCGCTAAATGCTAAACGTGACACGCCGACATGGCTTGTCTGGTTTAAAGAGCTTGCTAATGTGTCGCCACCTTTCGATGTGTCTACTATCCTTATTATCGTGTGTTTAATTCACTGTGGTCCATTCGTAATGGTTTCTGGGGATGTTGTCGGTCAGGAAGAAGCCTCTTAACAGCCGCGTTAAAGGCCCCGCTTGACCTGCGCCGCATCGCCCGCCGTTGTTCAACAACGTCAAGTTAACGCTGCGCCGCTGCCTCCATTCTTTAGACTACTGCGGGAATCCCTCCGGAAATGCTCGGCGGGCAAGGAAGAGGAGCTCCGGGGATTCACCGGGGGACGGGCAGACCCTGCGCTCCTCCGGGAGGCAGAGCACCGTGCGCGTGAAGCGCACCAACAACCCTCCACCTGGACAGGTAAGCTGCCGCGCGCGCGCGCCCCCCCATGACACCGCCTCACCTCTCGCCCATTACCTCGTTTGTATGACTGGTCTTTAGTTTTTATGGCTGATAATGATATTTGAGTCTTTAGGAAATCGAAACTCACTTTGTGAGCAAATCTATTGTCTTGTCAAAGGTTATTTCGAGGGATGTTCATACTGCGTATCACCCACCACGTCTTTCCATCCTTTATCCGTCATCTAGTCTACCTTTTATTTGAGATAAGCTAAGATTGGCTCTTATCACTTATTTATATACAAGCCTTAAAGCGACATTATCCCCAAATCTTCCCCTTTTCACTTATTTTATTGATAGAGAAAAAACACCCATAGAACGTGATATTACAATAAAATAACCTCAGTGTGCCTCTTCACATCATCAAATGCTGGATGGCTGTAAACTTTCGCAAAGTCGCCAAGAAAGAAAACGCGTAAACTGTGTTTCTTCTTGTTGTTTCCTGATAATCGGCTTATGTCTTTTGGTCTGTTTGCAGCGTGTTCGGTCCACTGCGTTGTGTTTAAGTGGGAAGCTGCCCACCCAACTCTCTCTCTTTTGAGTTGTGCTCTATGAATAAAGTAGAGAAATTCTATTCTCCACACTCTTTCTAGAGCAAAAGAAAAGCCACAGACACCGAGGAGGAAGACGACCAGTCTGAGAAGAAGTACAGGAAGTGTGAAAAGGCCGGCTGCTCTGCCACGTACCCAGTTTGTTTTGCAAGTGCATCCGACAGGTAACGCGTCTCTCCGTAGAATAGACTTCAGATCTCGACTCCGTCGCTGCATTTCCTTTTTTTTTAGACAAATTGAATTCTTCTCTCCCCCAGGTGTGCTAAAAACGGATACACGTCTCGCTGGTACCATCTATCATGCGGTGAGCATTTTTGCAACGAATGTTTTGATCACTACTACAGAAGGTAATGTTGACAGAACAACTACTCTCATTACGTCCATGAACAAACATTATTTATTTATTCCCATGGTGACACTTTGACTACTGTTGCATTAAGGCTATAATATGAACTTCTTCTCACCCCCCTTTGGCAGTCACAAAGATGGCTACGAGGTCTTTGCTTCCTGGAAGAAGGTGTGGACGAGTAACGGGAAAAGTGAGCCCAGTCTTAAAGCCTTCATGGCGGATCAGCAGCTCCCGTTCTGGGTGAGGAAAGCCTCCCCGGTTCTCCTTAACCAGTTGAACCCGCGTATCCAAGTCGGTAAATGCAGTGATGGTCATTGGGATTTGTTCCCTTTTAGGTTCAATGTACTAAACCGGACTGTAGGAAGTGGCGTCAGCTGACCAAGGAGATCCAACTGACCGCTTCCCTCGCAGCCACGTACCGCTGTGGAATGAAGTTCAACAACATCAAGGTAAACAGGAAGTGGGGAAAAAAGTGTCAACAGGCCTCTCAATTTCAGCGTAATTTCTAAAAAAACGAAAGATTGCATCTCTGCCTGCAGACCGAGGGCCTGGACCAGTGCTCCCAGCCAGAGGACTTGGTAAGCTGCTGTGTTCTTGAATCCTGGCCGTTAATCACACTTTTTTTTATCAATCAACCAGCATCTACTGCATTAATCCCACGCTGTGTCATCCTCACAGCGGGTGGTCGAGGTGTCCGACAACTGGTGGCATTCCATGTTGATTTTGCCGCCGTTGTTCAAAGACAGTCCCGCCGCCCCGTTCCTCTCCGCCTACTACCCCGACTGCGTGGGGATGAGTCCGTCGGGCGCCGCCAGCAACCCGTCGCTGTCTGAGCTCAGGGCGGATCCCTGCCGAGCCGCCATCCAGCCGCAAAGTAAGTCCGTTCCTACGTTTAGAGATGTATTGGTCTGATTGTTGTAACCGGGGCGTTTTTGGGCTCAGTTCCAGGCATGTGTCCGTACTTCCAGCCCTTCTACCAGCCCAACGAGTGTGGAAAGGCTCTGTGCGTTCGGCCGGATATGATGGAGCTTGATGAGCTTTACGAGTTCCCAGAGTTTTCCCGCGACCCCACCATGTATTTGGCTTTGCGCAACCTCATTCTGGCCTCCTGGCACAAGAACTGCAAGGTACACTGCACGCTTTAGAAGTTTTCCCCTGTTGTAGTTCTTTCACCCCTCCATGTAAATGTCTGGTTGTGTTTGTCCATCACGTGATCTCCTCTCGGGGGGGTGGGGAAGGGTATATGAGACTCCACAGACAAACCGCTTCTTTGGTTTCCCCCCCCCCCCCCCCCCCCCCCCCTAAAGGAGGTGCTAACTTGCCAGACGTGTGCCGTGCACATCATCGCGCGGGGGTTGGTGCGCGTGCGCTGCGTGCAGGAAATGGACCGAGTGCTCCACTTCATGACCAGGAAGGGCCTCATCAACACTGGCGTGCTGGCAGTGAAGCGGCCCCTGCTCCCCGTCCGATACGGCGCCGTGAGTGTCCTCGTCCTGACTGTCCCCCCCACTCCCCTTGTTTATTCGGTTAGGAAAAAAGAGTCACATGCATCATCTTTGCAGAGGAAAGTTATCGTCGTCGGCGCCGGGGCGTCGGGGCTGGCGGCTGCTCGGCAGCTGCAAAACTTTGGCACTCAGGTAAGCGCAGTTGTCCCCTGTCGCACATCTCTTCCCCCCCCTCCCCTCCCCCATGCCTGCTCGTCACAGCGCTGCTGCACTCGGTTCACAGGTGGTGGTGCTGGAGGCGAGGGAGAGGATCGGAGGCCGCGTGTGGGACGATGCATCGCTGGGTGTCACGGTGGGACGAGGAGCTCAAATAGTCAACGGCTGCGTCAACAACCCCATCGCCCTCATGTGTGAGCAGGTAAGAGACGTCTGGAAAGAGACCGGACTCCACATGTGCACTCTTCATTTGAGCTCCTCGCTCGTCCGCTTCAGATGGCCATCAAGATGCACAAGCTGGGGGAGCGGTGTGACCTCTTTCAGGAGGGGGGGCAGGTCACCGACACTGCCATCGACAAGCGCATGGACTTCCACTTCAACGCCATACTAGACGTGGTGTCTGAATGGAGGAAGGACAAGTCACAGGCCCAGGACAAGCCGCTGAGAGGTCTCGCAACCCAAACTCTGTGCAAAACAATTTTCCAAGTGGAAAAAGCAAGAGTTGGCGTTTTGAGATGTTTCATGTTTAGGTATTCATCTCCACAGAAAAGATCCAGGAGGTGAAGAAGAACTTCCTTCAGGAGTCCGGAATCCAGTTCAGCGAGTTGGAGGAGAAGGTGCTTCAGTTTCACCTCAGCAACCTGGAGTACGCCTGTGGAAGCACGTTAGACCAGGTGTGGCTTTACATTTTTCATTTCAATGAAGAAAACTCTTAATAAATCCTGCATAGAATCAGTGACGCATGATAACAAGGTTGCATGTGTGCGAGGTGAGGCAGGAGTTCCCTCCTGCCCCGCCTCGTGTGCGTTCTGCACATTTCGATATTGTGTCTTTAAGGGAATTCCAAAAAAAAGTATAAAAATGTGTTTGTGTGTAGGTGTCTGCAAGATCTTGGGACCACAACGAGTTCTTTGCCCAGTTCTCAGGAGACCACACGTTGCTCACCAAGGGCTACTCCGCTTTGCTCCACAAACTGGCCGAGGGCCTCGACATCCACACAAAGTGCCCGGTTTGTGATTCCATGTCATTCAGTCCGCTTCTGCATTTACCTTACGCCTTACATCGATGCATTTCGATGTTAAAAGACCGGCGGTCTAAATTGTTTTTTTTTCCCCCAAGTGCAGGTTCAGGCGGTTGAGTACTCAGGTGATGTTGTCAAAGTTACCTCTTCCAACGGGTCGCAGTGGACGGCACAGAAGGTAAGAAGTGTATAATGAGCATCATTGCAAGATGTTATCGTGGAAAAAACAATGCTGATTTACATGGCGTAATGTTACTCTTTCAGGTTCTCGTCACCGTCCCATTGACTTTGCTCCAGAAGAACTTGATTCAGTTCCACCCGGCTCTTCCTGAACGGAAACTGAAAGCAATCCACAGTCTAGGAGCCGGCATCATAGAGAAGGTAATAACTGTTTTAATGTGTATTTGTCATTCATGGTTGCAGACAAGAACAGGCAAACACCCTGCTGTAAAGTTGCCTTCTTGCAAATGCTTAAAATAATATTTAAAAACGTCTTCCAGATTGGTCTCCAGTTCCCGTACCGATTCTGGGACAACAAAATCCAAGGGGCCGACTACTTTGGTCACATACCACCAGGTCCCGACAAGAGGGGCATGTTCAGTGTCTTCTACGACATGGAGTCTCAGGTCCGTTTACTCACTAAGGCAACAAGGCACCATTTAAGAAAAAGTCAGAAACCGGCTTGAGTTATCGTGTGTGTGTAGGGTAAGCAGGCTGTCCTCATGTCCGTCATCACTGGGGAAGCTGTGCATGCCGTCCGGGACATGGAGGACAAGGAGGTGGTGGACGAGTGCATGAAGGTGCTGCGGGAGCTCTTCAAAGAGCAGGTAACGCGTGTGCGTGTGTGTCCCTGTCCCATTCCGCTGACATGTATTGTTTTCTTACCAGTACAACTGTAGGATGAGAAAAGGCCCTTTTAAAATACAGTCCCGGAAATTCAATTCAGGGGCTCAATTGACACCAGAACAGCTTTTGTAATGTACTACTTTGTGACTCTGATGTTTGAATGGCGGTTTATAAGGAGAAGTTTTACCTTCTGTGGTTTGGCTTCCCCTGTATTATTTGTGGGTTTCTCACTGCTGTTGTTAATAACTGTCCGTCGTCTCCCAATAGGACGTCCCAGAGCCACTGCATTTCTTTGTCACGCACTGGAGCAAAGACAAATGGTCCCAGATGTCCTACAGCTTTGTGAAGACGGGGGGAAGTGGAGAGGCCTACGACATCCTCGCTGAAGACGTGCAGGGAAAAGTCTTCTTCGCCGGAGAGGTGATGTTGATATATAGATTTTTTTAAACAAATGTGGTTGGATATGGCAAATTATTTCCAGCGCTATTGTTCCTCCAAATGCATTTTCAATAACAGGCCTTTTCAGCAGACTTAGCAAGAAAAGCACATAACCTTTCAGAACTAAGCGACACTATTGAATCTAAAGTATTTTGTTCCCGAGCTGTCGGACTGAATCAAATGTGTGAAAAACTACATGTTTTACATAAATTGTCGTGTTTTTTGTCCCCAGGCCACCAACAGACATTTCCCTCAGACTGTGACGGGGGCCTACCTGAGTGGGGTCAGGGAGGCCAGCAAGATGGCTGCTATGTAGACTGTGTCCCCGAGCACTCTAAAACACCAGCACACGCACACGGGTCTCAGCGAGCAGCCGACTGCGTCAACCCACATCGCTCCACTTGATGCTACTGTGATGTTTGGTCAGGTCGAGAAGGGCTTCCCGGGCCGGGCATTTTTAACACAAGAGGAATGTTGAATTTGAGTTTTCTTGTTGCACTTCTGTGATGGAAATGGTCAGAAAGTCCTTTTGGGCGAGTAGCGTTGCATGAAACATTGGTAAACTTGAGTTTAATCATGAATGAAGTCAAATTTAATCTCCCGTGAGAACTTTTCTCAAGGTTATAATAGATTTAAAACATTCTTTGTTAGTTAGCTACCAATGATTTATACAGAACTAAGGAATTGAAATTGTGTGAAACGTATTTACAGTTGGAGAACTTCTGTAATAACACTTGTGGTTTAAAAACAGTGAGAAAATAAATGTGTTGGACAGCGAGTATGATTTGTGTCCCTACCGTCTCAGGGATGTGATCAAGACAATAACCAGCAGAACATGATGGTGAACGGACAATTCAGGAAAAAAAAAGAATTGTGCAACTGGAGGAGGAAGAGTTTTGATTAATGCCGACTAAGCTTTACACCCCGGTCCTCATGTCCCGTTTGTCCAACACTACATTGGTGGAGTATTTATCTTGTATGTGTGTAATAAACGAAGCTATCAACTGCCACACTGAGTTGAGTCAATGTTCAAGTGGAAAATAGTTAAAACCGTAATAAATGGATGAAGTTCACACTGCGATGACAAATCTGAGGTATTTGAAATGATCTTGTCACACATTGACATATATAAGCATTGCCATTTGTCCACATACAAATTAATATCAAAACACAACCCTGGTAAGCTTGGAATCAGTGAACCAAACATTCGGCCCTTACGATCCGTTCATTAGCCGCCAGATCAACAGCTACTGTACGGACCTGATGGGGACACTCGCTGTAAAATGGGAAATACCTTTAATGGAAAGAAGGAACTTAACTAGCGGTGGTACAGTTGCTCCCGTTTTTGCTCATTTTAACGTTAGCATTATGTGACTTCAAGTATATTTTCTTTTTAGAGTTAAAATGATCAAACTGTAAATCTTGACCTACACAAGAAAGGTCAAGTAGCACAGCTTTAACAGTTAATAATCTTCAAACATCAAAACACAACTTGAGCTCAGAAGCCGTGGATGACGACGGGCTCCCTGTGCTGGCCGCAGACGACCTCGTCAATGTAGAGCGAGTTGGCCTTCATCTCGATGCCTTCCTGCAGCTCCACCTGGGAGCGACGCAGAGCTCTCTGCTCCTCGTCTGACCGGCGCGCCGCCTCCTGCAGCCTGAGAGAGCAGACGCAGAAAAGCCCGTCCGTAATGCATCTCTGAACATCAGCCAAAGAAAACACCTCAAAATATTGTTATTCATGCTTTCTTTAACGATTGAATCATTAAACTGAGCCCTGTGTCCTTATCGTCTTTGTCCCTTCGTGTCGGGGATGAGTGCGTCGTGGATTTACGTGCTGATGTGAGCAGTCAGCTGCTGGACCTCGGCGAGGAGCCGGCACTGTGCCGCATCGTGGCATTGCTCTTTGCCAGGCCTCTGGCGGCGTAAAGCCAGCCGGGCCTGTGCCAGACTCCGAACTCCCTCGCTCTCCACAACGGCCACATGGAGATCCTCCCTGATCCTCTGCAGGCTGGCAAACTCAGACAAAATCTAAAAGGAAAACTTCTATAGTGAGACATCATTACTCCCTTGTCCATCCTCGATGAACAGATACCAGACACATAATATGACTGGTTTGAGGTCAAAATACACAATACTTTAACATCTGCCAGCAGCTGGAGGTTGTTCCGTCACTTTTCCCCAGATATACACACCATACACCCATCTGACTTGCCTTAGTCAGCTGATCTTCCATCTGACTCTTGGCAGACTTGATCTCCCGGATTTTCAGCTGGAAGGCTGCCGTTGTGGCCTGGACCTGCTCCTTCAGGTCGGAGGCCGTCTGCTCCAGCAGAGACTCCACCAGGGCCCGAAGGCACCGAGAGTTCGCCTGCTGCTGCTCCGCTGTGGCCATGTTGATCTCAGAGACGTCCACCCACTGCGTTGGAGTCACTGCCGAGCTGATGGAGAGAGAGGGGAGACCTGGAATCGAAACTTCCAGATCTGCAGGTCAGAGTTTCAAAACACAGTGGTTCACCTCAGCAGAACAATCTCAGTGTTTTCGGTCGTCTCCGGGTTGTTGATGGAATTGTGGGTCATCAAGGCACAGGAGTTGTCGATGCACTGAGCCTCGAATTTCTCCTTCAGATCCTTCTCCAGCCGGTACTTGGCCGACCGGTCCAGTCTGCAACACAGAAAGACATGTTTTGTCTTGCTTCCTCCTCCTTCTCAGATATCAGTCAGAATGTCCAAACACTTTTGAGATCCTGTTCATGGATCGCTTACCTTATCTGCTCAGTGATCTGCTTTTCTACACTCTGCAGAAGGGAAGCCACTCGCTCAATAACCTCGGCCTCCTTCAGCAGCTCACTCTCCACCTCGTCATGGAGCCACTCAGAGGGGAGATGTTTCCTGCAGGACGCAGAACAAAAAAAAAGAAAATCTCACACTGAAAGTTTTTTTTTTTTTTTAAACGTAGGCTTACTAGTAGGAGAAAGTGGCGCAGAAAGGTGGTTTTACAATATTGAAAGGAAACATAAGCAGCCAAATCTTTCCAGCCTCACCTCTCTTCCAGACAGACCATGGTGACCTTCAGAGGCGCTTTACAGGCCTCCACGGCTTTTACCACTCTGCTCTGCAGCGCTACGAGGACATCGATCTCCACAATCATCTCCTCCGACTTCAGCTCCAACTCCTTCTTCAGAAACTGGACGTCTCGGAGCCGCTGATCTGATCAGCAGAAGACACAGTTCAGCAATGGTGTCGTTGCAAACGCTCAACACATCCATATTCATTACTTACCCAGTTGCTTGTGGTCATCATTTTGCATGCGTTTGCATGTTTTGTCAGTTTCCAGCATCAGCCGCGTGCATTCTGCTCTGAAGAGCTCCGAGCGTTTTCGCATAACCTCCAAATCCACAAGATTGGGTCCAGCACCCTGCTGGGGACTGTGGTCCCGGTGGGACATCTCTCTCCACTGAGGGTTTAGGCTGTTACATAACAACATACATGAAGAAATCATCAGAAGTCAACCTGGAACAGGTTTTATTCAAGACCCATAGTCATTTGTTAGATTGGACAGAAATGCACACTAAGCTCTTAAAGGCTTCAGCAAAGCATTGCTCAACAGAAAAAGCCTCGGACATTAAAAACATTGCAAAATGACATCTGAAGAGCCCATTAATATAGAAATGATGAATGGGGGATTTGTGTGAGGCTCAGATAGTGTCATTACAAATGGAGAATCTGTTCATTCAAAAAAATAGAATTTAATTTCAATACACATTTTAAACGTTATTTTATTTTTAAGAAATAAGTTTGCCTTTTTTTATACTAAATAATTATATTGTCACGCAAAGAAATAACAAATGAAAACTTTTACAAACGCAAATTATTCAAACTCTTTTGAAAAATGTTCTTGGTACCATTCAGACCAGTGAAGGTATTGAGTATTTCTGTAACATTGTTTTTACGCATTGCACTTGGCAGACGGTCCCTGCGCACTCGCACATTAAGACCAAAATGTCCGTCATGGAGCCACGTTATGTTTATGTAACAGCTGCATTTCAAATCAAATGGACATTTCAACACCCAAAACCTCTGCACATACCTTGTTACTGAGAAACAATGTCTCAGTACCGACGTCCCTGGATTCAAACGGCAATTGCTACGAAACAAATGGTTACTGTGGCAACGGAAGACATACGTCACATGACTCAGCCGATTGGCTGTTTTGACGCCATCTATTGGTGGAAGAAGGAATCACATCGAACCAGAAATCACCCTTTGATATAAATAGTTGATATTAAGAAAAACTTTTCTTTTCCTTATCACCTCCTTGCTGGATTTAAAGGAAGAATCTCAGTTTTTCACACATTTTTATTTTCACTACATGGCCTTTTGCAGATAGACAGCTATTGGTCAGACTTGGTAGCACCAGAGGGAACTTTCCACCCGATACTTCAGGTAAGACCCAGGGAAGAGGGAACGGTTAAAGGTGGTTTGCTCGCCTTTACCTTTCGCACACACATCAGCTCATTGATTCTACAGTGATCATTGCTCATGCCATCAAACAGAGCCCTTTCATGTTGGTCTTAGTCAAATCATGTGTTTGACTTTACAGCGTCAGCGTCTACTCCGGCGTGTGGGAGATCCCAGTGAGTAGACACTGTCCCTTGAGTGCTCTGTGACATGGTGGATGCGCCGTGGAGGCCGGAGCCAGACGCAGCGGGAGGAGGCGGGGGGGGCGCTGTCAGTACTGAAAGGAGATGACCGAGTTCACTTTGTACACGTGGTACGATCGGTTCCAGAAAACCCGGGTGAAGTAGTTTGTGTAGGGTGAGTAGTTCATCTTTATCTCGTGGCAGAACCTCCCGTGCTTGGAGAAAGAGTAAATCTCTCCTTTGTCATAAACCACCTGAATGAAATCAAGGGATATGAGACTTGAATGAATATTAGCAATTGCATAAATACATACTTTCCAACAAACAGGCCTCACTGGAATTTTTTACAAAGCAGTTTCAAAATTCACAAGCTTCATTTACATTAAATAACAATGAGGAATATTTTCTCTCATATATATATATATCGTAGGCGTATTCTAGGCGTTAAAGAAACAAGCTACAAAGTGGATGTAGATTGTCGGACAGAGCCAGGCTATCCATTCACCCCTTGTTACCATTCTTTATGCTAAGCTAACTGAAACTGTGGTTTATATTTACCACAAAAAGTGGAACCAATTACTCCATATAACCCTGAGAGTAAGCAGCGTATTGCAAGTGGTATTATTTCTACTGTATGTAATGCATGAGAGCTTCACAATTGTTTTTAGATTTTATTAGTTTTACATTGATAGACAGTACTTCTCGAGCTCTTGGTCCAACAGATAATCATCCAAAAGCTACTTTGATGAACTTTAAAACCGTGATTTTCAACATCATGCAGCTTGTGGTAAAAAGAGCGTTGACTCACATGTGCATTGGCGATGTCCAGCAGGTCTTTGATCCGACAGCCCTTATTAGGACTAAGCTCGTTGCAAATTGACTCCTCGATGATCACATAGTTTGCCTTCTGAGAGGTCAAAATCTTGTAGATGTCCTCTGCAGACCTCATTGAATACACCTGATAACTCTACAAAGGAGAGAGAAAAAAACAATAACTATGTTCACAAGTTCAACCGATGATGAGGACAGTCTTAATAGGTTGTGTCTTCTTGTGCGTTTGGGGAAGTTTTGATGCCTTAGTGATCCAGCAGTATAGATTCCAACATAAGATACCATTATTACAGAACATTTACGAGGAATATTAAAATTGGGATTAATCCGTTTATTTAATTAATCACTTCTTTAAACCCAAGTGGCTGCAATGTCTGCCGTTGTATGAAACTGACCGCTCTGCCCCACGTTGTGTCTTTTGATTATCTTCCAGCGCCAAGCAGCCTGCTTTGTTTTTCCTAAAAAACACATTTTGTCTCACTCACGTCTTCTGACCTCCTCAGCAGGTGGACGTCGGAGTAAAGCGGTAAACTGGTAACGGCTGAACCTGAACACAACTTCACCGTTCCCAACAGCTCAGGGCTTCCTGCGAAGACCGCCGCCCCCGGAGCCTGGGAGCTGGAGGACCGGAAGAAGACGTAAGGTGCCACAATATAAACCACAAAGATGTCTGCAAAAATACAGAAAGATCCGGTGACCCACTTGATCCAGCTGATGAGCTCCACTGTGTCTGCATCGTAAAACTCCTGCACGTCTGACAACTCCGCTAAGACACGAGGGCAGTACTGCATGAAAGAAGAGAGGAAACTGTGAAGATGCTTGTGTCCCACTTAAAGAACAAGAGCGTACATGTCTCACCTCTCTCCATAAACTGAAACCAATGATAGTAGGAACTGCTGTGCTCAGGATCAAGGACTAGAGAGAAAAAGCAATCGTGAACACCGTGAAGTCAAACCAAAGAACAAAAGTAAGTGGAACACTGCAATGGTGCATGAAACCTGCTCTCCCGAACTAAACACAATCACAATAATCATTTCCCTTTTAGACCATGCGAGTGGAGAAGAGGACTTCTTTCCCACTTAAATAGCACGCCTGGTGTTAAACGTGAATCTCGGGCCACTCACCAGTACTATCGGGTGGATGGACTTCAGTTTGAGCCACTTTAACACAGTCATCCAGAGCTCTGGAGAACACACGCCGAACGCTGTGAACATGCAGACGTACGGGGTCCATAAATATTTCATCCTGCGTGGGAAAAAAAAAAAAAATAGCAAAGTTGACTTGAGTCCAGTTGCGCCAAAACTGAACGAGAACAATTTAGCAGCGTTGCATGTACATGAATGTCTGAACTAAGGTCTAAAATGCACTTTTACGTGGATGAACGTACCCGTCAAACAGCAGGGCCAGGCCTCCGAAAAGCAACGTGTGAAAAACATGATAGATGACCTCGGGCTGCTCCCCTACGCGTCCATCTTCAAGTCGGAGGTTCGCCGTCATTGGCTGGCCGCTGTGTGACGGTAAGAATGCTTTCAGCATCATTTAGATCAAGAATACAGACAACAGTGGAAACAAGACACAAAACCTGCACTGCAAAGCTTCAGAACTGCAAGCTGTGGTCACCAGAGTCTAATATAACCTAAAAAAAGAGCAATGGGCCGTGTACAACAAGGTGGGCGGGTTCATTGTTTTGGCCACGTTGGCCCACATTGACCACATTTGGACTGTGGAGGTGTGATGTAGACACACACATCAAGCCCTGATAGCAGTAGAGACTTTACAGACACAAAGTAGCCCTCCCCCTTAAACAAACCCTACGTTATGGTCTATTTCACTCTGAATGGACCAGAAATTACAAACTGAGCCTCATGCTGAATTCAAACTGGAGATTGGGACGATAAACTCATCTTTACAAAGGGAATAAATCAAGTGAGAATTAGATTCATGGTCTCAAAGACTTCTACACAATATTTTTGCAATCAGATGAGCCCCCTGATGGCCATTAGAAAGAATGCAGCTTCAATGGCCTCTTGGTTGTGCATTGTTTGGCTGCTAACCTGAGCCTCCTGTAAATGGTCTGCAGGGTGGACAGCAGACACACAGTGAGCACCAGCAGGTAGAAGGGAAGCACCGAGGCCTGCGTCAGGCGCAGGAAGAAGTCCTGGCCGGGCGTCTGGAAACTCTCCTGGCACAGGAGGATGTTGGTGACGAAGTCACTGCGATGGCAGGAAAGAGAAGCATTGAGATTAGATTACAGCGGATTAGATTACAGACACATAGTGACTAATATTGATGGTGTTTAAACAAACATGGCGTAATACACAATGCCACCTCGGTGCGATGGCCTACATTATAACAGCTAACTGTTAATGCAACCGCTGCGACTCACGTCGTCGTGTTGAGCCCAAATTTTACTTCAAGGAATTTCAAAATGAAGTCGCTCTCACTTACAGGCACAAGTTTCTGTGAATGAAAAAAAGTGACGATTAACCAACAGCTTTAACACAATACATAACCAATGAATACAGCCAATCCAGGTTCTCGTGCTTGATTATACCTTGACCAAATAACTGAAGGTGATTCCAGTGGTAAAGACCAGGTGGAAGTGAAGGAAGAGCTTCATGACTCTGGCCACGAGAGGTCCCATCTTCATCTTTTGCTGCATTAGAAATACAGGAAACGGCACGAGATGTTGTGATTCTATGTCAATGCATTTTTAATGATTACACAAAAAGAGAAATGGAAATTGTCACATGAAAGCCTGTGCAACCAGGAAATGTACAACAGCATTCCTGTAGAGTCTCAATAATGAATCTGTTAACAGACAACTTAAGCAACCTCCTCTTGGATCCTATGAAATAAAAATAAGCCTGTTGTGTGGAAATCGCCTGAGCTCTGACGTGAAGGAGGAAGCTAACTCTACCTGGAAGTACCTCGCGAGCACTGAGCCAATCAGCAGGCTGAGCAGAGGCGAGCTGAGCAGGGCCGCGTTCTGGAAGTGGAACAAGTAGGCCAGGAACAGAGCGCCGAGGTACGCTTTGTGGATGTCGGCCATCTTCACATCCCAGGAGGAAAAGATGACGGAGAGACGGCAAAAGGAGAAAAGGTCTTTAAGGGGAATTGTGGATGCCAGCATATTGAACATACAGATACGATTCACAGCCTAAGCTCATCATACCTAATAGAACAGTATTTTTTGTTCCTTTACCAAATAGCTGGTTATACATTTAGGATCAATTCATGTTCATAACATTTGCAAAAAGAAAAGGACGGACCTGGACGGCTGAGTTAATTGGATGAGGTTAAAAGTAGTTTGACATTATGGGAAAAGCACTTTACGCTTGTAGGAAATGAAACAGTGTGAAACAGCCTGACTGTGACACAAATGAGCGCCTCTATAGCTCAGTAATTCACACACGATGTCTCATTTGATGACCTCACCTTACGCGCTGGCACCAGGTCAAAAGAGTCCAGCAAGAGAAGACAGAGGCCCTGGACGAAGAGCACGTAGTGGCTGTGCTCCCACACCAGCAGGAAGACGAAGGTGGTGGCACTCAGCGTGAGGTAGCAGCACATCTACGCGGGAGCACAGCTCGTCAGCGAGTGGACGCGCCGACCCGGCTACAGCGCAGGCTTCGTTAGAAAAAAACCTGCTTGTCGGGAGGCTCACCTCGGTGGCAGAGCGGATGTTATTACTCAGGAACCCAGTCAGAGCTGCAACCTGGCAGGAGAAGTAAGGCAGAGCCCAGTTGTCCCGCAGAGGAATGGCGTAGTCCACTTTGGTTGTATCCGGTCTGAGGAGGAAATGACCGGAGTAGAGTGGACAGGTCAGCGTCAGAGCATCTGCTCAGGTCTGATCCGTTACCCGATAATAGGAGCAAACACGGGAGGACAATAGACTGAAGATCATATGATGAATAATCGGGGGGGGAAAGCGTAGAGTTCTGCTCACCTGTTGATCACATACCAGGACACGGTCAACATGCCGGCCACCCAGGTGCCGCTCATCACCCAGCTGCACACAAACAAGGCGGTTACATAGACGGCCTGAAGGCCGAAAACCGCTCCGACGTAGAAGTAGATCGGCTCCACAAAATCCTGAAGGGAGACACAGAAACCCAAGATTAAAGACCACGTTTACCGTTGCCTTACATGGCTATCAGGACTACGTCAATACCAGACATGGGACTGCTTCCTTTATCTGATAAGACAAACCTCGCCTACCGATCATGCGATTAAACGCCATCTGACAAAAGATACCTTTCAAACAGGAAAATGTAACTGACTTTCAACTGTTCCCCACTGACATTCTGTCTCAACATGCAATAAATCTGTGGCTGGACGGCCTTTGGGCAGACGAGAGGAATTCTGTTACTGCTGCTTCTAATCGGTCTGCTAGTGTTTATTTGATACACAGCATTGTACTCGCTCAGCTCCTTAGTTCTCAGATAACAAATGTATGCACGCTTCCATCGGATGAAAGAAACCACCTCACCTGGCCGCCCGTGAGTCTGTATATGAAGCTTGTGATGAGCTCTGGATACAGCGAGAAACGCTCCACTGCGTTGATGGTCTGACCCGAAAGGGTCCTGTTGTCCACCATCAGCTCATAAAAACCTGGGAAATCCAAACCACACGAGCAGAGGGATGATTACCGGAATCGATCCTCATCAAACCGTGTCTCTTTAATAAGAAGCAGAAAGGACTCGTACCTCTCTCAAAGGACGCGGCCGTCAGCATGTGCTTGTAGTAGTAATAGTAGAACCCGCTGCCTCCTTGGAAGGTGATTTCTCGCTCGAGCTCCTGAGAGAGACGCAATTCGCACGCTTATATTTGTGGCTGCCACGCGCGAGCGCACTCAAGGCAAGCGCAGCGTCACTCACCTGTCTTATGGAAAACCAGAACTTTCTGTCGTGGTACAGAGACATGTAGGTGGCATAAAGCACGGCACATGCCACCGCCGCCAGGCATCCGAAGAACAGCCTGGCAAGGCGCTGCAGCAACCCCGCTGAGGAGCCCGAACGGAACAAAACAATGCACAGTAATCCTTTCAGAAGTCACGAAGACAAGTGTGTCCATACGTTTTGTCTGTATTTTAAATAAAAAGTTGTTAATATCCTGCCGCAGCATTATCAAAGTTGCATCGAGTCATCGAGGAAACATGTTTTTTCATCCGATCGGTTACGTGCGACAGTCGATATTATCTGTTGTGCTGCACAATATTATGACTTGCCGTTTTTCCGTGCAGGTTTGCGGACGGTGGCAGATTGGATGGGGGATAAAAGGCGGAGCACACGGAGACGTGCTCAGTGTCTGCAGAGGCTCGATCCGTAGGACACTTACATGCAAGAGAGCGCGTGGGTCTTTTGACAGGAGACTCTGGAGGACGGTCCGATTGTCCTCCTTCCTGCAGAGCATCGTCTCCTGTTCCCTCTTCTGCGGACGCGCTCCCATCAGCCCCTGCGCTCACCAGGTGCAAACAGACAGGTGTTCGACTCTCATCTTCAGCAGAACCACAAGCCAGACGCGTTTACGTGGGGACATTTAATGACCTTTAAGGGTTGTTGGGTTTTTTTTGCTGAGGAAGTGACCTTGTATTTGGTTAGCAAACCGCTAAATTAGCTCCACTTACGCGTAGTCTCCAACTCGAGCTCGTTTCGGGTCTCGTCCTCGTCTCCAACGCCCTCCGAAGAGTCCGTTTCTGGAGATCTCACCTCGGTCATGGCGCGATTAAACGCGGGGACGCCCGACGTGCGCAGGCGGCAGCTCGCTGCTCTGGCGGCATCACCGCTAACAAGCGGCTCTCCAACACAAGCGCCGTCAAACCAAACCTCCGCTTTACGGTAAACGAGGCGACGCGCCGGGCTCTTCCCTCCCAGCCGCTCGCCCCTGTTTGCGCCGTTGACGGAGTTGAGCGGAAGTGACGTAGCGGAAGTTCCGGGTGAGGAGCGGCACCAAACTAAACCGCTGCAACTATTTGGTAAACGTAAATTAATGGTTTTATTTTATGGTTGTCACTTGTCGAATTTTATTTTCCTTACGGCAGTAATTTATTTTAAATGATTTCGTCTAAATCAGGAGTAAAACCGATGTAAGTTGTTGCAAGTAAAAAGTTTCAAATATTTGAGGAAGATAACCATAAAAAGTATGTAGTATTTTTAAAGATTATTTTGTTCAAATCGATGGCGGAAAAATTGAAACTTGAAAATAAGCCAAGAATGAAAAACTTGTGGGTGAGAGGCAAAGTCTTCTGAAATGAAGACAATCTCATCCGTTATGAAAGTCACAGTGAAAGCAGTTTAATCCCTCGAGGAGGTTTTCCCTTCGGCATGCTGAGAGAACAGTTAATATGAAAGCAGAGTATAACTTAATATCAATGAGCATTACAGCTTTTCTAAAAACATTAAATCCAAAGGAGGCAGACAATGCAAACCATATTTACAAATTGTGAAATAAAATACTGTAAAATCTTTTGGGAAACTACCAAAACTGGTCCCAAACTTAAAAAGAAGAGTAAAAATATCCCCACCATACACACGTATGCACTGTACACAGTTATAAAAGACACTCGACATGAAAACTAGGTGTGATTCTTTTCTCTTTTTTTCCCTTTTAAAGAGGTCCCTCCCCAATAACTTATACTTCAGTTCATTACACATGTAGCCACTCGGTGCTTTGAACTCTGCCATCCAGCTCAAAGGTTGCAACTTATTCTTCTTCTGGTGATTCCTCAGACTCCTCCCTTGACGTTTTCTCATCGACCTGTGTCTCTGTGTTGGAGTGTTACAACAGTTAGTCTTTATTCATAGGCTCGATTAGTCATCAATAGTGACCTGGTCATGTATTCAGTACCTTGTTTGGTTTTGTTCAGGCTCCCTGCGTCCCCAGCTTCTTCTACATCACACCTCTCCAGCATAATGTTCAGGGTTTTGGTCACTTGAGGGTGTTTGACTGCTTTGCTTAAGGGTTCATCATCTGAACTGATGCTTGACAACTCTGAAAATATATAATGAAACATAAATGCATGTTAGAGTAGAAAAATTAGTCACATGAGTACACTTTACGGAGTATTTGCCTGGTGAGGGATTTTTGTTGGGGTCCTTACCCGACTCGGGGGTCTTTCTTGATTTTTTGAGAGTTGTGTTTTTCTTCACAGGTGAAGCCTTCGCTTTTCTTTGTGTTTGTTTGTTTGTGCGTTTCTTTTTCACAACATTAATTTGCGGTTCGTAATCTGAACCGTCATCTGAGAGTCCTGCAAAACCGTGACAAGAGCAAGGACTTAAAAAAAACAAAAACAAAAACTTTAAAATGATACGTTCAACGTCAGGATTACATTGAGCACAATGATTCACATTACTACACTTTACTGAATATTTGTCCGGCGGAGGGTTTTTGCTGGAGTCCTTACCCGACTCAGCCGTCTTTCTTGGCTTTTTGGGAATTGTCTTTTTCTTTGCAGGTGAAGCCTTCGCTCTTTTTTGCGTTTCTTTGTCTGTGCGCTTCTTTTTCACTAAATTAAACAGCGGTTCAGAATCTGAGCCGTCATCTACGAGTCCTGCAAAACCGTGACAAGAGCAAAACCGTAAAAAATAAAATAATACCTTTCATTCAAGATCAGGATTTCTGCTACGGTACCGTGTCGCTTTCTCGACGCTCCGCCTGGCGACGCAGTGCCCTTCTTTGCATTTTTCTTCCCTCGTTTCTTCTTGGAAACAAGGTTCAGAGGCAGGTCGTCGTCGCTCTCATCATCATCATCATCATCGTCATCGTCGTCGTCGTTGTCTGAGCTGCTGTCTGAGGATGAAGGGTGTTTTAAAATCCAAGTGGTTGGTACTGAAATGTTAATATTCTTTGGTGAGTCTAATAAAAGTGCAGCATACCTTTGGGGGATTTGTCCGTGGGTTTGGTTTTCTTGCTGTTTGGTGAAGTCGTCTGCCCTTTAGGAGCCTGTGCCTTCTTCCTCATCAACGTTGACAGCGGTTCATTGTCTGAGCCGTCAGTTGAAGACTCTGCATATTTAACTAAAATAAAAAAAACATGTACTTTATATAGTGCCATGAGAAAAAGGCATTTCAGATGATATTTGATATTTTGCAAAAACACTCACCCTTTTCCCTCCCTAAATTCCTTTTGGATTTCACTACTGGCGCCACTTTCCTAGGCGGAGTACAAGAGGCCTTTCTCTTTGGGTAACTTTTCTTGCGGGGCTCGATCGAATGCTCGTCCCCTGAGCTTTTATCGTCCTCCAGCAATTCTGTGGCAAAAATTGAAGTCAGGAAAAAAAGCATCCGCTGTAGAGGACAGCGACTTTCCGTTGATTCTGCATATCCAAGGAGATGAAATCCTCTTACCTTTCTTCTTTGAAGGGACTGATTTTTTGGAGGCCTTGGAGATAGAATTCTTTGCAGCTTTAGATGACTTTTTAGGGATCGTTTTGAGCGCCTCATTGTCCGAGCCATCATCGGAGTTTGTATCTAAAACAGTTGAGTGCATCAAAGATTTAAAGCCATGCGTTCCAGACAATGTTTAAAAAAACACTCAAATATGGTTTTGTTAATATAACCACCTGCTTTGTCATTTGTGCCATTAGATCTGATTGACTTGTTGCCTTTTTTCTCAATTTTTTTAGCTGGTGGAGCGGAGACAATTTTCTTTTTTATCAAAGGTTTGTCATCTGAAGAGTCATCGGAAGCTTCAACAGGAGAAGCTGTAAACACAATTCAACACCATTTTCTTTAATTTGCCACAAATGCATACACAAGTTGAAAACATTTTCTCTGTTTGACTGTTGTCTTCACCACTTTTGTCCTTTGCCGAATTAGAACTGGATCTGTGCCCGTTTCCACGTGACGGTTTCTCCTCCCTGCGTGGTTTATTCATGAGCTTCGAGAACGGCACGTCGTCATCAGAGCAGGAGCCGTTGTTTCCTAATCGGAGACAGAAAGGCAAAACCTACATCACAGGTTTGGACTGGAAAGGTGATCATAGATGTTTAACCCCAGATACACCCCCATTAACCTCTCCATTTTCTACATTGCATATCCTGAATTAACTTAACTTTAAAGTAAGTACTTTCCAGTTCCTGGTGCCAACTATACAAATCAAGAAAATCATTTAGGCAAGTGTTGTTGTTAATCTACATATGAATGCAGTCAATTCTGGTTATTCATATTTAACTGGATGTCTATAAAAGCCAGGCACATTTGTGAATTATGGAGATTATGATCATATTAAGGAATTATATGTTGATACATATGTAATTTGTGAAAATTAAAATGACAAACATAAAAGGTTCCTCGATGAAGTCAAACAAGTGATCTCAAATGTACATAGTATGGTTCATGGACCTAGAAATGTAAATACCATTGGGATATCTGATATGTTACCAATCTTCTCCACCAATTCTAACTTGGATGTTAATGGCCAAAGCTACGAGAGTTTTTCAGGATTAGTCAAAACAGTCTTCAAGCGCCGACTCCAAAGTTCAACCAATAACAGCATTAGGAGTCTTATTACCAGTGATGGACAATTCAAACATTCAAATACTTTGAGGATACTCTTTATGTACAATGGCACCGTTCAAAGACGTATAATAATATAAAGGCTTATAATCTATACTTATTGCTATCGATGCATTTCTATGTTAAACCAGATTAACGTTGTGGGTTGTTCAATATAAATCGGGCCGTTTTTAGGTAACATTCCAATAAAATATTGATAAAAATGATAACAGTAGTTTCAAATAGGGTTTTAATTGTGAAAGGTAGCGGTATCTTTACGAGAGTCGGTGAAAGGACGCTAACGTCGGGGAATAAAGACGCGTGGTATTATTGTCCGAAATCTTGCAGATCTCCATCGTTATTGTAAAGGTTGTTCGTCACATGACCAGCAGCGCCGTCTACACGATCGGCACCTTAGTTCTGCCCTTCAAAGTAAGAGATCACAACCCAATTAGTGCAACAAAAGCTTCAGCAAAACAGAGAAACTTCTCCGAGTGTTCTTACACTTACTCACATCAAAGGAACGTTGGACATGTGATCGTTAATATATATCCATTACTCTTTGATTCTTCACATGTTTCGGTGGTGCTGGCCGAAGAAAATTACAGTGAAAATACCCCAAAAATGCGTCACGGTTTAGGCCAATAAGAGTGAAACAGTGCCGTCCCATCACTTTACGAGCTGGTTGTGCGGTTTTAGATGACCGAGTCGGGGTATGAAGTAGCATTGGTAAATATTGAATATAAAAAATAAACCAGTCAATAATACGACCAACGTTAAAAAATACATTTTAGCAGCACGGATGTCAACGCTGTGTCAAAGTGTTAATTTACGTTAAGCTAACTCGGCTACACCGCAGCACCTTCCTGCCCGCTCAGCTCACGTGAGAGCATCGCTCCTCGAGCTGAATTACCTGGAGAGTCGTGCGCCACATCATCTGTGCTGCAGTCCATCTTATTCCAAAGTACAACTTGCACCAAGCTATACTTCAGCTTGCGCCAAGACGGTCTACTGTGGTTAGCCTCTTCCCTCAGCTAGCGATAAGTTCGCAGTTTGTTGGTGTCAGTCATCGGCCGCGGAGGCCTGCTGGGGCAGGGATGTAATTGCAGCGAACCTTCGGGCCCGTGTGTCACACAGGGTGTCCTCGGACAACTTTCAGGAACCGGTTTCTTTAGTCGTGTTTGTAAATATGCTCCCAGTTCACGAGAGGTTTGTTTCCTTCTGTTTCTGTTTCAGAGGGACGCGCGAGCGGCGACTGTTAATGACGTTTCTTCTTCTTCTCGCTGTCCGGCGGCCTGTGACTCATAGAGCAGCACGACGCCCCCTGCTGCACCGGAGGGTTTAGTGTGACGTATCCTAGCAACTATTTATAGAAAATGATAATACTACTTTGATATCAAGTTTTTTTTTAAGTACTAACGTTTCGCATTCCCGCCACGTGTAATCTACTTGACTGTTACTTACTAATTTTGGGAGTCTTGCCAGGTGATTACTGTGCTGCACGGATTTGTATGTCAAAAGAAAGACCTGCAGAAAGCCAGCTCTTTTAATTCTGAAACATTACAGTGGTGTAAACTAAATTAGCACTGACCTCACCTCCTTAAAATAGATGATCCATAGAAATGCAAATTAGCCTATCCGTCCATCAAATGGTTTCATGACTGAGTTTAGATCTGAAGATTTAAGAATACTCATGATTGTCCGGTGCTTCCCATTAGACTGCTCCAGCAGCCAAGTCATGGTTTTACAATGTGCAACTGGGAAAAAAAAACTGAAAAAACGCACTGATGTACATTTATGTTTGTGTGTGTCACTGTAAAGGTTTACTCGTCTTTCTTAAACCACCTGTCTCCGATCCCCGCCAGATTTAGGTAATTGTATATAAACCTATAATGACAGTTTGCGTTCCTTCCCACCGTAATCATCCATATGCATACATGATCAGTAAAACAGTAACCTGTCATCCATCTCAAAGTAACACAATATAAATACATAAACCCGCCTCATAGTATAAATATGCGCATACACGGCGCACTGCGTCTCCCTGACAACGTAGCGGAACCGGAAACACCGCAACAGGATGTCGAAGCGCAGAATGAATAATGTGAGCGTCAAAGGTGCTTGTTGCTGGTCCAGCTTTACATTTTGAATTCTTTTGTATACATTTAGTTGAAACATTTTCTACTTGTTCATTTTGGCCTGTAAAGGTAAGCTAACCGGTCCCTCTTATTTCAGGCCGGGTTATAGGACGTAGCTAGCGGTAGTTAGCTACAATACCGGCTCAAAACAGCGTTAGCGTTGCAAACAACAGAGAACGGGTGGAAGGGAACAAACGTCCACCCCTTTAGTTCATTCACCATTCGACAACTCACCATCGCGGGAGTAGATGTGGTCAGAATGATGATCAGTAGTTAAAGTTCACCGGCTGCTTTCAGGATCCGAGCAGAAGAAGCTACCCAGCTGGATAGCATAGCGTTAGTTTCTGAAAACACTTCGCACATAAAAACAAAAAATCTGTATTAAAAATACACCTTCATGATAAACGTGATTTAAAAAATATTATTTTATAAATGATGAAAGTTGATTTTAAAAAGTCTCACCTTCATTTTCTGAGTACTACAAGAAAAATTGATACTTAATTCATCCAGAGGTAAATCATCTTGTTGAAGTAAATAGTAGGAACAAGTACTGATATATAGGCGCAAATGAATAATACACATGCACTAAAGTAAACACTTCAGGGTGAAGATCATGAATAAACGGGTCGATGGAAAGGTTCAAGAGAACAGAGCAGAACTTTAACATTGCGGCTTAGCGACCTGTGTCTTTGCATCCATCTCTCTGTCCGCATTGTTTAACCAACTGTTTACATCACAGTGAGCTGCTTTTGGAAGCTATTCTTCCCCCTGATGAGTAAACTGATCCTGTGTGCTAATATTATGAGCGATGATTTACATGCTCCAATCTTTCTCAAGGTTCACCAGCGGAGGATGAGTTCGGAGACGACAGACCGGGTGGCCGTCAGCAGTCGGCCCAGCACGCCTCTTCAGACGTCCTGGTTTGAGTTCCTCCTGGACGGCAGCCTGCTGGAGAAACACCTGCAGAAGTCCAACTCAGGTCACTGACGCTTATGCAATGCCTCCGGGTGGTGCTTCTATTCAAGGAAACGCATCTCGAGGACTGCTCAGGGAACAACGATTCAGAGTTTCTCTCGTTTCAGATTTCTTTAGTCACACGCTAGTGATCAGGATGTAAAGATTTTTTGTAGTACCCAATTTGCCTTTCTTATTATGACTCCCATTCTTTAGCAGAGGGCTTAATTAGCTGTAAAGTGCATCTATCCTCATGTTTTGCATAATAGTTGTCCACTGAAGGAGAATACAGGATATGTGATTTGTGATATTTCAGGTGTTATTAGCTGTCTCAATATCAGAAATGTGACCAGCTAATAAGGATCCTGGTGATTTTGGGTAATTGTTTGCACACTTATTTAGTTATTTTATTCTGACTATTTTTTATATATTGGGGCTATTTATATATCGCAAAGAAATATCCCCTTGCGGGACTGATAAAGTAACTACCTATCCAATAAACGTATTACTGGAAAAAACAAGCTTAGATGTAATTGTACGGTCAGTGTACTCATTCATTGGCGAATGAACTAATGGACTGAGCGCTTACTGATGCGGATACTTTACGTGTGCGCTTTTTCCACAGACCCGCCACCGGTGCAGCTGATCATTCAGTTCCTGGAGCAGGCGTCCAAGCCCTCCGTGAACGAGCAGAACCAAGTGCAGCCGCCGGCGGACAACCGCAGGAACCGCACCCTGAAGCTGCTGGCCCTGGAAGTAGCCGCCCACTTGAAGTGGGATCTGGATGCTCTCGAGAAAGGGTCAGCGTGCGTTTGTTTCAAAGGCTCTTTAATCTTATAATGCAAAAGATGCCAGTGGAACATTTCAATCTGGTCCATCTTGCGTCAATGGAAGAGGTTTCGGGGGTCGCAGAAACGTGTGTTTTTGCAATCCTTATTGCAGGTGTTAGCAGCATATAGTGATTCTACCTTCTTCCCCACGCAGCCTGACCATCCCTGTTTTAAATATGCTTCTGAACGAGCTCCTGTGTGTGAGCAAAGTGCCACCGGGGGTGAAACACGTGGAGCTGGAGCTGTCCACTCTGCCTCCGACGACGGCCATGGCTGTCATCATATACAACCGCTGGTGAGTGACATCCACAAGTAAAAGCACCAGCAGAAATGATTGCATTAGTGGCCATGTTAAATGTTGATAAAAGCAATTAAACTGCGTAAGAAGAAGGGATTTTAACAGGTGTTCGGGTCCGTCTCTCTGTTCAAAGGGCCATTAGAACTATTGTGCTGAGCAGCTTTCCAGAAAAACAGACCAAACCGGGGCCTCACCAGATGAACATGTAAGTTCTGCTCCTTCCTTACTGTTAACACACGCTGGTTCCTTCTCGGTTTTGTCATTTTGGGCCACCTTGATTCCAAGAGGACAGAGGAGGCTTCCTGTCCGAGCTCTAAGCGCTGAAATATCCTCAGAAGTTTCTGCTCCAACAAGATGAATTAACAACATACACGTGTTTCTATACTGAATCTGCTACCCTTTTATACTGTATTTAAATGACGTTGCTTTGAAATGACGGCCTAAGAACAGCTGTCTCATGTGGTCGATGCCTGCTTCCTCCACCCCTCTGTCTTTGTCGGCACAATCCGGGGGACGTTTGACTTGGGTCAAACTAAAGATGTTCGCAGCACAAGTAAACTGAAACATGCAGTCTTGTTTTCACATGGTTTAAAAAGTAATGTAGCTTTTATGTCTTGTGGCCTCTCGTAGGTTAAGCATTGTGCAGCAGGAGAAAGAGATGACCGAGAACATCCTCACTGTGGTGAGTGCCAGTGGTGATCCTTGAAAAAAGCATATATATGTATATGTGTGTATTATATTATATCATCTTATCCACATTTCTGTATGCCTGATAGCTTTTGGTTTTCCAAGGTATGTCTAACAAATGGTCTTTCTTCATATATCCCTTCACGCTGAAGCTGAAGGAGCAGGCGACCGACTCAATCAGTGTCCTTGAAGGAGCTCTGCAGCTAAAGAAAGACTTCTACGTCCACACCCTGAGGACTCTGGATCTGCTGGCCTCCGACGCCGCCGCCAACGGCGAGACGGAGTCCTCGACCGCGGGACTCCGCATCAGCGCCGACGAGCTGCACTGTCAGGTCAGTGGACGGCCCGGAGTTTGGCCCCCCAGGGAGCAGAAGTCATTCATTACGTACGGCACAATGCACGTTATTGGCTCCTCCTGGTGGCGGCCATGGAGGAAAATAAACCATACTTTCATTGTTGAGACAAACAAAACAAATCCTAAACTGTTTTCTTGCTGTTTCAGGTGCATTATGATTTGGGAGGTATTTTCTTCCAGCAAGGCTGCACTGACCAGCCGGCCTACAAGAAGGCCCGGGATCACTTCAGACGGACCAAGGAACTGTTGGCTAAGGTAGATTTACTTTTTTCTTACTTAACCCTGTCCAGGTGATTGATCCTGTTGATCACCTCAGGCCGGTCCTCATTCACAGCTGGACTCAACTGTCCACGTGCACCTGGATGAGAAACGTCTGGCTGGCTACTGGAACGCCTGCAGGGCTTTGACCGAAGACCGCGACCCCTCAGACTCCCAGAACTCTCCCTACAATCAGATCAACGGCCTGATCCGGGCGCACAGCTACCAGGTCAGAGGCGACGCCGCAGGGACCTCAAAAGGGGGCGTGTCACACCGCTGGCTACTGAATGAGTATTGTGGCATGTTGTGAGGCGCCAGCTGTAGACTGACGGTCCACAAGAGATGCCGGGCGCTGTACGTCATGCCCCGGACTTTACGTGATGCGTTCCTCTGTCTGACAGGCTGTCATCGAAGCCTTCATCAAAGACAACGTGTCCCGCAGTTTGCCCAACAGCTTCAGGCGGTCTGTCCTCAGGGAGTTCCTGTACAGAGTCCAACAAGGGTGAGCGCACAGTGCAATCCAAAATTGAGACCAAATCGAACATGCGGCGGTGTGATGTATGCATATATGTAGCCGATCGATTTCATGAGGGTGATTCATGCATTTTTTTCTAATTTGCATTCCACCACCAATCGCTGACAGGGATTCCAGCCTGGAGGAAGTTTGCTACAAGGTGTGCGTTTGCAATGCCGTCCGAGACGCTCTGGAAGGGGAGGTCCTCAGTGTGCGTTTCCAGCAGCTGCTCCTCAGGCCCAGCAAAAGGATGGTGGACTT